CCTGTTTGACTGCAAAAGACCTGCAGGAATATTTATCAGACTCTGGAGTGGTGGTGCACTGTTCTACTGTGCAGACACACCTGCACAAATATGACCTTCATTGAAGAGTCATGAGAAGAAAACCTTTCCTGTGTCCTCACCACAGAATTCAGCGTCAGACGTTTGTAAAGGAACATCAGAACAAGCCTGATGCTTTCTGGAAACAAGTCCTGTGGACTGATGAAGTTGAAACAGAACTTTTTGAACACAATGAGCAAAGGTATGTTTGGAGACAAAAGGGACTTCTGTCCAACTGTTAATCACGGGTGTGGATGGATCATGCTTTGGGCTTGTCTTGCAGCCAGTGGCACGGGGAACAATTCACAGGTAGAGGGAAGAATGGATTCAGTTAAATACATGCATAGTCTGAAAGCAAACATCACAGCATCTGCAAAAAAGCTAAAGACAAAGAGAGGATGGCTTCTACAACCGGACAATGATCCTAAACACACCTCCAAATCCACAATGGACTACTTCAAGAGAAGCAAGCTGAAGGTTTTGCCATGGCCCTCACAGTCCCCCGACCTAAACATCATTAAACATCTGTGGCTAGACCTCAAAGAGCAGTGCATGAAGACGACCCGAGAACCTCACAGAGCTAGAAGCCTTTTGCAGGAAGAATGGGTGAAAATCCTCCAAACAAGAACTGAAAGACTCTGAGCTGGTTACAGAAAGTGTTTAGAAGCTGTGATACCTGCCAAAGGAGGCGCTACTAGGTACTGACCATGCAGGGTGCCCAAACTTTTGCTTTAGGCCTATTTCATTTTTTTGTTATTTTGAAACTGTTGAAGACTGAAATAAGAAGTAATCTTGCTTAAAATGTTAAAGAAATGTTTCATCTTTAACTTCATGCTTTTTGGAATTCAGTTAATTTTCTACTTTCTTAACTGCTCACAATAAACAAAATTTTGACAAGGGGTGCCCAAACTTTTGCATGCCACTATATATATAAATTTCAAAACTCTCCCTCTCGCACCCACTTGGGTGGTGGTGTGTCTTCCTTAAGCTCGGGTCCTCTACCAGAGGCCTGGGAGTAGTATCCTAGCTGTTCCTAGGACTGCACTCTTCTGGACAGAGACCTCAGATGTTGTACCTTGAATCTGCTGGAGCCAGTCTCCCAGCTTGTGGGTCACAGGCTCTAATCCTCTGATTACCACTGGGACCACTTTGGACCTCACCTTCCACATCCGCTCCAGTTGTTCCTTCAGCCCCTGATAATTGGGGACTTCTGGTCTGCACTCAGCATAGATGTTCCCGCACACCACTTGGTTGTGCCACTCGGTGTTCGCTGTCCCAGCTTTTATCTCACATCCTGCTACTATGTGCCGAACTGTCTCGGGGGCCTCTTTGCACAGCCTGCACCGGGGGTCTGGATGTAGACCTCTGCCTCCAAGGATCTGGTGCTCTGGGCCTGTTCTTGTGCTGCCATGATCAAGCCTGTGTCCTGTCCTTCAGGTCAGCCTTTTTTAACTGCTGGTAGGATGTCTTGATACAGCTACGTCCTCTTTCTGCTGATGGTACATCCCATGGAGGGGTTTGGTCTTCCACGATATTTCCTCTTCCTCCTCATCACCCTCTGTCTTCTGCTGCCTGAGGCTCTCTCTGAGCAGGTCATCCTGAGGGGTCATGTTTCTTGTTTCATCCTGAATTGTGGTTCAGACTCTCACAAATCCTAGACCTCCATCTTTGGGCTGCTTGTAGAGTCTCAGGGTGCAGGAATGTGGGTTATTATAATAACAATAACGGGGTATGATAACAAGAAAACAGATTTTTTGAGTGTTTATTTCATGAACTGTCTGAGGGCTGGTTTAACTGTTGCTGTGATCAGTAATCCTGTATGCTCATACCTCCGCCCCTCCTCCTCCTCATCCCTGACAGAAATAACCTCGGGGGTTTCAGGGTCCACAGAAAGATGGCGGCCATATTTATTTACAGCAGGACAGAGACAGTAAACTGTCCTGTTCTAGAGAACCAGCTCGGACTGCATCAGACAGTGCTTCACAGATGAACATATGACCTCTGAAACCTGCAGAGAACTGGAGTCTCTTCACATAAACAATAATAAAAACATAAATGATAAGGATTTAAAGAAAAACTTTAATCTTCAGCTGTAATTCAACACAAACACTTTAATTCTATAATATCAAAATTCATGTTAAATTACAATAATTGTCTGTAATTAAATATAGAGCTCATTAAAAAATGGTGTCTGACCAAACTAACAATTTAACTTTTATCTTTGTAATTTTAGGGTAAACTGTATTAGTTTTATATTTATGTATATTTTAAGATTTAAAATCTGTAACCTAATTTCATGGAAAATAACTGAATTTTTTCAGTGGTTTTCTGTTTGTTTTTTATTCAAAACAAAACTCTGTAAAATTATAGACATTATCTGTAAATTAACAACCCAACTATTATTTTAAGTCAGTTTAAGCCATTTTTTAAAAAAACAACAACATTTATTTATCTTTTCATTAGAGAAAACATACTGTATTATTTCTACAGTATTGTTTTTTCTTTTTTAAATTACAAATTTATGTAAAATTACAATAATGATCTGTAATTAAATAAAAAGCTCATCACATTATGGTTTTTGACTTAACTAACATTTTTTTCCCTTGTAATTTAAGTGTAAACCTTATTAGTTTTATATTTATGTGTATTTTGACATTGAAAATCTGTAACCTAATTTTATGGAAAATAAGTCTAAATTTTTACAGTAGTTTTCTGATTTTCTTTTATAAGTTGAATACAAAACTCCAATACTGCCAATACTAACAAATTACATTTATTTATTATTTTTTACAGAAAACTATTCTGCATTATTTATATATTTTTGTTACTTTCTTAAATTACAAATGTATGTACAATAGTAATAATTATCCATAATTAAATACATAGCTCATTATATAAAGGTGTGTGTCTTTAATAACAATTTAATGTTGTAATGACATTGTAATTACATGTTGTAATTTCAGGGTCAGTTTTATTATTTTCATATCATGTGTATTTTTGATAATAATAATAGTTGTATCAAAAGTGGTGGAAGAAGAATTCATCTCTTGTACTTAACTAACAGTAATAATACTACAGTAAAGAAATACTTAGTCCTACAGTCAAAATCTTACTTTAGTTGAAGTTCAAACATATCAGAATCAAAATAAAGTACCAAAAGTAAAATAATAATGTATATAATTATTTTGTATTATGGTTACTGATTGGGCAGCACGGTGGTGTCATGGTTCACACTGTCGCCTCACAATAAGTTCCAGGTAGAACCCGAGTTTGTTCTGCCTGTGTCAGTGGTCAGCATGGATTATTCTCCAGGTTCCTCAGACAGCCTGAAGACACAAGGGTGAATTGGTGAGTCTAAACTGTGTCAGCCCTCTCACCCAATGTTAGCTGGGATAGGCTACCGCACCCCAAACCCTCCCAACCCCCAACAGGATAAGTGGTTACAGATAATGAATGAATGATGATTGATGCATTGATGTGTTGATCTGTTTAATGTTAATTAAATTAAATGAAATTAAAAAAAAAATAATAATACATCATCATTTATATTTTGTATCAATAATCTGAATCTGTGAAGGAACTGATGCTGTCAGATACGTAGTACAGGTCACTGTTGTTCTGCAGCTGTAACTCGTGTGTAGTGACAGCTGATTGTAGATCAATAGATAGATAGACAGATAGATAGATAACTTTATTGTCCACCTCAGTGGAAATTTGTCCTTGGCTTCCCTCAAACATCAAAGGTACAAAGAGACACATAACCAACCAGGTCTCACCCCGATTTCATTGAAATCCGGTGCTTGGGCAGTGACTTGCGGTGTCCTATACAGTAATGCCGGCATGATATGCAGCCGGGTGCTGTTACAGTTTAATGGCACTCTGTAGCGTCAGGGGGAAACACAGCAGGATATGGACGAAAGTTACGGCGATGAAAGTCCCGAGTAGGGCATGCGGGAGGTGTTCATGTCCTGTAAGATTATAAAGCCAAAGCCTTAACCACGTGTTAGTTGTTACATGACGTCCCAGAACATCAACAACCAACGCACCCAGAGTTCCTTTCACGTCGTACCTGGACGTGGAAAGTCCATGACCAAACGTCAATTTGTGAAGAGGTCAGCGTGAGAATGTGGTAGAGTAACACAATACACCATTAAAAATATACAATTTAACAATATATACAGCAATATATACTGTATGATACAATAGTAAAAAGATAGGAAGGTAGGACCAATAGGTTATATGAATAGTAAAAGAGCATGTCATAAAACAGTAGTGTTTCCTATGTGTCTGATTTTAAGTTTTATTGCAGTTTGTTGCTTTGACATTTTTCTTTACTTTGATTGAATTAAAATCTTTATTAGTTTCTAACTCTGAATAGAACAGCTGAGTTAGTTCTTTGCCCTGAGTTCTGTCTGCACAGCAGATTCCTGCAGGTTGACCCATGGTTACCAAACCATGTTACCAAACCATGAGTCAGTTGCAGAACATGCTTGAATAAATGCAGCAGAAGAAGAAGGTGTAAACAGAGAGTTGGTTCCTGTGTTGTAACTGCAGGCAGGTTGGGAGGGGGGGGTTGTTTGAGTGACAGGAACAGCCTCTGCCTCCTTTTGGTCAGCAGATCACTAATGAGTCCCGACACTTAGGTCTCTTTAACACAAACTGTCCCTTAAACTGATTCACTGATCAACACTGTGAGATCACATCGATCAACAGTCACTGATCACAGATCAATACTGATCACAGCTCCACCACCCGCTGACTGACAGGCTGATCACTGCATACATGGCTGCCGTGTCCCATCATGCCCCCCTGAGGGTGCGGTGGACCAATGGGGAGTGTCGATGGGGGTGATGATGCAGGTTGTCCCCCCTGCTATAAAGAGCTGCAGCGCCGTGTGGGCCCTCCTGAGCAGTTGGAGCATTCCCAGCCTCGCCTCGGGTGGAGGGATTGCACCGAGGGAAAGCAAAACTACACTGTGACCGTGTAGTTTTGTTTTTATCAGGGGGGGGTCTGGAGGCTCAACCGTTCTCACCTGGGATTTTTGTGGAAACATTGTGGATAAGGAGACAGTTTCCTGTCTGAGTCACCTGGGCTCCGTCCCATCAGTCTGAGGCACTCTTGGAGAGACAAGTGAGTACTTCCCACCTGCTGTCCCCTCTTTACCTGCCTGCCTGCGCTGGTTACTGTGGTTTAGGAGGACTTGGATGAGACATGGAGGATTTTAGGTGGACTTTAGGTGGACTGTGGTTTTTCTGCGTTGAGGTGGAGGCCGTGTGCAGCCGCCTGCTGAAGGCCAAGAATAGCTGCTGATAGCATGAGAGAGGCTGTCAGCTGCTCTGATGGCTTTTTAAGGGAATCAGCGGCGGCAGCTATGTGACACATGGTGGCTGTCAATCAAACTGCACGGGGTCAGGGCGGGGGGACCGAGCACGAGGGGAGGGGGGGGCGGGGGGGGCGAGTATTTTTGGTCACTGCCATATCTGTCGGCGCTCACACGGGTCTGTCTGTAAATAGAGTTTATTCAATTTGCTCCTGTCTGATCTGTGAAGCTGTGTATTGATGATTGATTGGAGCGATCAGCTGAAGGAGAAACAGTTGATCTGATCAGTGATCAGTTGGTATTGATTTTTATTGATGATCAGCTTCTTGACATGTTTGTGAGAAACTGAAGAGGACATGTGGCCTCACTGACAGATCTGATTTATATGAACTTATTTTAAGAAAATCAGATTCAGGATTCTTTGACATAAAGTTTCCCTTAAACTTCTCTTAAATTTTCCCTTAAAAGTCAGAGTTTATAAATATCAAAAATCAAACTGCTGTTTCCTGCTGCTTGGATGTCGTCTTTAATAATAAGAGGTAATACATGTTATGTGTGGGAACATGTGACATCATCTCTGTAAGGCTTTAAGGTTTCTTAAAGTTTCACCTTTTTGCCCTTTAAACTTTAAAGTGATGTCATATGACATGTCTGTGAGGAGTCTCATGTTTCAGTAAATATAAAATATAGCTGATGTTTTTTGGCTGTAAAATGAAACTCTGGTGTTGCTGCTGTTTCATGTGCTCCTGTGTGGTTTGAACCAAACTTTATTAATAATGACGAACATGGATTGATGTGAAACACAAAGAACAGCTGTTGTTTTTTTATAACACTTTGAACTTTATTTATATGTCTATAATTATTGTTTGTCCAGTCACAGGTCAGACACTCACAGATGATTTAATTCACATGATGATAAACTGGGGTAAAAGTACTCGGATCCTTCACTCTAATAAAAGTACTGTTACTGCAGTCAGAGTAGAACCTCCTATCTCCTGTGTCTCATACTGTCAGGGGGGAAACCCTGTATCTCCAGCCTCATGTTTCTCTCATGTGCTGCTCTCAGATCAGTTTCACTAACTCATCTGACAGCTGGTTATTTATTCATGTTGTTGTTTATTTTATCGCTTCTGATTCGTTTATGTCTGTTTGATATTATCTAATTTTCAAGGCCTCATTTATGAGTCATTATTTAATTATTATTATTTGTTATTAATTAATATTATTATTCAGACAGTGAAGGAAGAGAACCTGATGAGGGAACAAAAATAATAAAAAGTCTAAGTCAGTGAAACAATTTGGAGATACGAGCTATTTAAACGACAGCAGACACGTGTAACTTCATGTGACTGAGTAAATACTGCAGTAAAGTGTGTCGTACTGCAGTACAGCAGCAGTCAGTGTAGATGACAGTAATTTGTGAGCTGATGTCAGTTTAACAGCTGCAGCTTCACACTCTTCATCAGTGACGAAGACTCACACTAAAACTTCATTAAAACAAAAATAAAATCAGCTGGTCACAGTTCAACAGGTTAAATGTCAACACAAAAATATTTACTTTATTTTTATATGAAAATCCGGAAACTGAGTTTATGTTATCTCATTATATATCCTGTCAGAATTAATATAATATATATTTTAAAAAAAATCAATATAATAAACAAACAGCACTGTTAAATACAGAAAACAGTCAAATTAAGTAACAGTAAAGTCAGGATATAATACATACATATAATAATACATTTTATTTATAGAGCGCTTTGAATATGACTCAGAGACACTCTACATTAGTTAAAAGAGAATAAAAAACAATAAAATACACACACCATCATTCAGACATTAAAAGCTGAAGAAATGTTTTCTACCTTGTTTAAAAAAAAACACTAATATTTCAGATAAATCTCTGCTCTTATTTTAGTCTCTTTTTTTTTTTTTGAGATATTTTTTGGGGCTTTTTAGCCTTTAATGGATAGGACAGACAAGTGTGAAAGGGGGAGAGAGAGAGGGAGTGACATGCAGCAAAGGGCCACAGGCTGGAGTAGAACCCGGGCCGCTGCGGCAACAGCCTTGTACATGGGGCGCCTGCTCTATCACTAAGCCACCGACGCCCCTTATTTTAGTCTTTTTGTATTATTTTTTTTATTCTATTTTTAAGCTCTCATTCTGATGTTTGTCTTTGAGCTTCTGAAAATTCATAATCATAAAAACGAAATTATTTTTAGTTCTTAAATATTGAAGTGACCTCCAAAGCTCATATCTAATAGAAGGTTTTCCTGTAGGATGACCCTGAAGTTAGCGTCGTCCAGGTTCCCTCGTCAAAATCTGATGGAAAAAATGATTATTTTAGAAAATAAATAAACATTTGTGATGCATACACATTTTGTTCATTAAGATAATCTTCGGTAATGAACACCACTTCACGATTACTGAAACATAAATGCCATCACCAGATGTAAAAGCCAATGTTAGGCACCACAGTCACATGACTCAACGCCACCACCACCACAGCGTTTGGCGTGAAGATGTTCTGTCATCTCATTAAGGGGTTTTTACTGATGTATTTTATGTGATAGAGCAAAATATTAAAGTCTCTTCAGCTTGTGTGAACTACAGACTTCAAACCAAAAACACATTGACTTCAAGACGAGGGAGCAGGAAGTGCTAACATGCTAACAGGCTAACTCATTTCTTGGTTTTAGAGCTCATTCCTGAAGCACTTCATGAAGCTTTAATTCAGAAACATTAAAGAAAAACAAGTTATTATATAAATATGATGAATATTATATTATTATTAACAGCAGAAAGTCAAAAATAAAACACAAAGTCAGTGAACACTTTGTTTTAATGTTTAAAATGAAAACTTTATCAAGAACTCCCTGTTTGGATCTGTGCTGACACAGCTTCCTGTTGCAGCTTCCTGTCGCAGCTGTCATGAGTCGTAAAAGCTTCAGTTCCCCCACAGGTGTGAACGGAGCCCCCTCACTGTTCAAACCCTTCACACCTTCTGTTGTCTTCACTTCATCTTAGCTGAAGTCTCCTCAGAGGCAGACGTCAGTAAAAGAGTTAAAATGTGGTTAAAATATCAACAGATAAAATCTGTTTTATTTCATCTTTAAACAGGCTAAAATGATTTTTCTTCTGTTTGTTAAATGGTTGAGACAAAGTCGTAAACAGAGTCATAAAAGACGTGAAGTTTGTTTCCCTTCAGCCCCGACAAACATCACAAACATCATTATAACTGATCAGTACAGACTTCAGTGGCACTGATGATTTAAAAAAAATAAAATAAGTTTGATTCTGTAATATTTGTGAGGCGCAGCACTTTATTGTCAGAGAAAATGCTCAAAAAAAATGTGATTCACAGAAAACTTAAAAATAATGACCAATATTTTTACATGAAAACACGACAAATGAATGTGTGAAAATTAACTAAAAACAAGCATAAAAATAAATGTTGTTAAATCCTCTGCAGTTTCTTCAGTCAACACAAACATATATCAACTATATATAACTAAGATAAACTATTCTTTTAAAATTAAAATCATAAAATGTATTTCCGTGAAAAACAAACAGCTTCAAATTATAATTAAAACTATTTTTTAAACACAACCCTAAAAGAAGTTATAATTTTATAAAATATAAATATTTTAATCAGTTCAAACAAAAAAATGCAGAGATAATTTTCAATATAAATTTTTAAAACCCTGAGTTTTATTTGTGAACAGGTACGAAATTAAATGTTAAAATAAAATAAAAAGTTTAACTTTAGTCATGATATTTTTCACACATTGATTTTAAATAATGTATTTCTTAGTGAGTTTTTGAGCGGCTGATAAACGAGGTCAGCTGAGGCTGAATGTGGCTCGTACTGAGGTCACCCTGAGGTCACAATAATCAGTGATCAGTTATTGATTATCTGTTTGATTCAATCAGAAAAAAAAAGATTTTTAAACTCTGACATGAAGATTTTATTTTATTTTTTCCTCTGTTTGTAATTTTTCTTGTCTTTTATTTTCTCATCTTTTTTCTGATCATCATATTTCTTTAATTTCTCTTGTTGGAAGTTAATTCACATTTTAATGTTTTTGTTGTTTCAACATTTTACAAACATCTTAGTTTGTAAAGTTTATATTTTATCAGGATTTACTGAGTTTCATTTAATTTGATGAAGGTTTTCTCTCTGGATTTTAAACCTGTAAACCTGCAGATGAAACTCTGATGATGATGATGACTGTGACACGCGGCTGACCTCCAGCTGCTGCCGTCCGTCAGCATCATCTGCCCCCCAACAGGCTCCGCCCCCTCACATTTATAGCTCTGCTCTTTTTTCTGAAACTGAAACCTTTAGAGACGCTCAGCACTTTTTCATCCAGCTGCTGCTCAAACCTTCAAACCTGCTGCTCAGTAAACACACAAATAAAAATTCATAAAAGCAAAGATCATGACAGCTTCTTCCTCTTCCTCTTCTTCTTCTTGCTGTGTTGAGACAAGGTGACACCTCTGAGCTGAGACAGGGAGGTTTGTTTGAGGACGGCAGCAGAGACATGATGATGTTTTATTAACAGGGTTGAATGTTAGTTCAGTTACATCACGACTAATAACATTTGTGACTTTAAGTGATGTTTGTTGTTCAGTGCTGACTCGGATGTTGATGTGAACCTCACAGCGCAGGACGTGGGGGACATGTTGAATCTGTTAGCCTCTGTTTCTGTCAGAGGTGTGGATTCGTGTCACATGACTTGGACTCGAGTCTTGAATCTGATGACTTTTGACAGTTTTGGTAATTAGTGCAAAAAACATGTTTAACTTCCACCTCTAAGTGTTCACTGTAACCAGCTCAGGCTCCTTTTTGTCCCCAGCTACCATGTTAGCTTCTGCTGCGTCACAAGCATGGCAACCATTGAGGATGAGAAGCATCCATGATTCCCTAATCAACTTTTGGACCTTTTTGCATCAGTACTACGCTCCCATACTGTGCCATATGAATGCACTTGGCGCACTTCTCCACTCAAAATATGAGGTGTTACAGAACAATGAGATCTGAGACACGCTGACTATTCAGTCCACACAACACTTAATTCCTCAGATAATCCATTTTGTTTGAATCGATCTGACTGTAAATCATGAAAAATTACGTTTCTGAGCATCAGTTGGACAAAAATTATACCAAAGATTATTTTGTTTACACACAAAAACTACAGCTGGTCGACAAAAAAATGAACTGCAGGATGAAAAATGTGTGAAATTCCAGACAGAAGCAACAACTTCCAGCTTTGTTGGACATTTGAAGTTATACAGAGACAATAACAAGACTTATATTTTTATAATTTTATATTTAAATTTTCATTGATTTTCTTTTAAACAGATGACCTCAGTCAAACACAAAAACATTAAGGAAGTCAACAAAAATATTTCACAGACGCACCCACATGTATTTCAATATCATGAGCCCTTAATGAATAGAAAGAAGTTAACCCAAACTTCAGCAAATATCCCTGCTGTATTATTCATTCATTCTGGGTTTTTTGTGTTTTTCCAGCTTCAGTGATGAAACCTTATACTAGTGACACCTGGTGGCAAAAATGTTTTGTATCCAAAAGACATAACTGATTGGAGTTTGACGACAGCTGCTCTACAGTCGAGACAAATATGAACATAGTAAACGAACTAAAATAACCTTTTAACAAATAAATGTACATTTCATTTTGTACATTACTCTGTTGTTAAATGACATCTGGTGATGAGTGCATTGCGACTTCTTCAGGACTCGAAACTCAAAGTTTAGAACTCGGGACTGGGTGCAAAGACTTAATTGTGACTTACAAAACAAAGACTTGGTCCCACCTCTGGTTTCTGCAGCATGTGACATCATCTCACTTGTCAGACGCTACAAGAGGTTGTTTGTTTTTCATCAGCACCAAACTGATTCAGATGATTTTGATGTGTCGTCTCCACAGTTACAGTTCACTCTCAGAAAGATGGAGATTAAAGGTGACCCTTGGTCGATCCTCTGTCGGAGGTGTTCCTCATTGTAATGAACTTATCAGGAGAAAGTCTGAATGAAATCTGACGTTTCTTTGCTGACGACAGTCTGTTGAGTCTCAGTAAAGTTTACGACGTAGAGCAACGTGCAGCTGACTTGTGTCCAGACGAGCTCTCTTGGTGTCTCAGTCCGTCATCTGAGTTGTGACATTTATTAGTAGAGAGGAATTCTGGAAGGATGACGTCTTCTGTGTGTTGAAGACTGAAGGAAACAGGAAGTTTTCAGAATAAAGACATTCGCTGTGTGAAGCTGAGACTTTTAAGTAAAATGTCTTGTAGCTGCTGTAACACTTTGTGTCTTTCTTTGTCCTCAGGGTGCCGACCAACATGACAACACAGGCGCCGACGTTCACACAGCCGCTACAGAGCGTCGTGGCACTTGAGGGTAGTGCCGCGACGTTCGAGGCTCAAGTTAGTGGTAAGAAACGTTTGTTTGAAACTTGTGTTGTGTCACTCGTCTAGAAAACATTCTGCTTATTTCATCTTTAGATTCCTCCAAAGTTCAGTAAGAAGTTTAGAGTCCAGAATGTTTCATGTTCACCTGAACATTAACAAAGACGTGACGTTAAACTCATTTTCCATTTATTTCACTGAACAAAGTCAATAAAACATTTGCTTTTAAAGGTTAGAATGGAGGTTTTACATGTTTCAGTTCAGTATATTTTGTTCACTTCCTGATAGTTGACAGGATCATTGATCAGTTTTGTTATTATAGTTAATTGAACATAGATCCTTCAGATCTTCTGGAATCACTATCTCAAGTACATCAGTCCTTGTAATCCCGAGGTTACATAGTAACCTAAAGTTTGTACCTTTTAATGCACCTGTTGTAAGAATAACACATTTTCCAAAATTTTGTTTTAGACCAGATATTTTAGAAAAAAAAGGTCTAAGTCTTTGAGGAGGGCTTTCAATCAAGAATGTTTTTGAGTTATGAGGAAACTAGCATCATCTGCAGACACTGATATTTTTGTTTTTAGGCCCCATCATTTCATTATTTGATCTTACTTTAATTGCTCACATTTCAGTTGCAATTATAAACAGATACAGGGACAATGGACATCCTTGTTTTACCCCTCTTAACAGGGGAACAGACCCAGACATATATCCATTGTTAATAACTTAGCAGCTGGTGCCATTATATAATGCTCTAATCCAATTAATCAACGATTCACCGAAATTAAAGAATCCCAAACACTTTAAGATAAAATCCAAATGAATTTTATCAAAAGCCTTCTTTAAATCAGCAATAAATATCAAGCCAGCCCTTTTCATTGATTAATAATTTACATAACTTCAAACATTTGTCTTTTATTAGTACCAATGAAGGGACCCTGCATAAACCCTGATTTATCCTGATCAATAATATTCAATAACACTCAGTCATATTCAGTCTATGATCTACACACTTTGCAAGTATCTTGACATCTTATCCTTGAAGTGTGATTTGTCTCCAGTTCTTAAGATATCCTCCTGAGACCCTGTGTCCTCATATGAGGACACTATTTTGTGTTTACTGGACCTTATACATCATTCTGCTTTAACTCTGACCTGTTGTCCTTGTTCGTGGACACTTTTTTGTGCCATCTAGTGGTAGTGAGAGCACAATACACTAATCCATGTAAAAACAAGATGGCAGCCATCTCTGCCAAGTCAGTCTGCAGCTGATTCTGACACAAAAGTGGACAAGGTCCAAAACCTGATCAGATTTAAGGGTTGAAACTTGTTTATTTATGATTAATAATGTTTGTAGTTTGATCTGGCAACAAATTTGACCAATTTTAGAAACAGTAACAATATATGACGTTGTTAATTAGAAAGTACTCATTTGCAGACATTGGGAAGTTTTCATCAGCTCGTTGACGGACCTTGGGACTTTATTATCATAGCCTTTGAGGATATTAAGGCTTTACTGTTTTCTCGTTTGAAGATATTGGGGCTTCATTTATTTATTTATTATCACTGACAATCTTTAGTTTTTTAAACTTATCAGGTCCTACTAATCTCAAATAGCTAGGAAAAATTGAAAATTCATACAAAACAAAAGTTTGGGTCTCAGGAGAATATACTGGGTCCTTAAATTGACCACAGGTTTCTTGTTTTAGAAGCAGTGAAATGATGCCCTGTTTTTGAGAATTAGACAGATATCCAACATTTCAGGTAAAATTATTGATCAGTTTTTAACATTAATTTTTGTCCTTCAGGAATACACTCACATCGTTTCTTTTAAGAAATGCATTTAGCAACAGAAAATCCATAAGTTAATCATCATGGACTGTCCAACATCTGACATTTAGAAGTAATTTTATCAAAAATAAATGCGACAAACTTTAACTGTGATCGTAAAACCAATCTGACAAAGAGTTAAGATTCACAAATAAAATATGTTTGACTGTGAGATTATTGTCATAACTTTGAGGACAAGAATAAACCAACAAACTCTAGACTTTGATCTTACATTTTTCTCCCAAGAGGTAAACTTTTAAATCAATTCTACATTTTTAACTGAAAAATCACAGTTAGAATTTTGAGATTAAAAACTTTAATCCACAATTTATTTTATTTTTCACAGGTTTAGATTTTTTCATTTGATTTTAAGCTCACATTTTTGATATCCCCAGATTGAAATTCTAATTCAAGACTTCTTACATTTTTCAATAATTCTACACTTTTTCTGTTTGATTTCAATCCCACATTTAAAACTTTAACCTTGTTTTTTTTTTTTGTTTTTTTTTTTTATGTTTGAATTTTTTGTATTAATCTCACATCTTTAAGTCCTGAAGATGATTTAAAAAAAAATCTAGTTATAATTTGTAGCATAAGTTTCAAGTCTGAGAGTTGAATAGAATTGAATCCATCATCAGTTCAGCTCTTCTGTGGTCTGGACCTTCAGTATTTGTTGTTGTCTGACAGCAGACCCGTCTGGTTCTTCTCTCCTCTGCAGGTACTCCAGTTCCTGAGGTGAGCTGGTTCCGTGATGGCCAGGTTCTTTCCACAGCCGCTTTGCCCGGCGTTCAGATCTCGTTCAGCGATGGCCGCGCTGTTCTGAGGATCCCCGCCGTGACTGCCGCACACAGTGGAAGATTTTCTGTCAGAGCCACCAACGGCGCTGGACAAGCCACAAGCACCGCCGAACTACTCGTTACAGGTGAGAGGACAGGCACTTTTAGGAAAGTAGATCGGTGTGTTGTTAGCGTAGAAACGGTAAACTACATTACATTTTTTAAACACAGTGGAATCTTATGTAATGACAATAAAACCGGGACTAAGATGGAGCCTTGGGGTACACCACAGGAGACAGTAGCAGCAGAGGAGTTCCAGAAAAAAGAAATCATCATTGTTTTATGAGTCAAAATACACTGTTAATTAATAATTATATTCCCCTGCAGCTGAGACGGCGCCTCCCAGCTTCCTTCAGAGACTGCAGAGCTCCGCAGTGAGACAGGGCAGCCAGGTGAGGCTGGACGTCAGAGTCTCAGGTATCCCAACACCTGTGGTGAAGTTCTACAGAGAGGGAGCCGAGATCCAGAGCTCGGCCGACTTCAGGATCCTCCAGGAGGGAGACCTGTACAGTCTGCTGATCGCTGAGGCCTTCCCAGAGGATTCTGGGACATATTCTGTGACCGCCACCAACAGCAGCGGACGAGCCACCTCCACTGCTGAACTGCTGGTTCAGGGTGAGATATGTTTTCAAACTGTCTGACTTCTTTACCAGTGTTGTAAGAAGTAAATACAAAATGTCCGCCCCTCCAGGATGTGATCACAAACTCAACACTGTCTGTGTGTGTGTCCTCAGGTGAAGAAGCCGTTCCAGCAAAGAAAACTAAAACAGTGATTTCGACGTCTCAGATTTCACAGACACGTCAGACCAGAGTTGAAAAGGTAAAAACACTCAAACACAAACATGATTTCATCTGAATCAGGTTCAGGGTCTGCGATTGTGATGTAATCTCATCTGTTGCTCTGCCCTTAGAGGATGGAGGCCAGTTTCCAGGCCACTGCCATGATGGAGATGCAGGTGGAGGGCGCCGAGCTGACACAGCTGGCTCACAAGACTCCACCCAGAGTTCCTCCTAAACCCACGTCCAAGTCCCCAACTCAGCCCTCGCTGGTCGCCAAGGTGACCGCAGGACGCCAACAGTCACCATCACCTGTCAGACACGTGAAGGCGCCCACGCCCACGCCTGTCAGGTAGGTGGAGCCCATAGTTGTTGTTGCAGATTACTTGAGATATATTAATACTTGATCACTGACAGTAAACAAACTTGAGATCAATGACCTCCCTCCCCCCGTCTCCAGGCCTGCCTCTCCTACTTCAAGACTCTCAGTCTCCCCCATCAGGCCGGTCAAGTCCCCCATCACCACACGCAAGCAAGTGGCCGTCAGCGCTGATGTCCTGCCACCCTGGAAGCAGGGAGACTACATGTCAGAGGCCAGCTACACCAGTATGACCAGTATGACCAGTATCACCCAGCGGGGCCAGGAGCAGCGCTGGGAGCGGGTCACCGGAGTCAGAGAGGTGAGGGGGGAGCTGTGTGGGGTTGGGGGTCCGTACCGCCACCTGGTGGTCAACAAGTCCAGGAGCAATTTGGAAATCATGGACAATGTTAAATCAGATAACCTCCAAAGCAGTGGTTCCCAACTGGTGGGTCATGATCCAAAAGTGGGGTGCTGGTCCATTCTGAATGGACCGCAAGTGACTCGCAATTGTGTCAAGTTTGTTAAAAACATACTGTATTTTGAAGTACAATGAATTTCCGGCACACAGCATTTATTTTGAAGTGTCCGATGCTGCTGTAGAGTGAGTGGATGATGGACAACTACTTACCAGAGACAGCAAACTAGCTTGTCAACATGGCCAAATGCAAGTATGCAAGCAAATATATTAAACTGTGTGGACCTTTAACTAACGACTAAGGAGAAGTCTGGACCAGTTGGGGACCACTGGTTTAAGGGTGCTTTCACAGCTGCCCTGTTTGGTTCGGTTCAATGGAAAGAAAGTTTGTTTGCCCCGTAAGTGCGGTTCGTTTGGGCAGGTGTGAACTCAACAATCACACTCAGGTGTGCACCAAGACAACCGGACCGAGACCTTCTTAAAGAGTTGGTCTCGGTCCAGTTAAAAATGAACTCTGGTGCTGTTCGTTTGTGATGAGAACGTGTTGAGACCTCGATCCGAACCAACTGCAGTCACATGGAAATTCTGACCAATCAAGAGCAGCTTTCTCGTGCAGGCATTTGATCTGATCCACTGGTGTGCTGCTGTGAGAACACGAACCAACTCTAGGCAATTATACAACTTTGTAACAAAATGATGCCCTGATTCGGACCAAAGCAAGACAACCCTAGGTCTGAAAGCACCTTAAAGGGTTATTGAAGTTTGGGTTAAAAGACATTTTCAAATCACATTCAGGAACCTCCATCCTTCAGTCCCACAGTCCAGTCTGTTCCATTTCTTTCATCCATCTTATTTCAGTATGAATGTTTTTGTGTTGACCACTTTAACATTCTTGGTTTGTGTCTGTTTCCTGAACTTGTTCAAGTCTCTTTTTATGGTGAACACCAGACTTAATCATTTTGATTTGGTTATTAGCCTCAAACTGTTTCATCTGGAGCCCCAGATGACATGAGTTTTACTCCGAACGCAGAGGGGTGGGACGACGAGGAAATGACATGTAGCCATAACGTCCATCATTCGGACATTGAGTCATACGGTGATGAAATAAACACAAGCCAGGAGGAGATTTGTGAAACTCTTGACGACCAGGACACGGTGTCCTCAATACAAGAGGAGCAAGAATTCATCAATTCTTTAGAGAGCTGTGTGGAGACACCTACGGACAACTTAAGCGATGAAGACATGATGGAGATGTGTTGTAGTCCATCATACATCTGCACAGATCTCTCCTCCATCTTTAAAGACTCGTCACCTGTTTCAAACCTTGATTCAACCAAAGAAACGTTAAGGTTTCATAACTGTGACGCCTTGCCCCATTCATGTGATGAAGACAGTCCATCTGTTAATCAGGACAAATGGTGTTACTGTGGTCTTTATCAAGATGTCTCCCAGCAGCCAGAGGAGCAGGTACATGAGTGGACACGTCACATTTGCTCCATTATCTTTTTTGAGCACTTACACCACCTCTTTTTTGAATTTTGTTTCCACCAGCTTGAGGTTTCCAGGTCACTTTTCTGCACCTTTACTTCTTTTTTCTTCCTGTTGGTCTTTACAGACTCTCAGCTGATTGCGGTGTTTTATTTCCTGCATGTCAAACAGCAAGCTTCAATGTTTATGTGGGTACGTTAACATGCACACAAGTATCATGTCCATGAAATAATCTTTTATCTTAACTTTGTGTTTTTTGGACATTGATCCAAAACACGGATCACTTTCGGTCCAAAAAGCAAATTAAGAGCTGATTTAGGTTTCAGTGATCAGGAAATTATGTTTACACATACAAACATGTGAATCAGATTCTCTGAAAACTTAATCGTAACAGTGATACTGGTGTGCATGCACAAGTTTTGGTGTTTTTTACAGAGGCAGGTTGGTGTCGAGGGGTAAAGTGTTGGGTCAATTCTTTATTTTGTTCTCTCAGTTAATGACCCGAGGCCTTAAATGATTTTAAGTTGTGCCACATCCACTCAGCTGGAAAACTGGAGTCACAGCATGGTTAGCCTAGCATAGCATAAAGATTTTAGCATGGGAAAATGGCTAGCCTGACTCTGTCTAAAGTCAAAACTACAACTATGAATACCTCTTAAATATGCACTTAATAGCTACATAAGTTATACCATGTTAACAGATTGAGACTAAAGCTAAAAGGCCCCAGACATGATATTTTGCTAAAAGATTGAGGCTAAAGCTAACAGGTCTCAGACATGATACAATGCTGACAGATTGAGGCTACGCTACAGATAACAGGTCCCAGACATGAGACCATCCTAACAGATTGAGAATAAGGCTAACAGGTCCCAGACATTATAACATGCTAAGAGAGTGAGGCTATAGCTATCAGGTCTCAGACATTAAATCATGCTAACAGAGTGAGGCTAAAGCTATCAGGTCCCAGACACAATATCATGCTAACAGCTGAGGCTAAAGCTAACAGGTCCAAGGAACAAAGTCATCACAAGCTGTAAGATGTTCCAAAAATGTTGAAGACATTTAAATCGAAATGGCCCCTAACCAGAGCAGACACACAGATGAATCTGTAATAATATGAGAGAACTAATTGCTAAAATAAGATAAGTAGATATATTCAAATTTCCTCCTGCCCACCTGCCTGTCTCTGTCCTGCTGTCTTGCCATGGATGTCCTGAGATCTATGTGCTGCTGGTTGTGTCTCCAGGCTGAGGGAGGGAAAAGAGCCGGGGCAGTGGCCACGGTGATGGCTGCCGTTGACCTCGCTCGTGTCCGTCAGCCTGTGCATGTCAAGGGCGATCCAGCTGAAGAGGAGGAGGCTGAGGCTGTAGAGGCAGAGTTAAGGCAGGAGGCCGCCGCTGCCGCCGCTGCCTTGGCTGCCGATCAACAGTATCAAGCCAGCCGGACAACAACAAGAGTACAGGCTGGTCAAATGCTTACTACTGCTCAAGAGTTTACACCTGAACCAACCCTGCCACCGCCTCAGGTTAGCTAGGCCTCCAAAGCTAATCAACAACAAAATTACAAAGAAATTTGACCAAATGAGATCAGCTGGTTTGGTTATAAAAGAGTCTTTTGTACTGCACTGTCAAACAATTTTTTGGGTTCACAAACAATTCAAGGTTTAACAAATTTGAGAAAAATAAATCCCTATAGTCCTGTTATTGATTATGCTTATCAATTAAAGTATTTGTGACTTTCAGAGTCCCCTTGTAAAGAACCCTTAGGTGGAAAAAGAGTATGTATGAGTATATTAATTTGGTATTATATCGTGGTTGGTGTTCATGGTTTAATGATAACAAAATGATAAGACAGTAACGACGCCCAGGTGTCCACAGGTGACCATAGAAACAATAATGACTCCCAGGTGTCCATAGAAACAATAATGACTCCCAGGTGACCATAGAAACAATAATGACTCCCAGGTGACCATAGAAACAATAACGACTCCCAGGTGACCATAGAAACAATAATGACTCCCAGGTGTCCATAGAAACAATAATGACTCCCAGGTGACCATAGAAACAATAATGACTCCCATGTGACCATAGAAACAATAACGACTCTCAGGTGACCATAGAAACAATAATGACTCCCAGGTGACCATAGAAACAATAACGACTCCCAGGTGTCCACAGAAGCAATAATGACTCCCAGGTGACCATAGAAACAATGACGACTCCCAGGTGACCATAGAAACAATAACGACTCCCAGGTGACCATAGAAACAATAATGACTTCCAGGTGACCATAGAAGCAATAACAACTCCCACATCTCCATGGAAACTGTAATGACTCCCAGGTCTCCAAAGAAACAATAAAGACTCCCAGGTGTCCAAAAAAATTAAATCGACTCCCAGGTTTCCAGAGACAACAACGACTCCCAGATGTCCATAGAAACAATAATGATTCCCAGGTCGCCATAGAAACTATAACGACTCTGTACTGTCCTCGATGATAATCACTGTAAAATAAAATCCTGATTAAATTTCATGAAAATGAGCAAAAATTTTTGCCAGTGCTTTAGAAAGACAAATATCTTAATAACCATGTCATTGTTTTCAGTACTTATAGGAATAAAGTATTTTCATTTACATATAAATACATATATTGTCCAGTTCTTAAATCTTCCTGAGGTTGTAACACTCATGTGAACTCTGTTGGTTACTCCAGATTCAGAAAACGACAGAAATCATCTCCCATGTGGAAACTGGTCCCGCTCCGTCCCCAGTTCCACATTTCACAGTTTCTAAAGTTTCTGTCCCAAAACATGAACCTAGCTCTGAGGTAAGAAAGGCAACATCAGGCAAGCAGTAGAAAACGTGAACTAAGAAACAGCATTTGAATTAATTGCAACTTTAGTCAGTAATAAAACCTATAATTGACCCTTCGCTAAGCCCATCCTCCTCAGTCACTGTTAGTGACCTGTCAACCTCCCCGATCTCAAAATGAGTCTTTGCTGCCACAATGAATGCTAGAACTAAATTTTATCACCTGTAGCTAGCTAGCCTGTTAGCCTATTAACTCCTGAGTCAGTTAAAAACTCAATGTCCTGATATATTCTAAAAGGTACTGTTAGCAATGCTAGTGTAAAATCTAATAGCATTCAGGACTGGCACCTACACAGTGGATGTTTCAGTCCTGAATGGTGTGCTAACTCTTGGCTTTGGAAGTGATGCTTGGTTACTGTGTACATAGTTAGCTAGTTAGCTGCGCAGTGTTAGCAGTGTACATAAGACCACAGTATCCCTCTGACTACAACTCGTCCTACACCGCTTCAGCTTGTGAAGAAACAGTGACACATCTGCTGTGACTAGTTACCATTGCGCACAACAAGATTTTGCCAAGTAGAACATGCTCCTGGATCAACATCCCACATCGCTTTCCTGGACCAACATTACAATCAACCAAACACAGCCCTCTGACATCATCAGTGTGCTGCTGCTGTGCTTGTTTCAGAATTCCTTTGTGCTGCTTCAGAGCTAAGCTAATTTTCCGAATTGAATTTAGGGCAATTAAACAAAATACTCAGTTACACTTAAAAAACATAAAACTTGTAGGCTTCTGCAGGGTTAGCAATTTGCTTGCTAACTAGGTTAACTATGCTAATGAGTAAACCTGCCAATAGATAAGAATATTAGCAAGCTAGCTTGCTAACTAGGTAGGCTATGTTAACAGGAAGCTGTTCACTAACAAAGATAAGGATAGTAACATTTTTCATTTGCAAATTCCTGCAGTTATCACAATATCCCAACTTTTTTGCAATCTTGATCCTGGATAGATTTGGTTAGGTTTATCCAGGGCCATCATCATCATCACACTGATTTTGGATTATTTGTTAATGTCAACATCAGCATAGCATTGATGGTCCTGGATCAACTTAAGTGATTCTTTTCAGGATCAACATGGCAGTAAGAGTCAAGATCAACATAAGCAAATTATCCAGAGTCAAGGTGACGATGATGGTCCCCGATCAAAATGAACAAATTATTCAGGGTCAACATGGCAGTGATGGTCAAAGATCAACATGAACAATGCAATCCTGCATAAATATAGTTTTGAATAGGTTATTGAAAAGAGGGAAGGTGTGTCCTTAGGTCTTTACAATTGCAAAATAACATTATTCTTACTCTTAATGTTAATAAACAATGTCTCCACCCATAGCCAACCTGGTGAGCAAGCTAATTGCTATCCCTGCAGTAACTTATAAGGTTTTTTTCCAGTGTTACTGAGGATTTTGTTTAATTTTACTTCCTTCAATTCGGAAAATTAGCCTAGCTCTGAAGAAGCACAAATTTGAATTTTGAAGGAAGCCCAGCGACAGCACACTGATGATGTCAGAGGATTGTGATTGGTTGATTGCTATGTTTGTCCAGGAGCATGTCCAGCTTGGATATATCACATTGTGCTTACCGTTGCTAAGCTATGATTGGACAGTTGCTGTTTGGGGAAGGGAACAGTTTAGCGAACAGTCATTTGGCTATTACTGCTTGCCTGAAATGCAAACTTGTTGTGAACTGTAGTGAAGTAAGAATGTCTATAAAATAACAAATGAATCCACCTTTAACCTTGTTTTTCTTCACCCCCTTAATCAATAAACACACTCCAGACTTATTAATCCAGCTTTATTTTAAGTTCCCTGTTGTAGCTTTAATAAAACTAACGTTGGTAGATCTCTCCCTGTGCTGTGGTTTAACACAAACTTTCAATACAAACCAACATATTTTACTGATGATCGTGTACCTGTTCCTCCTCTTTGGGTCGGTCAGGTTTCCATCGCCGGCTCTGCTATCGCCACTCTGCAGAAGGAGTTATCTTCTTCCTCTGCCACAGCTAGAAAGATCATCAAGCCAGTCAAGTCTCCCAGTCCGTCTCGTACAGTGGTGGAGACCAGAAAGACACTGGAGCCAATCCCTCCACCATTCAAGGACTTCGCTGAGAAATATCAGAGTCACTTAGGCACTGAGTTACAGACTGGGAAGGTGTTCTCGGGGGGCTTGGAGAGAGTATATGAGGAGTGGGGAGTCCAGGTTTGTAATCTAGTTTAGTGGGCTGGATCCGAACAGGACAAGAAAACCTGATGAGTCAATGAAGATCAGATAACTTCTACAGTCCAAAACAACAATTAAGAATCAATGTTTGTGTTCGTCCAAGACTTTGATCCAAAGCAAGATATCTCCAAATCTACTGGCAAGAATACCATGACAACTGCAGTGTATATTGATCCCCAAATTACCTCTCTGACCGTTGTTCCAGTGCCATCAATGGTCAATTTATCCATGTTAAATCTGAGGAGCAGAATTTTTCCTACTCCCCAGAGCTTGAATCCTTTGGATTCTAGCGGCCCCTTCAATTTTAGCACCACCCAAAACTTTATATTTTCATCCTCACTACTCATTTGGTTAAAGAATACCTAAATAAAAGATACTGCAAAAATAAGGAGCTACTTGATGACCTTAGGTCTAGATATTTAAAAGTCAGGTTTTCTTGATTTGTGTGAAAATCCAGGACTTATCATCCCTCTAATAAAAACTTTAACATGCTCGTCGATGCTATTGACCACCTCATTCTCACCTCTTGAGCCCATCCAGCCTCCTCTCCATCTTTCTGTGCTGTGTCGTCTTTTCTTTTCATGCTGGTCGTGATCAGCAAGTTAAAAGTCTTGTCCAGAGTGTGTTTGCTATGTTGTGTCCATGTCATTGATTTTAAAAGTAGGTGCGTCTTTTGTTAAATTGAAGTGCTAACAAATCTGTGTCTGTCTGACAGGTGATGGAGGCAGCAGCTGTACCTGCTGCAGGTGGCGCCGTAGTCCCACCCACACTGGTTTCAGTAAGTAGTTTAGTTCTCCTCAAACACACTAAATGTGTTTATGCCCCTGTGGAGAAATTTCTAAAAGTGTTACGTTTTCTCTGCAGGGCTTGAAGAACACAAATGTGACAGAGGGCGAGTCGGTGACCCTGGAGTGCCAGATCAGCGGTCACCCCACACCTGTCATCATGTGGTTCAGAGAGGACTACAAAATTGAGAGCTCCATTGATTTCCAGATAAGCTACGTGAACGGATTCGCCCAGCTGGTGATCCGCGAGGCATTTGCTGAAGACAGTGGACGCTTCACCTGCACTGCCACAAATGAGGCTGGAACCGTCAGCACCTCCTGCTACCTGCTTGTCCAGGGTGAGTACAAACAGTAGAAAAACTTTCAACAAAATAACAATTGAATTGTATCTCTAAAATAGAGGGTTTTTGATGTCCCTCTGAATGCAGTTACCTCTTGAGACCCTCAGGGCTCTATTGTGGGTTCTCTTCTGTTTTATCTTTCGCTGAATCCTGCCTCCCTTTGGTACTGGGAATCTTTTCTGTTTGAGGTGGTGCCTCCTTCTCGAGACTAACCCTGTCTTTCTCTTCCAGTGTCCGAGGACATCGAGGGCAGAGAGGAGATGACTATCGTCACTGAACGTGTTGAAACTGCCGAGAAACTGTGAGTCCTTCAGGATCTATTCAGTCAAATTAATTGTTAAGACCTAAACATAGCTGTCTGTATAGATCGGTCCTAAAAAACAGATTTATGTTTTCAGAGTAACCGAAGAAGCCAAAGAGGAGGTGGCTGAGTCAGATGCTGCAGCCGCCGCTCCCTTCTTCATCAAGACACCAACCATCCAGAAGCTGGTGGAAGGAGGAAGTGTCGTGTTTGAATGTCAGGTTGGAGGAAGCCCCAAACCTCACATCATCTGGAAAAAGAGTGGTGTACCACTCACCACTGGGTACAGGTATGTAATATGGTCAAAAAGTACTGGTCAGGTTCATGGTGCCAAGAGTCCCAAGAATTTAGGTGGTTTACTTTATTTGATTAACTTCTTACTGTAAACCCAAAGTACCAACTGTCCCTGGGTCTGTGATGGGTCACTCACCTCAACCATCTGTTCGGCTACATTCTGGGCTTATGTGTAGAAAATGGTGCTCGAGACATCTATAATGTGCAGCCTTGAAAACATGAAGTCCTGGGTTTGAATATTTAACTCGGTGCATATAAAACTTGTGATATATGACAACTTCTTATTGGAAAATGAATGGGAAAAATGTAATGGATTGGATTTAGATAAACCCAAGAGATAATGTGTCAAAGTGAGAACTGTTATTTCCTACCCAGTTCCAAGAGGTTAAAAAACAGGACAGACAAAAACATACAACATGTGATACCTAACAGTGGAAACGTTTGGAGCATTAAGTGGCGTACTGGCTTAGGATGCCGATGATGAGCTGTGCTTGTCCCCGGTTTGATTCCAGTAATCTGAAATCACAGAGGAAAGGCTGCTCTTTGCACACATTGGAAACACTTTGGAAACCAGTGATCAAGGTTTCCCAGAATGGTGCAAATCATTAAGTTTAAACACCAGAAATATCCCCAGTTTTTTTGTCATAGTCTTTTTCTGCCTCTTCCTCACTTTTCTTTGACTTTGTTGGCATCTTACGCTGTGCTTCTCTCCTGCACTACCCTTGGGGCAAACTTGAGATTTTTAGCTCCATTTCTGGCAAGACTGTAGAAAAATATAAATCATCTCAATAATGTTTGTTCAGATTGGGTCTGTAATGAATACTGCACCCTGGAGGGGACACTAGTCATTACATTTACATGCTCCTTCTCTGCTGTCCATCAGATACAAAGTTGCCTACAAGAAGGAGACTGGAGAATGCAAGTTGGAGATCTCCATGACCTTCGCTGATGACGCCGGAGAATACTCTGTCTTTGCCAAGAACAAGCTGGGAGAGGTCTCAGCCTCCGCCAGTCTGCTGGAGGAAGGTATGTAAACATCTGCATCAGTAAAATCTACTGAAATAAGACAAGAGAGCAAAGAGTCAAAGACATCAAACTGGAAGAGATATTATATGTCTTGATAAGAGCTACAGAGTACTGGTTCTTCTCTGATGTCAGGGTTTGTTCAGGCAATGGAATAAGTTGCTTGAGGTTATGGAACGCCAAATGCTTTGTTTTGCTAACAGAGGAATATGAAGCCTACATGAAGAAACAAGAAGCAACATTTAAGACTGAAGTGACAGCCGTGGTGCAGGAGCCCAAAGTGGGAGATGTTCCCCCCGTTGTGGTTACGACCATGGAGCAGATGACCACCACCATTATATCTGGACAGGTAGGAGCATCATGAGCCATGGTTGGAAGTTCTCTAGGAGTAGTTTTGAAAGATGTATTTCAGGGTAACTTGGAACTTTATGTATCTATGTGGCCAGATTAAACCACTAGAGGGCAATCTCAACAGCCCCTACCTATACCACTACCTCTCTGACCCTTGTGTTTGCTTCTGTCACCTTCAAGTAAAGACATTTAACAGATTTATACAAAAATAGACACAATGGTGAGTACAACATAAACCTAAATAACAAAGAGATCCACCAATCAAACACAACATTAAAACCACTGACAAGTGAAGTGAATAGCATCGATCATCTTGTTACAATGTTTTGCTGGGAAACCTTTGGTCCTGACATTCATGTGGATGCCACTTAATGCATTCCACCTACCAAAACACAGTAAAGGACGAAGTGCACCCCTTGTGGTTGCTGGCCTGAGGAATGTGACAAAGAGTTCAAGGCGTCGACCTGAACAAACTCTTCAGATCCTAAACTGATTAAGCATTTCTAAGACATGGCGATACCCATAAGGTCCTGTGTCTGTGCCTTGACAGGTCAAAAGCCCCACCGTGGATCAGACTTGACTCTGACCCGTTGAGACATGAATACAGGACCTCTGGGGTTGTCCTGTGGTGCCTGGCATCGAGGTTTTGGCAGTGGAGGTGGGATAATGCCACCTTCCACAGATGCTCAATCAGATTGGGATCTGTGGAATTTGGAGGCCAGGTTGATGCTCTTTATCATGTCCCTTGGGTCATTCCTGAACAATTTATGTACAGCCCCAAGTACAGGGGCTGTACTTGGTCCAATACAGTGTTTTGGTGGATGGAGCATGTCAAGCGGCCCCCACAGGAATGCCAGGACCAAAGGTTTCCCAGCAGAACATTGTGTTGTTGATCAAAGTTATTTACTCCATGTGCTGGTGGTTTTAATGTTGTGGCTGATCAGTGTGTAGTTTTTGACCCAGAGCCATGTCAGACCTTAAGATCAGGTATACAGCAGGGCCTTTTTAAAAACTTTCGTCAATGTTGATTTAAGTTAATATTGTAATTAAGTGGTGCACAAACCATGCTCAAATAGAAAGGAAGGAGGGAAACAAGTCACAGCATTGATGTAAATACCTTTAAACATTTTATATCATAGTGTAAATATTCCCAAGTATTCCCATAATATGCAATCATATCTCCATTCCTAACTCGAACACGTCGTGGATTTGCTCGACAACTAGGACTTTGCCAATATTTTAATCGCCAGCCAACAGTGAATGGATGACTGCTGATCAACAGTCACCTCTAAAACAACAGAATTACTGTCAAGAACTCTTAAGTACCTGAACATATGTCATGTTCAAATGTTGTGTCATCTCATCTGTAGGAATTCCATCTCTCTGCCATTGAGCTGAGGATCATCCAGGAGATTGAATTCCGCATTATGAAGATTACCTACAAAGAGATTGTGACAGAAGACGGAGAGTTGATGGTGACCGCTGACCCCACTGAGGCCGTGCAGCCTGCCTTTGACACTCCCGTCAAAAACTACAGGATCATGGAGGGAATGGGCGTCACATTCCACTGCAAGATGAGTGGAATGCCGCTCCCCAAGGTACCGATTATTTGAAAAATGGGTTTCCGTAAAACAAAATGTCTCTGTTGGTTTTAAATGAATTGGTCTTACAATGGCATTTCATCTTCTACCAGATTGCTTGGTTCAAAGATGGCCAGCGTATCAAGCCTGGCGACCGTTACCAGATGGAAGTTCTTCAAGATGGACGAGCCAGCCTTCGTCTGCCTGTGGTGCAACCAGAAGACGAGGGCGTCTACACCGCCTTCGCCACCAACATGAAGGGAAATACTGTCAGCTCTGGGAAGCTCTACGTAGAGCCATCCGGAGCTGGAGCACCTCAGAGATTCGCACCACAGCCAGCGATGCAGAGGATCAGGTAAGGTCTAAAAGGACTAAGAAGTATTTCTGAATTGTAGAACTGTGGACATCTGGTAAACAACAACTCTGCTTCTTCTTCAGGTCCACATCTCCTCGTTCTCTGAGCCGCTCACCTGGACGTTCTCCCAGCCGTTCTCCCGGACGCTCACCAGCCCGCCGGCTTGACGAGACAGATGAGGCTCAGCTAGAAAGACTCTACAAGCCTGTTTTTGTCATGAAACCTGCCTCATGTAAATGCTCTGAGGGGCAAACCGCCAGATTCGACCTGAAGGCTGTTGGCAGACCGATGCCTGACACATACTGGTTCCACAATGGTGAGTAGATAGTCGATAAATCTTCATTAAGTGTTCTTGAATAAGATTTGTTGGTCTCACATTAATCAAAATCTGTACATTGCCTCCTCAGGACAACAAGTGGTTAGTGACTACACCCACAAGATAGTAGTTAAAGAGGATGGTACCCAGTCCCTGATTATTGTCCCAGCCATGCCACACGACTCTGGAGAGTGGACAGTCATCGCTCAGAACAGAGCTGGACGTTCGTCTATCTCCGTCACCCTCACTGTTGATGGTATGACTGCAGTTCATCCTGGAATTTTTGTGAACACTGAGCTTTTTTGAAAAGGGACTTGCAAACTTTGTTCATTTTAAGGTGTCTTAACAATTTCTTGTCTTTTTTTTTTTCAGCTAAAGAAACTTTGGTGCGCCCCCAGTTCATTGAGAAGCTGAGGAATATCAGTGTAAAGCAGGGTACTCTGGTTGAGTTGGCTGTCAAAGCCATTGGAAACCCCCTGCCTGATATTGTCTGGCTGAAAAACAGTGACATTATCACCCCACACAAACACCCAAACATAAGGTATGTTTGATTTTGATTTCACATATAATAAAGTAATTAGATTTTTCAATTACCTAAAAACTGACTAGTCAAGTACCCATTCCAAAGTATTTATCAAAGTAAGACCCAAATGTTGAAGATATTCTGATATGATATATCTATTTTCCAGGGTGGAAGGAACCAGAGGAGAGGCCAAATTCCAGATTCCCTCAGCAGCTGGCTCAGACAGCGCCTGGTATACAGCTACAGCCATTAACAAGGCCGGCAGAGACACCACTCGCTGCAGAGTCAACATTGAGGTGGACTATGTTGAACCTGAACCAGAGAGGAAGCTCATTATTCCCAAAGGAACCTACAAAGCCAAAGAGATCACCCCTCCAGAGGTGGAGCCCCTTCATCTGCGATATGGTCAAGAGCAGTGGGAGGAGGGCGACCTTTACGACAAAGAGAAGCAGCAGAAACCACAGTTCAAGAAGAAGCTGACCTCTGTCCGAATGAAGCGCTTTGGTCCAGCTCATTTTGAGTGCAGACTGACCCCTATTGGTGACCCCAACATGGTAGTGGAGTGGCTGCATGATGGCAAACCTCTGGAAGCTGCTAATAGGTTGCGCATGGTCAATGAATTTGGCTACTGCAGTCTTGACTATGAAGTTGCTTACGCCAGAGACAGCGGTGTCATCACCTGCAGAGCCACCAATAAGTTTGGAGTCGACCAGACCTCGGCCACTCTCGTTGTCAAAGATGAGAAAGGCCTTGTTGAGGAAAGCCAGCTTCCTGAAGGCAGGAAGGGAGTGCACAGAATGGATGAGATCGAGCGCATTGCTCATGAGGGAGGACCTGCAGGAGTCACCACTGATGAAGAAATAGAGAAGACCAAACCTGAGATTGTCCTTCTTCCTGAACCAGCAAGCGTGCTGGAAGGCGACATTGCACGATTCCGCTGCAGAGTGACCGGCTATCCAGCACCCAAGGTTAACTGGTACCTCAATGGGCAACTCATCCGCAAAAGCAAGAGATACAGACTTCGTTATGATGGTATTTACTATCTGGAGATCACTGAAATCAAATCCTATGATTCAGGAGAGGTCAAAGTGGTGGCTGACAACATCCTGGGCTCAGCTGAGCACACCGTGAAACTGGAGATTAAGCAGAAAGAGGACTTCAGAACTCATCTGCGCCGAGCCCCAGAGGGTAAGGCAGCTGAGGCACCTGAACCTGGAAAAATGCCCTTTGAGGTGGTGAAGGTTGAGAAGCCCACAGAGGACTCTCAGCTGAAAGAGGTAGTCAAGCTCAAGAAGGCCCAGAGAATCGTCCATGAGAAAGCAACGGAGGAGACAGAGGAGCTGAGGAGCAAGTTCAAGCGCAGGACAGAGGAAGGATACTACGAGTCCATCACTGCAGTGGAGCTCAAGTCACGTAAGAGGGACGACTCCTATGAGGATCTGCTGAAGAAAACAAAGGAGGAGCTGCTTCACCACGCCAAGGAGAAGGAGGAGGCTGAGAAGAAGAAGGAGGAAGAGCGCCGCAAAATTACAGTTAAACCTTTACAACCAGAGCGGGTCAAGCTTTCCGCCAGCATGGAAGCTCCAAAGATCCTGGAGCGTATTACCAGCCAGACAGTCGCACTGGGCGAAGAAGTCAAGTTCAGAGTCAGGGTCGTTGGTAGACCAGATCCTGAGTGCCAGTGGTTCAAAAATGGTGTTCAGCTAGAGAAGTCTGACCGTATTTACTGGTACTGGCCTGAGGATCACGTGTGTGAACTGGTGATCAGAAATGTCAGGGCCGAGGATTCTGCCAGCATCATGGTTAAAGCTTTGAACACCGCTGGAGAAACTTCCAGCCACGCCTTCCTGCTGGTGCAAGGTAACACAATCCTGGACCTTCCACAACTCGCATGTATTTCTGCATTTGAATTGTTTGTTTTGTAATGATTTTGTCATTGTTGTTGCAGCAAAGCAAGTCATCACCTTCACACAGAAGCTGGAGGATGTGAACGCCAAAGAGAAGGACACCATGGCTACTTTTGAGTGTGAAACCAATGAGCCTTTTGTCAAAGTCAAATGGCTGAAGAATAACAAGGAGATCTTCTCTGGAGACAAATACAGGATGCACTCTGACAGAAAGGTCCACTTCCTGTCTGTGTTGGTGATTGACATGAGGGATGATGCAGATTTCACCTGCATGGTTGTAGATGAGGACATCAGTACAACTGCCAGGCTCAATGTTGAAGGTGGGTTGGCAAACAATCGATCAAAGAGAACAATACCTAAACATTATGTCTTTTTTCAGAGCTGATGGTCATATTGGACCACATGTTACTACATATCTGAAGATCTGGCTCCTAGGGTTGAGGTTCAGTCGCATATAAACTGAAAAATTCTCTTGCAAGTCTCTCCAGTCACGCAGGAAATGTTATTAAATCTTTTTGTGTAGGGTTGACTTTTGCATGTAGATGCTATTTAGATATTTTTTCTAAATAGCACCAGTAAATACAGCACATCAGCTCAAGTTTACGAAGCACACCATGCTTTAATCTGCAAAGGTCAGACCCTCCATTTCTTAGCAGTGAGCAGACACATCACTGATACATAATTACCAAATACAAGGAAAGTGTCCTTGTTAAGGCAGTAAAACCTGCTCCCCGATGCCTTTGCTGTGGTTGGGTGAGGGTTAACATGGTTCTCTTTCATTACTGTGTCCAAGTGTAAGATTGATTTTTCATTTGAACTGTAGCCGCTGACATACCGTCTGTATTATGTGATTAACAGGAGCCCCTCTGGAGATCCTGAAGCAGCTGGAGAGCACTGAGGTTCCTGAGACATACACTGGAGAGTTTGAGTGTCTTGTGACCCGTGAAGATGCTGAGGGCAGCTGGTTCTTTGGAGAAAAGATGCTCTCTCCCAGCAGTAAATACATCATGTCCTCCCGCCGTGGAAGACACACCCTGTCCGTCAAAGATGTCAAGAAGGAGGACCAGGGAAAATATACCTTCAAAGTGGGCGAGTTCAAGACAAGTGCTTCACTGAAGATGAAATGTGAGTAACGGGAGTAACTAAAACATTTGACCTTTTTTAGTAAATTTGGAGCTTCTGGCTAACCCAGATCTCATTGATCCATCCAAAAATGTATTTCTGGTGTCAGAGTTTATGTTCCCTTGAGGATGGCTCCTAATGGGGTTTGTGAACGTCTGAACTTTCCTCTATCACTTCACTCCTGCTCATCAGAGGATGAATCCTTTAGAGTTTGGACATTGCATATGCTTTCTTAGCACCACAAAGTAGCTCATAATCTAAAGGCTGTAAAGACAGCTGAATCATCATATTGTTGTTTGGTTTGTCCACCAGTTTCAGAAATTGGTGTGTCAAGAATCCTGCAGCCTGTAGGGAGCATGAGTCTGACTTTGATTCTGGTTGTTCTTGGTGCATAACATGTTTTTCTAGATGCTTCAGTGCGTCCAGTGACCCTGGTGCAGCCTCTGACGGACCTGACCGTCTGCGAGGGCGACATCGCTCAGCTGGAGGTCAAGTTCTCCCAGGAGAATGTTGAAGGAACCTGGATGAAGAACGGGGAGCCAGTCACCGCCTCCAACCGTGTGCACATTGTTATCGACAAACAGATTCACAAACTTCTGATTGAAGACACCACCAAGGACGACCTTGGAACCTACTCCTTTGTGGTTCCCGATCAGGCAATCACAACCTCTGCAAAGCTGGTCGTCCAGAGTAAGGCACCTTAGATGCATGTCGTTTTTTTCAAAGGATGTCGTGTTCCAAAAGAAAAGGTTACAAACTTTTTATCTTGTCTTGCAGCAATTGGCATCTTGATCCCTCTGAAGGACACTAGCGCCGTTGAGGGCACCAAGGCTGTTCTGGAGGCCAAGATCTCCGCTCAGGATATCAGTTCAGTCAAATGGTACCACGATGACAAACTGCTGGCACCCAGCGAACGAGTCCAGATGGTGGCCAAGGGAGCCAAGCAGCGTCTGGTCTTCAACAGGACCTATGCCTCTGATGAGGGACACTACAAACTGGTTGTTGGCAGAGCTGACACCAGCTGCAGATTTTCTGTCCAGAGTAAGTTGCACCAGGATAAAGAGAATAATAAATAAAGATACTTGCCAGTTATTGAAACTTGACAGTAAGGGGAACATTCACACAGGCCCAGAATAGAGAAAAGTGACTCTAAAGTCACATTGTTGAGATAATGACATGAAAACTTGACATTCATCTGCTGGCTTCAATCTGACCAATCACACTGCAGTATTTATAAAACATAGTTTTTTGTAAAACTTGAACATAATCCAAACAGACCTAACCTGACTTCACCGTTTGATCCCACCTGCACAGCTGTCTGCACAAACAACAGGCTCAAACAGCTCCATCTGCTGGACACTTTCATAATTCCATTTTCTTTGAAAGAGAGTGTCAACATTAAATAAAACAAAACTGATATTTTTGATTGGTAACATTTATCATCATGAATATGAAAGACTTAATCTTGTTCCATCCCAACAGCTGTCCAGATTGTGAAACCGATTAAGGATAAGCAGTGCTCTGAGTCTGAGAACGTCACGTTTGATGTTGAGGTTTCTCACCCGGGCATTGACGCCTTCTGGACCTTCAAGAGGCAGCCTATCAAAGCAGGCCCCAAGTACAAGATGGAGTCCCAGAACAAGCGCCACACCCTGACTGTCTTGAACTCAATGAAGGATGCGGAGGGCGAGTACATGTTCGCGGCTGGTGAGAAGATGTGCGCTGCTTCACTCACCGTGAAAGGTAAGCTGGGCTCTGTTTGGTAAATTAAGTTTTAACTAGGTCATGTAGCGACCTCAGTGACGACAAACACAATTTAGTGCCGGCTGAACAAAGCATTAACTGACTGAACAATCTCCTGTCACCAGGTGGTGCTATCAAGAAGCCCCTGCATGACTTGGTGGTGGCTGACTCTCAGACCGCCATACTGGAATGTGAAGTAGCCAACCCGTCTGCTGAGGGCAGGTGGCTGAAAGACGGTAATCCTGTTGACTTTAATGAGAACACACTGAGCGAGGTGGACGGCGCCGTCAGACGCCTCGTTATCCTCATCACCAAAGCCACCGATGTCGGAGAGTACACCTACCAGGTCGCCACATCCAAGACCTCAGCCACCCTTAAAGTCGAGGGTAGGTCTTGATTTATGAAGGACATTTTTTTAAAGGAGTTATTGAAGGACAGATATTTTAGGAATTGAAATTTAACTACAGAATTAGATATGAAGTAATGAGCATTTGTTCAACAGCAAATCTTTTTAATGTGTTGAATCTATGGTAGTTTGTTTGTCCTAGATGTATCATAGAACGATAAATCTGACCTTGGAAAGAAAACCCAGCTGACTCTTGGATGGAGTGTATTTCTATTCTTTTGAGAAGGGGTAGCTGTTACTTCCTGTAAGCGTAGCTCATCACAAGAGAAATTAAACTTATCTTGGACACCAAGAGACGGTCAGCTGGCTAACCAGCATGTTTCTCAAATGGCTCGAGTATTTCCTCAAAATTACTGAATTTAAATTGAGATTTACCTTACTAAAATTTGGTTTGCTGGCAAATATCCATCCATAGCAATGACTACTGTAAACCCCCAAGTTGGGAGGAACTGATCCGATCTGAACTGACACTGACACAACAATTACCAAACCCTGGCTTAATGTTTGTCCCCACAGCTGTGAAGATCAAGAAGACCCTGAGGAACCTGACCGTAGTCCAGACTCAGGAAGCAGTTTTCAGCTTGGAGCTGACCCATGAGGACGTGAAGGGAGCGCAGTGGATCAAGAATGGGGTTGAGATCCAGCCCAGCAATAAATGCAAAATCACTGTTGAAGGCACAATCCACACCCTGAGGATCAACAACTGCAACACACAGGACGAGTCTGTTTACTCTTTCAAATTGGGAAAACTGTCTGCAAACGCCAGACTGAACGTTGAAAGTAAGTAACCACAACTCAAGATTTATGATGTAACTCCTAAGAATTAAAACCCCAACATGCCCAGAGGTACAGTTGCAAATATAACAGTTACACAGCAATTTGTAAAACTACAGTATTTTCTTCGCAGCCCTTAAGATCCTGAAGAAGCCAAAGGATGTGACATCACTGTTGGGTGCAACTGCTGTATTTGAGGTGGGCATCTCCGAGGACAACATCCCTGTTAAATGGATGTTCAACAACACAGAGCTGAGGCAGGACGAGAACTACAGGATGCTGTCCGAGAAGAAGACCCACAAACTAATGGTCCACGACGTGGACAGCAGCAAAGAGGGAGAGTACACCGTTGTTGTGGGCCACCTGCATTGCAGCGCTCACCTCTTCGTCGAGTGTAAGTGTTAGCATAGCACGGCACATTAGCAGTCTTTGAAAATGTAAAGTTAAATTGTGTTCAGGAACATTACTGTTGCTGAGCCGAGAGTTTATAGGTATCAACCACCAGTAAGATTAGTGTTCAGATTCAAGGGACACCAACACCACTGTGGTGCTACTTCTGTGAACTACTTGGTGCGACCTGAACAACTTCTGAAAAAGCCTATTTTTCAGAAATGTATCTGCACATGACTGTCAAGCATAAATGCAATGCTGTTTCTTAGCTACCGAGCCCAAAAACTAGCTCAGTATTGCTTCCTTTAGAGTTCTAACTAATACACAAATACTTAACTAAAATAGCAAAATAACACGAGGTTAAACTGGTCAGTGTTAGCTAAAGTGCGTGAGGTGTTAGCCTGTTGGACAATGCTTATATTAATGATTGCCCATGTAAAAATGTATACTGCATAAGAAATTCACAAAAGATAAAAATTAGAAATATTCTTCCTGTTTTTCTGAACTGAGACTGACATTTTCTCCTCACATTGTCCCCTCAGCCCTGCGAGTCACCAAACCCCTGAAGAGCGTCCAGGTTGCAGAGACCCAGGTGGCCACGTTCGAGTGTGAAGTTTCTCACTTCAACGTGCCGTCCACCTGGCTGAAAGACGGCGTTGAGATTGAGATGAGCGAGAAGTTCAGGATCGTGGTTCAGGGAAAACTGCACCAGCTGAAGATCATGAACACCAGCAGGGACGACTCGGCAGAGTACACCTTCATCTGTGGGAACGACCGAGTCTCTGCTACGCTCACCGTTAACCGTAAGCTCTTGCTTTTAGTTTATATCACTGATGGCAACATCGTATTATTTGTAATTAAAGATATTAAGGGAATTATTATTCTATAGTTTTTGGACTGTCTATCTACACTTTTGTCTGAAAGGCATCTGATTGTTTTGGTGACCTTGTTTTCCAGCCATCCTCATCACAACAATGCTGCAGGACCTGAACGCTCAGGAGAAAGACACCGTCACGTTTGAAGTGAACATCAATTACGAGGGAATCACATACAAGTGGCTGAAGAACGGCGTGGAGATCCGGTCCACAGACAGATGCCAGGCTCGCTGCAAACAGCTGACTCACACTCTGAGCCTCAGGAACGTTCACTTTGGAGACAGCGCAGAGTACACCTTCATGGCTGGCTCCGCAGTCACTACAGCTAAACTCTATGTTGAGGGTAAGAATTATTCATTCATTCATTTTTCCTTTTAGCTCTAATTTGGTCTCCACCAGCTCTGGACTGTGTAACTGCAAGAAGCTTCTGTTCCCTTACCAACTGTGCCTTCTCAACGTTAAGATAACGCTTCAATCACCAGAACCACATGAGGACTTCCCCAATGACCACTGACTACCTCCATTTGATTCATTAACCTCAAACATACTGATACATATGGGTTTTGTTTTTTTATCTGCTGCAGCCCGTGTGGTTGAATTCACCAAACACCTGAAGGACCTGAAGATCACAGAGAAGAAGAGAGCAACTTTTGAATGTGAAGTTTCTGAACCGAACATCCAGGTGATGTGGATGAAGGACGGTCAGGAGCTGGAGATGTCCGACAGGTACAGCGGTTACTAAAACACTTTCACTAATCCATACCAACATCAAGAAAACGTAGAAATTAAGAAAACCTCTTGATTAACTTGTTACGTTACCTTTGTTTTTTTTCCTGCAGATATAAAATGAGCTCGGATAAATTTGTGCACCGCCTGGTTCTGCCGTCAGTCCGCATGTCTGATGCCGGAGAATACACCGCCGTGGCCGGATCGAGCATGTCTAAGGGCACCCTGACAGTTGAGGGACGGGACATTAAAATCTCAGAACCTGTTAGCAGGAACATCACTGTGAGTTCATTTAATTATCTACAAATAAATGTTTTGCCTCCATTGTTTAATTTTACATCAGTTACAGAGTTAAAGATTTTCTTTTGTGACTTTTTTAAGTTCTTTTTTTCTGATTTTTGATTAATTAGAGGATTTTTGTGTAATCTCCATATTTTAAATCTTTTACTTTAATGTAAAAGATTTAGTTGGTTTGGTAGTAGATCAACGATTCCTTCTTTAAGTTCAGTATCTTTGAGGAGACCAAATAAAACAGTAATTTGATGTGATGAAAATAAAATGTCCTGCAGGTGACTAGAAGCAGATTTTGTCAAGAACTCCTGTCAATACTGGAATGTCAGTTTATGGTATTAAACCTACTGTACATCTGTTTTTTCAGGTTGTTGAGAAACAAAGAGCAACCTTCGAGTTTGAGGTGAATGAGGAAGACGTGGAGGGTCACTGGCTGAGGAACGGGGTGGAGATCCAGTTTTCTGTGGAGGAGAGGTTCAGCTCTGCCACTATCAGGAAGCTGCACCGCCTTACCATCTCTGAGACCTACAGGAGCGACGCCGGCGAGTACACCTTCATGGCTGGCAGGAACAGGAGCACCATGAACCTTCATGTCAGACGTAAGAGACCTGCTGAATGCACGTCAAACACTGTCACTACAGATATGAAAGAAACAGGGCAGAGGAGGTAACACCTTTGATGTACCAGGGCTGTTCAAAAGCATCTCTTCTGCTCTCTGTCTTCAGTGCCGGAGCCTCCTCAGATCGTCCGCCAGATGGAGCCCCAGACAGTGATGTCAGGTAGATCAGTTCGCTTCAACGTACAGGTGAGCGGCCTCCCTCAGCCTCAGGTGACCTGGTACAAAGACTCCCAGGCTCTGTCCACCAGCTACAAGTGCAAGTTCCTCCACGACGGAGAGGACCACGCACTGTTGCTACTCGAAGTCTTCCCCGAGGACGCTTCCATCTACAGCTGCGAGGCTAAGAACGACTACGGAGAGGCGACAAGCTCCGCCTCTCTTATTGTGGAAGGTATTTTTAAAAATGTATTATGGCAACTTCTCAAGACTTTGAAATCTGTTTTCGCTCTTTTCTTTTTTTGTCTTACACGAGAATTTTGTTGCTGAAAGGCAGAGTCCAGATTTTACAGTTCAGAATTTGTATTGAAAATGAATATATCTATGAATATATCCATAATGAATATCATGTCTTCATTAACTTTTTTAGTCTAAATCCAGAACTGGAACCAAACAATGTGTAGTATTTAAACTTGATGAATAACTTGATTGATTACCAGTACTGTCACTGATATTGTTTTTGTTATCTTGTCTGTCTTCCAGTTCCTGAGGTGGTTGAAACCGTGACTCAGGTGTCTCCTCCAGTCCTCATCACTCCCATGCGGGACGTCCTGGTCAAAGAGGGACAACCTGCCCAGTTCCAATGGACCGTTTCTGGGGAAGGTAGTGACCACTGCTTGCCTTATTCTGGTTGTTGGCTTGAAAAATAAGTACCGTCACATTCCAATGTCCAGAACTTCGGATAATCATTTACCATAAATTATCTTAATAGGTGTTCAGTCATATAACTATAAATGCCATATTGGGGACGGTAAGACTTATTCTTACTTCTTGATGGAAAGCACTATAATTCTTGTTTTTCAACCAATTGCAATGAGTTGTTTTTATATTCACAGGTTTATAATCTATGTGTAGTTGAAAAAAAAAGTTGTGTCATGTTTATCAGGCATGGATTTGTCTATTTTCTTTGCTTAATTCTTGTGGAGACGTCCCTGTATAATGTAATTCATTGTGGAAGTAGACAATTTTTCACCTTGCTAGCACGCTATCTAGCTAACAACATCTGCGAGTTAACTCCTTGATCATGATAGAATATAGTTATTTTCACCACTGCTCATTTTAGAAAGAAAACCTGTTTTTTGTTTATTATCAAATGGACAATAGAGCATAGATGATTGTTTCTGGCTGCCAGAGATCAGCATTAGCTAACGTTGCTAGCATGCTGACATTAGCAAGCCTTTCATTTTCCTAGGATGGTGCCTGGATGCAGACAGAAACCGATCTAAACATTATATAATCTAAACAAAAAATATGTTTTCTTGCAGTGTCCTTTCTAAAACGAGCAGTGGTGAAAGTTACTATATTCTGTTGTGATCAAGGAGTTGATGATTAGCAGACAGTGTTACCTAGCTAGTATGCTAGCTATTTGAAAAATACTTAGATATCAAATAAGGCTATATTATGTAGATGGGTTTACAGTTTTATTTTAATTATTTTCCACTACGTCAGTAAATCAGTCCTTGTCGGTCTAACAAACACTTCTCTACTGAGCGTCGAGGAGTGATTATAGCCTAAATATTGAGATTATAACTAACTGAAGACAAAACTTTTTCTATGTTTCTACATGTAGATCATAAACCCTTAAATAAAAAAAGACTTGTTGCGATCAGTTCAGAAATATAAATGTTATAGTGCTTTTTATACAGAAAAACTGCAGCTCCTGTTTATTGTCATTTGTTTACAGCCGAGTCTTGCCCTTTCCAATATGGCAACACTGCTGTTGTACAATCCAGCGGCCAATGAGTTATCTATGTTTCTGTAGCTATGTGTTCAGTTATCAATGGTTTAATATGCAGTTATTAAAAACACCTGTGATCGTGCCTGCAAATGAATTGTGTGTCTCCAGACCTGCAGATTTCTTGGTTCTGTGGTGACAAAGAGATCAGACAGACAGACATCTTCAGGATGTCTCATTATGGTGACACCTGCCAGTTGGACATTTCCAGAGTTCTCCATAACCACGAAGGAGAGTTCTCATGTGTTGCCTCAAATTCGGCAGGAATGGTCACATGTGCTGCGACTCTGAATATCGATGGTGAGTTATTCACACGTTCACGTGTCAGTTACGTTCAGACGAGTACGAACTGCATGTTCTTCAATAGTCAAACTAAGATCTTCTCTGAGAGCATGTTTTAACTGAGGATGCTCTGATTATCAGCACAGTATTTAACGTGTTGGTTTCCATTGTGGCATCATCTGTTTTCTTTTAGATACAAAATCCGAAATTCTCTGTCAGCACTAGTAGCTGGTTAGCTAACGGAGGCCCTCCAGTATGGGTTCATACCGATGGGTAGTTGATCAATCAGAGCATCCTAATCTGTAAATAGGGCACATACTTTTAGGTGTCAGAGACTCCCCTGTCCCTCCAGCATCAAAACCTAAGGTGCATGCATCATACTCACTTGTCAGATATTCAGTGAAGCATGTTTTGGCACAAGAAGACTACTTTACCTGAGCCAGTAGAAGTCGGCATGGTTCATCAGGGGGATGTTGCAGAGTTTCAGGCATGTGTTCTGTATGACAGAACTCACTGCTGGTTGCACAAAGGTTTTAGGATCACGCATTTTCAGAAATTCTCTTGTTTTCTGTCTTCTTCAGAGTCAGACGAGTGAATATCAGTCATATCAGTAGTGTTAAGCCTAGTGTAGCACAAAGACTGGAAGCAGGGTGAAACTTGCAACGAGACGCGTTGAAACAGGCAACTCCTTGCAATGCGCCGTTCTGCAATGTTCCAAAAACCTGCAGATTTACACCAGTGCACCCAGATGAGACCATTGATCAAAACATGAATTGTCAAAGTCTGATTCCATCAACATCTCCACGGCTTGTGCAACCGTATATTTTTCCGTCAGTGCCGTCATTTTTGTGCAGCTTACAAGCTACTACATCTTCTCCCGGTATCCAGCAGATCTTCTTCTTCGTTTGTTTTTGGACTCGGTAGTGTGGTTCTGTTTCACAAGATGTTTACCAGCACCTCCTGTCTTATAACAGTGAAAACAGGGATTGCTGGAATATCTCATCAATGGAAGGGATAGTTTTAATTACTTTGACACTGTTTTGTGTAGCTTAGCACAAACACACTCCTACTACAGCTAAAAAAAAATCCATCATCCTAAACACGTCCCTTGTTGTGCTGGATATTATCCTTCTCCTCTGACTCTGACAAAGGCAACAAACAAGACAATTTCTGATGATAAACTCACTCAGCAATTATTAACAGAGGAATGGCCTTTTAAGTTTTAATTAGTGTGTCTTTATTTTTGTGATACTGACTGTGAAAAATAGGCTGATTTAAAATCAAGACTGAGACCATCTGTTCTCAGACCTTGTGCAACCAGGCCCTGGATTTGTAAGAGTTTGTCAGTTCAGCCTCCCGAAGGTCTTTAATTTTTTTCATTTTTAATGATAAGTCAGTAAAACTAACTGCAGTTAATAGTTTCTGTGAGCATGCAGGACAGATATATGTTTTAATCAGCTGATAGCCCTGTGTTGCCTCACTGTGAATACAGGTAATAACTTAAAGGTTTCTCTTACATGATGCATGACTGTATTCTCTTCCTACATGGATGGCTCTTAACAGCAGGAACGTCTTTATTCTGAGACATGAATCTTTATTTCAGAGAAATGCAGCATGGTCACAACAGAGCTGAACTTTGAAAAGTTCTCATGCTCGCGCACGGACATAAGCTATAGCTGTTTTTTTGTGGTTTTTTTTTCATTTTCAATTTTTTAAATGTTGGCTCCAGGGAAGCATGCATGACTGACAGTGGAAACCAGCCGCTGTCCACTCCCTCACTGATCATGACTGATCCTCAACACTCCACTCCGGCTGCACTCTTGGCAAACAAGCTGTGACACAAGTAACCTGAAGAAGTCAGCAGAATGATGTGTTGACCTAATTCTTCTACTCTTTCTTACTGCCCAGATAAAAAAGCCTTAGCTAGTGTTTGGAGCACTGGTGCTGAGAGTCAGCTCAGTCAGAGACTGGAGGCTCAGAGCGAGAGTTTCAGCTCTCGGTTGGTGGGACAAACAGCTCACAGTGTTGAGTTTACTGAGATGGTCTCTGAGAAGTCCTCCATGTCTTGGCGGGCGGTTGAGATTCAGATGGAGAACGTACGCTCGATGGAGATGAGCTCCAAGAGCAGTTATGGTATCAAACTCTCAGCCAGACCCAAACTGCTGATGGAAATGAGCGACGTCCAGGTGAGAAGCGGCGAGATGGCCAAGTTCAGCTGCTCTTTTGACGGGCAACCCTTCACTGGGGTGATTTGGGATCATAATGGCCAGAGTCTGGTGGACACGGAGCGGGTGAGGAGCTCTCAGATTGGGGGGTTGTTGTCCCTGGTCATCCAGGGTGTTGGCGTGGCAGACCAGGGTATTTACTGCTGCACTGCCACCAACCAACACGGCCAGAACAGCTCCTCCGCCAAGCTCACTGTTGAAGGTGGTTAATTTTTCTTTTTTTTATCAGTCTGTCTCTCCACTGGTCCATCCAACCTCTCCACCTGCTCCTCCTGCTTCGTCCCCTCCCCTCATTATTTAATATTTCCTCTTAGCCTGTAACCCCTTCAAATGTAATAGAATAACATGTTTATTCTCCTCCTGCTGTTGCCAGCTTTGCCTCGCTAACCTCATTCCTCCATCCTACTAACCCCTTTAGTGTTTCCAGTCATAGCCTTATACACTCTGACCCCTAATTACTCTCCCTAACTTTATTCTCACCCAGCTAAAGAAGCAAATCCCAAAGCAGAAACCCCAATCCCTTCCGATTCTGTACGTAAAGTGTCTCAGACAGACAGGGAGACCAGTAGAGATCCCCTTGACCAACACAAGCAGGAGGCGGTGGAGAAGCCGGGACCATTGCCTCCATCCTCCCAGAGACTTTACAGCCTCATCAGCCACCTGTATTTCCCTGATGTCTTTCCTCATGACAAGCGAGGTCAACGCCTCTCCAGCTGCCCCGAGTTCCTGATCAAACTCCCCCCCGAGCTGCTGACCAGAAACGGAGGCGGCGGCTCCTTGTATTGCGTTATGAAGGGGGTTCCCACACCATTTCTCATTTGGTTTAACAACCGGTTGAATGTTGAGGACTCTGTGTCTTACTCTCTGAAACATGATGGCCCCCTGTGCTGTGTAAATGTTAACAATGTGGGAACCGGACAAGGGGGCTCTTACATTTGCAAAAAAGTCAGCTCAGCCGGGGATGCTGAGTGCAGCACAGTGACAGGTTGGCATCTGCATGCTTTTGGTCCTTCTGCTCGCTCGGGCTTTCTTTTGGCCCACCACTCATTCACACTGCTTTCCCACACAGCCAGCAGAGGCACACTTCTTTACACGGCGACACCACTTCTTCTACAAGGTTTTAACCATTGTCTTTAGGAGAGGTCACTGACCTTTGTGTCCTGCTTTACTGACCAAAACACCAAAAGAGATCAAGAGAAAGGGACACTCATATCACTGAGCATTTTCCAAAAAAGCCAGAGGTGCTGCACACTAAAGTCCAGAAGGAAGCATGCCAGAATACCAGTTGAGAAAAAAAAACAAAAAACGGATGATATGGATGCACGACCTGTCACTGATTCTAACAGTCTTGCACCATATTTATGTTCAGTTTTGAGAGTGTTTTTAATTTGAAAACATCTGTGTCTTTACAGTAACTGCCGATGAGCAGGAACCTATGGTTCGGGTCCAGGAGGAAATTAAAGGTAAATATTGTTTCATGTCAGCAAGGATGTCTTTGTCCGTGACGTAGACGTTTTTTCAAATGGCCTTTTTAATGTTTTTTGTGTCTTTTGTCTTTAGGTTGTGCTGATAAGAAATTCACGTTTTATTTATTTAAATTGAATTTTCTGTTTCAGCATGTTTCACTTGTATTTGGATTTACTTTGAATTTCATATATTTTAGGCTCCTGCAAACTTTTTTCCAAAACATACAAAATTTAACAAAATGTATCAGTGTCAAACCAGATTCTTAACTTAGGAGATTTTAACTGCATCTCATACCCCTTTTCCACCAAAATGGAACAGGTTCCATTCTGGTTCCCGCACCTAGTTTTGAACCGTAGAAACACTTAACCAAAAAATGAACTACTCAAAAAATGGTTCTCAGCTGGAACCAAAATATAGCAGGTTTTCTGTAACCTGACAACGTGTCATCTCATATTGCTGCTTTGTCAGTGGACTTTCACATCCACATGTTAGATGCTAGGTATCCTCCTGTGTCCGCTGTTGACGTTCCAGGATGCTGCTACCAACGCTGGGATGTCCAAAAAAGCATGTGGTTAGGTTTATGTCTTTGGAATGTGGGAGGAAGCTGGAGCACCTGGAGGAAACCCACACTGACAAGGGGAGAACATGCAAACTCCACACAGAAGGGCTCCTCCAGCCTGGGTTCAAACCCCCTACCCTGGGTTTGATCCAGGAACCCTTTTGCTGGGAGGAGGCAATGCTAAACCACTGCACCACCGTGCCCCAGAGCATACAGTGGTCTCAATCATAGTTGGTCCCTGCTTGTTTTTGGAAAAAAAAAACAAATCTCTGTAATAATAGAACAAAAGTTTGAAGGTAATCAATGCAACCCGCTACTACAGTTTACTTCTGTTGTTCATAGCCCTTCGTTGATGACACATCCTTCATTACAATGGTTCTGATCAAAACTGGTGGAAATGGTTTGCTAGATAGCATCAAGGTTCCAAGAGTCTTGAATGGAACAGGTTTAAGAACCAGAGCTTATCCGGTGGAAAGGGGGTATCAGTGTTCATTGGTGGACAGAGTCTGCTGACTCGTGGGTATCGGATATGATTTTTTGTTCTACCTTCCAAAATCTGAAAAAGTAACGGCATGTTTTGGAGAATGAACAGCAGTAATGTAAAGTATTTGCAACAAGTTGTAAATTGGCTGTTTGACTGACCTTACAGGCAAATATAACTCTGCCGTAGCTGCATACATTGTTCTGTTTTCAGATCAGCTGATTGTACTGTAGTTGGAGTGTGTGTCTCACTTTTACTTTACACTGTGATTATTCCGCTTAGCCTTTTCTAGCTCAACCGTCACAGTGGAAGAAGAAACCCAGGAGTCATACTACACTGGCCTAAAGTTTCCAGATAAAACCAGAACACTTGAACTCAAGCCAGAGTCCAAACGCTATTCCAGCACTTTGGAGAAGAAAAAAGAAAAACCAGTTTTCCTCAGCAAACTTTCTCCAGCAGCTGTGACTACTGGAGAAACTGCTACGTTTACCGTCAAAGTGTCTGGTTTCCCAAAGCCCACGGTTCAGTGGTTCCACAGTGGGCAGCTTATAACAAGTTCGTCAGTGTACACATTTGTGCACGAGCGTGATGAGTATAGCTTGATCATTAACAATGTGCGAAGAGAGTTTGAAGGACCGTACTCTTGTACTGTCAGCAATAGATTTGGCCAGTCGACTTGCACTTCTTATTTACATGTTCAAGTAAAGGAGCCAGAAAAGGAGGAAAAAATTGACAGCAGAAAGTTTGTACCAACTGGTAAAGCCCCAGAATTTACTAAAACGATTGAGTCTGTTCAGCTGTCTGAGGGAGGTCAAGCTTTCTTCAGGTACATTGTGACCGGAGATCCTCTTCCTGAGGTTCAGTGGCTCAAAGGCAGCTTACATGTTCAGCCTAGTGGGTTCTGTATCATTGTGAGCAACCCAGATGGATCCGGCTTCATTAATATTAAGAGTGTCAAACAAGAGAACAGAGGTGTCTACACCTGTAAGGCCTCCAACCAACACGGGGAAGCCTCTTGTACAGCTGAGCTGCTGGTTCTCACTGAAGTTCAGGAGGAGCAGACGATAGTTAAGAAGACAAAAGGTTTGAAAATATCAATGACCGAACAAACCACAGAGTCCAGATTACAGCAGGAAAGAACTCTGTCTGATCAGATGATTTATACCATTAGCACCGAAGACCGGCAGATTTTTCCCAGTGAGGAGGTGGGAACCCTCAGAGAGCTCGATATCTCTGCTGCCACGCTTCATCGAGAGCAGGTTACCCACCAGACTGCAGTACTGCAGTCTCATGAAATACAGGAGAGGGTGTCTGTGGCCCCCGCTCATCCACCTCAGGCTTCAGCTGTTCCTATGAAACAGCTTCACATGGCAACTTTTTTATCTTCAGTCCAGGAGAAACAAAAGATCACTGAGCAGCACTCTGAAAGGATTCTTAGCCCTGAGATTGTGGAACTGGAGTTAGCCAAAGAGCAGCCATCGAAGCTCATGTCGGCCACATCTGAAGAGGTCCTCCCACTCACCACAGTGAGAGCTGAGGCCTTGACAGACCGGGCTCCAGAGCATGTGAAGACTTTGAATGAACCCAGACAGCTTGTTAGCAGTCACCAAGTAGATTCCACTCTTTTCATTCTTGATGAACCTTTAGGCTTTACCCACCGGCCAGAGGAAGAGAGGAGTTTCAAAGTCACAGAGGGGGTTAAGATTTTATACTCGGCTCAGTCTACAGGGCAACTGCCAATCACAGAAAGACACTCTGAGCCTCTTCCGGCTTTAGATGCAGCCACTAAACCGTTGATTGAAAAAGAGCAAGCTAAGCCGGTGGTAGCACCACTTAATGAAACTAGAGTTACTCTATGCAAAGAGGAGGCTTTTGCAATACACAGACCAGAGCAGCAGAGCATCACACCACACAAAGACGTGGCCTGTAAGTCTGCGATAATGACTGAAGAGAAATATGAACTCCAGGGTGAACAGGCAGGACAGGTGCCAAGTATAGCATCATCTGTGCGTCTGCAGCCTCAACAAGAGGGAGAAAGACTGTTGAATCTGCAGGTTATCAGTGATCAGGATGTTTTACAGTCTGAGGGACGGTTCAGCAGTGAAAAGCCCTCAGCAGAGCAGGCAGAAGCCAGGAAGAGTCCAACTTTGTTGCATTCAGTGACTCAAGAAGACCAAATAACTGCAGTTTGTGAGGCAACTTCAGAGTTCTCAACAAAAACTGATACTATTTCCATCCAACCGAAAAAAGAGTTACCGCCAACAAAATACCTCCAGTCAGTTCATTCTTTATCCGTTTTACCAAAGGAGGGAATATTTACCATCACTAAACCTGACCAGCAGATGGCAACACAGAAACAGGAAAAGGCTAGAAGGCATGCAGCTACCTCAGAGGAGAGAAGGGAACTCACTGCTAATTACCACCAGGATCTCGATGTGTCAGTGACCGGGGTTCAGTCACAGCTTCGAACTGAGCCTAGGCCTTCCAGCATCCTCACAGTCTCCTCCCAACCAATGCAGCTGCCGAAAGAGATGCCTTTCAGTACCGAAGTCAAACAGCAGCGAGCCCTAGTCCAGAAAGAGGACTACTGGAATATCATGCATTCTCTGAACGTCACAGACACCCAGAGTTTGGAGGAGGGCCACACCAGTAGCCTTACAACTGATGAGAAATTCAAACCAGAGATGAAAATTGAGCCTAAGATACCCAAAAAACCTGTTTTTATAGAAGAGAAGGCAGTCGCCACAGAAAGCTGTACAATCTTAGAAGCTGCTGAGCAGGACTTTGCAGTCCAGATCCAGGAGGGCCAGTCAGTCAGACAGTCTGTGTTGCTCGAAGAAAAACAGGTCATAACGGGAGAGCAGTCAAGTGAGATACATAAATCTGAGGGCTCAACTGTCAGCGTCATGACACAGCCTAAACAAGTTCTGTTTGTTCACGAGTCTCAGGACTCTCTGACTCTACCTAAAGAACTCAACTTTGTCATCCAGATTCCCAAACAATCAAGTTTAAATATACGACGTCAGCTCAGAGACTCTCTTCAGTCTGCTGTGGCCAGCGAGCAGCCAGTGTTACTGGCTGATGTGGTAAAGGGTTTAGAGGCAGTGGAGGTACAGGAGGTGAAGGTTCAAAGAGAGCCCAAACGGCCCACATCTACATACCTGATCACAACACCAAGTGCCCCCTTGGAGATCACACTGTCTTTTGAAGGTAAATACCCTCAGACAGCTGACCTCAGGTCTGAACTCCAGGTAGCTCTTCATACTATGGTATTCCAGGAGCAGCAAAGTCTTACCTCAGAGCAGCCAGGCACCATGCAGATTGACAGGCCTCAGAAAGCACTAGTCAGATCAGCGCCGTCCAAAGAGGTGTTGTCATCTGTGGTGGACACTTTGATAGTGGCAGAGAGTGCAGTTGGGTTTCCTCATGCTGTGTCTCAGTCTGCTGCTATTAAAACTGAAGCTAGCGCTTCCTTCCAAAGCGCGACAGTTCAGAGTCAGTCTGAGATTCATGAGGCTCGGCAGGTAAGCAAGAAGACAGTCAGGTCAGAGAGGGATTCCACCACTGCTGAGGTGACCGCCACAGTGCCTGTGGGTCAGGTTCTGGTTGAACAACGTGAGCACATTTTTGTCCACAGAGAAACCAGAGAGGAATATCTTTCAGAGGCAATCATGATCAGTGAGTCCTCTGACAGTCTGGTAGATTACCCTGTCGTCATCGATTCTCTGGAAGACATTTGCGTTGAGACAAATGGCAAGGCCATTTTCACCGCTACCATAAAGTATGTCACCAAAGTTAACTGGTTTTTCAACGGCCAATTGGTGAAATCTGGCAAAGAGTTCAAGTGTTCTAAAGACCACGACACATACACACTCGTAATCGACAAAGTTGACAAGGAGAAGCATCAAGGAGAATATGTCTGTGAGGCTGAGAATGAAGCCGGCAGGACTTCAACATCTTCAAGACTCACTGTGGTCTCAAGAGGTTTGATGATGAGCAGTTCTTTGATATCATCATCAACTAACTTCACACAATGATAAGATTTCCAAATCTGTTGTCTGCAAACCTCAACCATAAATTGGGACAGTGTAATAAGTAGAATGCCCATGAAGTCCTTTAAAAGACTGACGTGAAAACACAAAGTCTCTTAAGGCTTCTGTGGGTACTTTCCAAGCAAAATGTGGATGTTTGAGGTTTTCACAAGACAGCAGGAACATCCTCACTTTTCTTCAAGCTCATCCATTTGTCCACATATCACCCTATATCCATTTCTTTGTCCTTCCAAGGAATCACCTTTGACTCCATGTCCTTAAACATCCATCAGTCCTCATTCCTGGTCCATTCCTCTTTGCATGCTTTCTATTCTTATCACAGAATCCCTTCCATCACATCTTCAGCCTAAACCTAACAACATTTTTCTCCTCCACAGTCACAACAGGATAACTCAGTGTGTGTCACTTTCCATCCCAGGTTCAATACATCACCACCTCCAGTAGAAACAGTCCTGTACGTTAACAATTCAACTGCTTCTCTTTATTTACTTTGTCTTTTTCTTTCTCTCCAAAAATGCAGTGAAACCTGTGTTCAGGCACAGAATTGTCCCCATGGAGATCAACATTGGCAGCCCTGCCAAGTTTGAATGTGAAACTGAGGACGCTCAAAATGTGAGCTTCAAGTGGTTCAAAGATGGACACCCCATCAAAGAGGGTGATAAGTACAGGATTATCAGTCGCTTCTGCACTTCCTCTCTGGAGATTCTGAGCCCACACAAGGAGGATGGTGGTGAATACACCTGCAAGGCGTCCAATCGACATGGCAGTGATGAATGCTCTGCCTCTCTCAGCGTGACAGGTAAGAGCAGTGCATGTTTCCTTCGCCTTGCTGGTTTGAAGCTGTTATTGGTTTGTAATGAAACTTGAATCTTGAGCTGATTTCTTTTTCCTATGAGGTATCTTTTGCTGGTAGAAACTTTGCTTTTTCTTGCTTTTTTTTTAAGCTTTCTTGCTCTGCTGGTTTGTTTGTGTCTCATTGGCAGGTTTTGGTTAAGGTAAATGAACAAGGTCTAACATATTACTACTAATGTGTTTCTCTTTTTCTGAATTCTTATAGAGAAATCCCCCCCTGCCTTTATAACTAAACCTGACCCTCAGACTGTGTTTGTTGGAAAGAGGGCAGTGATACAGTGTGTAATATCAGGATCTGCTCCACTGAATGTTGTCTGGTTCAAAGACAACCAGGCCTTACCCCATGTGCCGACACACTACCAAACGTCTTGTGACAGAAATAAGCACACTCTTGAGATAACCAAACTTGAGCCAGCTGACAGGGGGCAGTATGTGTGCAAGGTGTCGAATAATGTTGGGATGGCTGAGTGCAGCACGGAGCTGCATGTTATTGATAAGCCCAACTTTGTAAAGCCCCTGGGTCCACTTGCTGCTGTGCTTGGAGGTCCTCTGCACCTGGAGTGCCAGGTGGATGAGGACACTGGAGTCACTGTCACCTGGACCAGAGATGGTAGAAAAGTCCATCAGTCTCCAGACTGTAAACTGTCTTTTGAGGATAAGACAGTCACTCTTGATATCCTAAAGACCACAATGAAAGATTGTGGAAATTATGTGTGTACGGTGACAAATGAAGCTGGGAGTGCAACTTGCTCCACCTCGGTGAAGGTACAAGGTAAGGGCTGTCTGGTAAATTTGGCTTTGGCTGCTGCAGCATTTGAAGCTGTTGTAAATCTGCAGTGCTGAAAATGAACATAACTGTATTCTGTGGTGTCTTAAAACTCTTCTCTTACAATGCTGGGTTGTTATTTTTAAATGACTTCATATTGGCTTCTTCTAACCACACACCTCTCCAGAGCCACCAGTCTTTGTAAAGAGGCTGGAGGCCACCACAGTCTGGAAGCAAGGCAGCACTGCTAGGCTGCAGTGCACCGTCAAAGGATCCCCTGAACTTCACACCACCTGGTTCTTTAACAACGATGAGTTGTCCGCTGGAGGCAGATATGACATTAGTATGAAGGATGGTGTCGCAACTCTTGAGATAAGGGATGTCATGTTGAGTGACACTGGGAACTTCACCTGTGAGGTTCTCAATGAGTCTGGCTGTGAAAGCTGCAGCACTAAAGTTACAGTAAAAGGTTTGTAGGCAAATTGATTGCAGAACCAAACTTTCAGAGTAAGAACTCGTCTAACTGAACTGTCTGTTCCCCCTCAGAACCTCCATCTTTCAGAAAGGAGTTAGTGCCTTTAGAGGCTGTCAGAGGATCTGTAGCTGTGTTGGAGTGTGAGATTGCGGGCTCTGCACCGTTCGAGGTGGCTTGGAAAAAGAATAAGAAACGTCTATCAGCAGATAAGAAGTACAGAATAGTGTCACAGGGAGCCCTGGCCTCTCTGGAGATCCACTCATTTGAGAGTGCTGATGCTGGTGAATATGAATGTGTCGTATCAAATGAGGTCGGGTCAGTAACCTCAACATCAGTGACTAAACAGAGAGGTTAGTGATAAAGAAATAACAGGATATAGTTAATTTACTGTTCTCCTCTTGGCTGTTGTTTATATCACAAATACTGTTATTTCAGAGCCACCTATGTTCTCAAAGAGGATCGAGAGTGCTACAGCAGTGTTGGGAAATACAGTGAAGCTACAGGGAACCCTTAAAGGCTCAGCTCCCATCACTGTTAAATGGATGAAAGATTCTGAGCTGCTGAGAGATGATGATCCAAATGTCAAAATGACATTTGAGAACAATGTCACCAGCATTTCCTTCTCCTCTGTTGAGATAAAACACGGCGGCAAGTACACTTGCCTTGCCGAAAACGAGGCGGGACAGCAGAAATGTGAAGCTGTCCTAACAATTCAAGGTTAGGAGATATTTTTTATTTATTCAAAATTTTTCAAAGTTTAGACGTAGATGATTTTAACTCTAAAGCTCATGTTGTATTTTAGAACCTGCTAGGATCATAGACAAAGCAGCATCCATCAGTGTGACTGCAGGAGAATCAGCCACGTTGGAATGCACGATTTCTGGAAGCCCAGAGCTCAAAGTGAAGTGGTTCAAAGATGGGAAGGAGATGATCAGTGGCCGTAAATATAAGATGACTGTGAAGGAGACCACTGCTATCTTAAAGATCCTTTCAGCAGATAAAGGAGACACCTCAGAGTACACAATGGAGGTGTCCAATAAAGTCGGAAAAGACCAGTGTACCTGCTCAGTCACTGTGATAGGTTAGTTTTAACCAAGAATTCCTCTTTAATGCCAACTTTAAGATTTGGCCCTTGGTCACGTATCTTGTGATATATTTCCTTACACAGATCGCGCAGTTCCACCATCCTTTACCAGATCTTTGAAGAAAGTGGACGGGAGTATTGGTAGTGATGTTACCTTGGAATGCAGAGTTGCCGGATCTCAGCCAATGGTTATTACTTGGTACAAAGACGATAAAGAAATCCACAGCGATGACAAACATAAAGTTGAATTCAGTGAATTTAAAGCCATTGTGACCATAACCAGCCTGGAACAAAGTGATGGTGGCGTTTATAAATGCCGGGCCTCGAATGATGCTGGAGTAAAAGAAACCAGTGGTACTTTGTCCATTAAAGGTCAGAAGAGTTGAATTACTTTACCTAGCTGAGATTGAATAAGAATTTGACATTACAAATAATCAGGAGCTATTGATAGGCTTTGAACATGTGTTCCTTTTCTTCCTAAATAACTCCAGAACCTCCAGTCTTCACGATGAAACCTGCATCCCAGGATGCTGCACCCGGATCAAATGTTGTGATAAAAGCAGTCTTTACAGGATCGGCTCCTCTGGTTGTTAAATGGTTCAGAGAGGAGAAAGAGATTTTCACTGGGGGAAAGTGTTTCATAAAGAAAGACTCCTCTTCAAGCTCTTTGGAGCTTCACTCAGTGAAATCCAGTGACTCTGCTAAATACACATGCCAAGTATCCAATGATGCTGGGAAGGTGGACTGCACTGCAGCCCTCTTTGTGAAAGGTGCTGTTTCATTCTTTCTTTTAAACACATGATTCACTCAACTGCTATTTTCTTTACTTAACCTCTTGTTTTTACTGTAATTGTTACTGTCAATTTACAGAGGCCCCAACATTTACAATGAAGCTTGAGCCCTCACAGCTGCTGAAATCTGGACTACCTCTGAAGTTGTCCTGCAAAGTGCAGGGCACTCCTGTTATTACCATCAGATGGTTTAAGAATGGCTCAGAAATCGTTCCAGACCACAGACACACAATGTCCTTTGACAGCTCAATAGCAACCCTGGATGTAGAGAACTGCTCTGTAGAGGACAGTGGAGATTATGTCTGTATGGCGTCCAGTGAAGCCGGCAAAGACCAGTGCAGCAGCACAGTAACAGTGAAAGGTTGGTTCAGTCTTTAGTCGTCCCCTACAGAGAGTTTACCCAGTTATTATTAGATAAACTTTAGACTGTTGACATGAAGTCTGGTCCACATTCTTCTTTAACGTGTTCAGTGCTGCCAACATTGACAGAAAACCTTAGCGCCATGAAGAGGTTATATTTCTGTCCACCACTGCAAAGACCTGAGGTTTGACTCATTGTTGTAGTTGCAGTAGTTTGCCGAGCAAAGATCTCTGAACAACCCCTGTTTGCATCAGTTGGAACATACCTTACATTGATCCACGATACTTTTCCTGGATTACAAGTTGCAAGGATATTTATCAATCATATCTCAGCTTCCACTAATTACTTTGAAATCTATTTGTTCTACACCAAATCGATCATTTTCAGCAGTGAAATGATAATTTCACAAATGTTTTCAGTCCCAGAGGCTGATCATCAGTCAGAATATACAGTTCTTAAGTTCTTCAAGAACCGAGCTGTATTTCGGTTGCAGCATTGACTTAGGAGACCAATAATAGCCCCCCTTTCACCAGATAAGATCTGGTTCTTGAACCAGTTCTGTTCAGGACTCTTGGAACCTTGATGCTATCTCGTGAACCAGCCTGTGTTTCCCACAGTATCAGTCAGAACCATTGTAATCACGGATGTTTCATCAACGGAGGGCATTGCACAACAGAAGTAAACAGTAGTAGCAAGATGGCAGATCAGAGTAATAACCTTTGAACTTTTGTTCTTTTATAACCAATATTGGTTTTTATATATTAATGAGACCACTGTACGCTCTGTTTTCCCGATGATTTTTTCCTTAGCGTCTTTATTGTTACCCTTTTCATCCTCTTTCCAAGAATATGACACGCCCACTTATATTGTCACTGTTCGGACCTTAGGTCAAGGAGAACTTGTTATTTAGCTGAGAACCAACTTTTCTGGTTCTGAACCAACTTATTTTTGGTGGAAATGTGCCGTCCATCCATTTTCAACCACTTATCCGAGGCTGGGTCTCAGGGGTAGAAGGCTGAGCAAAGTACCCCAGATGTCCCTCCCCCTAGTGACCCTTTCCAGCTCCTCCTGGAGGATCCTGAGGCATTCCTAGGGCGGACAAGTATATAATCACTCCACTGTGCTCTGGGTCTGCCCTGGGGCCTCTGAAAGGTTCAAAATTAGGTTTGGGAACCAGAACAGAATCAGTTCCATCAGTGGAAAAGGGTCATGAGAGTGGGGTGTTTGTCATGTGGAAGCCCTGAACAGCTAAATGAACTCTGTGGACCGGACTTACTCTAAAGCCCTCTACTGCCTTTAAATATAACCCTTACTGTCTTTGTTTTATAGAGCCTCCAGTGTTTGTGAGGCCTTTTGAATCAGCTGAGCTTGTAAAGGGGGGCGACATTTTCCTGGAAGGAACCATTTCAGGTTCCCCTCCATATGAAATAAGTTGCTTCATCAATGAAAAGCTGATCAGAAATGACAAAAGGCATAAGATCAGTGTTGAAAACGACATCGTCACTCTTCAGATTTCAAACTGTGAGCCTGGAGACGCTGGCACGTACCAGTGCACTGTTGCAAACGCTGTCGGGGAGACATCTTGTTCTTGCCTGGTTTCAATGAAAGGTTAGTCAAAGGACAAAATCTGCCGTCCAAGGTTATCTTTCTACATGTTGCCCATTTGGCTATGAATTCCGTTTTTATACAAATTTCAAAAATTATTTTTGGCATTTTGGATAAACTCTGGAAGTAAACATTGACAGAAATTTAACTCGGGCATCATGACTTTTTTCTTTATAATGTATTTTAGTGTGAAATAGTCAGTGTAATTTGTGAAGAGATAAGGTTGCAGCTCATGTTTTTCTTACTTATGCAGCCCAGTTCAAGGTTCAATCAGACATAAAGATTCGCAGTGTGGATCATCTGTGTTTGTGTAAATCCTCTTGCATCTTCCAGTCTGATTTTATGGTCTTCTCTCACTAGAACCACCATCATTTATTGAGAAACTAGAGGATATGTCCTGCACTGTGGGCTCTGAGATCTCTATGAAGTGTATGTTGTCTGGAGCACTTCCCATGACTGTCTACTGGATAAAGGATGATCATGAGCTCACAGAAGACGAGCATATTAAGATGTCCTTTGACAACAAAAGTGCCGAGTTGAATTTGAGAAATGCTCAGTCATCCCATGGCGGGAAATATATCTGTAAGGCACAGAACAAAGCTGGGACTCAGAGATGTGCCGCTGTACTCATAGTAACAGGTTTGTAGGACATTTGTCTTTTGTCTTCACTGCTGCTGCTTTTATGTCAAGCTTGATGTTTTTTCTGTTTCATTGTAAGTGCATAATTGTGTCATGGATCATTTTGTTATCCCAGAGCCAGCAAGTATTTCAGATCATGCAAAGTCCATCAGTGTAACGCAGGGTGACCCAGCCAGACTTGAATGCAGATTCTCAGGCACCAAACCGCTCAAGTCCAGATGGATGAAGGCAGGAAAGGAGCTGACCTCAGGACGGAGATACAAAATAAAAAGCACAAACACCAGCTCTGTGCTCACGATAGTTAAAACAGAGCAAAGTGATAGCGGTGAATACACCTTTGAGGTTTCAAACAAAGCTGGGTGTGGTTCTTGTGAGGCAGCTGTTACTGTCTTAGGTCAGTTTATCCTAAAGTTTTATATCCTTTATGACAAAATGTGACTGTTGTATTCATACAACCAACTGAACACTGTTTGCACTTTGTATGTAATAGATCAGATTATTAAACCATCTTTTACAAGAAAACTGAAGCAGACGGAAGGCATCAAAGGATCGTTCGCTCATCTGGAGTGTCTTGTATCCGGCTCCCTGCCAATGATTATACAGTGGTACAAAGATGAGAAAGAGATCCAGACTGATGAGAAACACAAAAGCACATTCTTTGAGAATGTTGCTTTCCTGGAAATCAGTCGTCTTGACAGTAAAGACAGCGGCAGCTATACCTGCATGGCTAAAAACAAGGCGGGATCCACCCAGTGCTCTGGAATGTTGATTGTTAAAGGTCAGAACTCATCCTCAGCACTTTCTTGGAGTTTAAGGGATAATCATATTGTATATGTGGGTGTTATAATAGAAGTGTTTGGTTTTGTCCACCAACAGAACCACCATGCATCCTTGAAAAGCCTGAATCCATGAATGTTTTGCCCGGGTCAAAGGTTAAGTTTAATGTTCGTGTCTCTGGCACGCCGCCACTGATCACCAAATGGTTTAAAAACAAGAAAGAGATTTTATCCACTGCCGACTGTAATGTGATCAAAGACAACACCTCAAGCTCACTGGAACTCTTCTTTGCCAAAACCTCAGATTCTGGAGAATATGTCTGTGAAATACAGAATGATGTTGGCTCCACGTCGTGCCAGACGACACTCTTTGTCAAAGGTTAATACTGGTCTCTCACGTTTTTCAGTTTTCTTTACCTTGTAGTGATCACCATACTTAAATTCTGTGTGTATGTTTTTTTTTTCAGAACCCCCGTTTTTCATTGAAAAACCTGAAGGTGTATCATTAGTAAGAGTGGGAGATAGTAAGGTGTTTGAGTGCACAGTTGCTGGTACTCCAGAGATCTCTGTGCGTTGGTTCAGAGACGGAGCTGAGATTCACCAAAGTTTCAAACACAAGATGTTGTTTTTGAACTCTGTCGCCACCTTAGAGATTTGTCAAGTTAGTGAAAATGACAGTGGAAAATACATCTGCGAAGCCTGCAACGAAGCAGGCACAGAGAGTTGCACTGTTGAGATCGAAGTGAAAGGTTGGTTTTCCTTTACATGTTCACATCTTATCTGCATTTGAGTTGAAGTCGAGGCTGAGCTTTATATCTCATAACTAATACATATCAAAGGTTGCTCTAGCTTGGTTTTCTTTGATATTTCAGAGCCACCTTTGTTTGCTGAAGAGCTGATGTCTGTTGAAGTTGTTAAAGGTTCCACTGCAGCATTTGCTTGCAAAGTCGTAGGAACTGCCCCATTTAAGGTCACATGGTTCAAAGATAACAAGCCAATCAAATCCAGCCAAAAGTACATCGTTGATAGCGAAAATGTGAGTTTGAAGATCCAGGACTGTAAAGTGGAAGATGTTGGTAGTTATCAGTGCGTCATAGCCAATGAGGCTGGAAGTTGTACTGGCTTTGCAGCTCTGTCGTTGAAAGGTTGGTTTTACTGATGATCACACTGACATACATTAGACATACAGCAATGCTCACTTAATGGTTTTACAATGACATCTTTTCTTTGTATTAGTCCCTCCAACATTTGTCAAGAAGATAGAAAATGTCTCCACTCTTTTGGGAGACGTTGCTGTCTTTCGCTGCACAGTGGAAGGGTCTCTACCTCTCTCTGTACAATGGCAAAAAGACGAGAACTGGATCCCAGAGGATCCAAAGATTGAGAAAACGTACAAGAACAAAGAGGCTACTCTCAGGATTCCTGCCTGTGAAGCGACTCATGGCGGGAAATACACCTGCCAGGTCGTAAATGAGGCCGGGCAGGACAAATGCTTTGCCACCCTTGTAGTGCAAGGTACCTCCACTTCATGTTTGATTCTTCTGCACAACAACATAGGTAGCCTGAATGGTAATAACAAGTGCACTCACCTCTTTTTCTCGGTGTTGTAGAACCACCTACGATCCAAGAGAAACCAGAAGTAGTCAAAGTGACTTGTGGAGATCCGGTTAGTCTTGAGTGCAGGGTAGCTGGAACTCCTCAGATCAGGGTAAAATGGACTAAAGATGGCAAAGAGCTCCAGTCGAGCAGAAAACATCGTCTATGCTACCAGAACAACGTCAGCACTCTTAACATACAGTCCTCTCAGCTGGCTGACGGGGGAGAGTACCTGTTTGAAGCCACAAACTCTGTGGGGACTTGCAGCTGTAAAATCACATTGGTTATTTTAGGTTTGTAAAAAACTCTTCAACTCTTGACATAACTAATATTTTCAGTTATAGCATTGTGTGTTTTTTCTTTGACTAATCATCTTTTACTGTTACTCTTAACAGAGGAAGTAATTCCTCCGACGTTCATTAGGAAGTTAACAAACATTCAAGCAATCATGGGTTCAGTGGTTACCATGGAGTGCAAAGTGGCCGGTTCTCTTCCAGTATCGGTCGAATGGAGCAAAGGAAAAGAAAAGATCACCAAGAGCTCCAAATATGAACTTCTGCATGATGAAAATACTGTTTCACTGCAGTTCAAACTGAGTGAGAGTTATGATACAGGAGAATATTCCTGTAAAGTTACCAACACAGCAGGCAGCTGTATGTGCAGTGGAGTTCTCACAGCTAAAGGTTAGCATTCAAAGTTTGACTTTATAAAAATGTTCAACTCAAAGTCTGTTAGTCATGCATAGTAATCATTTTTCTGTTTGGGTTTTAGTGCCACCAAGATTCGTAGCTGAGCCTGTGTCTCAGGCTGTTATTCCAAAGTCTACTGTACTCTTCAGAAGCGTCTTTGAAGGAACATCTCCATTTATAGTGAAATGGTTCAAGGATGACAACGAACTCATCACAGGACCATCATGTTCGATTAGACGAGAGGAATATTCTTCCTCTGTAGAGCTCTGCTCAGTCGGGACTTTGCAAAGTGGAATTTATTCTTGCCAAGTTAGCAACAAAGCAGGCACGGTGAAAAGTGCAGCAGAGTTGTTGGTGAAAGGTTGGACTATTTTCTTTTTTGTCCATTACCATTACCTCTTGATTAACTCCATCTTTTTTCTGCATTCTCACAGCTCCTGTTCATTTCCTCCACCTGACCACCTTACCATTTCTTCTCTTACCAGGAATATCTGTGTTGTCTTAAGAGTCTGTTGCCATCCTCCATACCTCACACTGATTCGAGGCTAACTTTATTCTGATGATAGTAACTTGATCTTTTTTTGACTTTGCAGAGCCCCCTCAGTTTGTCCTGAAACTTCCTCCCACTACCTTTGTGAAGCAGTGTGAGGCACTCCGTCTTGAATGCAAGGCCACCAGCTCACACTCCCTGACTATGTGCTGGTACAAAAATGACCAAAAGCTAACGGACGGAGACAACTATAAGATCATGTTTGTTGACTCAACTGCGTACCTCCAGCTGCACACCACAAGGTTTGAGGATAACGGAGTCTACACCTGTGAGGCTCATAATGATGCTGGCAGTGTGAGCTGCAGCACCATTCTCACAGTTCAAGGTCAGCTATCGAACAGATATCTTTGCTAATCGTTTTGTGGATTTTACCCCCTCTGAACTTGTGTAGCATGAAAAAGAAGGAATGAAAATCTGTGATGATGCAGATTTTTAGAAGTGTTGAGTTAAACCCTTTAAGAGTGGTTTCTGTGTAAAAACTTCAGCATGGAGTCCAATGGTCTTCCTTCTGTTTCAGTAGAAAATCAGATTCTTGACATCCAGTGTGTCTGATAGCATGTGTCTGTGTGTTACCTCTTTTTTTAGAGACATGTTTCTCCCTGTTTTTGATGGAATGACTTGTTTACCCTTTACCTTATAGTTAACCCTTTGTTTTCCATATTAATTTCTTTGATTTCCATTCTCTTACTAATGATCTTTCTGTCACCGTCTGGATGGATTCCTCTAGCATGGACTGAACTTAAGCATGACCTTCAACAAGAATTTCTGTCCTATGGAACTGCCCGACCAAATTGCTTTCAGTTTGTTAATATATCTCTGATATATCTTCCAGAGGCCCCATCCTTTATTAAAACACCAAGTCCGATAGAGGGCATAAAAGGAAAAGATGCCAGTCTACACTGTGAGGTGTACGGCACTCCACCTTTCCAGGTGAACTGGTACAAAGACAAAAGGCCACTAAAGGAGAGCAGAAAGTGTAAGATGGTCAGTGAGGGCAGATCTGCCACACTTCACATCATGAAAATGGACCAAGAAGATGCTGGTCTTTATGAGTGCAAAGTGTCTAACAATGTAGGAACTGAAAGCTGCCGCACTACCATTAGCCTAAAAGGTTAGTACAGACGCAATGGCCATTTCTTCAGAGCTTTGTGTGATTACCTCCACTCACTTTTGATTTTTCCATCACTACTCAGAACAACCAGCATTTGTCAAGAAACTGGTGGACCAGTCAGTTACCGCCGGTCAGCAGCTAACACTGACAGCTACAGTAAGAGGCTCCGAGCCTTTGACTGTGTCCTGGGTTCAGGACAAAGATCACATTCTCAGAGATGGTGACAACAGGAAGATCACATTTGAGAATAATGTGGTCACCCTTGTAGTGCCTAAAGCTGACTCAACTACAGCTGGTAAATACACCTGCCAGCTGAGGAATGACTCTGGAGTTGTGGAGTCTGTCTCCCAAGTGACAGTTCTAGGTTTGTAGAACTCCAGACTTTATGACATAACCACTAGTGTGAGGATTTGTTTAGCTTAATATCATCTTCCTAATTTTTAGAACCTGCTGCTGTTGTGGATAGCCCCGAGTCCTTGAACGTCAAGTCAGGAGACAATACAGCTATTGAAGTCACAGTATCTGGAACACCAGATCTGAAAATTAAGTGGTTCAAGGATAACGAAGCAATCTCTTCTGGTGCCAAGTATCAGCTGTCCTTCACAAAGAAGGTTGCAACCCTGAAGATTCGGTCTGCTGAAAAAGCAGACGCTGGAGAATACAAACTACAGGTTACAAACCATGTTGGTACAGCCTCTTGCAAAACTAAGCTCTCTGTCTCAGGTTGGTGGCCTTTTCACAAACGTCTTAATCGTTTTTAATTAGAGGTTAGCTCAGAAATGCTTTATAACTTGTTGTTCTCTTAACAATAGATAAATTGATTCCACCGAGCTTCATAAGGAAGCTGAGAGACACCCACCTTGTTGTGGGTAAACCTGGTGAGATGGAGTGTAAGGTTGCTGGCTCTGCCCCTTTAACAACTTCCTGGTTCCACAAAGGCCAGGAGATCCAGAGTGGGCCAAACTATGACATCAGCTGCACTGATAATAGCTGCAGACTGAGAGTCCCAACAGTCAAGATGTCCGATTCTGGCAAATACACATGTAAAGCTGTAAACGCTGCAGGAGCCAGTGAAACGAGTGCTTCCATGAATGTGACAGGTCAGTAGACGTGAATAGAGTTGAGAACAGAACATTTAAAGGATATTTTCCGTAGTGCCGGATCAGGCTCCTTAGAGAAAGTTAATGATTATCTTACAACACATCTTTTTTATTTGAACCCAGAACCTCCATCTTTTGTGGAAACACCTGAAGCGAAGGAAATAGTGCCTGGCCAAAACGTGTCTTTCTCAGCTAAAGTGAAAGGCAGTGCCCCCCTGAAGGTCAAATGGTTTAGGGGAGCAAAGGAAATGCAGCATGGAAGAGGCTGCGAGATCGCCCTGAAGAACGACGTCGCCACTTTGGTGCTTCACAGAGTGGACAGGTCCCATGCAGGAGAGTACACCTGCCAGATCATTAACGATGCAGGGAAGGAAAGCTGCCCAGTTAACCTGTTTGTGAAAGGTTTGTCAGCATGATATCTTTCTTTTGAATATGTGTGTTCTTCTTAAAGTGAATTTTAAGTAACTGATAATGGAATTACCTCTCTCAGAACCAGTCCACTTTGTGAAGAAGCTGAAGGACATTTCCTCTGAAAAGGGCAAACCTTTGAGGCTTGAAGTCACATTCGCTGGAACCCCCAGAATAAATGTGACGTGGAAGAAGGATGGTAAATTCATCTGGGCCTCATATCAGTACAATGTGATCACCACAGACAACTCCTGCATCCTGGAGGTTCTTTACTCCGACAGGATGGAGGCAGCCGGTAGATACTCTTGCGAAGTAGACAACGGAGTCGGAAGTGACAGATGTGAAGCACAAGTGTCACTTCTAGGTAAAATTATTAACATGCATGTTATTGTCTTCAGTTACATTTTTAATAATTCATGATCATTCAGGCATTCATTAATTCAGTCATCCATTTGTTCATACACAACTTCTGAAGTTATACTAAACCATCTTCATCATCATCATCATCTTTCATTTTAGAGCGACCATACTTTGTTGAAATGATGGAGCCAGTGGAGGTAATTCTGGGCGATCCACTTACCCTGAAATGCTGTATTGGGGGAACTCCTGACATCTCCGTAGCCTGGTTTAAAGGTGACGGAAAGCTGCGCAAGTCCAATACTTGCTTGATGGACTTCGTAAAGGGTGTTGCCACGTTGAAACTGACCAAAACAACCAAGTTCGATCAGGGCGAATATATCTGCAAGGCAGAGAACCGGATTGGTTCAGCCTCTGCCAGCTGTAATGTGGTGGTGAAAGGTGATGCTTGTTTCCTATACTTTATTCATAGAAAGAAACTTGATAAATCAGTTACATGTGTTAATGTATCTTCTCCCATAGAGTTTTCACACCTTACACCCTTCTTTTTTTTTGGTTTGATTATGCATTAAGAGTTCCTCATGTGAAATACGCAACTCTTAGAAGGGTTACTTATCTAGTTTTCTATCACTGATTTTGCTACAAGTTACATTTCATCCGTAGTAGCAGAATTTACATTGACATAGAGGCTAATGCATGGCAGCATAACAATGAGTGCTTTTCTAACATCAGCATTGCTTCTCTCAGAACCCGTGCGCTTTATCCAGAAGCTGGAGGACACCACTTTCATAGTAGGTCAGCCACTGAAACTCGTCTGCACGTACACCGGAACCCAGAGGGTCTACGTCACGTGGAAAAAGGATGGCAAGCTGATTTGGGCCTCTTATCAGTACACTGTTAGAACAACTGACTCAACCTGCATTCTGGACGTCCTCAACAGTGACAGGCCTGAGGCAGCTGGAACATACACTTGCGAAATTTCCAACGGAGCTGGAACCGACGTCTGCCATGCTTGTGTCAGGCTAGGTAAAGTCACAAACTCTTAACACACTATCTGCTTTCAATTCATCAACTAACTGCGTTAACAACAGAGGCCTTCTGCTGCTGCCTAGAGAAGCACAGCCATTTGAGATGGTCATCTGGTTAGTTAGTTTACACTAATAACTGCCTGGTAGTATAACATATTGTAGGCTTCATGCAACTAACCCACCACTTACTCCTCTCAGAACCGGCCCGCTTTGTGAAAAAGCTGGAGGACACTTATTTCAGACTCCGTGAACCTTTGAGCCTCACATGTACGTACAGTGGAAGCCAGAGAATCAACGTGACCTGGAAGAAGGACGGCAAATTCATCTGGGCATCATATAAGTACAATGTCAAGACCACCAAAGACACCTGCACCTTGGAAGTCCTCAACAGTGACAGAGAAGAGGCCGTTGGAAAATACACATGTGAAATTTCAAATGCTGAAGGAACCGATATCTGCCACGCTAATGTCAAACTAGGTAAACCGCATGAGCACCTCACCTCTTCACGGGGATTTTCATCTGCACGTCCATAAGATAGTATTTAACCAGCTTGTTTAAAAGGCCAAGTTCCACTGCTTATATTCTCTAACACCACCATTGCTGATTGATTTCTTAGAACCAGTGAGCTTTGTGAGAAAACTGACAAACACCTACTACAAAATTGGCCATCCTTTGACATTGGAGTGCACATTCACTGGCAGCCAGAGGATTTATGTTAGCTGGATGAAGGATGGCAAGCTAATCTGGGCGTCGTACCAATACAACGTTAAAACTACCAACTTCTCCAGCACCCTGGAAGTCCTCAACAGTGACCGCCGGGAAGCTGCCGGGAAATACTCATGCGAGATTTCCAATTCAGAGGGCACAGATATCTGCCATGCTATGGTTAAGATAGGTAAAGCCACTAACACATGCAACTATTCTGTTGGTCACAGTTAATTTCAAAATCTCAAAAATCATAAATTCTTGCAAGTGCCCTGTAAACTAGTTCTTTCAGATAAACATGCATCTGCTTGCTGTAACATATAAAACATGGAACTAACATCATTGTTGCCTCCTGTAGAACCTGTGCGCTTCATTTACGAGCTGAAAGACACCACTTTCAGACTCGGCCAGCCCCTGTCGCTGTACTGCGCATACAGTGCCAGCCCCAGGGTCTATGTGAGCTGGAGAAAGGATGGCAAACCAATCTGGGCCTCCTACAAGTACAACGTCAAGACCACAGATAACGCCTGTGTCTTGGAGGTCCTCAACAGTGACCGGCTAGAAGCAGCAGGGAGATACTCCTGTGAAATTTCTAACTCTGAGAACACCGCAATCTGCTATGCACAGGTCACACTAGGTAAACATGAAACGTGACGGCTCATTGTTTTTGGTTTTTATTTTTTCAAAGAAAAACGTTAATGTATCTGTACCGTCCTGCAGCCCTGCGTCGTCATATGAGGACATCACTTTTTTTGTTTATCGCATCTTATACTTGATTCTGCGTAACGTAGACCTGTTGTCCTCATTCATGGACACGTTTTTGTGCCATCTAGTGGTAGTAAGAGCAAAATACACTAAGCCATGTAAAAACAAGATGGCAGCCATCTCTGCCAAGTCAGTCTGCAGAAGACCCTGACACCAAAGACAAAGCTTACTTTTTTAAACATACAAAGTCCTACTACTAAAAATGCCTACATAACAAAAGCTAGGGGGTCGTCTGATATATGGCTTTAAAGTAGTCTGTGGGTATTGAATACTGTAAAATGAAAAACTAATACATTGGTCTTATATACAATTAACATTAACGAATTTAGTGAAAACTGTGAGAAAAACATCTGTGACATAAAACAAAAAATTACTTCCACTTTTTTTACAAATTACATGCAGTCAATTTTAAAGAACAGGAACATTAAAATCTGTTAAAGAGGTTAAAATCTGAAAACAATGAGCCGTTTATGTAGTTTATTGATCAGAATTTCAGGTTACTTGCTAACTTGCTTGACAGGCGGCTAACAGCTAACATCCTTGCCTCTCCTAGAACCTGTGCGCTTTGTAAGAAAGCTGGAGGACATGACCTTTAGGGTTGGCCAGCCTCTGAAGCTCCAGGTCACCTACACGGGCAGCCAGCTCATATACGTGAGCTGGACAAAAGATGGCAAACCCATCTGGGCTTCCTACAAGTACAACGTCAAGAAAACTGACAACTCCTGTGTCTTGGAGATTCTCAACAGTGACAGAGAGGAGGCTGCTGGGAGATATTCCTGTGAAATATCCAATGCCAGTAGCTCCGCTATCTGCCACGCTCATGTCACATTAGGTAACTGCCCTCTAACATACTCACTGCTTTGCTAGCACGTCAGGCTCCACAACATGACTAACGCTGTTGCTTCTCTCAGAACCGGTGCGCTTTGTGAAAAAGCTCGAGGACACGTCATACTGTCTGGACGATCCACTGAGTCTGACATGCACGTACACCGGCAGTCAGCAAGTGCACGTGACCTGGAAGAAGGACGGCAAGCCGATCTCTGCTTCGAACAAATACCACTTCAAGACCACCGATTCCTTGTGTGCTCTGGAAGTCCTAAACAGACAAGATGCAGCTGGGCTCTATTGTTGTCAAGTTTCTAACGCAGGAGGTTCTGCCATCTGTGATGCCTATGTCATTAATAAAACCACTAAGAAAGGTATAACCTCCATGACACACCTGCCCAATCCCCATTCTCCCACTTGGCCCTATGTCTTGTTTTAGAGTGCCCTCGACAGAGTAGTCGCCTTTCAGAACGGAACCATAGGGGTAAGGTTCGAAATATTAACCAAGCAAATAGGACGCCAGTTGTTATGTCATCATGCTGATAATGGCAAATTATCAACCATTAGTGGTTACCTAAATCTAATGGATAAGGGTTAAAACAGCCATAAGTAATTGGTAAGTGGTTGAATTAGCATTAGTTAGCTAAAAGTAATTGATAATGGTTGAAATAATTAGCTAAAATTAATAAATAATAGTTGAAATAGTTAGGTACAAGAAACTTATAAAAAGTTGAAACTGCATTAGTTACTTAAAAGTAATAGATAATAGTTGCAATAGTTAGCTAAAAGTAATTGATAATGGTTGAAATAGTATTTGTTAGCTAGCATTAATGAAATGATTGAAACAGTTAGCTAAAATTAGCTGATACGTGGTTGAAGGAGCATTAGTCACTTAAAAGTAATGGATGATGGTTGAAACAGTTAGCTGCTAGTATTTGATAATCGGTTGAATCGGTTGTTGAAACAGTTAGCTAAGAGTAACTGATAAGTGATTGAAATTGCATTAGTCAGCTAAAAGTAATGAACAAATGTTGAAATAGTTGGCTAAGAGTTGCAGATAAGCAGTTGAATTAGCATTACAAAGCTAAAAGTGACAGGGCAGTTAACACATAACAACGCTTGTCATAACAATCAAATTAAATATTCCTTTGCCTCCACATTATATCCCAACAGATTTCAACATTTTGCAGTATTAATTGCAAAGATAAAGCTAAATTTATAGGCTTCTTTCCACAACAGTAGCAGCCATGTTGCTTGTTTACATTTAGCCTGCCTCACTTCGCAAAGCATTCTGGGAGTTTTCTTCTACCACTCCATTTGGAGTCTACATCTCCTGTAGGGCTGAATGATTACTACCCCTTGATCCCACTAAAGAAACGGCACACCCTACACAGTGGCACTCAAAACAGAGTGGTAGGGTCAAGTGGGAGAACTGGGATTGGGCCACTCTCACATCTCAGCCGCTAACGCTAAAAGTAACACATTTAATAATACATAACTATAGAAAGCAGGAGCTCATCTTACTCTCCGACTAGCTTCTGCTCCGCTGGTCTTTGGAGGTGTCTTCCATCCATCATCCATAGATTTAATAAAACATCGTCATGTTTCCAGACATAGGAATGGAAGAAACACTCTGATACCCCTTTTCTACCAAACTACCTCTGGTTCTTGAACCAGTTAAGGATTCTTGGGACCTTTGTGCTTTCGAGTGCACCAGCCCGCGTTTCCACCAGGTTTATGCTGAATCATTATAATGGAGGATGTTTCATCAGAGGAGGGTGTTGCACAGTGCACAACGGAAGTTAAAAGTTGTGGCAAGATGGCAGGTCACACTGATTACCTCAGTGCTCTTATCCTGTTACTACAGATATTTGTTTTTCTCCAAAAAACAAGCGTGGACCAACTAATGATGATAAGAAGACGTAGAAAACTCCATCCTCTCTTTCCAACCTCTCGAATTTGACTGCCCACTAATGTCGTCATGGTTCGCACTTCAGGTCAAGGAAAACCTGCTATGTTTTTGTTCCAGCTGTGACCAACTTTAAGGCTCTGAACCTTTTCATTTGTCTGTGGAAATGCTTCGAACGATTCCAAATTAGGTGCAGGAACCAGAGCAGAACTTTTCCCATGTTGGTGGAAAAGGGGTACGAGTTACAGGTTGTACGCCTAAGGCCAGTGGAACAGGAGCTGCTCTGGAGTGCAGTGAGACTCTGTATACTCCACCTCACATAATAAAATGAAGCCTAAATGAATTCCATCAGTGAATTAGAATGAAGGACTCATGTTTGCTTCTGCTTGCTCACCATCACCTTTGCATCTAACAACCCTCACTGCTTCTCACAGAGCCTGCTCGCTTCATCAGAAAGCTGGAAAACATGACGTTCAGGGTCGGCACACCGCTGACACTTAGAGTCGCGTTCACTGGAAGCCAGAGAATGTATGTGAGCTGGAAGAAAGATGGGAGACCAATCTGGGCCTCTTACAAGTACAATGTCAAGACCACAGACTGCAGCTGCGTGCTGGACGTCCTCAACAGTGACCGTGAAGAAGCTCGGGGGAGATACACTTGCGAAATTTCCAACGCTGAAGGCTCTGATATCTGCCATGCTCATATCAAGCTAGGTAACACTAACCAGCAACACGGTGCTTGTAGTACTGTAGTATCACCACACCAAAACAGAATCTGCGCAACTGTTTTCAGCAGTGATCCAAAATGAAAACCTGCAGAGTTCTGCGGGCGCAGATTCTGTATGGGTCTGGTCATCACTCATCATGCATGAAATGAATCATTCTTAGAGGAGGGGTTGCAGTGGTATGAGATTTTCACGGCACAATAACTGTCTCAGAAAATACCGCAGTTTCATGGTATCAAAAAAGTTAAAATCAATATATTGCTGCAACCCTTTGCAGAAGTTACAGTCAATACCACTCACATAGCCTGTAACCTTTCCTACCTTCACGTACAGGTAAACCTCCCTTTATTCACATAGCCTCTCTTTCTTCCCATGACAACATCTACGGATTCTGGATATCGCGCCGTCACATAGTTTTTCGTCCCCCGCATGTAAATATCAGTGGTTTCTGTGACTGATTTCAACATTGCTTCTCTCAGAACCTGTGCGATTTGTCAAGAAACTGGAGGATGTCTCCCATGAGCTGGGTAAACCTCTGAGGCTGGAGTGCACTTACACCGGCAGCCAGAGGGTCTACGTCACATGGAAGAAAGACGATCAGCAGATCTGGGCTTCTTACGAGTACAACGTCAAAACCACCAATTCCTCCTGTGTCCTGGAGGTCCTCAACAGTGACAGAGCCACTGCGGCGGGAAAATACACTTGCGAAATTTCCAATGCTGAAGGAACTGACGTCTGTCATGCTCATGTTAAACTAGGTAACACAGTAACAAACACATCTCCTCATGTGGTCACAGTTACTAACACTAACCTTCGGTCTAGTTATCGTTTCCTGTGGTCCTGTGCTTGTTGGTAACAAGAAGGAATTTGGTAACATCCAAACAGTCCTGGGTCTCGTTGTTGGTGTGTTCATGGTTGGCTGGTCTCCTGTTTGTTAGATTTGGGAAAACAAAAGATTTTATAATGTGTTACAGCTCCTTGAGAGCATGTTCTCCATGTTGATATGGTTGGGTCTGATTAATATTTGCTTGCTGGACAAAGGGATTTGTAGAGAGGTGGAAGTATTAGTTAACAGGGTGGACACTCTGTATTTGTTTGCTTGTATGTTGCAGGTTGTTTCCATGTTGTCTTCCATGTTGTCACTCTGTGTTTTCCCTGATGAAAGGCCCGGTGGCCCCGTCAATGATCCTTTGAATATCAAACCATTTCCAAATGTCACTACATGCTCTGATTTTCTTTCCTTTCTCCCTCACCAACAGAGCACAAAGTCCCTCCAACCTTCACCAAGAAGCCCTCTGAGTCCATGATGGACTCTGCGGGTAAGACAGTGAAGATGGAAGCTCGGGTGTCTGGCTCTCAGCCACTGAGCGTCACCTGGTACAAGGGCAACAGTGAAATCTACAGCTCTGGCAAATATGATGTCAGCTTTAAGAACAACATGGCCGTGCTGTCTGTCAGAGATTGTACCAGCTCTGATGGTGGTGAATACACCTGCACAGCTTCCAATGAAGCTGGCAAAACTTCATGTCACGTTTCTCTCAACATCTCAGGTATGAGTGTGTCAGTTCATCTTCATTATTTGAAGCTTTGTGTTTCGTTTTGTGTTCCTTTGAAAGATAAATTATCTTTCCACTGGGCTCTCAGATCCATGTTGCCTGGTCTGTCTTGGTGCAGTTGTTCCAACAGAAATAAAACTGGGTCTCTGAACAATTAAAAACATCAGGAACAGAAATACAAGCAACACATGCTGCATATTTAGTCAGCCAATCAAAATACATACAGCAAATGAATATGTTTTTATTATTCAGAAGTGCCCGATCAAATTCAGCCTCACTTCCTGCAAAGTAACTTATTGATTACTTGTGGGGCTACTTGGCATAGTACTTTGTCTGGCATGCTAACTGGTAGGCGAACTTGCGTTTCCTAGGATACTAAAGAAAAGACCCACCCTACTCTCTCTGATTGGCTTGTACTTGTTGCCTTTGTTGGTTGGATTGGTTAGGTTTTGGCAACAGGAATAGGATTGGTCAGCGTTAACATAAGAATGTCATGTCAGCAAGTTAGCTATGGTTTAGGAAGATGCCTAGCTTGGTTAAATGAATAAATATTTGATTTAATAAGAGGCAGCAGCAAACAGAAAAATCTTCAACCTTGATTTTAAAAAAGTGAGAGTTGCAGCAGAGAGAAATCTGGGAGATTGCTCCAGAAATGTGGAGTATAAAAACTACAAAAAACATAAAAACGCTGCTTCTCCATGCTTCGTCTCGACTCTGGGGACACAAAGCAGACCTGTCCCAGAAGATTTTAAGAGCTCACATTTCACTCTTACAAATGCTGGTGTGACTAAACCCTTAGAGACTTTCACTGGCAGCCATTTTGGCCTTTAAGTTTCCCCCAAAGATGGCCATGGAGTTTGGAACAGTTGGAGTTTTTTAATCAGAATTAGAACCTTCAGATTAACTGGTGGCTGAACAGAAACAAACACTTGTGGATGGACAGTCAGGTGTGTAGTTTGGTCCATCTCAGGCTAAGGTAAGTTAATGACTTTATTAGCCTGGTTTCCCTCTAAAGGTTTCTGCTACAGTCTAGAGACAAGGCTCCAGTGTCCTACATAAAACAAGTGTCTGTAGTTGTCCTGCTTTTTCTCCTAACCTCAGCTGAAACTGGCCAGGCTCCAAAGTTCGACGTCCCTCTGGAGCCAGTGACAGTGAGCGAGGGCGAGAAGCTGAGCCTCAAATGCCATGTCACTGGCCCTACTCCACTGACCATTCAGTGGATGAAGGACAGGAGGGAGCTGAAGTCCAGTGCAAACATCAGAATCACGTTTGTTGGTGGGACAGCCTCTCTGGAGGTCAGTGCGGCCTCAAAGAGCGATGCAGGAGATTACCTCTGCAAGGCCAGCAACCCTAACGGCAGTGACTTCTGCAAGTCCAAGGTCACTGTGAGAGGTAACGTCTTCTTACGTCAGCCTGTCCTCATCATCTTTTTATTTTCACTTCTATTTCACACCGTAAAGGACATGAATACTTCACTGCTACAGCTCTCGACCAGTGTTCCCAGCTCATTTCTTTGATCATTTGGGCAACTTTTTGCACAGTAGAAGCTGTTTTATTCCAATGAATCGGCTCTTCTGTTCCTCTAATTGTTTTTAAGATTGACAGGGAACAGAGTTTGACACGTAATGACTGATATGAACAGAAAGACCAAAAGCTAATTCTCTTTATTACAACTGGGGAGAAACTGTTTTCACAGTTGTGATATAAATAGGGCTGGGCCATATGGACAAAAAGAAAAATCACCGTATTTTTGATCAAATACCTCAACATCAGTAGTGTGACGAGTGGGTAAAGGCATGAAATAGAACATCTAGAACAGTCTACTAACTACAAAAATAACATCACTTTACTGTAGTGCAGTCTTTGAAACCAGGGAAGGACAACACTTACCATATAACCATATCGAAAATCACCATATTCAGATAATATCAATATACTGCCCAGCTCTGTAGGCGAAAGCCTCCTAAAAGTTTGATGGGTAAAAGTGTCATAAAGGTTCAAACAAGTGAAGCTGTTTTTATAACATCTTAACATCTCAGGCTCCGTTTGGACTTCTTGGTGACCGTCAAACATGACAACATCGCACTTACCTCCATGACTTCTTTTCAGATAAAGGAGCTAAGCCTGCCCCTGCCGAGCCCGCCGCCCCAGCTGCAGCTGCTCCGGTCAAAAGGCTCGACAACCTGTTCTTCATCGAGGAACCCAAAAACGTTTCTGTAACAGAGAGTAAGTACACATCTGGACCTGAGGCTGTTTGTTCAGAGAGCTCAGAGGATGAACTTGAACAGCATTACCAGTCTCTAGACATTGTTTCTCTTTAAGTATGGAGGGCTGAGCTCACAGGTTCGTGACAATTGACAGGAGTCATGACGCTGTCAGGGAAATGCCACAAACTTCAGCCCAATCACCAACGAAAAATCTGACATTTCTGCAAACCATGAATACATTACATTATTTGTCACATCACAAGACATCACCGCATTCCAGCCAGGATTGTACTACCAAAAACTAAAACTTGTTTTCGTGCCTAAACATAACCACAGGTTAACCACACGTAAAGTTTCAATGTATCTGCTGCATGATGATGTACAAATGTAATGTGTTCTTGGTTTGTAGAAAAGAACAATGCCAACATTTATTTGCATTTTTCCATATAGATGTTGACATTGCAGTCCATGTTATGCGTGTTTTAGTCTGTGTAATAAACTGTGTAATATACATGTTTAATGATGGGTACTGCAAACTGAGTACTGGGTGTGTTATAGGACACATTCATAAAAAAAACACCAGTTAGACCAGTTAGAGGAACCAATAATTACTCCAATCCCGCAGATCTCTGCAGATTCCATGTGGAGCTCCATGTTTGCTTGTGTTTTTCTTTGCAGAGGGCACTGCAACCTTCATCGCCAAGATTGGAGGTGACCCGATCCCCAGCGTGAAGTGGATGAAGGGCAAATGGAGGCAGATGACCCCTGGTGGTCGTATCTCCATCGAGCATAAGGGTCAAGACGCCAAGATGGAGATCAGAGAGGTGACCAAGTCCGACTCCGGTGTCTACAGGTGCGTCGCCAGCAACAAACACGGAGAGATCGAGTGCAGCGCTGAGATCGAGGTCACCAAGAAGGAGGAAGTGGAAGGATTCGGAGACATGAGGACACGGCTGAAGAAGTAAGAAAGACGTGTTGCTTGATTTCAGTATTTAGTCCTTGAGTGAAACAGGACAGAGGACGTCCACATTGATTGATTTTTGTCAAAGACTTTCAAAACAAGATCATCTCTGCTTACTGGTTGATAAGAAGACACCGTCTCTGATTTAGTGTTTTTATATTTGTCAGGACTCCCTCCAAGCAGAAGAGTCCCAAGAGACCTGAAGACATTGATATTGTGGAGCTGCTCAGAGGTCACGACCCCAAAGACTACGAAAGGATCCTGCGGGAGCACAACATCCATGACTACCGCGCCATCCTGCAGGCTGTCGAGTTCCTGAAGAAGGAGAAGGAGATGGAGACTGGAAAAGTGGTGAGAGAAAATGACAGAATGGGTAGATTGTCTAAAAGTCCATCTTCAGATGAAAGTTGTCCTTTAAAGACACAGTTACTCAAAAGATCTGATCAGACTTCATTGATCCCCTTCTAACAGCAGCACAGAAACAAACTGCAAGGTAAGAAAACAGAAGTAAAGAGGATGGATGTGGTTGACTTTGTTAACGTTGTTTGTCCCGCTGCAGGAGTTGGAGCGTGGCGGCCGGGTGGACGAGGAGGACATGGCCCGACTCATCCAGCAGCTGGAGGGACGCGTCGGCACAGAGGTACCTGGAAACAAGAGCAGTCGTTTTTACTCCTCTGTAGGTGAAATCAGTCCCACAGTTAAAGGACTGAATACTACACAGATGTATTTAGACACACGTGAAACCATTAATCAGCCTCTGCTGTGAAGGTTTTCCATAAAGTTTGAAGCCAACACAGATCCCAATTCTACACACCCAGGGCAAAAAAGTGACATTAGCTATTCACACTGTGGTGTAACGTCACTGTGTCACTTTAACTCCTGGAAACAAGTTAAAAAAAACATCAAATTACATGAACATGTGTTGTGCATCATACACATTTCTCTGGATATCTGTGGAAACTAGAATTTAAAATAAAGATTAAAATAGACTTTAGGAGCCTGTAAAGATGCACCCATCAGAGTTCGCAATGTAGTTAAACCAGGCTTTGAATCCTTAGCCCGTCTCTGTGATGGAGGACATCACTGACCAGACGACAAATGAGAACCAGAACGTCACCTTCGAGTGCCAGATCCGCATCAACTACCCGGAGATCACCGTCAACTGGTACAAAGGCACGCAGAAACTGGACAGCAGCGACAAGTACGAAATCAGCAGCGTGGGCGACCACCATTATCTGAGAGTCAAGAACTGCCAGCTCAAAGATCAGGGCAACTACCGCGTGGTGTGTGGTCCTCACATCTCCAACGCCAAGCTCACCGTCACAGGTAAGACTGAGACTATGAGTGTATGAACTTGCTGTTGTAAGTCACAGACACCCGTCTGTACGTCTGTAACGTGTCCTTATGTCCCACTTTATTTCATTATCAGGCGCTGGTGTCAGTCCAGGTAAGCAGTACAACTCCACACTAACAACAACACACTGACCTCTTTGAACCTGCTGCTTTCTTTGTGCTTTTGTTCTATGTTTCTTTCAAATGGAGTCAAAACTACAAAGACGCCGAACAGGAGTCTGAACACATCAACAATAACATCCGATCAATGAAATCATCAATGTTGTAAACTAACATGAATCTAGAATCAGAAGTTAACTTTGGTTGTCTGGTTTTAGCTGAACAAATTCAGTTCACTAAATGCATCAGAAGCATCGAGGTCAATGAACGCCACTGCGCCACCTTCGAGTGCGAGGTGTCCTTTGACAACGCCACCGTCACGTGGTACAAAGACTCGTGGGAGCTCAGAGAGAGCCCAAAATATAACTTCAGGAACGACGGTCGACGCCACTTTATGACCATCCGCAACGTTACGGCAGAGGACGAAGGTTTGTTCAACTCTGAGGAGACGCTTCTGACTGATCCAGTCTTTTAAATCTGTCGTCTTTCAGCATTTCAGAGGTTCAACTTGTAGAAAATGATTTTAAGGCTGCACAATGCTAAGAATTTAAAAAATACAGTATATATTTTATTGGATCCTGCAGTTTTAGCATTTAGCTGTTGAGGGTTGAGATTAAACTAGTAACATGAGGAATTAGAAACAGTAACACAACAAACAGTGTGTAGTTGATGCTTTTCAGCCAACAAAAACATTTAGTATATAATTTAAGAATACATTTCATAATGTGCAAACCATAGACTGTATTAAATAACTGATGTAGCTTCCATGACGTCACCCATTTGTTTGTGAACTCGAGTTTGGTATTTCGACCATCACCATTTTGTTTTTTTGGAGCTAGAAGTGAACGTATGTTGATGCTAACATTAGCTGCTAGCTTTGTTAGCAAGGTGCATTTACAGCTGAAGTTAACTATGATAATGCAGATTTTTGCCAGCAAACATTGGGCTGAAAAGCACTAAAACAAAAAGTGCTTACGAGGAAAAACTGACTCTTAAGAGGGTCTTTTATTTCAACCAAACACTGAACCAGACTTTTTTAAACAAACACAATGTTATATTTAACTGTCATGAGCTGAAAACACACTGAAATAGGGACGGCCAGGGGCAGAAATCCCGGGGGGGACAGGGGGGACATGACTCCCCCTTCAGTAAAGCTGTACCCCCTAGAATCATTTGAGACACAATTAATAATTTTTGAACAATGCAGTAGTATTTATTGAAAGCACAATGTAAGCGGTGATCATTATAATCACGCAATAATGTGCTATTTAAATCTTAAAAGATTGAGTCCCCCCCCTCCCATTCCTAGTAGTGGTATATCCCACACTCTTTCCAATGGGCGGGGCTGCTTGACAGCAGCAGCAGCGTGTGGCTGGAACCGCTGCCCGCATCGCAGGATAAGATGTTCACTCACACAGACACAGTTTAACTTACACAAGTTACAACACATCCCATTTACTGTTGTAACAAGCCCCAGGCCCAGGCTGATAATATAAACTGTCTGCAACATTTCTCCTGCATTGTTCAAAAACCTACTCAATTACAAGTGCTGCTAAGATAAAAGCTAATGATTAAGCTCAGAGTTTAGTGATAGAGAGGACAGGAGAGAAAGAAGAGGGAGAGGACAGGACAAGAGCAGTCAGTGGCAGAGCAATGGGTACCTGTCTGTAGGCTCTCCACCTGTCAGTGAGACAAACATGAGAGACGTGCAGTCTAACTGACGAGGAGCGGTCATTACGCGCGACTATTACGCACGGTTGTGGCAGAGCGGCTCGTAGGCAATGGGTATCTGTCTGTAGGCTCTCCACCTGTCAGTGAGACAAACATGAAAGACGTGCAGACGAGGAGCGCTCATTATGTGCGACTATTACGCACGGTTGTGAGGTGCGCAGCGGCAGATCTCACAGCACACTATTTATAAACCACTTTACCAGTTTAATTGCAGGAAATGTTTAGTTGTTAAGCCATTTCTCATAAGTATAGACATTCACTCTGCCTGTTGGAGAGACAGAGAGAAGATTAAAGCGTCAAATTGCGGTAAAAGATGTTGTATAAAAGACTGGCTACAACTTTTTTTCCTTGTCCCCCCCCTGGAATTATTCTCTAAAATTTTACTGTTTATTGTCCCCCCCCAACTATGAAATGGGATTTTCGCCCCTGGGGACGGCTACGTTTATACAGGTTTATTTCTGCTGTAAACATAGACCGCATAAAATAATGGACGTAGCCGCTTTGAAGCCTTTAGTTCGGTATTTTGGCCGATGCCATCTTGGTTTGTTGGAGCCAGAAGTGACTGTACTTGGACAAAAGGGTGTAGCTAATACTAACGCTAGCTGCTAGTTTGGTTAGCACAGTGCATTTACAGCTAAAGTTAACTGTGATAATGCTAATGCTAACTTGTTCTAGTAGGAAAAAAACAGGCTTAAAACTATTAAAACACTTAACATGTGACTCCTTGGAGGGTCTTTTAGTTCAACCACACATGGAACAAGACGTTTTTACACGACCAAAATGTTACAATTAACTTTCATGAACTGAAAACACACTGAAATAGTGACAGCTAGTGGCCATTAGGGGAACTGCAGATTTTTGCACTCCAGTTGGCTTCATTTTTCAGGTGCAACTTTGCAAAACAGCAATAAAATATAAAAGAAATGACCTTGTTGGTCTGTTTGATATTCTTCTTTAAGTGTGCAGCCTTAAATGATAAAATGTATCGTTAAAATAAGGAATTCATTTCAGTTGAAGTCCTCTGTCAGAGTATAAACTGCTCCACAACAGAAATAACGAAAATAAAAATTATTACGAGCATTAATGGTAACTGTGTCCATCCGTCAGGCGTTTACTCTGTGATCGCTCGTCTGGAGCCGATGGGAGAAGCTCGAAGCACCGCTGAGCTTTACCTGTCGGGCAAAGGTCTGTACGATTTATATCTCAGATTAAAGAAAGTTCCTGAAGTTCCACTCAGGTGGTTCTAATAACATCTCGTACCTTGTCCCCTCACAGAGATTGGGTTAGGAAGGGTTCCTCAGGGTGAGTACTTTAAAAACAAGGGCTGAACACGGCTTCAGACTAAAATTTTACTGTCACAACAAACGTTTTAAAAAAAATATTTATTAACGTGAATTAATTATTATTTGTGGTAAACCATCAGACGTTCCCGACTCATCCGTTCATGTCCCAGAAGCTGCTTCGATGTTTGTCCAAGGTGAGTCTGGGACTCTTCGTACAGACCAAACTTTAACCCTTTAACCTTACTCTGCTCGTTTCATTCATCAATGTCTTTTTCTACCTAAAGATTCTTCTGAATTTTATCACTATGAAGAGCGAACAGAAGTGAAAGGTACAACAGATATTAATCATGAAATCAGTACTAACTCTCATCACTTCCAACCTCAGTGATTCTTACTGTGCGTTAAGGAATGTGATTCTGCATTTCAACATGCAGAAAACCTCCATCTTAAAACCGTCTTCTTCTTCTTCTTCTTCTTCTTCATCATCATCATCCTGATCATCCTCATCCTGAATAACCATGTGATCACCTTGAACTCAGTTAATATGAATTCATCCCTCGTAACAACTCAAATACCTCCTCAACATGTGAAGCAATAACTCTCCAAACGACTGAGTTTAACATTAATCTGAAATTGACGAGATTAAGATCATAATGCAAAAAAACTAAAGATAAAAATTTCTTAGATTTAACATTGAATTATAGTATGAATTCTGACTTTAATGTCAAAGATTTATAAATCATATTTATAGATTAAAAGATGTGATTTAGAATCTGATCTCAAAATCAGATGAGCCTCACATAATTCCCTGACTTTGATATTTTAAGATTAAAGAGATTTATCTCAGAATTCCTATGTAAAAATCTATATTTTTTAAATCATTTTTTAAAATTCAAGACTGATTTGTAAATTATTTTTTCTGAGATTAATGTCTGAATCCTGGCCTTTAAAGTTAAAAGTCAAAATTCTGATCCTGAAAAAAATATGTTAAAAAGGTTTAAGTTTAAAGTCTGAATTCTGACTTTAACATAAAAAGTACAATTTACACAATTCCCAGAAAATGGTTGAAAAAGTTTGAGATTAAAGATTTGATTTAAAAATCTAATTTCAAAATCAGAATTAGTCAGAATTTAGCATCACATAGTTAATTTCAGAATTCCTGTGTAAAAGCCTATTTTTTAATTCAAGACAAAATTCTAAATGTATTTTCTGTTAAACTCCAATCTGAGATTAATGTCTGAAGTTTGAATCCTGACTTTTATGTCAGAGGTTTCAGACCTCAGTTTCATCATTTACAAGATTTTAATCCTAAATTTCCTGATAAAAGTCTAAAATCAAACTTTAAAATCAAATATTTGACATTAAAGTCAGAATTCTGATACTGAAAAAAAAATGTTGAGAAAATCTTAAGATTAAAGTCTGACTTTTTTTCTGAGATGTAGAAAAGTGAGATTGAGGAGTTTTATTTCAGTCTTTTCAGATTAATGTCAGAACTCAGATGATGTTTTTTATAATCTTCTTCTGAACGAAGCTGAAGGTCTTTGAGCCAAGATCTCTCTAACAATTGATTGTCCTTTAAAGCTTTCAAAAGTGTCACCGTTGAAGAAGAGACGGTTTCTGTTCGGTACTCGTCCGTCACAGGTATCAGCCTTATTCTCTTTTGTTATATAACTCATTACCATCAAAACCATCCTCACGCCGTTTGTCTGTTTGTCTGTTTGTCCTTCACATGTCTGTCTGCGTCGTTCATCAGTCTGTCTCAGTGTTTCTTCATCAATCATACATTTGATGTGAATTTTCTTCATTACCTCCTTCAGTAACTTTGGTTAAATAGAGAATAGTGAAAGTCTTTACATGTCAGGATGTTTTTTTCTTCTTCACCAGAAGAGAGAAAACCTGTTGGAGAAGTAATTGAGAGGACTCAGGTGGAGATGAGAGAAGAAGTCCCTGACGGTATAAATCTGTGTTTGTTTGTTTTTTTTAAGGCAAACAGGCTTCTGGCTGTTTTCAAAGCTTGTGGCTGTAACTTAATGAAGCTGCTGATCACACATCTGTTAGCCGCCATGTTTGCTTTAGTGATTGCCAGCTGCTGCTTCTAGAAGCTTTTCTTTCTCCACAGCTGTTTAGATCATCTTTAAGTCTCGTATGTCTTCTGCTTCATGTTTATCTTTCATGTCTCCTAGCCTCTCTTACGCTCTTATTAACCCTCACAAGAGCTTTCTGTGCAGTAGACAGCAGACAGTAGAGTAAAGAGTAGAGCATGGCCATTGTGGTTTTAACGTAAACTTTCTTCATCTTTCAAGTTGCTGACATGTACAGGAGAGCAGAGGAGAAACCCTGGGAGCATGGGATGCCGCCTACGGCTGCAGACAAAGGTATCTGCACAGACTTCTACCTGTTTTTAATCACTTCATAAAACTCTGTTACGTTGATGGTTTTCAGACCTTTCTTTTCTTGTTTCCTTTCTTCATTTATTCTCTTCAATGATAAAACATTCTTGATGTCAGACTTTACCACAAAACTGAACTGCATGATAATGTTTTAAAGACCTTGAAGGAAAGAAGCCGCACGCCGAGGTAGCCTTTGCCGTTCCGGGCGCTCAGCGAGAGGGAGCTCCAGGACAAGAAGGTAACGTTCATAACACAGTTTTTTGTTACACATTGATTACTGTCTTTCTTTGTGATCTTACAGAGTCTTTATAGGCTCAGGTTCTTAATTCTTCATTAACAATAACAAGCAAAGAAGAGATCAACAACTTTTCAAATGAAATTATTAATCATCATTCCAGCTGGCCACCAACGTCGCTACATGTTGATGTTTGGTTAAATTTATATTGTGACGTCAGGTGACCAAAATTCAATGTTGGGACAACGTTTAATGCCAACTAATTTGATAGACGACAGATGACGTTGATATTTTGTTGGTCTTAAGTTGTGCATTAAGTAATCAAAATCCAACATCTTCCAAACAACTCTTGCCAACAACATTTAGTTGTAAGGTATGGAGACCAAAATCCAACATCCCATCCGCAAAATGAATGTCACAACCTGAAATTCTAACATTTTTAGACATTTAAAATATTGTCAACCTGATTTTCACTACAACCAAAATTTAGCTGGGATAATATACAGTTATACATATATATATATATATATATATATATATATATATATATATATATATGTGTGTGTGTGTGTGTGTGTGTGTATATACATACATACATATATGTATAGTTAAAATGTACAGTTAAAAATTAAAAAATACACATTTACACATTTTTTTTAGCATTCAAGAATTTCATATTATGTTTTGGGTGACTGTAAAATTAGATAATTCGGACCTTTACATCTTTACAGATGTTAATTTATAAGAGTAGTATTAATACATTTATTTATTTATAGACAAGTAATAGTTTTTTAAATTTAGGCAGCAGATTCAGATATTTTAGCACTAAATTTTACACTTTGTGGGATGGTAAAATCAGACCATGTCATCTTTAATAACAAATAAAACTCTTGACAAACCTCCGTTTAACTTTTCTTTTACTGTCTGTCTATTTTCATCTTGTCTGAAAGTCTCAGCTAAACTCAACGTCCTTACAATGCGTAATGAGCATTGTGTTCTTGGCTTTCTGTTTGTCAGCTTTTCTGTTCATTTATATATTTATGTCAGTTTGTGTTTTTCGTGTCATCTTTTCCTTCTTCTACCTCTTTAACTCTTGAATCTGTGTGTGCTCTGTGTCAACTCACAGTAACATTTCTGTCTTAACCTTGAACAACCTTCAGTTTACATCAAACCAGAACCTGTAGAAGAGAAAGTGACCGTTGCCAGAAAGGTCACTCCTGAACCTTATCAGCCTCCACCTGAGCCAAAAATGGTTCCTCCAGAGCCTAAAGTGGCACCTCAGAAACCGGCGGCACCTGAGCCCAAAGTGCCCAAAATGAAGCCTGAACCTGAAGCGCCGAAAGTTGAACCTGCCAAGAAAGCACCAGAAGCTCCTAAGGCGAGAGGTAAAGTAGTTTAACTGGAAAGACATTTTGTTGTCTGTTAAATGTTGCTGTGATCACCACGTCTAACTCTTTAACATGTCTGTGTAAATCTTGAATGTTCTGAGATGTTCTTCACTGCTAACCTCTTAATCACGTGTCCTGGTTTCAGGATGTTTCTATGATCCCTCAATAAACTAACTGAAGTAATGAGTGTTGTAGCTGTAGTGTATTAACAGTGACGTTCACACCTTATTCTTACATTAACCTCATGATAAATGTAGAGTAAACATGGAAAACTTTTTAATGTTCTCCAAAGTGCCAGCTGTAGCCAAACCAGAAGAAGTGGTAGTTCAGCCAGTCGCTTCCAAAGTTACTCCACCAAAGACTGAAGGTACTGCAAAGACAGTGTCTTTTCCCATCTTTGAAATCTTTGATATGTGTTGTAATGTGATTGGCTTTCTGTAATACAAACCAGTCTATGTTGTGTGTTTCATGTTCTCAGGTTATATGTCTCTGTGTTAGCACTCGTTAGAGTGGACTGTAATGTTGAAACCTTGGCAATTACCAGTAGATTACTGAACATATATAATGTTCTTTAAAGCACCAGAACGACCAACATTTGAAGAACCTGTGGTTCAGCCAACTGCAGTCAAGGTTCCCCCGTCAGCACCAGAACGTCTCCCAGCTAAAGGTACTGATCATTGACTTTAGAAATCTTCACTTGTCCTTCCTCTCATATCTTCTTTCAGACTTTGAATTCACTCGTTTAGAGTGTAATCTTTGATTCCATGTTAGCCTTGGTCACTACCTGTAGGTTAAACATTACATAATGTTCTCTTAAGTGCAAGCTGTACCCCGACCAGAGGAACCTGTAGTTCAACCACCTGCACCAAAGGTTGCTCCACCCAAGGCTGAAGCTGTTCCAACTAAAGGTACTGCAGAAATGCTCTTTCTTGGTGTCTTTGTTGCTCTGCTGTGTTTTCTGTTTGTGTTGTTTCTCATGTTGTAACTTTGTTTAAGTTGATCAGTTTCTGCTTTTGAGCTTCTTTTACGTATCACCTGAAACTTAATCTTTCCAAAATATCTTCTATGAATGTCTTTGAAAATGCTAAGCACTCGCTAGAGTGTGACCTGAACTTTTGGGTTGTTTTCAAAATATGGTTAACTACATAATCATCTTATGCATAAATGTTCTTCAAAGTTGTCTCAGAACCGAAGACACCTGAACCTCCAAGGAAACCACATCTGCTGGCTGATAAACCTGAGCCAGAGCCACCGAGATTGGTCTCTGAAACAAAACCAGAAGAACCAAAGAAGGTTCTGGAAGAAACAAAGAGGGTTGCTGAGGTGCAAAAGAAGGTTCCAGAAACACCAGAGAGGGTGCTAGAAGAACCCAAGAAAGTAGAAGAAACACAGTGGGTTCCTGAAGCACCAAAGAAGGTTCCAGAAGAGCCAAAAAAGGTTGCGGAAGAAAGAAAGAGGGTTCCTGAAGCGCCAAAGATGGTTCCAGAAGAACCAAAGAAGATTCCTGAAGCCCCAAAGAAGGTTCAAGAAGAACCAAAAAAGGTTGTCGAAGAAAGAAAGAGGGTTCCTGAAGCCCCAAAGAAGGTTCCAGAAGAACCTAAGAAGACTCCTGAGGCCCCAAAGAAGGTTCAAGAAGAACCAAAAAAGGTTGTCGAAGAAAGAAAGAGGGTTCCTGAAGCCCCAAAGAAGGTTCCAGAAGAACCTAAGAAGGTTCCTGAAGCACCAAAGAAGGTCCCAGAAGAACCAAAGAAGGCTCCACCAGCCCGTAAAGTGGTTATTGAACCACCAGTAGAGCCGGAGAAAACTCCAGAGGCTCCAAAATTAGTAACAGAGGAACCAGTGCCACATCGCCGAGCCCCATCACCACCACAAGATTTGGAAGCACCAAAGCAAATTCCTCAGGCTAAAAAGCCTCAGCAACCAGGTAGATAAGTCTTAACATCTTCTTAACTAATCCATACTCATCTTGATCTTTTAACTCACAATTTGTAGATGTTCTTCTGGGGTGCCTTTTAGCTAATTCTTCAAAGGTTTTGTCCTGCTGTCTGTGCTGTCGTGTGTTGACTGTTTGCTACATTTATCAATAGTTAGAACAGTAAAACAGAGGGAGATACTACAGGACACAACAGCACTAGCTAAAACAAAGTTGGAGACGAGTACACCCATCAAAGGAATGCTTAAACGTACAAATGTTTCTGAGGTATTTTCTAGAAAGTCAGCATAAATGTCACATTCCTGTAGTTTGACTATTTGTTTTTATTTGTCCTTGAAATCAGAGGAGATTATTCTTCCTGGAAAAGTATTAGTCCAGGCAAAGTCTAGAGAAACTGATTCACAGTACTTACAGTTTAGTTCTAAAAAGAGGCTCACAGTCAAATATATGCCACACTGAACTCTTTGATTTTGTATCTTGATGGTTTTTGTCTTGTGTTTTCCTCTTGGCCACCGCTCCATGGTGCAAATCTTTAATCTTGGGTGATATTTTATAAATTACTCCAGTTTCCCTGAAGACTGATCTTAAGCAAACAGCAGCGGTGCTTGAAGACAGCGGGGAGTTGTCTTTAAAGAGGGATCATGAAGAGAGGATTTCTCTGGCCGAGGAAGTTGGACACAGGCAAGAGGAAGTCAAGACATATAGAAGGGGAGTAGAGGGCAGGGAGTCAATTACGAGAGAAGAAAGCACTTTGAAAAGGGTGACCAGACAACAAATGGTTCTTACAAAGGAAGAAGATGAGGTTTCCACATGGTACCAGGAGGGTCCGCAGGTTGAAGATACTGAGCAACTCGAGGACATTGAAGCAAAATATACAGAATCTGAGGCTGTAAAACTGGAAGACACTGAAACTCTTTATGAAGAAGACTTTCCAGAGGACAAAGCACTGGACTGGAGAGAAGAAAAGTCCTTGAGATCTATCTCTCCACTTCCAAAGGAGGCTGACCTCCTTCCATCAAAAAGAGATGTCTCACCTCCACTTGAAGTGGCTCGTCCTGCCAAGAAAGAAGTTCCTCCACCTGAAATGACTCGTCCTACCAAGGAAGAAGTTCCTTCAACTAAAATGACTCGTCCTACCAAGAAAGAAGTTGCTGCACCTGAAATTACTCCTCCTGCCAAGAAAGAAGTTCCTCAACCTGAAATGACTCGTTTTGCCAAGAGAGATGTTGAAGCTGAAATTCCTTCAACTTATACTGGGCAGAAAGAAGTTATTGAATCATTTGTATCAGTACATCATGAAGAACCTGAAGAAGAACTTGTTTCTCCAATGGAGGATCTTGTTAAACCTAAAATCTTGGCTAAATCTAAAGAAATTGCAGCACCAAAGAAGCCCCAAGCACCCAAAGAAGAACCTAAGGAAGTCACGGTTTTCAAGCAAGCTGGCTCTGTTGAAAAGGAAGAAGTTCCATCTGAAAGATCTATGCCCTGTAAACCTGAACAAAAGTTACCCCAAATTCGTCCCCAAACCACTCCCAAAAAAGAAGTAATAATCCCTAAAAAGATGGAGTCTCCAAGGGAAGAAGTCACAAGAACTCCCAAAGCTGGAGGAGAAATGGATCTTGAACACATTGTGCCTCTAGAGAAACCAACTCATGTGACAGAAAAAGGGGCCTTTGAAGAAGAACCTGCTCCAGCAACAAGCTCTATACCAGCGAGTAGGGAAGTGTCACCTCCAGTTACAGCTCAAATTCGTCTTGAGGAAGAAATTTCACCACGTAAAGAAACTGCTCTGCCTACAGAGGTCTCTCCTGCTCTTGACAAAGGTGTTGTTGTTCCTAAAGAAGACTTTCCCTCTGAAGAAGCGACTCTACCTAAGAAACTTATCACCAAAGCCAAGGTTGCGCCAACTAAAAAATCTCAAGTTCCACCACAGAAGAAACCTCTTTCCCCTGAAGAAGAAACTCTTCTTTCCAAAAAACCTGCTTCTCTGGCACAAAAAATAACCACCTCTGAGGTGGACTCTTTTGAAGAAGTGAAAACTGGTGCAAGTAAACCCCCGCCAACAAGAGAAGATGACAAGAAAGCAAAGAAGAGAACACAGGAGATTGAACAACAAACTCTTCATAAAGGTATTCTTTCTTTTTTGAGCCGCATAGGCTCGTGATCGTCATAAGATCAACCCCTCTTTAACATCTTGTATTTACTGTACTCATGCATCTTCCGATAGGGTCTTCAATAACAAGAAAAGATGTTATATTTTACACTAATCATTGCAGTGAGCTGTCTCTGTCCATTGTCTTTGTAACATGCTCTTGATGTCACTACTCTGCAAGGTACGTCATGTACTAAGGAAACTTTCTTGGTCTATTAACATCTTCCATTGTTTCTGTTTTTCCATCATCATCACCCCATCATTTCTTTCACAATCTCGTCACTTCTTCTACTTGTTTGTGTTTGTGTTGTGTGGAGTAGTTAATGTCTGATTCATCTTTGGTGGTTGAGTAGTCTTGATTGACCATGTTGTTGTGTTGGTCGTGATCTTGGTATATTGTATTTCCAAAGTGTCTCCTCCAGAGGAGAGGAAACCATCTGCACCAGCACCAAAGCCTTCACCTCCTGCTCCTCCTGCGCCTCCTGCTCCTGCAGCCAGAGTTGCTCCCCCTGAAGGTAGTCTGTTCACTTTGTACTTTCCTCATCTTTGCTGACTCATCAAGAGTCAGCCATGTTGTTTTTCTCTTTGTTTGTTTGTTTGTGTTGTTCTTATTGTCTCAATTCTCTTCAGGTTTCCATGTTTTTAACTTTTTGTGTTACTTGTTGTGTTTTGACCAAGCGTATTGTTTTCTTGGTCATGACCTTGGCATCTTGTATTCCCAAAGTATCTCCCCCAGAGGAGAAGAAACCATCTGCACCCGTACCAAAGCCTTCACCTCCCGCTCCTCCTGCTCCTGCAGAGAAAGTTGCTCCTCCTGCAGGTAGTGTCTTCACTTGGTTTTAAATGTTGTAAATTAAATGTCTGTTTGTTTTCTTTGCTGGGTGATCGAAAGATATCCTCATCATTTTCTCTTTTGTCAGTATCAGTTTTACTTGTCTCCTGTGTCCTCAGTCTTATCTTGCATTGTATCAGAACAGCTGTGTCTTGACTGATTGTGTTGTTGTCTTGGTTGTGATCTTGGCATCTTGTATTTTAAGTTTCTCGTCCAGAGGAAAAGAAACCATCTGCACCAGCACCAGCACCAGCACCAGCACCAGCACCTTCAGTTCCTACTGCTGCTCCTGCTGCTCCCGCTGCTGCTCTTGCAGCCAAAGTTGCTCCTCCTGCAGGTACTTTGTTTTGTGGGACTTAAGAACGCTGTTTGTTTGTGTTGACGTGATTTTGAAGATGGAAAACCTCCATGTTTGTTTCTCTTACTGTTACAGATTATTTCTGTCTGTCTGATTTATCCATGTACACTTAAATTCCCTCTTAACATCTTTACTCTGCCATCTGTCTGTTTTAATGTCTTGTCACTTTCATATCTTCTGTTCTCTTGGTTATGACCTTTGGTATCTTGTACTCCTAAGTGTCTCCTCCAGAGGAAAGAAAACCATCTCCACCCACACCACAGCTTCCAGAAGAAAAAGTTACACTTCCTCCAGGTAGTTTCTTCTGTATGTCATAATGTTGTTTAACTCCGTTTGTCCTTCTTCAAAGAAAATACATCTTTTATTACATCTGTGTTAAGTATCTGTCAGTTGCCTGTTCAACAGATATTTGCCAGTGATTTAATCAAGTTGGCATTCTTGTAGCTCCAGCAACAGCGGTGAAGACACCCTCGCCACCATTTATAGAGGCCAAACCCTCTCCTGTGTCAGAGGAATCCTACCTCCCTGAAGGTAACATCTCTTCTCTAACTTTCATTTATGTTCTTCTTCTGTTTGTCTGCCGCTTTGAAGGATTTCTTTTGTGATGGCTTCAGTCTTTATGCAAAGCAATTGAAGCTTTGATATAAGGAATACATTCAATGTTTAATTCTGTCCAGATCTGTTGGTCTAAGGTTTGTATAAACTGATCCAATCCAAGTCTTTGTAGTCTCACACTATCAGCTGAATATCTTATAAATGCCTGTTTTTAAATATCTCTTGATGCATTCAGAGTTACTTTACTGTAACTTGGTACACATGCAATGACGAAAACTCCTGTTTGATAGAATCACCCCATTTATAGCCCACTTTAAATGAAAATTATTCTGAAAAAAACAAAACAAATGCATGCCACGCTTTCTCAACTCAAGTGTTTGTCTGCCTCAAAAATAAATGAGTCGTCCTTTGTTTGTATTTTCAAAACTGATATTACTCCTATTGAAATTTTTGCAGACAAGGAACCCGTTTCAGCACCTGGACCGACGAAAGGTATACCAAATATTAGCTTCTTTATTTTTAAAGGGCAGTAAACTGTGACACATATTATCTCATAAACAATAGATATCTCTTGTTTTTACATGTTGACGTGGTGTGTGAGTCCTGTGTTGTAAAAGTGTCAGATAAAATGTAGAGTTTCCTGTATGTCTCTATGTGAATGTTGTAAAACTTGTATTTACTGCCTCAACCACAGTGACGTCTCTTAAGCAAAAGGGTAAGATCCCAGTTCAGGATGCGAAAACACCAGAATCGCCTAAACTGAAGAGTAAGTACACCAGACTACCCAAAGAGAAGGAACCAGAACCAGAGGTCATCAAGCTGAAGAAGGTTCCAACTAAGCCCAAAGAACCTGAGAAAGAATTCATAACTCATAAAGCTGAAGTGACAAGGCATCAAGATGTTGAACTAATGGTTCATGGACTTCATGACAGAGAAGATCGAGAGATAATAACGCTCGGAAGGACTGAACGAGTTTTCACTGCAGAGGAGGAGACGACTCAGTTAGACTACTTTGAGGAAGCTGAAAAGGCTGCGGTTGTTCAGGAACCAGAAAAAGAAGGTTGGACAAGAACCCCTAAATCTCAGAAAGAGGAAGAACCTGAGCTGCCAAGTGTAGATAAGAAGAAAATAACTAAACTGCCAAAGGCAGATGAGCAGAAAGAATCAGTCAAACTAAAACCATTTGAAAAAACAGTTAAACCAGAAGAAGAACCTGGGAAGATCAAACTAAAAAAGGTGCCAACTAAGCCCAAAGAGCCTGAGAAAGAAGTTATAACTCAAAAAGTTGAAGTGACAAGGCATCAAGATGTTGAACTAATGGTTCATGGACTTCATGACAGAGAAGATCAAGAGATAATAACGCTTGGAAGAACTGAACGAGTCTTCTCTGCAGAGGAGGAGACAACTCAGTTAGACTACTTTGAGGAGGCTGAAAAGGCTGTGGTCATTCAGGAACCAGAAAAAGAGGGATTGGCAAGAACCCCTAAACCTCAGAAAGAGGAAGAACCTGAGCTGCCAAGTGTAGATAAGAAGAAAATAACTAAACTGCCAAAGGCAGATGAGCAGAAAGAATCAGTCAAACTAAAACCATTTGAAAAAACAGTTAAACCAGAAGAAGAACCTGGGAAGATCAAACTAAAAAAGGTGCCAACTAAGCCCAAAGAGCCTGAGAAAGAAGTTATAACTCAAAAAGTTGAAGTGACAAGGCATCAAGATGTTGAACTAATGGTTCATGGACTTCATGACAGAGAAGATCAAGAGATAATAACGCTTGGAAGAACTGAACGAGTCTTCTCTGCAGAGGAGGAGACAACTCAGTTAGACTACTTTGAGGAGGCTGAAAAGGCTGTGGTCATTCAGGAACCAGAAAAAGAGGGATTGGCAAGAACCCCTAAACCTCAGAAAGAGGAAGAACCTGAGCTGCCAAGTGTAGATAAGAAGAAAATAACTAAACTGCCAAAGGCAGATGAGCAGAAAGAATCAGTCAAACTAAAACCATTTGAAAAAACAGTTAAACCAGAAGAAGAACCTGGGAAGATCAAACTAAAAAAGGTGCCAACTAAGCCCAAAGAGCCTGAGAAGGAAGTCATTACTCATAAAGTGGAAGTGACGAGGCATTATGATACAGAACTGACAGTTCAGAAGCTTCGCGATAGAGAAGATCGAGAGGTTGTGACACTTGGAAGAACTGAACGAGTCTTCACTGCCGCTGAGGAGGCATCTGAACTGGGTCAAGCAGAGGAACCTGAAAAGCTGGAGGCTGAAGATGAGAAATCAAGATGGATAAGAACCCCAAAAGAGCCAAAGGATGAAGAACCTGAGCCCGATTTAACCAAAAAGAAAATAAAGAAACTGCCAAAGAAAGAGGAGGAGCCAGAAGTAGTGACACTGAAACCATTTGAAAAACCTGAGAAACCCAAGGAAGCTGAACCTCCAAAAGCTAAGAAAGAAGGTGAGGCAAAGACAGATACAGAACGCATTCCATTCAAGAGAGCAGAGACACCACAGAGAGACCAACCCACCGCTGCTTCAAAACACAGAAAAGATGAAGCCACTCCCTTGACAACTCCAGAGGCAACTCCTGACATCAGCAAAGACCAAAAGGAGATCCCACAGAGGAAAAAAGTTGATCAGGTACCCAAAGATAGTGAACCTACAGCTGCCGACAAGCTTCGCGGAAAACCTAAAATTATTTCCACACCAGATAAAGAAAAAGAGGAGGTCAAGTTGAAGCCTTTCACCAAAGACGCCAAGCCCGAGGAAAAACCAGCTAAAACACCTGAGGAAGAGAAAAGGAAACCTGTGGACACAAAGGTTCCCAGTAGAGCACCAAGAGATGAAACTCCCAAAGATCTGAAAGAACAGCAGCTTAAGAAAGTGGAGAAGACCACAACACCTAAAAAAGAGGATGACAAACCTCAGGAAAAAGAGGAATCAGCTGTTCCACCCAAGAAGCCCAGTCCACCAGGAAAGAAAGAAGCAACACTGCAGAAAGAAGTGGAAAAAGAGGTTCCACAAAAACCAACAGATACCTTGAAGAAAGGAATCGAACTCAAAAAGACTGCGTCACCTCGAGTGGGTAAAGACAAGGTGGAAGAGGAAAAACCCCTAAAACCTGTTGAGCAACTGAAGAAGGTTGAGCTGAAAAAGACACCATCACCAAAAGTAGATAAGCCAAAGCCTAAAGAACTGGAGCAAGTCCCAGTGGAGAAGAAGCCAAGTCTTGAAAAAGTCAAACAGATTCCCAAAACTGTTTCACCAAAAGACTCTGTTGAAGCTGTGACCCTCAAAAAGGTCCCAAAGAAGCCGTCACCAGAGGAGGTTTCAGAACCAGAAAAGCCCGCTAAAGGGCGAATCCCCCTGGTGAAGGAGGTCTCCCCTGGAGCTGTGCAGATGAAGAAGGTACCCACCCAGCCAGAGGAGGAGGTGTTTGAAGAGGAGGCTGAAATAGTGGAAGGTGAGGAAGAGGAGGAGGCCTGGGGCTGGGAGCTGGTTCCCCCGGATGACTGGCAAGGTGAAGGGATGGATGGGGTGCTGGAGACTCCAGGCATGCCTGGCGCCAAACGAGGTGAGACGAAGGCCGACAAACTCCTCATCTGATGACTCTGGAGCCCCCTCATCCATCTTAAATGACTCATCTAATCCTCATCACATCCTTTACTCATCTAGAGCTCAGAGTATCCATTCATCCGTCCATTCACCATCCATCCACTGAGACGTCCTCATGTTGTCCATCATATGTCTGTCCTCAAATGTGTCATCCACATCATCATGAAGTGTTTGTCTTCACCAGTGTGTGTCATTCATTACAACTTTTGTTTTTCTCCATTGTCTTCCATCCATGTTTGTCCCTTTCATCATCTTGTCCCATTATTTATCCATCTGTCAAGGATTTCACTCCATCTTTATCGTCTCCATTGTGTGATGTCCCCTTAATGTTCTCGTGTGATGCTGACAAGAATTTGTGTTTGATTTAGCATTTAGCATGTAACGTTGGTTTTTGAGCTCAAACAGAAAAACTGATCTTGGTGTTTTTTGTCCAGAGGGAAAACCGTCAGAAGAGGCACCAAAAGGCAGAGGCAGAGGATTCGGGGGTATGAGTCCAATAAATTAGAGCTCATGTGTGCTAACGGTTTGCTCCTTGTGCTACTTACCATCTAAAGGAGTTTCACCCGCTCCATTCACAGTGGTTGTAAAGTGTAAGCTGTTTTTTATGTCTCGTCCTTTTCAACAAACGTCTTGTGTTGAGCTTTGAATCTGGGTATCGAACTTCTAGCTGTTTGGTACAAAACAAAATCAGATGTAGCACCAAGTGTCAAAATCTGTCCAGTACTGAAATATATATAATCTTGTTATTCAGGCAGAGTTCTTGTACAGCTGCTTGTGTTTAGGGAACTAACATTGACTAAACTCAAAGAAGAACTTCACTGATGACAGCCAACAGGAGCCCTGATTTCGGCAGCAGCATGTTGGCATGTGTAGTCAGTAGAAAATTTGGCATCCTTTCCTTGACCTTTGCTGCGTGTCACAACAAATCTGAAGGAAAACAAATGTTATGCTAACAGTTGTTCTGCAGTCACACATTTAAATTGTCACAGAATGTGTGAAAACACAGGTAGGTAGTCTTTACCTGTTGTGTTTTGCTAAATAGTGCCACAGTTGCTGGAGTTGCTTCCTCTTTCTGTCTTTGTGTATCTTATGTGTTGTATTTTGGAATCTTCGAAGTCCTGTTGGAAGCTCTTAAAGCAACACAGTCACTAGAAAAAATTGGTATTGTACATTTCTGCAAACCACAAATTTGTACATTTGTAAGTTATTTTGTAGCAGATTCGTTGAGACTTTACATTTCAACAACCCTGTTTAATCTGTGGTTGTGCTTAGGGACAAAACCACTTGGTTATTGTTCGGAAAAGATCACGTTTTGGTTTGAAATATTTGCATTTGGTTGCGTAAAAGCTGCTGGAAACATGACGATGGCTCAATAAAAATCACTTTGGCACAAGTGGTGATAGATCACTAATAAACATCCAGGTTTGGTGGTATAAATACTGCTTGGAAAACAGAGATGGGTTTGCTGAAAGCAGACAAGTTCAACTGCCCAGGAGCTGCTGGAAAAATAGCGATGGGTTGCTAAAAGTCACTCACATTTGGCTGCACAATGTACAATGCCAACCTTTTCCTCTGGTGACTGGGCTGCATAAAGAGTGGCTCTGCATGATTTATAGTCCCAACAGAATTTTACTCTAACACTGGTAAGGGTAAATAGATTTTTGTTAAATGTGAGATTATGTCAACTGAATGACGTCTAATTCACGGTAGGCACAAAATCTTAAAAACGTCCCACTGTCCAACAACTTATTCCTCACTCGCCATCCTATCTGAAACTAACTTGGTGAGATTTTGTATTTGATGTTGCAGCGAGACAGACCCCATCTCCTGGTGATGGTGGCAGGGGCCGCGGCCTGAGGCCCGGTGGAAAAGGTCCGTCACCCCCAGAGGAACCCTTCGGAGGGTTCAAGCTCAAAGCCGTCCCCCTGAAGTTCATCAAGAAGATTCAGGACATTGTGTTGCAGGAGGCTGAGTCTATTGGCTCCTCTGCTGTGTTTGAGTGTGAGGTCTCGCCTTCCACTGCCGTCACATCATGGATGAAAGATGGCAGCAACATCCGCGAGGACCCGAAGCACAAATTCATATCTGATGGCAAAGATCGCAAGATGAACATTATTGATGTCCAGCTGTCGGACACTGGTGAATACACCTGTGTGGCCAGGAACGCTGGCAAGGAAATCACATGCACAGCCAAGCTCATTGTTGAAGGTAAACTTATCCAATGTCAATATGTCACAACGTTAAAAAAAACAAAACTATATATCAACCTATATAACTATAAAAACAAGCTTTTTGTAGGCATGGGAAAGTACTCAGACTCAGGTATGGAAGACACTGAATGATACTTAGCCTTTATACTGTTGTTGACATGGTTTTATCTCTCTGTACAGAGCTACCTGTGAAATGGGTGAAAGAACTGGAACCAGAGACGACATGTGTAAAGAGTCAGCCTATGTATCTGACCTGTGAGCTGAACAAAGAGAGAGATGTGATCTGGAAGCGTAATGGCACTGTCCTGAAGAATAAGGCTGGAAAAGTAGCCATTAATATCATTGGTTTGCAGCATGCTGTGACCATCCAGAACTCCACCGACGAAGATGCCGGCGCCTACACATGTGAGGTGGATGGAAAGGAGGACATCAAGACACAGACCAACGTCAAAGTGATTGGTAAGCAGTTAGCAGGAGGTCGTAGAGAAAAGCTGTGACAGGTCCCAGGTTTCATCTCATATTTACACCTGCTGTGATTAGCTTCCTGCCTTCTACAATCAAACTGTTACCTTTAGTCATGTTCTCCTTAGAGCTCTGCAGTCTGGTTTGTTCTAAATGATCTGAACTCTCCGTCCTCAGAAATCATCAAAGACTGGCTGGTGAAGCCTCTGAGAGACCAGCACGTGAAACCGAAGGCTAAGGCCACATTCAAGTGTGAGCTGTTCAAGGACACTCCCAACTGGAAGTGGTTTAAAGGAGACGACGAGATCACTCCCTCTGAGAAGACAGAGATCATCAAAGATGGACAGAACATGACGCTCACCATCAACAACTGCCAGCCCAGCGATGTCTCAGATTACACCATCCAGGTGGAGGATCGCAGATACACGGCCAAACTCACCCTTGGAGGTTGGTGTCACATTTACAGAGGAGACAATCACAGGTCTTATAATGTGTTGAGTGTTTCCTGTTAACTCCGTCTGTGTGGTGTTTCAGAGCGCGAGGCTGAGATCCTGAAGCCTCTCGCCAACGTGGAGGTGGTGGAGAAGGAGGAAGCCAGCTTTGACACTGAGATATCTGAGGATGATGTAGTCGGTGAATGGAAGCTGAGGGGCCAGGTGCTGTTGAGGTCTCCGGTAAGATTTCACCTTATCTTATCTGTCTGACAGTAATAAACATATATCTGCATGTGTAGCAGAATCTGGAGGACACAGGACAAGAAGGTTTCTCTATGTTGTCTGAGTAGTATTGACCAATCACATTTAAGGGGACTTTGGTTGCACGCAGGTTAGTCGTGCATAGCCAGACCTATCTCCACAGCGCTGTGCGGAATCACCAAATTATCTACTGTTACAGGGGGAAAAAAGGTTTTGTTTATCTAAACCAATCACAGGCAGCACGGTGGTACAGTGGTTAGCATTCTTGCCACATGGCAAGCGGGTTCCTCGTTCTAACCCAGGGTAGGGGAGCTCTTCTGTGCGGAGTTTACATGTTCTTACCATGTCAGCGTGGGTTTCCTCCAGATGCTCCAGCTTCCTCCCACAGTCCAAAGACGTGCAGGTTAATTGGTGACTCCAAATTGTCCGCAGGTGTGAATGTGAGTGTGAATGGTTTTCACTATTTGAGGACATTTTCAGCAGCTGTTCTTCTTTGAGTTAGCTGCTAACCGCTAACAGCTACTTTTTAAATCTCCTATGGTGAGTCGTACACATAACATGCCATCAATACGTCATACCCGTCCAAGATCCCATCCTGCCGGCTGTCCACCTCTGCTTCCTCTTAAAGGTGAAACAACTCTGCCCCCCATTCTGCGATCGTACCTTTTATACAGAACGACGAGGCAGCAAAATATTTTTGACATTCCCACCTTGAACAGGAGATGTAAAAGGGGCTAAAAATATAGATAAAACATTATTGGAGGGGTACAGCTTTGGTCCTTAAACTAAAGTATTTGGTCTTTGTTTTCCAGACGTGTGACATCAGAGCTGAAGGCAAGAAGCGTTTCCTGACGCTGAAAAACGTCCAGCTTGATCAGGCTGGTGAAGTGTCATATCAGGCACTGAATGCCGTCACCAGCGCTGTGCTCACCGTCAAAGGTAAGAATCTGATAAACAGTAGTTTGTTTGTTGTTTGTCTGCTGTCAGTCTGAGAAAGCAAAGGTGTTTCAGAAGGTAAGAAAAGTGGCGGCTGTGTTTCTGCTTTTGTGAATAACTGCTGAATCATTCGCATCTCCCAGAGATTGAAATGGCTTTTGTCGACAAGCTGAAGGACGTTTCTGTGCCTGAAAAGAAACAGGCTAAGTTTGAATGCACCGTCACCAAAGAGGTGTCAAAGGTCATGTGGTTCAGGGGGGCGGAGATCGTCACCCCGAGCCCTAAATATGAAATACTCGATGATGGAAAGAAACACATGCTGATCATAAACAGCTGTGAGTTTGATGACGAGGCTCAGTACACCATAGAAGTGTTGGGCCTTAAATCGACCGCTCAGCTGTCAGTGGAAGGTAAGTGGCAGACAGAACCGCTTCCTGTTGTTTCTTCTTCGTTGTCATTCCATGTCTGTGGCTTTAAAGTGTCCGATGGCAACAAACCTCTCCCTCCCCTGTTTGTGTGCACTGACCTCATGTATTGCAGGCATGAGGCTCAAATTTGTGAAGCAACTTGAGGACCAAACAGTGAAAGAAGGTAAAACAGCTCGATTTGAGCTCGAGCTGACGCACGAAAACGTGCCGGTGGTTTGGTACCGAAATGAAGTGAAAATCCACGTGGGCCGAACAGTGGTTGTACAGGTGGAAGGAAAGAAACACTCTCTAGAAATGAGCTCATTGACTCTAGATGATACCTGCCAGATAAAGGCAGAGGCCAAAGGAATTTACTCCATGGCAAAACTGAATGTCATAGGTAACAACACACTTCTTCTTCTTCTTCTTCCTCTTTTATTTCAGGGCTGCAGCATGTCGTTTCATGACACATTCATCAGTGTATTTTGTTTTTATTTACTGATTATTATTATTTAATTGAAATTGATATCTGCTGAAGTGACGTTTATCTGTTGTCAGTGTTTCCTGGAGGAACTCTTCAGTCTTAGTGATGTATGTAAAGATACGACTCAATTGTATGACACTAACTGACTGTCGGTCTCGGTTCCAGAGGGTGACGCCATCTTTGTGGTGAAGCTGCAGGACTACACAGCCACAGAGAAAGACGAGGTGACTCTGGACTGTGAGCTGAGCAAAGACGTACCTGTGGTTTGGTACCACAACGAGAAGGAGATCATCGCCTCCAAGATGGTGGTCATGAGGACAGAGGCCACTCACAGGTCTCTGATCCTGAAGAAAGTGGAGCAGAGCGATAAAGGCAAATACGTATGTGACTGTGGAACAGACAAGACTTCGGCCAACATCAACATTGAAGGTAACGCGCTGTCAGTTCTGTTCTTAAACATGGAGGTGATTCTCCCTCTTTTGTTTTATAACAGCTGAAAAGTTTCAAGACAAACTGACGTTTACGTCTGTTTGTTGTGAACTGTGATGAAAAACGCAACGAAAACTTTATATTTCAGTTTGTAACAGTTTTGTTGTTTCACCACCAGCTCGTGACATCAAGGTTGTTCGGCCGATTTATGGCGTGGAGCTGTTTGATGGAGAGACGGCTCGTTTCGAGGTGGAGATCTCAGAGGACGATGTGCACGGCCAGTGGAAACTGAACGGAGAAATCCTTAGTCCTTCTAAAGTGAGCATCTCGACTGTGACATCACAGGAGATTTATGTTTTTGTATTGTGTTTATAATGTGGATAAAAGCTTGTCTGAGTCATTAATCACTGTCATATTCTTTGACAGGATGTTGACATCATCGAGGAGGGCGGCAAACACACGCTGATCCTTTACAACTGTAAAGTGCCCATGACTGGTGAGGTGGCGTACGCCGCTGCCAACGCCAAGTGTTCTGCCAACTTGAAGGTCAAAGGTAAACCAACCGCAGAGTTGCTTTATTTTTTTGTCAGTCCTGCACCTCTTGTTTCAAACAGTTAAGATTAGTCTGCCTTCAAACCAGAGAAGACAGATGGTTTTGACGTCTTCAAGAAACTCAAGCAAGTCCAGTTGCCTATAAATCAAATCAAATTGTACCCTCCAGACATATATCAACTGAAACTGTCCCATTGTTCATTAATCAAATCAGTTTTTCAATTTAATCTCCCAGCCTTTTGACACGCAGTAGTTTCCATCATTTGAACTATCCACATATTCATTGTAGGAGTTTGATCCCTTAAATCATCCAAGCACAGGTCATAAAGCCAGTTTTCAATATTCTCAAATTTTGTCTTTTTTTTTTAAGATTTTTTGAGGCACATTTTTGAGTCCCAGTGATTATAACAGAATTCCACATGCTGATTGGCCGATGCACTGTGTAGTATAGCAGTCCTCTGACCTGTACACAATTCACACATGTTGTTTAAATTTTTGTTTGAGGCTCTTTTTGTGTGTATTTGAGGATTTCAGAACCTCAACATTATCAGAAAACTTGACTTGACCTCCATACAGCAGCAAAGTAAAAATCACTCTTCGTGTTTCCCTTCAGAACTTCCTCTGAACTTCCTCACACCGCTGAGTGATGTTAGTGTGTACGAGAAGGACGAGGCGAGGTTCGAGCTTGAGGTGTCGAGAATTCCGAAGAGTTTCCGCTGGCTGAAAGGTTCTCAGGAGCTGCAGAGTGATGAAAAGTACAAGATGATCCAGGAAGGAAACATGTTCGTTCTGCTGATCCAATCGGCCGCCTACGACGACGAGGCAAAGTACATGTTTGAGGCAGAGGACAAGAGGACAACTGGCAAACTCGTTATACAAGGTAACTCGAGACCTGAGACCCAAACTTTAGTTTGGTATACATTTCTGATTAGGAGGACCTGGTAAGTGTAAAAAAGTAAACATTGTCAATTATAATAAAGTCCCAACGTTCTTCAAAGAGCTGATGATAATTTCCCAGTATTGTCAAACGAGTTCTTTCTATTTAACAGCATCTTAGCTTGTTACTGTTGCAAAAATTGGTAAAGTTTGTATGGGATATCAAACTACAAACATTATTAATCACAAATAAACAAGTTTCAACCATAAAATGTGATTTATTTGGACCTTGTCCACTTTTGTGTCGGGATCAGCTGCACACGGACTTGGCAGAGATGGCTGCCATCTTGTTTTTACATGGATTAGTGTATTGTGCTCTTACTACCACTAGATGGCACAAACAAGTATCTATGAACAAGGACAACAGGTCAAAGTTAAGCAGAATGAAGTATAATGTCCAGTAAACCCAAAATATGATGTCCTCATATGAGGACGCAGGGTCTCAAAACTCTGTTGCATTGATTTGGAATCTTTAATTTCAGACAAATTCCTTTAAGATATATTCCGTATTTCAGATGTCTGAATAGCTGTTGTTTTTTCTGTGGCAGGTATTCGCCTGGAGTTTGTCAAACCGATTAAGGATGTGACGGTTAAGGAACGTGAAACTGCAGAGTTCAGCGTCGAACTCTCCCACGACAAGATCCCGGTGGTCTGGTACAAAAACGATGTCCGCTTGCATCCCAGCAAGGTGGTCCACATGTCGGATCACGAAAAGATCCACACACTGGCCTTCAAGGAAGTCACAATCGACGACACCTCCATGATCAAAGTGGAGGCCATGGACAAGAGCATGACCGCCATGCTCACTGTCATCGGTCAGTGTCACTCTTCAGTAGCTGTTCAGCTTATGTCACCTGTTTGGTAGTTTTTTGTGTGTTTGGTTGGAAAGAAACACCCAACTTAAGTCATTTATCAAAAATTATTGGCTGGTAAAAATGTTGAACTTAATTAATGATGTTTGTTTACATAGATGACTAACATCAGATAATCTACAAACAGAAATGACACTTTTGCCTCTGTTTGAGATACTTTAAGTGTTCAAGGATTGGAAGTTTCCTTAAAAAATGGACTTTAAAAAAATTGGTATGAAGGATAAAACCAAATTTATTTGAAACACAGGAGTTCTGGTCTCTAAACTAAAACGTCTTGTCTCTCTGCAGAGGGCGACTTGTATTTCACCACCAAGCTGCAGAACTACACTGCTGTAGAGAAGGACGAAGTTAAGCTGGTCTGTGAACTGAGCAAAGCCGTCGCTGATGTCAAATGGTTCAAAGACGGGAAAGAGATCACTCCCTCCAAGAACATTGCCATCAGCACTGACGGCAAGAAGCGCATCCTGATGGTCAGGAAGGCGGAGAAGGCCAACATCGGAGAGTACACCTGCGACTGTGGCTCAGATAAAACTACAGCCAAGCTCAAGATTGAAGGTAAATCATGACGTTCAGGTTGTCATAAATTTCTAAATATAAATTAGATCATCTGCCATGTGAATCGGAGTATCATTGGCGTAGAAGTGGATAATAGTTACATGAGTGTGTTTAATTTGGTCAAGAACCTAAATCCTACTACAGTACCATGAGTACAGTTTTATTAATTTAAGAAAAGATGAGCTTTAGATTCAGTACAGTAAGCTGGTGCAGCTTAAACAAAATGGTGGATCATCAGCCGGGACATTAAAGAACTTAAAGAACAATTTTAGCAATGTTGGCACGATAAAAAAAGCATTGCTGGTAAATCCAAGCATCAACAGTGACAGAAAGATTCTTAACTTTGAGATTCTTAACTTTGAGACAGAAAGATTCTTAACTTTGAGACAGAAAGATTCTTAACTTTGATATTACGAGTTCCTGATTTTTTAATGAATTTGATGAATATGTCGAGCAGAGCCAGTGACATCATCATTTTTCAGATTAAGGAAAATGAAGTGATGCGACATCCAGTTTAATCACGGTTTCTAATTTACTTACATGGATTTGATCATCTGCCTAAAAGAGCGACGTATCATCAGAGTTTCGCTTTAGTTGTTTTGAGACATTTTTTGATGACATTCAGCTTTTGTTTGTATCAAATCTAAATGTTTTAAAGATTTTTATTTTGGACAATAATGTCTGCCAAATGAATGTATTATAGTATAAGAGGAGCAGAGGACTAAGAGCAGTGCCCTGAGGTACACCATATTTACAGCAGAAACTGTACATGTAGTATTCAGATAAGGCAGACTTTCAATTTGGTGCCTTCACTGTCCCAAAAAAGGAAGTGATTCTCATAGCTTAGAAAACAAGATTTAGCTGAGAGATCCTCCCATCCTCAACCTTCACACATTCAGCTCCACAGCTGGTCAGACTCAGAGAGCAGATGAAACATTAGGTTTCTTTAGCGCTTTCATCCCTCTTACTGTTTTTTGTCCTGATCTTTGTCCTCTTCAGAGCGGGACATCAAGGTGGTCCGTCCACTGTACAGTGTTGAGGTCACAGAGACAGAAACAGCCAAGTTCGAGACAGAGATCTCAGAAGAGGACGTTCACGGAAACTGGAAACTGAAGGGAGAAGCTCTGCATCAGTCTCCTGTAAGTCGGCTTCATATACATATATACTGCTACATACTACTACTGCATAGCACTGCATAGCACTGCATAGCACTGCATACTTCTACATAAACTGTTGTTTCTTTGACCTCAGTAAAATATGCCGATACTTGTTCCACCACTGAGAGTCATTTGCTGTTTTCTGTCAGGATATTGAGATTAAGGAGGAAGGAACCAAACATGTGCTGATCCTCTACAACGTCCGTATGGACATGGCCGGAGGCGTCGACTTCTCAGCAGCCAACGCCAAATCCAACGCTCAGCTCCGAGTCAAAGGTGAGAGCGCCTTTTTATTTCCTTATGTCTTCATTCATTAAACGTTCATCTTGTCTTCAACATACAGAAACAACCTCTGTTTTAGTTTTCCACCTTTAAACTGTGAAAAGTTGTTTTTCTCCACCCAAGCATTCGAACAGTCTCCGTCAGCATAAACCGAGGTAGAATGTAAGGAATTATGTTTTTTATTTTGGCTTAGGGGAGGGGCATACAATTTTAAATGGTTGTGCTTGTATTTATTTTACTGCCTACTGCGATTTTCCAAACTTTGGGGATAATTTCCAGGGATAATTTTTAGGAGACATTTTTGGAATGCCCTCCAAATTTAAGCGATTTTCCAAATTTAGGTTGTTATTTTAATTACTTAAATTTCTGCTTAAATTTGTACATTTTATTTGCAGTGAGTTTGAAATTAGACATATTTCTAAAAAGCACTTCAAAAAAGCCAAACTGAAACTGAACTGATGCACATGTTTAAAAACTTTATAAAATGTTGCCACAAAATAATTGAAAGCTTTTTATTCAAATGTTTTTCAAACAGGAGTTCCAATTTTATTTTGGCTGCTAAATATCAAATACAACTTTAAATGGTTTAATTCTACAGTTTTTAATCCTCCTCTTGATCTTCACCTCTTCGTCTCTCATCTGCTGACTCTGAGTTAAAACATCGTCCTTGTATTTTCAGCTGCAAAAGTGTCGAGTGTTTCAGTCTTTAACCAATCAGCTCCTGAGTTTATTTTAGCCGTTGTAGTCTTTATCTGAAGAGAGACACAGCTCTCTGATTGGAGGAACTCGACTCTGCTGCTTCACAAACTTTCTGACAGGAAACCAACCTCAGATCAGGACAGATGCATGCTCCTCCATCTCACCATGTCTTCTTCTTCTTCTTCTTCAGCTCGGTCCATTGGGCTGATGCGTCCTCTGAAGGACGTGACGGTGACGGCCGGAGAGACGGCGACCTTCGAGTGTGAGCTGTCATACGAAGGCATCGAGGTGGAGTGGTTCCTAGGAGGACAGAAGATGGAGGCCAGTGATCGGGTGAGTCAGACACCAGCAAGGAAAAGTTCTTCTCAAACAAACTAAATGTTTTAATCTGCTCTAACAAAGTAAAAAAAAAAAAAAAAGCTTCTCTAGGTTTAATAATTTTACACTTAAGAGAAACAAATTATTTCAGGACAAAATAAAATTAATTAATTAATTGAATAAAATAACTCAAGATAAGATGTTCAGATCTTTTTTCAGTGTGAACATTTATATTTAATGTATTCAGTAAAAACTGCCCCTGTTTCTGTTGTTAAACTCTTTAGAATTAGAAACAAGTAGTTCGCTGTCAGGAGGCCAAATAAATTGTTGTTGTAAATTGATAAATAAATTTCTGAAGAAAACATGTGGGCATGTTTTGAAGGCGGGTTGTTTTCCTGCCTTCCAAATTTTGAAGATTTTCCAAAGTTTTGACAATGTAGTTTTGGCTTCTTGTCTTTTAAGGGAAACCTTCACTGCAAACTTGAAAGCATGTTTTCTGTAAAAATTGCCAAAATTAGACCATTTCTCACGGCCAGAAACTGTAGGAAAAAATAATTATCCTTAATTCGAAAATTTCTGATCATCCTTTGACACATTATGTGCGACAAACATTCCCGTCACATTAAAGGAAAACCATTACCAAATCAGAACTTAAACTAGTGATACTTCATCAAAATGACTTTATTCTACATTTAAAATCTGATAAATAAAGAACAGTCCCTAAACTATAATTATCAAAATAAATGAAAAGAAACATTTTCTTGGTTCCCTTTTCAGTCAGCTACTTTATTGATTCATTTACTGATGACCGTTTAATTTTTAACAAGTATTAAACTGAAATCAGTGGGCGGAGTTTGTTTCACAGGTTTACAAATCAAAGTTGTCATGTTCTTGATGTCAGCGGTTATCACGTTCATCATGTTTGAAGGCGACAGAAGAAAAAAAATAGCAGTGACGAAAGTGGAGAAATTGGAGTATGTAATATTTTCTATTCTTTTTTAATTAAAATGAGGGAACAAAAGCAGCCGTCAAAGTCCGGATGTGTTGGTGTGTTTCCTGCAGCATTGAAGCTCCAGTGTGTCTGGTGGAGTTAAAAATAATCAGAGATAGGAGAGCAGCTGCTGTTATCTGTCACACTGTCACCTCCTTATATGTACAGAGAAACACTGTTAGCTTTGGCATGTTAGCATCAGTCTGAAGACTGAGTCACTCCCTGTGAGAGACGATGAGCTCCTGAAACAGCAACATCACATTCATGTCATTAATTAACTCTGATTTTATTTTCTACGCTTTAACTTTGATTGATGTTCATTTATCCATCACGATTTAGTTTTTTTTAGTTTTCAGACACTTTGAGTAAAATGAATTAAACAACCTCTGAATCAAATAATCAGAATGATCACAATGAGGCCTAATGTGACATGTCTAAAGTTTGTTTATATCAGGTTTAAAGCTCCAGTGAGTAGGATTTAAAGTGAATATAATATAATCAGTATGTTTTCTTTAGTGTATAATCAGCTAAAAAATAAGAATCATTGTGTTTTTACCTTAGAATGAGATGTTTATATCTGCATAGGGAGCAGGTCATCGTCTATGGAGGTCACCATGTTGCACCACCATGTTTCTACAGTAGCCCAGAGCAGACAAACTAAACACTGACTCTGGATACAGTAGGGCCATTCATGTCTTTTGTTATCAGCGTTATCAGCCTCCGCAACAAGCAGCATGAGGAAAAAAAATTCAGCTCCTGAACAATGAACACTGAAGGAATTTAACCAGGAGAAGTTTCAGCTGGTTGTAATCTGTATTAAGGGTTATCATGTCCACCTCATCAGAAACTGGGGAGGGATTAAGAGGAATATTGGATTTCTCTGGAACGCTAACTTTTTAGCACATTAGCTAACGTTAGCTTCCATAGCAAAACAAACAAGTGTCGTCCTCCTTTGTAAGATTGGCTTCCTGTGACATCATCCATCCACTGAGTGAGAGCATACAGGTCGGCCAGTCTGGTCCCGTTGGTCAGTGTTTACTTATTCAAGTAACACTGGCGGTCCCAGAGAGTGAGTGACGCTCTACACTAAAATGAGAGCCCTGTTGGTGGAAGAAACAGAGCGTTATATTTCTACATGAATTAACCAGTGGTTAAATTAATCACACATTAATTTCAGCAAATCGAAACAATAAACTGAGACGATGCTCGACACATGAATCAGAGATCTAACGAATCATCAGCTTTAATTAAGACGACTGCTCTGATTATTGAACTGACGGATTTTGTGCTTGTCTCTGCAGGTGAAGACTCGCGTGGCGGGACGAGTTCATGCTCTGACCATCAGAGACGTGAAGCTGTCGGAGGCCGGCGAAGTCAAACTGACCGCCAAAGACTTCCTGACTCAGGCTCAGCTCATCGTCAGAGGTGAGACACTCAAACACACCGGGGTCAGTGAACGCATCACACAGGCATCAGGACATGTCGTGTGTCTCTGGTTAATAATGTCTATGTGTTTCTGCTCTCAGAGCCACCAGTGGAGTTCACGAAGCCTCTGGAGGACCAGACGGTGGAGGAGGAGGCGACCGCCACGCTCGAGTGTGAAGTTTCCAGAGAGAATGCAGAGGTGACATGGTTCAGGGAAGGGCAGGAACTCAGGAAGACCAAGAAGTACGACATGATAGTCGATGGACGCAAGAGAGCGCTCGTCATCCACGGCTGCGCTCCAGAAGACGCAAAGATGTACACGTGTGATGCCAAAGAGTTCAAGACTTCCTGTTTCCTGGAGGTCACACGTAAGGATGAAACTTTTCATTTACTCAACCTTTTATTTAAAACTTTATTGTCAGAGCTCATAACTTCCTCTCAGACAGCCTTCACAATAAAAGAGTTGAATCTGAAACACAAATTGAAATTGTAATGGAGCGGCGTTTGTGTCCTCAGCTCCTCACGTGGAGTTCACAAAGCCTCTGCAGGATGTCGAGGTAAAAGAGAAAGAATCTGCCAGGTTTGAATGTGAAGTGTCCCGCGAGTCGGCCAAGGTGAGTCCTGCTGACCAATGAGCGTTCAGCTCTGCTGCCACTTTAAGATTAAAATCTGTACAGAGGAAAAGAAATGATGAAACATCATGTCTGCTGTCGTTCAGGTTCGTTGGTTCAAAGACGGCAGTGAGATCAGGAAAGGAAAGAAGTACGAGATCATCGCTAAAGGCGTCCAGAGAATCCTCATCGTCCACAAGTCAGTGTTTGACGACGAGGCCGAGTATGAGTGTGATGCCAGAACCTCCAAGACATCCGGCATGCTCACAGTTATCGGTGAGGAACATTTCACATCCTGTCAGATGTAGTTTTATAACGTTACAAACAGCAATATTAGAATCTGATCAAACATCTGTCAGTCAGGGTCGTAAGTCACTGTCTTCAGTGTAAGCACAGATGACAGATCCAGAAGAATTCATTCTGTCATTTATATAATTACACACAAACAACTTAAATAACGTTATACAGACTGTCATAGATTCATGTTTGTTTCCTGTAAATTAACTGAGGACAAATTAACAGGAAGGAACAATCTGTGGTACCACAGGTGAGAACTCCAGTTACATGACTTGGACTCGACTCAGACTCCAGTCACAAATTTGAGTCAACTCGACACATTGTCTGGACTCTAACATCAATAAATCCTGAATTCACTTGGACTTGAGCCTTTGACTTGAAATTGATATCTTCCCCAAAACATTCAGAGTTTTTATAACCTTAATATTTTATTTCTCTGTTGTTAAAATAGTTTTACATTTAGTGAAGAGAGCATTATGACTTCAGGACTCAAAGTCATGTTTAGGACTTGGGACTTGACTTGGGACTTGTCAATCTTGACTTTGAACTTCTTGGTCATGACTTGGGAATTGACTTGGGACATGTCAGTCTTGACTTGAGACTTTACTTTGAACTTGTCAGTCTTGACGTGGGACTTGTCAGTCTTGACTTTGAATTTCTCAGTCCTGACTTGGGACTTGTCAGTCTTGACTTTGGACTTGTCAGTCTTGACTTGGGACTTGTTGGTCTTGACTTGGGACTTGACTTTGAACTTGTCAGTCTTGACTTTGGACTTGACGTAGGACTCGTCAGTCTTGACTTGGCACTTGACTGTGATGCCAGAACCTCCAAGACATCCGGCATGCTCACAGTTATCGGTGAGGAACATTTCACATCCTGTCAGATGTAGTTCGAACTTGAACTTGTCAGTCTTGACTTTGGACTTGACGTAGGACTCGTCAGTCTTGACTTGGAACTTGTCAGTCTTGACTTTGGACTTGACGTAGGACTCGTCAGTCTTGACTTGGAACTTGTCAGTCTTGACTTGAGTCTTGCTTTGGGACCTGACTTGGGAATCGTCAGACTTTACTTGGGACTTGACTCGGGACTTCTCAGCCTTGATGGAGAAAAGTTTGATGATTCTGATAGTCAGATCAGACTCCGCCCCCTCATTAACCTCTTCTGCTGCTGCTGTTGTGTGATTGGTCGCAGAGGAGGCAGCCAGGTTCACCAAGAACCTGTCCAATGTGGAGGGGATGGAGACGGATAGTGTGAAGATGATCTGCGAGGTGTCGAAGGCCAACGCCGAGGTCACATGGTACAAAGGAGACGAGGAACTGCCTGAGGGCGGACGCTACGAGCAAATCATGGACGGACGCAAGAGGATCCTGATCATCCAGGACCTGAGGATGGACGACGCCGGCGAGTACAACTGCAGGCTGAGTCCCACCGTCAGGACGTCCGCCAGGCTCAAACTCAACGGTACGTTTCATCATTCTGTCAGATGACGTCTAGCGTCTAAAGTCTTACTTCCTTTATGTGATGTAAAATAACCACTTTAACACTTCCTAACTTCTTCTTCTTTTCTCCAGAACTGGCGGCCGAGTTCATCGCCCGTCCTCAAAACCAGGAGGTGGTGGAGGGTGAGAAGGCCGAGTTCGCCTGCTCCGTCTCCAAGGAAACCTACGAGGTGAAATGGTTCAGAGGAGACAAGGAGGTAGAATCAGGGGAAAAGTATACCATTGTCAGCGAAGGAAAGAGAAGAGCTCTTATTGTGAAAAACTGCGAGCTGAAGGATGAAGGCGGCTACGTCGCCCACATCGGCGCCGTCAGAGCCTCCGCTGATCTGCTTGTGATTGGTAAGACTCCTCCTCCCACTTCATGTTTTGTTTTTTTGAGGGCGAAGGTTTGGTGCTGATCAGTTCGTTGTGTATTTCAGAGAAACTGAGGATCATCACGCCAATTAAAGACACGGAGGTGAAGGAAGGAAGTGAGATCATGTTCAACTGTGAGACAAACACAGAGGGAGCGAAGGCCAAGTGGCTAAAGAACGAGGAGACGATATTTGAGAGCAGCAAGTACATGGTGCTTCAGAGGGACAACGTCTTCTCTCTGAGGATCAGAGAAGCCCAGAAGGCCGACGAGGCCAGCTACACCGTCAGCCTCACCAATCACAGAGGAGAACACGCCAAGTGCACCGCCAGCGCTAGAGTGACAGGTAAATACCAGGACAAACTGATTAAATTTTGGTGCTCAAAGGTAAAGGTTAAAGTGACCTTGTGTCTGTCCCATTCTGGTGAACACAATATCTTAAGAAAGCTTTGGGAGAATTTCCTCAAATTTGGCACAAACATCCACTTGGACTCAACCATGAACTGATTAGAATTTTGTGGTTGTGGCTTTGTGCTGAATTTGGTTGTCAGAGGTTAAGGTCAAGGTCTCTTTGACCTTGTGTCCATGCCATTTCCGTGAGCATGATATCTCAAGAAACGTTCAAGGAAAATTCTTCAAATCTGGCACAAATGTCCATTTGGACTAAAAAATGAACTGAGTAGATTTTGGTTGACAAAGAACATGGTTACTGTGACCTTGCATCAAGCTCATTCATGTCAACACAATATCTTAAGAAAGCTTTGAGGGAATTTTCTTCAACTTTGGCACAAATGTCCACTTGGACTCAACTATGTACTGATTAGAATTTGGTCGTCAAAGGTCAAGGTCTCTTTGACCTTGTATCTATGCCATTCTCGTGAACATCAAGATCAAGAAACTTTAAGGGAAATTCTCCAAATTTGGCACAAACATCCACTCAGACTCAACTATTAACTGATTAGAATTTTGTGGTCAAAGGTCACTGTGACCTCACGAAAAAAATGTTTTTGGCCATAACTCAAGAATTCATACAGTAATTATGACAAAATTTCATCTACACATCTAACAGGATGAAATGATGAAGTGGTGGCATTTTAAATATAAAACCTCAAAAGTCAATTTCATGTCCATGTGAACTGTTGGTGATGAACCTGAGAATCAGAATGACCGTCTGTTTTTTTGCCTCCACAGAGGAGAAGCTGAAGTTCTTGGATCCCATGGAGGACATCGAGACTCAGGAGAAGAAGACCATCAGCTTCGTCTGTAAAGTGAACCGGCCTGAGGTGACGGTGAGGTGGATGAAGGCTGGCCAAGAGTTGACGCTCAGCAAACGCATCGTCTACAGAGTCGACGGCCTCAAACATACACTGACCATCAAGGACTGCGTGATGGACGACGAGGGCGAGTACACCGCCATGGTCGGAGATGACAAGTGCTCCGCAGAGCTGATCATCAGTGAGGCGCCGACAGACTTCACGGCACAGCTGAAAGACCAGACCATCACCGAGTTTGAGGACGCCGAGTTCACGTGCAAGCTGAGCAAAGAGAAGGCCCTGGTGAAGTGGTATAGGAATGGACGAGAGATCAGGGAAGGACCAAGGTAAAAGTTCTGTATTTACATTAACGACCACACGATTACGATACCTGAACTGACGTATCAGCAGACACAGAGTACCTGGTTTATAGGCAGAAATGAAGATTTGCCTTTGATTCGATTTGTGTTTTTGCAGATATCACATGGAAAAAGAAGGCAAGACGTGCACACTGATCGTTAAGGTGTGCAGACCGGATGATGAATGTGAATATGCCTGTGGTGTAGACGAGAGGAGGACCAGAGCCAGACTCTTTGTAGAAGGTAAACTCTTCAAACCTCCATCTTGTTACATCTCCACCTCAACAACAGACATGAACTGGAGGTGTTCTGTTTTCAGTTTGTTCATTCATCTCATTATCGTGAACGTGATATCTCAAGAACAGTTTGAGGGAAGTTTTTCAGATTTGGCACAAACAGCTACTTGGACTCAACAATGAACTAATTAGATTTTGGTGGTCGTAGGTCAAAGTCAGTTTGACCCCGCCCCTTTCATTTTTGTGAATTTGATATCACAGAAAGTCTTGAGGGAATTTCCTCATATTTGGGACAAACGTCCACTTGGACTGAACTACGAACTGATTAGATATTGGTGGTCATAGGTCAAAGTCAGTGTGACCTTGGACTCAACGATGAACTGTGAACTGGATGAACCATGTTTTAGAAGATGTAGCTTCTTTGTAGCAACATCCATATTTGAAGCGTTGTAAACTGTCATGACTACATGAGTCTGGACAGACATCGATGTAAACTGCAACTCGACTGGTTTGTGGTAGCAACAACAGCGAGGTGGTGATTTTACATTTGTACTGAGGTGAGTGTGTCTACTTTCTGTCTGTCCTGCAGAGACGCCAGTGGAGATCGTCAGACCTCCTCAGGATGCATTTGAACCTCCAGGCTCAGACGTTGTGTTTGAGGTGGAGCTCAACAAGGACAGAGTGGAGGTGAAGTGGATGAGGAACAACATGATCATCGTCCAGGGAGACAAATACCAGATGATCAGCGAGGGTAAAGTCCACAGACTGCAGGTCTGTGAGATTAGACCTCGAGATCAGGGAGAGTACAGGATCGTCGCCAAAGACAAGGATGCCAGAGCCAAGCTGGAGCTGGCAGGTGAGTCGACCCTGAGATACTACTCAGATTATTTCACACACTGTCAGAAAATAGTTCTTGCACACACCTTTACAGGCAGATCATGTGATTACTCCACGATCAGACAGTATAAATAATAAAATAAAATCTCCTCTGCAGCTGTTCCAAAGATCAAAACTACCGACCAGAACCTGGTAACAGACGCTGGTAAGCCCTTCATCATGAGCGTGCCCTACGACGCCTACCCTCGCGCTGAGGCAGAGTGGTTCTTCGAAGGCACCAGCCTGCCTGTCCAGAACATCGATACCTCAACCGATAAGACTGAGCTCCGCCTTAAGAGCCCCAGCAAGGAGGACCAGGGCCGCTACAGGGTGGTGATCAGGAACAAGCACGGCCAGGGAGAGGCCTTCATCAATCTGGACGTGATTGGTGAGTCAGTGACTTGTGATTGGATAATTTCTTGATTCTGTACCCGATGTATTCCTGTGGATGTCAGAGCAGGTTTTAATTGTTGTATTGGTTGCTTCCAGATGTCCCTGGACCTGTCAAGAACCTGAGGGTGGTTGACACCGCTGATAATGAGGTCAGTTTGGCTTGGGAGGAGCCTGAGAGTGATGGCGGAAGCAAGATCCTCTCCTACGTGGTGGAGAGACGTGACGTGAAGCGTAAGACCTGGACATTGGCTACAGACCGTGCTGATACTCTAGAGTACTGTGTCAGTGGCCTCCAAAAGGACTCCTTCTACCTGTTCAGAGTCTGCGCTAGAAACAGAGTCGGCAGTGGGCCCACTGTTGCCACAGAGGATGCAGTCCAGGCCAAGAACAAGTTTGGTAAGAAATGCTTAAAGATCGCCTCTGACATTCACCTACTGACTCTGCAGTTTTCAATCTAATCAACTCCTTCATATGTTTGATTTCTTCCATCAGATGTTCCAGATGCACCGGAGAACGTTGCAGTTGGCGTGGTGAACAGGTTTGGTGCCACCATCCACTGGGAGCCTCCCTTGAATGATGGCGGTTCTGAGATCATCGCCTACGTGATCGAACTCCGTGACAGGACCTCTGTAAAGTGGGAGGCGGCCATGGTCTGTGGCGCCAACGACCGCTCAGTCACGCTGAATGACGTTGTTGAGAACAAAGAGTACATCTTCAGAGTCCGGGCCGAGAACAAGGCAGGCATCGGCAGACCCAGTGCCGCCACCACACCTGTCAAGATCATGGATCCCATTGGTGAGTGAAAACCTTGAATGTTTATTCAAGTCTGTAAAAAACATCAGATGATCTAAATTCATTGGACTTTTTGTGTTGTGGCTGCAGAGAGGCCTAGCCCACCTCTGAACCTGAACTTTAGTGACCAAATCAAGACAGCAGTCACGCTGACCTGGGAGACACCCATCAACAACGGCGGCAGCACGATCACAGGATACATCATTCAGAAATGTGAAGAGGGCACCGATAAGTGGATGCGCTGCAACGCCAGACTGTGTCCTGACCTCTCCTACCGGGTACAGAGCTGACCACAGAGTTTAACCTTCTTTTGACTTCATTTTATTGTATTTCTCTACTGCGGTTATTTTGTGTTTTTAGAACAAACTAAAAAGTGAAAATACACTTTCCACTGTAATTTCGTCCCCTGATGGATTTTAACTTCAACACTGTTTATTTATTTTATGAAACTCTATTGACGATTGTTTTCCTTTTTGCACTCTTCAGCTGTCTGGTCTGAAAGGTGGTCAAAAATACCTCTACAGAGTTAGTGCTGAGAACGCAGCTGGTGTCTCTGATCCATCTGAGCAGCTTGGACCCCTGCTTGCTGACGACCCTCACGGTACAAGACCAGCAATAGAATCAATCAACAGTAGAACAGACAACAAAAGTCTAAAACTCAACTCTGTTGGTTTTTGAATCAGTAGGATGTTTTTATAAATTCAATTTAAAGATATGAAATGTGTCAGGCTTATTGAAGCACTGAAACAATCCACTAGATGGCAGTAAAGCTCAACTGATGTCTTTCTGTCCAAACTTGTCTCTAAAACATTTTTCCCTCCTGGCAGTTGGTCCGACCTTTGACTTGAGTGGCTTCAGGAAAGGCCTGGAAGTGATTGTCCCTCAGCCCCTCACCATCAGAGTCCCCATCACTGGATACCCGACTCCCGTCGCCAAGTGGACCTTTGGAGAGAAGGAGCTGACCACTGAGGATGAGCGCGTCTCCATGGTGACAAAGCCCACATTCACAGAGCTAACGGTCACACCAAGTGTCCGTCCCGACAAAGGCACCTACACCCTGCAGCTAGAGAACGATGTTGCGTCCATCTCGGGAGAGATCGAAGTCAACGTCATTGGTAACGACAACTTCTTTTGAGTTTAAACAGTTGGAACAGAAGCTGTTTCAGAAATGGATGGAAGTTGTTGTTCATCCATTTTTTTACATGCTTACTACCATACCATATAAAGTAAAGATTTTTAATTTATTGTTTGCTACCTTTATCCTCCCAGCGACACCTAGTGCTCCTAAAGACTTCAAGGTGGCCGAGGTGACCCGACACCACGTCCACCTGATGTGGGAGGCTCCGGAGCATGACGGAGGAAGTCCAGTCACTCACTACCAGATCGAGAAGAGAGAAGTGTCTCGGAAGACCTGGGCCAAGGTACATCTGAGTGTTTACCTGTGTTGGTATCAGAGAATCTATGTGACTTTTAAAGGGTCTTTAGAACACCTTTAAACTGTATTCAAACACAACACAAAGTGAATTCTGTCATGAATTTAGACAATGTCAAAAGAACGATGAAAGCAGATTTGAATTTGCTCTGCATAGAACTACAGACGTCCTATAAAGCACAACAGAAATTCAGCATTTTGCACCTGTGCAGCCTTTTCCTGAAAAAAAAAAAAAAAAAGAAAAACATATCATGGACAAACAAAATGACAAAAATTTTGAAGGTCCTTTTTACTTTGACAAGACCAAGCTACAATCAAAACTCTAGGTTGAAATTTAGTTTGAGGCCAAAAAAAGTACAAAGGAATACGTTACTACTGTTGCTATGATAATATGATAATATGTTGCTAATTCGTCAGGTGGCTACCGGCATCCTGGACCTGGAGTACACAGTAACAGATGTGATTGAAGGAAAGGAGTATCTGTTCAGTGTCTCTGCCTGCAACAAGTGTGGACCTGGAGAGCCAGCATACAACGACGAGCCCGTCAACGTGTCCTCTCCTGCCAGTGAGTATTTTTTCTGTCGGTCTGAGATCGATTAACTCAGAGTGAAGCCAACTTTATGAGATCAGAGCTGAAAATGAGGTGATGACTTCCTTTCTTTTTGAGAAAACTGAAATGGTATGTCTTCTTTTCCCCAGCTGTACCTGATCCTCCTGAGAACCTTAAGTGGCGCGATAAGAGCGGCAAGACCATCTTCCTATCCTGGGAGCCTCCAAGGTACGACGGCGGTGCCCCTCTCAAAGGCTACGTGGTGGAGAAGTGTCAGCGTGGTACCGAAAAGTGGGAACCCTGTGGTGAACCCATCCCTGAACTGAAGTAAGACTGAACAGTTTGTCAGTAGGCTGAGTGTGTCCTTTGGCTTATTTTGATTTATGCCCTGGTCTATATGTTGGGACGGTCTTGTATAATATGTGTTTTGTGCTCACAGGTACAATGTGAGAGGCCTGATCGAGGGTCACTGGTACGCCTACAGAGTCAAAGCTTTCAACAAGTTGGGAGCCAGCCGACCCTGCAGGGCTACCGATGAGATCCAAGCCGTCGACGCCAGAGGTAGGCCAGCTAGTGCTCCATCAGCCTTGCTCACTCTGGAATAATGCCTGATTTCAGGTCAGGAACAGGAAAAATATTAGGAGTAATATGGTTGGGAGTAAAAGTAATGAAACACGAAGTGAGACAAATGGGATTTGGATCAGGAGTAATGGAATTGGGAGTAAGAGTATTGGGATTGGGAACAGAAGTAATGGGAATGAGAGTAAGAGTAATGGGAAAAGAAGTGAGACAAATGGGATTTGGATCAGGAGTGATGGAACTGGGAACTAGGGTAATGGGATTGGGAACAGAGGTAATGGAATTTGGAAGAGGAGTAATGGCATCAAGATTAAGAGTATTGGGATTGTGAGTAGGAATAATTGAATCAGGAGTGACAGTAATGGAATACGAAGTTAGAGTAATGGGATTTTGAACAGGAGTAATGAAATCAGGAGTAAGACTAAGAGGATAAGAAGTTGGACTAGTGGGGTTTGGATCAGGAGAAATGAGACTGTGAGTAAGAGTATTGGGAATTGTGTGCAATTTCCTGCACAGGATGTGGATTTTAAGCCAATCTTTTCCTCAGATTTTGTTCTCTCTGACACTTTTCAGAGCCTCCAGAGATCCAGCTGGATGTGAAGCTGCTAGCTGGTCTGACCGTCAGAGCTGGTACGAAGATCGAGCTTCCAGCAGACATCAAAGGAAAGCCGGATCCCCGAGTGAAGTGGACCAAGGCTGACCTGGTCTTGCGGGCTGATGACCGCATTAACATTGAAACCCAGCCTGGAAACTCCAAGGTGACCATTGCCAACACAACTAGAGGAGACACCGCCACCTACATCATCGAGGCAGTCAACCTCTGCGGACGTGCCACCGCCACCATTGATGTCAACATTCTTGGTACAGATGCTAGTTTATTATGCGACCTGTAAAGCCTAACCTGTACCCCAAACTGTAGCTAGCTGTTAACTTTAACCAGAACAGTCATACTAACAGTGTATCAAGCGATCCATGACCCAATGACCATCTTTTTTAAAGTAAAAGAGGAGCATTTGTTGTTTTAAAATTTAAGAAGTATTCTGGACTCTCCTTACGAAGATTATTGGATGGTTTAAGCAGCCTTGTCCTGTCTTCAAGTTGTAGTTAGCTGCTAACATGTTAGCAAGTCATCTCTAGTCAGAAAATGGAAGTACATCTTCTCCAAACACCAACCTCAAACTTAAGCAAGTGTAGGCTACTTATTTTACAAAACAAACAGATGACAAAGTGGTCTGTTCCTGAGACATAATGTTTAATCTCCTTGTCTTTAGATAAACCCGGTCCTCCAGCCGCATTGGACATCTCCGAGATCACCAATGAGTCATGCTTCCTGGCGTGGAACCCTCCCAGGGATGATGGTGGCTCGCCTGTCACCAACTACATCATTGAGAGTCGGCAGACGGACAAAGAGGAGTGGGTGAAGCTGTCTGCCACAGTGAAACAAACCACTTTCAAGGCCTGCAAGCTCACACCTTTGAAGGAGTACATCTTCAGGATTAGTGCAGAGAACCAGTACGGCATTGGCGAACCTGCAGAGCATGTGCCAATCACTGCGAAGTATGCCTTCGGTGGGTTTATTTACAAAACTGTCTATCAAAAAGGTTCCTTTTGAAGACTTGATGTATGATGGTAAAATCTAAAAATCCAATGATACATTGCATAATTGCCGATCTGTTTCAGATCCTCCTGGTCCTCCAACCAGAATCACTCCCTCCGATATCGCCAGGGATGCCGTGACTCTGACCTGGATCGAGCCTGATGAGGATGGCGGCAGTCCCATCACCGGATACTGGGTCGAGAAGCTTGATCCAGAGACAGACAAGTGGATCAGATGCAACAAACTGCCCATCACGGAAACGACCTTCAGGTAAATAATCACAGCCAACGAGCTGAAAGATGTATGTAGAGGGTACGTTGAATATTTTTTCTAACGTTGCGTCCATGTGGCTGCAGAGTTAAGGGACTCCCCACCAAGAAGAAGTACCGCTTCCGTGTATTGGCAGAGAATCTGGCTGGACCTGGAAAACCAAGCGTAGAGACTGATCCCATCCTCATCAAAGATCCCATCGGTATGTCCCATCAGTGCTATTACTCCACTTTGTTTCAGTCTAAAAGTGCTGCAATCAATATATTGATGATGATTTTTGGATTGCGAGTGAGAGTAATTGGTCTCTTCTTCAGATCCTCCTTGGGCTCCTGGTAAACCTGTCATCAGGGATATCGGCAAGACCACAGCCCTGCTGGCATGGACCAGGCCGGAGCACGATGGTGGGGCAAAGATCGAAGGCTACATCATCGAGTTCCAGAAGACTGGAAGTGAGGAATGGATTCGCATTGCAGAGGATGTTCCTCTGACTGAGCACCAGCTACAGGGTCTGATGGAGAAGCAGGAGTACTCATTCCGGGTCAGGGCTGTCAACAAGGCCGGACAGAGTGAACCCAGCGATCCCAGCGACCCCGTGGTCTGCAAGGAGAGACTCTGTAAGTCCAACTCGAGGGCAGATGGGGGGTGAGAAGCACAACAGGCTGTTTCTTAAAAGATAATAGTCTTTGAGAAAACTTAAAAACAGAAAACTGTTTTTAAGAGACTCAGAGGACGCAGATGGAGCATGTACCACTCATGCAATCAGACAACCATATCACCCTCTCTGTAACACTGGAAGAAGTACCTGCTCAGCTTCATTTTGTTTGTGACGGCAGACTATTACTCATCAAGACAATCTAGCTATTGAGTACCAGGACTTAATGACCAAAACATGCTGTGCATGTTTGAGTTTTAAAAGTCCATTCCCAGGCTGAAGAAATCCACAATCAGACAAACACTGACTGCCTTTCATTCACCCTTATCCTTTTTTTCTCTTCAACAGATCCCCCATCTCCTCCTCAGTGGCTGGAGGTGACAAACATCACCAAGATCAGCGCCGACCTGAAGTGGCAGGCTCCAAGCAGCGACGGAGGCTCGCCCATCACAAACTACGTGGTGGAGAAGAGGGACGTTAGGCGGAAGGCCTGGCAGACTGTTGACACCACCGTCAAAGACCTCAAGTACACGGTGACTCCCCTTAACGAAGGGTCGCTGTATGTATTCCGCGTCGCTGCTGAGAATGTTGCTGGGATGAGTGAATTCTGTGAGCTGGAGGACGCTGTGCTCGCCAAAGACACTTTCAGTAAGTTCTTGGCAGTTGTCAGCATCACAGGCATCTGTCTTTCAGAAAAATAGTCAGTTTGGGGTTTTTCACTTTTAATTCACTGAGGTATAACTTGAGCAACAAGTTAAGCTCAAACAACGTATTTGTAAACAGTTAAGAGCTTTTTGTCAATGAGAATTATTACACCTTTTTGGCTTCAGACAAACTGTCCAGTATGGATGTTGATATTTGTCACGTTCTCTGCAGCCACACCTGGACCTCCTTATGCCCTTACGGTGGTGGATGTCACCAGGAGACATGTGGAGCTGAAATGGGAAGCTCCTAAGAGCGATGGTGGAAGAATCATAACCAAGTAAGACTACAAACTCCTGTAAAGCTACTGTGTAGATTGCTGTAAAGCAAAAATAGATTATATGAGATGATGTCGAGGGAAGTGTGAATGTGCTTCTTGCAGTTAGAAAATTCTATAAAACTATAAAAAGTCCTAATTTGCCTTTTATACTGTCAGTGACGCCAAATACAATTAAGGACAATCACCTTTTTCCTCCCAGGTACGTGATTGAGAAGAAAGAGAAGGTTGGAACTCGCTGGTTGAAATGCTGCAAGACTCCAGACAGAAAGACTCAGTTCAAGGTGACGGAGGTGGACGAAGGCTCTGAGGTGCAGTTCCAGGTCAGAGCTGAGAACGAGGCTGGAGTTGGAGATCCAAGCGAACCCACTGAGATCCTCACCGTTGAGGATGCAACCAGTAAGAGACATGTTAATAGCAAACGCAAACATATGGCTTTGTTCTTGTAGTTGAACACTGATCACTTTTAGAAATCCGTACAAAACTGTCAGAAACATCTCAGATGTAAACTCTGATGTTCTCCTCTTTCTCCAGGCGTCCCATCTCCTCCTGAGGAAGTGAAAATCCCTGATGCCAGCAGAGAGCACATCAATGTCACCTGGAAGCCTCCGGCCAAAGATGGTGGCTGCCCAATTACCGGCTACCATGTGGAGGTGGCTGAGGCCCGTCCAGAGCTGAAGTGGCTGAGGGTGAACACCAGACCCATCAAGGAGCTCAAGTTCAGGATTGAGGAGGGAATCAAACCAGAGAAGAAGTACGTCATCAGGGTCCGCGCCATCAACTCTGTTGGTGTCAGTGAACCCTCTGAGATCTCTGACAAGGTCTTCACCAAGGATCCTGACTGTAAGCATCGAATTTAATTTTAAGAATTGTAAAGAAGCGCAGTGAAAACACTGATAATTAACCCTGACTGATAATCCTGTCCTCTGGTCTCAAGGTGCTCCAACCATGGATTTGGAGGCAAAGGATGTGGTCATTGTTGAAGGGGAGAAGCTGCACCTGAACATCCCCTACAGGGCGATCCCCACACCCAAGATGGTTTGGCAGAAGGACACGGTAGAGTGTAAAGCCGACGATCGGCTTACCATGACGGTGGAGATGAACAATGCTCACCTAGAGCTGCTCAAGTGCAAGCGTGCCGACGCCGGCGCCTATGCCATCACCCTGGAGAACACTCTGGGAACCGCCACTGGGACGGTCAACGTCACAGTCATTGGTAGGATGCCCTTCATACCGTTGAAATACATCACAGTGCTTTGTTCATATGTGATTAACATATATCAGCACAAACGTTGTTTCAACATGGGGTTTTTTATACAAATTATTTTGCTGGGACTTCATTACCTCAGTATTTTTAAAGACCTGCCTGCATCACTGTGATAATTAACATTCTAGATTAACAGGAGTCATCCTCTGACTAATTCTTGCTTCTTTCCTGAACCCTGCAGGACTCCCCGGTCAGTGTAAAGACATCTCTTCCAGCGACGCCACCAAGAACTCCTGCAAGATCAGCTGGGTAGCCCCAGAGGATGATGGTGGCACTCCAATCACTAGCTACACACTGGAGCGACGCGAGGCCTCCAAGAAGACCTACATGCCTGTCATGTCGGGAGAGAATGTCCTGACCTGCACCATCAAAGACCTTTTCATGAACTGCCAGTACTACTTCAGAGTGAAGGCCATCAACAAGGTCGGAGCCGGAGAATATCTGGAGCTACGCAACCCAGTCTTCATAGAGGAAGTCAAACGTAAGTCCAGTTTTCTGACAGAGGATTGATTAAACCAGGTGGTCTTTATGGAAACGGCTCAGACATTTACTCTCTGTTCTAAATATCACTTCCACAGGGAAACCCGACCCACCCATCCAGGTGGAGGCTATCGACCCGACATCCAAGTCCATCACGGTCACCTGGATGGCACCAGACAATGACGGTGGCTGTCCCATCCAGGGCTACATCTTGGAGAAGATGGAAAAGGATGGTGACCGCTACGAGAGGGTCACCCCGAGCCTGGTCCCTGGTTTCTCCTATGTGGTGACAGGCCTGACAGAGGAAACGGAGTACCAGTTCAGGGTTAGAGCTGAGAACGCTGCCGGAGTCAGCGAACCATCCCGCAGCACACAGCTCATGAAGGCTGCAGACCCTGTCGGTATGGAGAACTATAAATGCTTTGACTCACTTATTGAAAACACAATTAACCTACTACCCACATCATATAACTCTTCTTCCATTTTCAGAAAAACCAAAGGTCACCCTCCACGCCCGCGTGCAGTCCGGTTTGTGCGTTAAGAAGGGCGACGAGATCTGCATCGAGGCCTACATCTCCGGCTCCCCGTATCCCAAAGTCACTTGGATGAGGAACAACGAGGATGTCACTAAAGAGCCAACCAAGAAGATCATGCCCTTAGTCAGGAAGAAGAAGAAGAGCAAGGCCAAGGTTTGTGTCTTCAGAGAGTCCTGAACGCTTTCATGTACATGTACATGTTTTTTAATAATATATTACATTTTTCTTTCATTCCTTCAGGTTCCTGAACCAGAGGAGGAGTTTATAACTCCCCTGCGTCAACGTCTGGGTTTGGATCAGACCAAGAGGGGTCAGTCCATACTAATGATCCGCGAAGCCGTCAGATCCGACCACGGCGAATTCACCATCCAGGTGGAGAACACTCACGGTGTTGCTAGCGCCTCCTGCGAGGTCAACGTCCTCGGTAAGACAGATTTTCAGGACTTTCCGTCTGATACCTGAACCTGCAGGTCACATGACCTCCTCATAGTCATCACTAAGTTTTTATCAGTTGAATAAGGGTTTAGATCGGTCGTCAGTTCTACATAGATTATAAAAAATGCAACTGCTAAACTGAAATGAAAGAAAAGGTAAAAAATGACCTCATGAGTATGTTTATGTCTTATGTTTAAATGTGTTTGGTACAAACCTCCTCAATCCTGCTGAGATTAAATGTCAACCCAACACTGTTCTGACGCAGACAAACCTGGCGCTCCGATCAACATCACCTTTGACGAGATCAGGGACACGTCTGTCATCTGTAACTGGGAGCCACCCGTGGATGATGGAGGCAGCGAGATCTTGAACTACATCTTGGAGAAGAAGGACAACAAGAACGAAGAGGTCAGCTGGATCACAGTCACCACCACCCTGAAGGGCACCAGCTGCCCCGTCACCAAACTCATCGAAGGGAAGGAGTACATCTTCAAAGTCACCGCCGAGAACAAGTATGGCTGCGGACCGCCATGTATCTCTGAACCAGTGGTTGCCCACAACATGTTTGGTAAGTGAAGAACAGAAATGTTTCATAACTCCAAAATACTATCAAATGCTACCAAAGCTGTGACCTCAGATGGAGTCACAGTTATCTGACAGGCTGAAAAATGCACAATAGATACACGTCTAAATGTCGTTAACTGAACCACCAACATGCACTTTCTTAAACCGATGTACAGAATTTCTTCCTTTTTTCTTTAACTTTGGTATCACTTCGTAAGAGTGGCACATTTCCTTTTTCTTCCTATGTTAAAAAAAAGTCACTCTACCGTTCTCGTCCCCCCTCAGATCCTCCCGACGCTCCCAACACCCCCAGAGTCCACGAGGTGACGGCGAGCAGCGTCCGCATGTCTTGGCATGAGCCGAAGGATAACGGCAGCCCAATCCTGGGCTACTGGATCGAGAGGAAGGAGGTGAACAGCAAATACTGGACCCGAGTCAACCGTGTCCTCCTCAACTCCCTGGATATGAAGGTCACCGGCCTGATGGAGGGACTCACCTACATCTTCAGAGTGTGTGCAGAGAACCTGGCCGGGCCTGGGCCCTTCAGCGAGCCCACCGACCGCATCGTCGCCATGGATGCCATCAGTAAGTGTTTTAGGCCAATCAGAGGTCACATGGTCAAAAACATCACAGAGTTCTTCATGGAGGCTCAGTCTGACCTGTAACATTACTGCCACTGTACAATCACTGTGATTATCAAAATGTCTGAATGTAGAATTCAGATCAGTCACATTCAGAGACACAAACTGTTATGATATCAAATTTCAGTAGTACCTGGATACTGGATGCAAAGACGGCGTTTATTTATTCCAGTGGAGTCACTCACCTGGCGCTTACGCCAGAAAAGTTTCTAGCTTCTTGGTTTACGTCTGCAATTTGTGGCCCACTGAATATGTGCAGTATCAGATATAGTCAGATAGTCTTTACACTGTGATGAAGTCACAGATTTTTAAACCACTTCTTTTAGCTTGAGGGAAAGTTTTACAAACATAAAACCGCCATCATCACCAATCAAAGCAATTTCATTTATCGACGGGCTTCGCCAACTCAACATGCTGAATCAGCCAAAAATTCATTTACTGACTGAAGTATGTCCCACTCTGCTACGAAAGTTTGCGATATGCCTCCTTTCAGCTTCTTAGTATTGGACCTTTTATTAGTTGACCTGTTACATCACAGACCAAACAATCACCATCCTGTGTTTTTTTTTTTGTTTGTTTGTTTTTTTTTTATTTAACCTTTATTTTACCAGGCAGATTTGCTTGAGATCAAATGATTTCTTTACAAGCAAGGCCTGGCCAAAATGGCAGCATTAAAGAGGCAAACATAATAAGACACACATAAAAAAGAAAGCACAGACATGAGAAAAAGAGACAAAGGCCCAGAGTCCTATGGAGGGGTTATGCCCTACAAATACAGTGGGGGAAGGGGGAGGAGGTGGAGAGAGCTGGATGGGGGCAGAGAAAGTGGTAACAGGTGATCATAAGGAGGAAAAGTTCATGTTAAACAAAACAGTGCACCACAATACACATTAAAAGAACACTTATGTGATGATGATAAAATACTACGCAGTAAAACATTTACACACTCCAAAATTTGCCATTATAAAGCCTGTAAGCCGAGTTTTAAAATCATTAATGGTGATAAGTTCCTGCAAATTTATTGATTTTTGAAGACTGTTCCAGGTGGAGGGAGCAGAGTACATGAATGCCCTCTTCCCAAGCTCAGTACAAGTTCTGGGGACAGAGGCAGATACAAAGTCCAGAGAGCGCAAACTGTGTGATGGAGTTTATGTGTTTTCCTCCCATCCATGTGTTCAAAAATATTGAACTCTTTCAGCTGACACAGCATGAACTGTGTCTCATTGTCCTTCCAAAAATGCATGGCTCGTGTAGATTTGTAGATTTCTCCATGTTGTTACTGGCTCCTTCTGCTGTTACACATTTAATGATATTGGCCTTCTCGGTCAAAGCCCCGGGCAAAAACTGTGGAGCATGCTCAGAGTGCCGCGGCTAGTTGCAGGAGGAATTCAACTTCCAATCACATTATCTGGGTGTGTTAGTCCAACTTTGAGAAATTCGATTTAGTACGATTTCAGTCAGACTAACATGTTTACATGTATTTTAAAAGTCCGGTTTTAGTCAGACTAACATAATAAATCCATTTTCTCTGATGTCATGGAAACACACCAGATCACCACCATTAATACGCCTCTGCCCTCCCCCCCACAGTGCCTCCTGGCCCCCCAACTCCATGGATCGTGGACACTGGGAAGACCTCTGTCATCGTGGCCTGGAAGCCCCCACTGTACAATGGAGGAGGAGAGATCCTGGGTTACCACGTTGAGAAGGTACAGGAAGTGAATACAGTTACATGCAACCGATGGTCTTTGTGTCATCCTAGAACACAAACCGAAGTCTTACACATCTCTGATGTGTTGTTTTCTCAGGTTCTGGTCGGAGAGAAGAACTGGACTCGCAGCACAGAGTTCAGGTGTAAAGAGCTGACTTACACTGTGACTGGTCTGACTGAGGGAGGGGATTATTACATCCGGGTCATGGCCGTCAACGACGCTGGTCCTGGAGCTCCCGGTGTGACCGAACCTGTCACCGTCAGAGAGCCTCTAGGTATGGACACTTTCATGATGGGACAGGGTGTGGGGGGAGGGGCATGGCCAATAAGACTTCACCTCAGTAGGCTGAAATTCAACACTTCCTGCAGCTGCTTCACAGTCAGTGTGTTCCACTCGAGAGAAGTAAAGCAGCTGCAGGAAGTGAGGAAATGTCACATGTTCTGTCTGTCCTAATCAGGAGATGTACGTTTTTTTAACAAAGACTGACTCGTCTCGCTGTCCGTTTCCCTTAGAACCTCCTGCTGTGAACTTTGATGCATCTGTGAGGAACGGCGTCTTGATCAGGGCTGGTGAGTCACTGAGGCTTCCGGCCGTGGTGACCGGCAGACCCCAGCCCGAAGTCCAATGGGCCAAAGATGGCGCCGAAGTTGACAAGGAGCGTATGATTGTGGAGACGGAGGGCAAGAACACTGTTCTGTTCATCAAGACGACCGTGAGGGCAGATCACGGAAAATACCAGGTCTCCGGCACCAACAGCCAAGGGGCCAAGACGGCCGAGACCACAGTGGATGTCATGGGTCAGTGTCAGACAAACGCATGTCAGAATCAGTGTTTCAAATCCAGTTCATCCGGCACACACATCCTCTAAAGGACGACTGAGACTTTAGATCCAACTTAAGGTGAACTGGCTTAAGTCTTCTGAACAACATCTCTGCTGAGTCTTTATTCTTTTAACTGCAGGAGAGAAAAGCTTGTGATTGTTAGAGGATAAGTCTTAACTTCAGTTTTGGCTTCAGTTGAATCACAGATTTTAACACAATGAGCGAGGTGCTGATTCTTTATATCGGAGAAACTTAGAAACCTCAAGTTCATATAAAATATTTCTGAGATTTGATTCGTTCTTTATGGCTGCCGAAGCACTCATTTGTGTCTTTTAATAATTGTATTAAAATCTATTGTTTGGTTTCTCTACAAACTTTAACAAGAGACACTACAGATAAACAAGGTAAAAACTGTAATGAACAGATATAACCATCACTCTCCCCCAGTTAATTTCAAACATTAAGACAGTTATTTTGTATGTTACAGGTTTTCTGAAATTTTATGTTTAAATATGCAAATGAGGCTTTATCTGATGAAATATGGACTAATTTTCGTACATTTCTAGTCAGGGTGAACGATAATATTGGTACATCATCGGTATCAACCGATAAAATGAACTTTGAAATGAACAGAATTAGCTAGCATGCCTTTCCTCATTTTGCACAATACATTGAAAAATATTTTATTTCATGTCTCCATCTGCTGGTGGGCCATCACGATAAGAGTATGCATGCATAATATGATGTTAATTCCGCTGCAGAAGAGACTTGATGATCACTACAATTAGGTGGGGAAAAATGGATATATAGGTATTGGGTATTGGCAAAAAATTGTACATCATGCACCCCTAATTTCCAGAACACAAATCTGAACTTTGGATAAAATCACGTTCAAACTTGTTTCATTTTGTTGTCATATTACAGTCAATGTTTTTATCTGAGGGAGTTTAGGATATCTCTTATAATCACTCCGTAAATCAGAAAATACTGTCAACAGTCACTTAAAAAAATCTATTTTCACTGTGTTTTCAGGAGTAAAATGTTGTATAATCAGGCTGTAAATGATATATGAAAATAACGCTCTGTAAATACCTTTAGAATATAAACAGGAATTAAAGCTGTAAGCAGCGATGAACAGGCCCTCGTACTTCTGCGTAACATGGGAGTACTGGTAGGACGCCGGCTGATGCAGCAGGAGTGAGATGGTATATCCTTGATAGAGTGTGAGAGTTGGAATGACCTATTTCACTTCATACCACTTCCTGTGTCCACTATGTGGCACTGGAGAACACACTGATTATAAGTCATGTTGTTGTAATTCAGTTGAACACCCCACCGTGTAAATTTCATGTAAACCAAATGAACTGAAAAGACGTACTTCCTGTTGCCAGAAAGTGGCGCAGTCACCATGACACCTAATGTGCATGTACTTGGCTTCAGACCTAGAGCCTCATAAAAGCTGTGAAGTTGTGGGCAGATTGGACCATGTATGCTGGAGTTAGACCACTTCGTGTTTGGTGTCGAAAAATGAATGTTGGATGTCTCGCCACAGTGACATGGTTCGACGAAAAGTCAAGCTTTGAGCAACTTTTGATGTCAAAGGCCTTTAGATGGTACCAACAAAATTTTAAGTCGATCCAATCAAATCTGTAGGAGGAGTTCGTTAAAGTACAACCCCTGGAGAATTATTATAAATTACACATAAAATTGAAAATGGCCAACTTTCTGTTTGGTTAGCGTATAGCTCCATGAGACTTTTGTTGTACGTCTTGGGGTGTTACATGTTCCTGCCAAGTTTTGTACATGTAGGTCAAACCAGGACCAAAGTGGTCAAGACCCTGTAGCTAACATTTTTATCAACCTGTGTTTCAACAGACGTCCCTGGACCAGTGGTGGACCTGAAGACGGTCGCAGTAACCAAGAAGAACATCGTTCTCACCTGGTTGGACCCTCTGGATAACGGCGGCAGTGACATCATCGGCTACGAGGTGCTTAGGAAAGACTCCAATATGAAACTCTTCCGTCAGCCCCTGGAGACGGCGTCCTGCAAGTGCGACGTCCAGGGTCTGCTGTCTGGCGAGCAGTACGACTTAAGGGTCGTCGCCAAGAACAAGTACGGCTACGGAACTCCGACTGACCTGGGACCCATCCTGGCCGAAGATCCCAAAGGTAAAACTGCCAAATATGACCAATGTTTTTCTGACTAAATATCTTCAAGAAGATTTGTGACCATTAAAGGTTCTCTTGGAACAGTCACACAGTGTTGATCAAACTCCTCTATATTGTTTCAGATGTTCCGTCTGCTCCCGAGAAGCTGCGCTACACCGACAGAACCAAGAGCACCATCACCTTGACCTGGCTGCCACCTCTCTCTAACGGCGGCAGCCCCATCATGGGCTACTATGTGGAGAAGATGAGGTCCGACAGCACTGAGTACGAAGCGGCAAACCGCAAGATGTTCACAGAGTGCTGCGGGACCATCGATAGCCTTTCGGAGAACCAGGAGTATGACTTCCGCGTCAAAGCAGTGAATGAGGTTGGGATGGGAGAGCCCTCCAAGTCTATCAACGCCAAGATCCAGGACGATGAAAGTATGAAGCTAACTCTTAAAGTCTTTTTGTAAGGCTGCTCTAATGAAGAACAGAAACACTGATAGATGTTTTTTTGTCCACAGTCCCTCCAAGAATTACTATCCTGAAGTACTTCAAGGCCAACTCCCTCTTTGTGAAGAAGGGCGCGGCCATAGACATCCCCGCGGAGGTGATGGGACTTCCTCTGCCAACGATCCGGTGGATGAGGGATGATGTGGTGTTGGAGAAGCCGGAGGACGAGAGGATGACGATGGAGACTGAGGAGGTCCGAGCTGATTTATGTGTTCATGGACTTTTAACCCACTCTGTGTGTCCAAACTGTCCTGTTAGACTTTCTGCGGTGACTGGATGACCCCATGACCTTTCGCCTGGGAGAAACTCTGTAGATAACTAAGTCATCAGTAATATAATTTTTGGCTCAGCTTCTCATGTCAGCTGGAGCTTTTTTTTTTACTTCTGTTCTTTATTTCGTCTGCTGAAGATTGTTTCCAAAGTTTCAGTGTTTGTAAAACATGTTGAACCTGCCCTGCATCTGAATTATGCCATATAGATAAATAAATCTGCTTTTTGCCTTCTCATCTTCAGGTGGACCGGACAACTCTGAGGACAAAGATCGCCTTCCCAGAGACCGTCAGGAAGGACAAAGGCAACTATAAGCTGGTGGCTGAAAACTGCCACGGCAAAGCTGAACAAATCATCAGAGTCACGATCTTTGGTAAGGACAAAACACTAAAACTTCAGTCATTTTCCATGCCTGTTTAGTTTCTATCATTTTACTCTTTGATGTCTAACCAAGCTACATTTTAGCAAAATTAAAACTATATATTAAATGTTTTAAAGTTCTTATCATCTCAGCCATAGACTGTATAACATGATGGACGTAGCCACCATGACGTCACCTATTGGTTTTGTCCTTTTGCCTGTTGCCATCTGTGGTATTTGGAGTCAAAAGTGACCATACTGGGACAAGAGGGTGGAGCTAACCCTAACGCTCGCTGTCGGGTTGATTAACGCAGCGCATTTAAAGCTTAAGTGGCTATGACTTCACCTTTTCTCTGTGAATCTGGGGTTAGCATTAGAGACCAAACTGTTGTAAACAGACCGTATAAAATAATGGACGTAGCCGCCATGAAGTCACCCATTGATTTGTGAACTCACGTGTCGCCATCTTGGTTTTTTGGAACCAGAAGTGACCATAATTGGATGAGAGGGTGGAGTTAACCCTAACCCTAGCTACTAACTTGGTTAGCTTGGTTCCTTTACAGCAATAGTAAACTGTGATATTGCTAATGTTAATTTTCAGTAGTGAAAAACAAGTGTAGAATGATAAAAACTGAACAGCGACTCTTCAGTGGGTCTTTTAGTAGAGGGACTTCAAACACTGAACAAGAATTTTTTAGATGACCAAAATGTTACAGTTAACTTTTCATGACCTCAAAACACACTGATATAGTGACAGCTACAGCTACACCTATACTCTTTAAATCTGGTTAAATTACCTACCCAATGTTGTCACCGTGGTAGCAATTTGTCAAAGGACAGCACCCACCTCTTACGCAAAAAGGCCCTGCTCTTATTTATGTGTAACTTCAAGCCTTAATTAAATGTAAACAGATGAGTTATATAAAAGTTCAGCCCCCCATACAGTTGAATGAATGAATGTTGAAATTAGCTACAGAGACCAAAACAGTTTTTTGAACCAGGCTGTAAACATGTTTATTTCTACATTTGAACATGGAGCTCTGTGGGGACTGACTCGCTCTTGGAGCCAGCCTCAAGTGGACATCAGAGGAACTGCAGTTATTGGATTATTTCTCAGCCCAGGAGGTTGCCGCCTGTTTTTTACATGGTGTCCGTTACATTGACCCAACCCTGTGTTCTGTGTTCAGACCGCCCTCTTCCTCCGAGGAACATCGTGATCTCAGACATCACGTCCGATTCGTGCTACCTGACCTGGTCAGCCCCAGAGGACAATGGAGGCAGTGAGATCAGCAACTACATCGTGGAGCAGAGGGACGCCAGCAAAAAGAAGTCTGACTACGAGGTTATGACCATCAACCTCATTGACAGGAGATATGCGGTGAGTCATGGCGGCATGGGGATTCACTGCTTTGATTGATGATGTTAACAAAAAAACTTCATGTAAGAAGAGATGTTAGCTCTGACTCCAGACAAAAAGGTTTGTCTGACATTTAAAACCTCACAGAATCGAACAACATTAAACTATTACAAATAAAATCTACTGTTTTAAATTTTAAGGATCAAAATGTATCTTTGACACAAGAAAACATGTTCTTGACGTAGATCAATGATAATTAAATAATATGTTTTTCTTATATTTAACACTTTAAACTCAACTGAGTAAAAACATGGTAAGAGTTTCATTTCCATGTTTCCTGATAACTTACCAATGATTTTCCTGTTAATAAAGATAGGAGCCCTTTTTGTCATTTTTTTCAGCTCCTCCAAATATCTGTTTCTGAACTCAACAGAAATAACTAAACTAACAAAAACAACAAACCTTCAAAGAAGTTACTGTAAAATGTTTAAGAAATAAATCATCAGACTGTTAAAAAATGTATCAGTTACATTTACATCTCCGTAATGCTCTGTTCTGTGTTTTCATCATATATTTAATTCTGTCTTTAACACCTTAACAAAAATAAATTTAAAAAAAAGTAACAAGCTGTCCCTGTTCTGCTCCTTCAGGTCCACAAACTTAACATGAATGGTATCTACCAGTTCAGGATCATAGCTGAGAATAAGTATGGAAAGAGTGACGGCTGCGAATCAGAGAAAGTCGAGCTCAGGGATCCATTCGGCCTCCCTGGACCACCACGTAACCCCAAGATCATTGCCGCCACAGGGACCACCATGACTGTGACTTGGGAGCCTCCTCTGGACAACGGTGGCTCCACCATTCAGGGATACTGGCTGGAGAAGAGGGAGCGAGGTGCTGTGTACTGGGGACGCGTCAACAGAGCTCCAGTCACCAAACCGTCAGTTAAGGGCCTGCAGTACACCGTGCTCAGGCTCATAGAAGGAACCCAGTACCAGTTCAGGGTCTCAGCCTGTAACGCTGCAGGAATCGGACCACACAGTGAATACACCGAGTGCCGCTTCGCCGAGGATCCATGCAGTGAGTTTTAACGACAGTTTTAACGAGTTTATCTCTGCAGCTCTGTCAGTCAGTTGGAAGTTTGCAATTTGTTAGGAAAAAATACTCACTTTACCAGTTCATCAGGTGATTCATAAATTTTATCAACAGTGTGAAAGATTCTGTCAGATGCAGAGTTTGTTTTTTAGAATTTTTTTTTTGGGGCATTTTTGCCTTTAATTGATACGACAGCTAAGCATGAAGGGGGAGAGAGAGAGGGAATGACATGCAGCAAAGGGCCACAGGCTGGAGTCGAACCCGGGATGCTGCAGCAACAGCCTTGTACATGGGGCACCTGCTCTATGCACTAAGCCACCGACGCCGCAGATGCAGAGTTTTAATTGGGCACAGCTGGCCCAGTAATGGAAGCTACAGAAGACACCTTGATGCTTAAAGTGAAATCTAGATATTTAAAGTTAATGAGACTGACCTTTGACCCCTTCTACTCTGCTCTCAGATCCTCCCAGCCCTCCTGGAACCCCGGAGGTTAAAGACAAGACCAAGAACAGCATCTCACTCACCTGGAGCCCACCAGACAGAGATGGTGGTACCCCCATCAAGGGTTACATCATCGAGGTCCACGAGGAGGGCACTCTTGATTGGAGGAGGGTGACTCCTGCCGACAAGCTCCACTTATCCACTGAAATCACCGTCCCAGACCTGAAGGAGGGCAAGAAGTGCAAGTTCAAGATCTACGCTGTGAATGCTGTCGGAACCTCTGAGCCCGCCAGGACGGGTGACATCCTGGTTCAGGACATCTTGAGTAAGAGTAACATACATTTCTGTTGAGCTGAGGTCCCACAGGGTTAAATACTGGGGCCTCTGCTGTTTACTGTGTATAGTTGCATGTGCATACTAGTGGCAGAAAAACAGTGGACGTCGGGGAGAAACAGTTGACACATTCGGAATAAAAATGTCTTCTTGTGCCGTTGGACGTCAGTACAGGAATGTGCACTAAGATAACCTAATATTTATAGAAAACCTTTGCCGAGGATGCCGTAGTAGAAAATAAAGTTGTCTCCAATTAATTATAATCTCAATATTTAGGCTAAAATTGCTGCTGGACACTCTGTAGAGGAGTGTGTGTTTGGCTTACATGAACAGAATTACTGATGTGGTCACATTTATTAAGCTTGGATTTGTCTTATTGTCCTTTGTTAACACTTGTGGAGACGTCCCCATATAATATAATCTAATGTGGAAGTAACAGACAACTTTTTAACTAGCTAGCTAATGCTGTCTGTTTATTAACTCCTTGATCGTAACAGAACTTTCTCCACAGCTCATTTTAGAAAGGACAGCATAAGAAAACATGTTCTTTGTTTAGATTACAAAACGGACAATGGATCATCGTTTGTTTCTAGCTGACAGCGATCAGCCATAGGTAGCCCACTTGCTATGTTAGCTACATTGCTAATGTTAGTGTGCCTTTCATTTCCCTGTCTGGATGCAGATGAACTGATGTACACACATTATAGGATTTCTTGTGGTGTCTTTTCTAAAGTGAGGAGTGGTGAAAGTTAATATACTTTGTTATTATCAAGATGTTAATAAACAGATAACATTAGCTAGCTAAGGCGCTAGCACATTGATAAGTTGTACTTCCACATTAAATTATAAAGGGACGTCTCCCCAACCCAATCAAGGACAATATGCAAAATCCATGTTTGACAAAAATGAGTTTTTACAATTTTTATGATGATTAATTTTTCACCACGCAACTAATTAAGTAAGTAATTCAAAAAAAAGCCACACACACACTCTACTGAGCATTGAGCAGCAGTGATTAGCCTAGATATCAAGAACTCTAATTAATTGGAGACAAATTTTTTTTTTTCCACTACACATAGATCATAAATTTATGGATATAGAAATTAGTCATTGCAATCGGTCAAAAAATATAAATGTTATAGTGCTTTTTACATTTTATTTTGCACTCACCCCAAAACCACTACTGTCCCTTTCTGACACCAGTTTGGCTCTGCCCACAAAATACTTCATCACAGTTTACAAACACAAAGAGGGTCCAAAGTTAATATTTATTTTGTCAGTTTCTATGCTGATGACACCATCGTGTATGCCAACAGCTCAACCACAAACCAGTCTTCTTTTTATGACCTCCAGGCATCTTTTATGAATTCTTCTCAAAAGGAGAAAAACGTAACATTTCACAGCAGCTTTATTGATCCTGATCTGATCAATACTCTTAATGGAAGTCTAACAGATTCAGTAAAGCTTCATAAGAACTGAGGGATTCAGCTCAACGGCAAATTGTTTTGGAATCTCCAGAATATATTAGTTCTCTTGTGAGACAGATCTTGATCTTAATGAATGTTAACAAAGATTGTTTACCTGATTATGAAAAAACAAATCTGCGCTCCTGTTTCCTGTCTGTTGTTCAGTCGAGCCGATGGTGTCTCTAGAAGTGGACGTTAACGACCTGCTCACCTGCAGAGCGGGAACAACCATCAAGATTCCCGCCACCATCACCGGACGACCCATCCCCAAAGTCACCTGGCACTTCGATGGAAACGCAGAGATGGAGAAGAAGAACGAACTCCACATGCTGCCCATCGACTCAGAGGTCAGACTGCTTGCACTTTAATGGACTGTATCTTCATTTCTGTTTCACCTACACATGAAACTCCAAAAATCGCACCGAGGTTTCCATTTTGTCAGCAGAACATCTGAACTGTAGCTATTTTTGTGGTCTGAATTTTGCCTTCATTTTTAGGAGCTGAACAAAAAGTGTGACGGATGACTTAAAGAACTGTAATGGTTTTAAACATGAAATTGTGCCTCATGTGGTTTCTGATGTCACGCTGGTGTTTCAGATCTACTCCACTGACACGACCTCAGTGATTGTGATCCCAGATTGCAAAATGCACCACAGTGGCCGATACATCCTCAACGCCGAGAGCCCCGCCGGACACAAGGTGGTCAAAGTCCGTGTCACTGTGCTCGGTACGTAAAGATTCAAAGGGTTTGTTTGTCATTTAATATGATTAGAAAATTAGTAAAAGGTATGACTGAGAAACAGGATAGGATTTATGATAGAAATGTAAAATGTCTCCCTGGTCTTCTAGTCTCTGATTTCTTGTTCTGTGAATCCATAGACCTGCCCGGACCTCCCAGAGACCTGAAGGTCAGCGACGTGACAAGAGGAACTTGTCGCCTCACCTGGAAACCTCCAGAGAACGATGGCGGAGACAGAGTGAAGAGCTACTTCATCGAGGAGAAGGCGGTGGGCGGCAAAGCCTGGACCAAGGTACGACCTCCCCCACACACTTGGAGCTTCACTGGATAATAACACACTGCTGCTGCTTAACCCCCCCCTCCCCCGATGTTGTCATTCCAGGTGAACCCGGCCTGTACTTCTCAGTCTGTGGTGGTCGCAGACCTGATCAACGGTCAGGACTACTTCTTCCGCATCCGGGCTGAGAACCGCTTCGGCTTCGGGCCGTATGCAGAGACCATCGAGCGCACCTGCGCCAGAGATCCAATCCGTACGGCTCCTCTCTTTATCCTTACCTCTGCTAGGTTTTTACACTGAAAACACTTTGATTATTGAACCTGATTTAAAAGAAAAGCAGGAACCGTCATGAGTCACGATCCTTAACACTCACATACACATCTACACTGCTCTGTAACATTAAGTCCAGTTCAGACCAAAGATTCGGGACTAGATGAAACCGATTTAGAACGTTGCAAAGAAAAGTTGCAGCGGTGTGAACTGGCTGGTCTGAGCTGGACACAAGCCAGCTGATGGTGTCACCTGCAAACCAGCTGGTCAAATCACCGGCGGCTGGTTTTAAAGCATGTCACCTGATTTGATTTTTTCTTTTTGAGATTATTTTTGGGCGTTTTTTGCCTTTATTGTTTGGGACAGAGTGAAAGGGGGTGAGAGAGAGAGCGGGGGGTGACATGCAGAAATGGTTGCAAGCCGGAGTCGAACCTGCGACCGCTGCAGCGAGGCATTGCCTCTGTACATGGGGCACCGGCACTATCCACTACGCTACCGACTCCCCATGTCACTTGTTTTTAAAACCAATCAGCTTGTAGTGAAGTCAACTGGTCAAGTCAAAATGACTATAGACGGCGTGTTCACTTGCTGCGGCAGGTGCTCTGTCCCTGCCGAGGCCTCTGTTTCCGTCCTCACGGTATACAGGTGTCAGACAGTGGGTTGCTGCTGCTGCTCGCTGTATGTGAACTGGGCTTCAGACAGAACTTAAGATCCAGATAATGGTTTATCTCTGCAGAGCTGATCACATTCAATATTTGGGTTCATGCATCAACACTGAACTGACTTTTAAACCACACACTGCTCAAGCTGTACAGAAAATGGATCTCCAGACAAACAAGATGACACATCTCATCAGGTTCATCCTGATATGATCCATTCGACACACTCTGATCTCCCAAATTGTGTTTGTACTGGTTACAAATTATTAGTGTGAGGTGTAAGCTCATGTTCATGAGTTGTATCTGCAGATCCTCCCGACCCTCCAACCAGGCTGAAGATCACATCCGTGAGGAAGGGCACGGTGTCTTTGACCTGGAAGGCTCCAAAGAACGATGGCGGTTCACCCGTCACCCACTACAGCGTTGAAATGCTCTGCTGGGATGCCAGTGGCCAGAGGGAGGCCTGGAGGAGGTAAGACGTCACATACAAAGTCTTCATGGGCCCCCAAGTAAAATTTTTGTAGGCTAAGGCGTAGAGACAACACATGTCTATAAACCAGCCTTAAATGTGAATGAATCAGTCTGATCACGTCTGTTTGGATCAGGACTGAAGTATCCATCTATTTCAGACCAGGTGGACTGGGATCCATTCGGGTCAGTTATGGATCATCTCCAAAATTTTGGACCTTTAGAAACCACCACTTTACAGAACACCACTTCTTAGGGGGATTTATGCTTGTGGGGCAAACGCTACGCACATGGCCTACACCATAGTGAGCATTTCTACTTGTGTAGTGGTATGTCTGTGTCACTCTGCAGTTATACCTCCAAAACATTAGTCAGTGGCAGAGGTTTCTGTGAAGTGCTGTAAAGTTTAGTTGATTCAAAACACACCTTAAACACACATTAAACACACATTAAACATGGCTTAATACCGACAATTTCAAACACAAGTACACAAATCAGCTTATCTATAACTCACAGCATTCACAGACAAAATACTTGTCTTTATCTGGACACATTTTCCCCACAAATACAACATGCTATTGTTATTAACACAAGCCTATGGCATTTTACATTGTATAAATTAGCCTAGCAACCAGCGGAGATTTCCTCTGCTCATATGAAGCCAGGATAAATCACACACAAGACTTAAAATGTTATTTATGTTATTGTCTTCACAATTTATTGTTTCTTATCTGTGAAATTAAAGTAAATAAAAGCTTTGTTTCCACTGAGGGAAATGGTTTCAGCTTACAGCCTCTAAATTGATGCAGAGCCTATGCTGTAGGTATGACGTCGATTTGATGCATAAGTATAATTCCCACATTAATTTCTCATTTTTCCATATTTTCCTGCAGTCAAATTATCACTTTACAAATTCTTTCTCATCCGCTACCTCAGTGGACAGAAATATATCCACTCTTTTATTCTGTGTGAATTTTGTGACCACAAAACATAAATAAATATGCGAAACACAAAGTGATTAACTTCCATATGAGAATCTCTGTTTGTTTAAAGCCTTTTCAGCACTGAGATTTGTTTCGTCTGTGTCTTCAGGTGTAACAGAAGAGATGTGGACACCACCAGCTTCAAGGTGGAGGACCTGACGGAGGGAGACGAGTACGAGTTCAGAGTGATGGCACATAACGAGGTCGGACCCAGCCGACCTTCATCCACAGCTGGACCCGTCCTTATTCAGGACCAGACCTGTGGGGGGGGGGGGGGGGGGGGGGGGGGGCTTAAATGAAATACATTATCCAGCTGTATTATGGGAAATGTAGGATCCAGTGTTGTTTTCCCAGCAGTCCAGATTTTTGGTGGTTGGATTTGGACCATTCTGGTTTTAATCTGCTTCATGGAAGAAACACTGAAGTCTCTCTAGTATTAGCAGCATGCTTAGAAATGTTTGGTTTCTATTTTTCTCAGAGATAACTCAACTCAAAGTTACAATGTGTCACAATCATAAAGAAGTTCAATCTATGGAGACTCTAATATAACCTTCAGTACTGTATTTCACTTTCTTTGTCTCACCATTATCATAATCCTAAACTGATTTATTGCCCATCTTGACACTCCAGCGCAAAGTTGATCAGTTTTGGATCAGACTTCTTGATGTGTTTAACCACAATATTTGCTGCCGTTCACCTTAAATCTTCAAAAGAGAAGAAACACATTTTAAAAATGACGCATAATCTCCTCATGTTATATTTCAGGTGCTCCATCCATCGAGCTGAATGAGTTCATGGAGGTTGAGCAGGGCACCGACATCAAAATTGTGGCCAAGATCCGTGGCTGTCCATTCCCAAAGCTCACCTGGTACAAGGCTCCACCCCACAAGTCAGACAAAAAGGAGGAGGTTCAGTACGACGAGCACATCAACAAGATCGTGTCCGACGACACCTGCACGCTGCTCATCCAGCAGGGCAAACGTCCTGACACCGGCCTGTACACACTGGTGGCCTCCAACAGCCTCGGCAAGGCCTCCAAGGAGATGAGGCTCAACGTGCTCGGTATGAACAAACACCTCAGAACAAACCATTCTCAGGTTTCACTGACTGAAATATAATTTTTTTTTTTCTTTTTGTTTTTTTCAGGACGGCCCGGTCCTCCCTCTGCTCCCATCAAGTTCGAGGAGATTGGAGCCGAGAAGATCACGCTGTCCTGGCTGCCGCCGAAGGACGATGGAGGCTCCAAGGTCACAAACTATGTCATCTGGAAGCGCGTGGCCAGCAGGACGTCCTGGGTGCCTGTCACCAGCGAGCCCAAAGAGCGGATCTGGACCGTGGAGAACCTGTTGGAAGGACACGAGTACGTGTTCCGGGTCATGGCCCAGAACAAGTACGGAGTTGGAGAGCCACTGGATAGCGAGCCTGAGGTCGCCAGAGATCTCTTCAGTGAGTCTTCAGTTTCAAATATATATATCAGTACTACTACTTCACTTAAAGAACAGATCATCAGAATAATGGAGGATAAAGATCAGCGCAGGTGCTTTCGATTAAAGAACAATTAGAATTACAAGATCTTCTCCATGTTGACAAACTAAAGCATCATGGGATATTATTTCTTGTTGAGTTTCGAAATCAAACCACTTCAACTAAACCTGGAAGATGTATTCACTGAAGCTGAATCTTTGAATCCTCTAACCTTTGACCTTTTCTATTCGTCCCACTGCAGACATCCCTGGTCAGGTCGAGAAGCCGACGGTAAGCGGCATCACCATGGATTCCATGACAGTAAGCTGGGAGGAGCCCGAGGAGGACGGTGGCACCCCGATTACCGGCTACTGGCTGGAGCGAAAAGAGACAACAGGCAAACGCTGGACCCGCGTCACCCGCGACCCCATCCGTCCCATGGGCATGGGCGAGTCGTATGTGGTGAGTGGACTCATTGAGGGCTCCCAGTACCTGTTTAGAGTCTGTGCCATCAACGCCGCAGGACTTGGACCCTACAGCCCCACCACAGACCCCATCTTTGCCAGAGACCCCATCTGTAAGAGTCACACACTGAAATCACACAAGTTCATGTAGTTTTAAATACACAAAGACAGATGTTAACTGCGTGTCTGTCTCCACCTGTAGCCCCGCCCTCTCCTCCGACCCCGAAGGTTAATGATTGGACGAGGTCCACAGTGGACCTGGAGTGGATCCCTCCTTTGAAGGATGGAGGCTCCAAGATCATGGGTTACTGGGTGGAGTACCAGGAGGAGGGCACTGAGCCCTGGGTCAAGGTGAGAACATGGTCATGGAAAACCTGAGAAAGTCATGGAATATCACAAACTCATTTTCAAGGCCTGGAAAAGTCACAGAATTAGTAAAAGTGGAAAAGTCATGGAATTCTGACTAGGCAGACTAGGCCTATGTCAGCATACCTAGGGGCTGGTCCAAGACAGGCCTGAGCCAGCCCTAACTATAAGCTTTATCAAAGAGTAACGTCTTAAGTCTGCTATTATATGTGGGGTAATTGTTTGCTTCCTTTTTAGAGATAGATGTGTGTTTCAGAGCAACCTCACAAAGTCCACGTTTGTGTTTTTCAGGCCAAAGAGACCGAAATTCGTGGCACCCGCTTTGTGATCACCGGTCTGAAGACTGGTGGCAAATACAAATTTAGGGTGACAGCCTTCAATGCTGCCGGTAACGGCGAGCCAGGAGTAATCCCAGAGGTGCTCGAGGTCAACGACAGAACCAGTGAGTCCGTTTGAAAGAGGATGACACACGTCTTTCACGTCAAACTGTCGTTCTCTCAAAAATCTGACACTTAAGGATGTTTTCATCCTGTTTGGTTGTATCTAGCGGACTGTAACGTTGAGTTTCTTCCCCCCAGTTGCTCCTGAGGTCGACCTGGATGCCTCAGTGAAGGATAGGATGGTGGTCCACGCCGGTGGTGTGATTCGTATCATTGCCTACGTGTCGGGCCAGCCAACCCCGGAGGTGACCTGGGGCAGAGAAGGAGCTGCGCTGCCTCCTGAGGCTAAAATTGAAACAACAGCTATCAGCTCATCTCTGGTCATCAAACCCTGCACCAGGAATCACCTTGGCATATACACACTGACCGCCAAGAATGCTGGAGGGGAGAAGAAGAAGAGCATCACTGTGGAAGTTTTAGGTAAAATACTGTTATCCTGTTGAAACGAGACGGCATCTTCAGACTCCTCAGTGATTTTATGTTTTTAATTACTACAACTAACTGTGTCCGCTCTCAGATGTCCCGGGGCCAGTCGGCATTCCCGTCACTGCAGAGAACCTGAGCACTGACACCTGCAAGATCAACTGGTTCTTCCCCGAGAGGGATGGTGGCTCTCCAATCAGCAACTTCATCATCCAGAAGCGTGAAGCAGAGCACAAGGCCTGGACCTCTCTGCATTTTACCGCCAGCAGACAGAATGCCATAGCTCAAGGCCTCACCGTCGGAAAGTCCTACTTCTTCAGAGTAGCCGCTGTGAATGCCATTGGCATGGGACCTTTCGTTGAGACCGCAGCCGAGCTCGTCGTCAAGGAAAAAATCAGTAAGTTTTGTGAAACCTGAATCCTGGTGACTACTGAAGATCTGAAAGGTGACATGTAACTATTGTAAAGATGAGAGGATGAGGAGACCACAAGATAAAAGTTCTGAGATTTGTCTGTATGTTTGTGTTTCCCTCAGGTGTGCCTGACCGCCCCGAGGGGCTCGAGGTCACCAAGGCCACCAAGGATTTGATCAGCATCACCTGGAAGCCGCCCAAGTTTGACGGTGGTTCGGACATCACCATGTACATCCTGGAAGCTCGTATGATCGGCAAAGACAAGTTCACCAGAGTGACGAAGGAGAGCCTGATGGAGAGGAAGTACACCTACGATGGGCTGAAAGAGGGAGAAACCTATGAGCTACGGGTCATCGCCGTCAACGAGGTTGGACCCAGCAAGCCGTCGTTTCCCACCAAACCAATCACCTGCAAGGATGAACTGGGTGAGAGAAGGAACAGTGCAAATTAACAAATACAAATATATATTACTGTTCACTTTGAAGGATTTGGAGTTCAGAAATAAGTGCTGAAACGTTCTTATTATGTGAAAGAAATAAATGGGCATCATCAGTAAAATATAAGACATAGGTAGATAAAAAAGCAGCTAACAAATCACAGATTCTCACTCCTCAGTGCGTCACTTCATCTGTCTCTGTCCTCAACTTTCTTTTATCACAGAGCCGCCAACCATCGAGCTGGACTTCCGCGATAAGATCATCATTCGTGTAGGCGAGAGCTGCCTGCTGCAGGGCCGCTACACCGGCAAACCTCCTCCGTCCATCGTGTGGTACCGTGACGACAAGGAGCTGAAGGCTGACCAACACATTATGTTCAAGAACACGCTGACCACTATGTCGCTCGGCCTGATGAAAGCCAAGCGTGAGCACAGCGGCAAATATGTGGTTGTGGTGGAGAACAGCACCGGGTCCAGGAAGGGAGTCTGCAACATCACGGTTGTCGGTATGTAGGTGGACCTCTTGGGGAAATATGGGGCTGATAGAAGCTTGTATCATCAGCAAAGAGTACTAAAGGTATAGATGATACGAAACAACTCAACAACTGAATTAGATGGGAATAGAAGGAGTCCATGCCTAGACCCCTGTGGGCTACCAAAAGTAATTGTATTATCCATTTACATTCACACATTTTGCTACAAACAATGCTACAAAACTACCAGCTCTGCTGAGTAACGCAGAGATTGGCTAAGCACATTACATATTCCTTACCTGCAGAATCAAATATTCCTTACCTGCAGAGTTGTTTCACACTGACCTTTCTTTCTTCCCCACAGACCGTCCCTCTCCTCCTGTTGGCCCCGTGGTGTTTGAGGAGGTGCATAGGGAGTACATGGTCATCTCTTGGAAACCTCCTCTGGACAGCGGTGGTATCGACGTCTCCAACTACATCATTGAGAAGAGAGACGTTAACAGAGACACCTGGACCACAGTAACGTCTGCCACGACCAAGACCACATGCAAGGTGGGTCCAGATGATTTGTCAGCCACACTCCATTCAGCTGTTGTATTACTATGCCAACGCGCCGGCAAGAGCCATAGGTGAATGCATTATGTTTTCCGGTTATCCGTCTGTACATCCTGAAGTTCGTCCCATTCTTGTGGACAGGATATTTCAAGAATGCTTTGAGGGAATGTCTTCAAATTTAGCACAAATGGTCACTGTTCACAAATGTTTATTCTTCACTGAAGAATAAACTGATTAGAGTTTGGCGTTCGAAGGTCAAAGGTCAAGGTCAGTGTGACCTCATAAAATATGTCTTTGGCCCAAACTCAAGAATTATTACGCTAATTATGACAAAACTTCACACAAATGTCTAACAGGATGAAATAATGAAGTGATGACATTTAATATCGAAAAGGTCAAAGGTCATCTTCACTGTGACATCATCATGTTTTATCGTCATATCTCAGGAACAGAAGGGAAGACATTTGGTCAGACACTGAATTGGTGACTCTAGTCTTGAAACTGTGCCAATTGTATAGATCTTCTGTGCGTGAAGCATCCATGTTTTCATAGACATTGGATGGAAACTGTCAGAGTAACTAGACTGGTGGGCGGAGACATGCAACAGCAAGGTGGTAGTTTTGGTTTTAAAGATCTTCAGGAGACCTGACCCAGAAAACCCTTTTTCCCAGTTGTGGGGGCTTGTGAAGACATGTTGTTTCTTTGTCTCAGGTTCCAAAACTAACGGAGGGCAGGGAGTACATCATGAGGATCTCTGCTGAGAACATGTATGGCATCAGCGATCCTTTGGAGTCCGAGGAGATGAGAGCCAAAGATCTTTTCAGTACGTTCTGCTCACATCCTGCACACACTTACACTTTTTTTCAAATGGTTCAGTTCTGTTCACAAATTTTACTATCACAGAATTTAAGACTTAAGATTTTTCTTTAAACTTAAAGTGCAATGGAAACAAATAAATATTCTTTCCCCATTAGAAATGGATCCTTAAAAGAACCGAATATCTGTGTTTCTTCTTCCTAGGAGTCCCAGAGGCCCCTGAGATGCCGACAGTCAGGGAGGTGTATGCCACCAACACTCTGGTGCTTTGGACCCGGCCCCGCGATGGTGGGAAGCCGATCACCAACTATATTCTAGAGAAGAGGGAGGTCGGAGCCAAGAGGTGGTCCAGAGCCACCAGGGACCATTTGTACCCGGCCACTCAGTATCGAGTCCAGGATCTGATTGAAGGCTGCGAGTACGAGTTCAGGGTGATGGCTGAGAACGAGTTGGGAATCGGAGACCCCAGTCCCCCCTCCAAACCCATTCTTGCCAAAGATCCCATCGGTCAGTGTGGCACAAATTCATGCAAAACATATTCATATTTATATTATATTTGCAGACTATACTTTATGGTTATTTTCATTTTCATCACACATTCTGCATTTTTTCCAAAGTTAGATCTTTTGTATTTGCAAAACCATTGATAAAAACATTATTTACACAAGTCCGTATATTAAGCTAAGATGAAATATTAGTATTTTGTTCAGTATTTTTGATGAGTATTTAGTATAGCTCATTAGGTTTCTCAGTGATTACAGCTGCAGTATGTACAAAAGACAAGTCAGATATTTATGTATTCAAACACTCAACAATGCAGCTCAGAAGCTATCAACATTCATACTTACACAAAAGATATTCTACTAAACAATCAACCATTCATTTATTTATTTGTCAAAAATATGATGTGAAATATGATGCATCAGCTCCATTGACTTGGTCACTGTCATTTACTCCTTTTTATAGTCTTCCTCCTTTGTCGCCTGCTGCTTTATGATCTGACATTTTTCAGGAATGGCTCTGGTAATCCATGGTTTCTGGTTGTAGAATGATTTAACTGTCCACACATCCTAACCTTGACAAGACGTCTGCATGGTCGCTACTCCTGAAAAAGGGACGCACCGCTCTTCAGATGCCTCTGAACAGTGTACAGCAGGAACAGGACAGCAGCTCACATACCCGTCATCACACCATTCACCATAATACACACTCCTTCTCCCCTTTTCCCCCAGAGTCCTCTGCTCTGTCAGATCAGCAGATAAAAAAAGAGTCACCTGTTTGAATGGAGCTCTCCGGGATTTAGTTTGAGTCACTCAAAGGATATCATAGTTCCTGATATCCAGTTGTAGACTGATGGAGGTCATCCAGTTTATTTTCCAACACCTGCACAGTGGTTAGCAGGATGCTTGTTGGCTGGTGCCCATTCTTCCTCATCTTTTCCTTGATGTTTACTGACGTTTACATTGGAAAACATTAATCAGGCTAGCTAGCAGCTAGAAGTTGGGAGTTGATTTTCTCATTCTGATACGCCACCACTGTCCAACACCAACCACAAAAAGCACCACCAACACAAAATAGACATTGAATAGAGATTGGAGTCGCTGCCCATGTAGGAGAGGAGCGACTATGTGGCCATCTTGTTGAGGTCAAGATATGTAAACTATGACGCATGCCTCCAGTAAAGCCAGAGATGGAGCCAATCAGAGCCTGGAGCTACCATCAACATCACTGATGGTTCAGTGAATAAACTGAGTCTGTGGTGGGTTCAATTTGTAAAACAATAGAAGCAACTTTACCAAAAACTACAGTTAATGAAGAAATGATTGATTGATAAAACAACATCCCACCTCCTGAAGATATGATGATTCTAAGAGTGAAATAATACTTGCGTCCATCTTTTCTACCACAATTAGGACTGGCTGCCAGTGTTTTTGCCCATATTATTTACAGTCTGGGATATTTTGTCTTCACAGTGCGTCCCAGCCCTCCAGTGACCCCCGAGGCCTACGATAAGACCAAGGACTCTGTCAGCTTGAGGTGGAAGTTGCCCCGCCATGACGGGAAGGGTCGCATCTTTGGCTACCTCGTCGAGTATCAGAAGCCCGGTGCTGTGGAGTGGATTCCAGCCAATGAGACCCCGGAGCAGTGCCCCGACCTCCACTATGTGGTGACGGGCCTGCTCGACAAACATGAGTATGCCTTTAGGATCTTCACCGTCAATGCCGCTGGCAAATCTGACCCAGCTTATGTCAAAGAGACCATCACAGTCCATGACAGACTGGGTAAGGGGCTCATTTGTAACTGTTCTTTATCTGTTATGCATGGCATTTTTTTTTTTTCAGCTCAATAAGACAAAAGGCGTCAGACTCTATCAATGCTGACATTTAGAACAACTTTACTGACCTGTAGTTTTTGGCCAATGTATGCAGACATTCTACATATGCTAAATTCATTCATTTGATTTCCATTTTCCCTCCACAGAGGCACCAGAGTTGATGCTGGACGCCAACATGGCACGAGACCACCTGGCCATGCTGGGCACTGACATCACCTTGAGCGCCACCTTTAAAGGTGTGCCACAACCCACCGTCAGCTGGAAGAAGAACGACGGTGACGTTCCTTCTCACATCACTGTCGCTGTCACCACCAGCAGCAGCAAACTCTTTATCCCCAAGTGTGTCCGGCCAGACTCTGGAGACTTTACCATCACTGTGGAGAATGCTGCTGGCAAGAAATCTGCAACCGTTTCTGTGCTTGTGCTGAGTAAGTGAAACATCAACCCACACAAATACAGGATTTCTTCAGTCCTGAATGAAACAGTTTGTAAAGACGATATTTGAATTTTATTTGTTTCCACCAGACAAGCCTACCCCTCCCAGAGATCTGGTGGTCTCTGAGGTGACAAGCGAGTCGGCCTACTTGACATGGAAGGCTCCCGAGGACAATGGTGGTGCCATCATTTCCCACTACATTGTGGAGAAGAAGGACGTTGCCTCCGAGCAGTGGGTGCCGGTCTCTGCAGCCAATAAGAAACTGAGTCTGATGGCCATGTACCTGATGGAGGGAATCCAGTACCTATTTAGGGTTGCTGCTGAGAACCAGTTTGGCAGGAGCGACTACGTGGTGACCAAGACACCCATCAAGGCCGTTGATCCACTCTGTGAGTAAAAGACAGAATTACATTGTCTGATTTTCCTCTGAAAAATCATGACTTTTTTCATTTTGTGTAAATTGTGGAGCTTACAGATCCTGAAGGCTTCACTCTTACTGACTGTACAGAATATCATTCACAACAGTGTGTCTGTACTTTCAAATAACATCAGTACACTGTTGATGTTTTTTCACTTTGCCATGGAACAAACTTAAAGAGTTACTTGAAGTTAGGTTAGATGTGAAAGAGTTTGTCGACAGTTTTTTGCCACCTCATCTCCAAGTCTGCAATTTAAATCTAATCTACCAATAATCAGCAATAAATTGTTCTATCCCTGTACCATTTCAGATCCTCCTGGCCCACCCAAAAACCTGCACCACACTGATGCAGAGAAGACCGAAGTGTGGCTGGCATGGGAGTGGCCAGACCGAACCGGAGGAAGTGATATCACTGGCTTCATTGTGGAGCACCAGGAAGAGGGCCAGACAGACTGGGTCACCTTCAAGACCGTCAGCAACGAGCACGCCCACGTCACTGGTCTGGTGGAGGGCAAGACTTACCGCTTCAGGGTCAAGGCTCAGAATGCAATCGGCGTGAGCCGTCCTGACACCAGCGTACCCATCACCTGCCAGGAAAAGACATGTAAGAAGGAGTCATTTCTTATTGCAGATGTTGTTTCTCTTCTCATTTACGCTCATGAAAAACGTCCTAATGTTGTTACTATTTTGTTCTCTTTTAGTACCACCAACTATTGAAGTTGATGTGAAGCTTATTGAGGGTCTTGTTGTCAAAGCTGGCAGTCCTATTGCCCTTCCAGCCAAGATGACAGGCATCCCCACTCCTACTCCCAAATGGATGTCCGATAACAAGGAAATCATATCCGAGGGACGCTATCACATTGAGACTGTTGGATCCTCCACCACCCTTGGTATCCCTGAGAGCCAGCGAGGAGACACTGGAGAGTACGTCCTCACTGTGACCAATCCTTCAGGCAACAAGACTGTTGCCCTGCATGTCACCGTGCTGGATCTTCCAGGTCCACCCCTCGGACCTATCAATATCTTGGAGGTCACCCCTGATCACATGATGATCCAATGGAGGGCACCCAAGGATGACGGTGGCACACCCATCACCAACTACGTGGTGGAAAAGAGGGATGTGAAGAAGTCATGGGAGCCCTGGTCTGTAGTTAGCTCTGGCGGCACCAGCACCAAGGCCAAGGTGTCCAGGCTGGAGAAGGGCCGTGAGTACATAGTCCGTGTCCGAGCAGAAAACAAGATTGGCATCGGCGCACCACTTGAGAGTCCTCCCACTATTGCAAAGCACATGTTTAACCCTCCTGGTCCTCCAGGTCTGCCAGTGTGCTCTGATATCACTGAGAATGCTGTGACAGTAGAATGGCCCCTGCCTGACTATGATGGCGGCAGCCCTATCAGTGGATATGTGGTTGAACGCAGAGAAATGACAGGAAAGTGGATCCGCGTCAACAAAACTCCGGTGCTGGACCTCAGATACAGAGTCTCAGGTCTGTTTGAAGGCAACAGCTATGAGTTCAGAGTGTTTGCTGAAAATGTTGCTGGTATAAGCGAGCCTTCTCCCAACTCTGACCCTGTCAAAGCTGCTCGTGCCATCACCAAACCTGGACCCCCCGGCAATCTTAAACTTAAGGACTGGAGCAAGTCCTATGCTGACATCTGCTGGACCAAGCCTACCCGAGACGGTGGCAGTCCCATTCTGGGCTATGTGGTTGAGATTCAGAAGTCAGGATCTGCCAAGTGGGACAGAATCAACAAGGACCTCATCAAGATGTGTGCCCACAGAGTTCCAGGCCTCATGGAAGGAATGGAGTACAGAGTCCGCATCAGAGCCACCAATAAGGTTGGAGACAGTGAACCCAGGGAGCTGGCTAAGACTATCTTAGCAAAGGATATCCTGGTGCCCCCTGAGGTTGTTGTTGACGTGTCATGCCGCGACTCTCTGACAGTCAGGGCAGGTCAGATCATAAGTTTAATAACCAGGGTGAAAGGCAGACCTGACCCAGAGATCACATGGACCAAGGATGCCAGAGCCTTATCCCGGGACAAGCGCACTCAGCTTAACAACAACTATCCTCTGTGTGAATTGGTTATCAATGATGCAGTCAGGTCAGACTACGGTAAATACGCCATTCTCGCCAAGAACAGTAGTGGACAGGCACAGGCAACCATCATTGTCAATGTCCTTGACACACCAGGACCTTGCCAGAACCTGAAAGTGGCCTACGTGACCAAGAAGTCCTGCATGGTGTCCTGGGAGAATCCTGAGGACAATGGAGGCAGTGAGATCACTCAGTACATTATTGAGAGCCGTCAGCCCAGCCAGAGAGGATGGACTTTGGTCTCCAATGACTGCACCAAGCGCCTGTTGAAGGCCCCTCTTACTGAAGGCTGCGAGTACTTCTTCCGTGTCAGTGCAGAAAACAAGATTGGTGCTGGTCCACCCACTGAGACAAAACAAGCTGTGTTGGCAGTCGATCCCGTTGAGAAGCCTGGTGAACCCAATGACTTCCACATCTCTGAGATCGGCAAGACCTTCTGCTTCCTCAAGTGGAAGAAGCCAGACAATGATGGTGGTAGCCGTAACCTGGCTTATCATGTTGAGAAGAAGCCAAAGGAGGCTGAGGAGTGGGAGAGGCTTCACAAGGGTGCTATCAAGGAGACTTACTTCATGGCTGACAGGTGCATTGAAAACCAGATCTACCAGTTCAGAGTTCAGACAAAGAACGAAGGAGGTGAGAGCAACTGGGTGACCACAGCTGAAGTCCTGGTGAAGGAAGAGCTTGTGGAACCTGAAGTCAAGATTAAACTAGATGCAACACTCGTGGTCAAGGCAGGAGACTCCATTCCTATCGAGGCAACAGTTAAGGGCAAACCCCAGCCTGATATCAAATGGACCAAAGATGACAGCACAGAGGAGATGAAGAGGGGCCCCAGGCTTCAGATCGAAACTGGTGTTGACTTCTCAAAGCTGCTGATTACTGGCGCCAAACGAACTGACAGTGGAAAATATGTTGTTACTGCCTCCAACAGTGCAGGAACCAGCACTGCCCACGCTAAGGTCAACGTACTGGATAGACCTGGACCTGTCAGGGATCTCAAGGTGTCTGGTATCACCATCGACAGGTGCCATTTGGCCTGGGAAGTTCCAGAAGATGATGGTGGCTGCGATATCTACAACTACATTATTGAGAAATGTGAGACCAAGAGAGGAGTGTGGTCAGTCCACTCCAACGCTGTCATCACCAATAAAGCTAATGTCACCCGTCTTATCGAGGGTAATGAGTATATCTTCAGAGTTCGTGCTGAGAATAAGATGGGTCCTGGACCTGCAGTGCAGAGTGAAGCCATTGTTGCTGGCACCCAGTTCAATGTGCCTGGCGCTCCCGAGGCACCAGAAGTCACTAAGATTGCCAAGGAGGAGATGACTGTGCAGTGGTCAGAACCCGAGAGAGATGGCGGAAAGCCAGTCACAGGTTATCTGTTGGAGAAGAGGGAAGAGCATGCCGTTAGGTGGTCTCCTGTCAACAAGGATCCAATTCCTTCAACTCGTTTCACAGTTACTGGACTCCTGCCCCTCCATGACTACCAGTACAGAGTCAAGGCTGTCAATGAAGTTGGCATTGGCAGTCCAAGCAAGCCCTCACGTGCCATCACTGCCAAGGACGCAGTTGGTATGTAACCAAAAATAATTATTTCATTGTGTTCATCTGTTAATCAAGAAATATTCATAGTGGGATTACTTCAGAGAACATTCACAGCTTAATCATCAGACACCCTTCTTCTTACAGAGCCTCCTGCACCTCCTACCAACTTGAAGGTCACGGACAGCACCAAGTCCACCATCACTCTGGGCTGGACCAAGCCTGTATCAGATGGTGGAGCTCCCATCATTGGCTACGTTGTGGAGATGAGGGTGCAGGGAAGTGCCAAGAAAGGAGACGATGGGTGGAAGAGGTGCAACGTGGCCGCACAGCTGGTCGTGTGCGAGTTCACAGTCACAAGTCTAGATGAGAAGCTTATATATGAATTCAGAGTGTCAGCTCAGAACCAGGTGGGCATGAGCCTGCCCTGTGACCTGGAGGGCGCAGTGATCCCCAGGGAGATTCTAGGTGAGAACTTTTAATCACTTTTATGGTTGATGACCTACTAGTAACTCCTCATCATAAAATGGGGAGAGGAAGTACAGGTTAATATTAAGATGTGATCTCTTCTTGCAACATCAAGCTGACCCCTGTGCTGTTTCTTCCAACAGAGGCACCAGAGATTGACTTGGATGCCAACCTGAAGCAGGGCCTGACAGTGAGAGCCGGCTGTCCCATCAGACTATGTGCCACCATCAGAGGTAGACCAGCTCCCAAAGTCACATGGAGAAGAATGGGCATTGACAACGTGGTCAGGAAGGGAAAAGTCGACCTCATTGATACCATGACCTTCCTAATCATCCCCGACAGCACCCGCAATGACTCTGGCAAATACTGCCTGACGCTACAGAGTCCAGCCGGAGAGAAGGCTGTGTTTGTTAATGTTAAGGTTCTGGGTAGGTCCTGGTTTTCTTCCAGTGATGTAGCTGTTCAACTTGGTTGCAGCCGACAGTCATAAAAAGTTCATAATTCCACCAAAATACTGAGTTTCAGCTGAATCCAAACAAAATGCCATCGCCTGTTTTTCCTGACAGACACTCCAGGACCTGTGATGAATCTGGAAGTTACCGACATCACACAGACATCCGCCATGATGTCCTGGACTCCTCCAGAGGTTGACGGTGGCAGCGAGGTCACTCACTACATTGTTGAGAAGCGCGAGATTGACCGCAAGACCTGGGCAACCGTCAAAGCCGAAGTTGCGAAGGATAAGATTCCCTTCAAAGTCACCGGTCTGGTGCCAGGCACTGAGTACTACTTCAGAGTCATGGCTGTTAATGAGTATGGCTCTGGAGTCCCCAGGGTGTCACCCACTTCCTACGTGGCCTCTGATCCTGTCAGTACGTATCGTATCTTAGTCACACAATGTGACTCCAGAACTCAGAGCTCAGCTCACAGCCACCCACTGTGCTCAGATGTCTCTTTTCTTTATCATCAGTCATTACAACACACCTGTCTAACTCACTTTTTCAGGTAAGCCTGATCCTTGTCAGAAGATCGAGGTTCTGGAGATCACTAAGAACAGTGCTGTTGTCGGCTGGGTGAAGCCCTTAAGGGACGGCGGTGCCAAGATTGATGGTTATGTTGTTGAATACATTGAGGTCAAACCTCCTCCAGAGCCTAAAGCACCTGTGGAGGTTTGTCATGTAATCAAACTGATTCTTCTCTGGCTGCTGCAATCAAATTTTCCTCAAAGATCTTTAAATTGCCTTCTGTTCTGTTATCATAAGTACTTCAGTCAATCAAATTAAAATGCAAGTGCTAAATAAACTAACCTTACTTCAGTTTACAGATATAATGATCTAACAGACTTTGTCTGACCCTGAATTTGTCACAGGTTCCGGGGGGAGAGGGGGCTCCTCCTCCACCTCCACCGCCTCCAGTGGTAGAGGAGGAGAAGGCAGAACCTGAAAAGGAGCTGTGGAACGCCTACACAACGGTGAAAGGTTTGACAATCAGCATCAGCGGCCTGAAGGAGGGCAAGAGGTACAGATTCAGAGTGGCTGCGAAGAACATCATGGGCCAGAGCTTGTTCACCGAGACCAGGCAGCCAGTCGAGATCAAGGAACAGATGTGTATGTTTTTACCTCAGATTAATGACAGATCAAGACACATTATGAAATAGTTTTAGCCACTATCCCATGATAGGCTAGTGGTTTGTAATGTCCAGTTATCTCATGATAGTGACTTGATTGTTGCATTATTTTGAAATTATAATAATAGTAAGTGTAGGTGATAACAGTAATATATAGGGACAACACTACATATGACCATATTTATTATCTCAAGGCTGCTCTCAGCTTCACTCTATATTCTCTACATTCTAATGAGTCAAATTCTCATGTCCACACCCACAGTGGAGCCAAAGATCGTCATGCCAGAGACAGTGAGCGCCAGAGCAGGAGCCAAGCTCAGAGTGGAGGCACTGGTTTCCGGAAGACCGTCTCCAACATGCAAGTGGATGCGTGGCGAGGTCGCAGTGGTCCCATCCAGCCGTCTGGCCGTGCACCAGTCTGGCAACCTGTGCGTCCTGATCATCAAAGACGTGTCAAGGACAGACAGTGGAGAGTACAGCCTGGCGGCTGAGAACAGCTCTGCAAAGGTTGTCGAGTCCCTGAAGATTATCATTAGAGGTCTGTGTCACACGTGATTAAGATAATATGATGAAAAAACGTAGAAGATAAAATTATTGGCAGAATTATTTGGCATGACAAAGATTCTTCATATTAACACTTTTCTGTGTTTCAGACATTCCTGGTCCTCCTGAAGGCCCAGTGGAGATCAGCGATATCGACTCTGATGCCTGCTCCCTGTCCTGGAACAAACCACTGGAGGACGGAGGCAGCAATATCACCAACTACGTGGTAGAGAAATGTGATGTGAGTAGAGGCGACTGGGTAACTGCTACCTCTTCTGGTCAGAAAACCAGTTGCAGGCTTGGAAAGCTCATCCCCGGAAAGGAGTATGTGTTCCGTATCCGTGCTGAGAACCGCTATGGAGTGTCAGACCCCATTCAGTCTGACAGGATGGTTGCAAAGTTCCCCTTCGGTAAGTTTAAGTAAAATACTAGTGTTTCCACAGTGCAGTCTTTGATTATCTTCAGATGTGAGATTCTGTCTAAAGTTACAATGTTAATTTTATTTGTTTTGTATCACTAGACGTTCCTAGTGAGCCCCTCAACTGCCGCATTAACAAGACCAACAAGGACTGTATGTTCGTTGCTTGGGATACGCCTGAGAGCGATGGCGGCAGTCCCATCACAGGTTACTACATTGAACGTAAGGAGAGGAACAGCCTGCTGTGGGTGAAGGCCAATGACACCGTTGTCCGCACCACTGAGTACCCGTGTGCTGGCCTTATCGAGGGCCTGGAATACACGTTTAGAGTGTCCGCCATCAACCGTGCTGGCCAGGGCAAACCAAGCAAGAAGACTGACTTTGTCACTGCTAGAACACCTGTTGGTACGTTTGCTGCCTGTGCAACAACACCCAAGCAACAAGCTTGATTTCATTCAATTTTGTGTCCTTACTTTTGTTTCTTTGTGCGACAGACACTCCAGGTAAACCTGAAGTCTTGGATGTAACCAAGAACTCCGTTACTCTGGTCTGGACGCGTCCCAAAAATGACGGTGGCAGCAAGATCATTGGATACTATGTTGAGGCCATGCAGGTGCCAGGAGACACCTGGATACGATGCAACACCAGCAGCCAGAATGTCCCAAGGGAGGAGTATACGGTGACTGGTCTAGAGAGAGATTTGCAGTACCAGTTTAGAGTCATCGCCAAAACTGCTGTGAACTTGAGCAAACCCTCTGAGCCCACAGACCCTGTCTTGGTCTGTGCCGAGAACGGTGAGTGGTTTTACACTCTTATGACCAGGCTTATAAACCAGTCACCACAAAAACAATGTTACTGTATTTCAGCTTTGCTGCCAGAAGCTTGTGACTTTGAAATGTCTCTCACACATCTGAGTCATAGCATTTCTTTATCTAATCTTTGCACACACAGTTCCACCGAGGCTGGAGCTCAACGCCAAGATGCAGAAAGGTTTAAAGGTAAAGGCCGGAACCACAATCGTCCTGGAGGCTGAGGTATTTGGAAAGCCTATGCCCAAAGTGACATGGAAGAGAGGGGATGACAACCTGAAATCAGGTGAAGGCCAGGTCATCACCCATCAGAGGCATCACTTCCAGCTGGAGATGGCAGGGGTCACCAAGGAGCACACAGCAACCTACTCCATCGTGGCAGAGAATGCTAGCGGCTCCAAGACTGCCGAAATCCAGGTCATAGTCCTGGGTGAGTACTTTTTATCTTTTCTTCTGGGATGCCTGTTCAGATTGTACCAAATTTAAGTTAAAGGTTTTTCACAGTTGAGAAGCTGTATTCACATTAAATTAATATTCTATTATTTTGTGCCCCATCAGATGTGCCTGGCCCTCCTGCCAGTGCCAAATATGTTGAAGTGTTTGCCACCAGTATCAAGGTGTCCTGGGAGCCTCCTCTGAAGGACGGTGGCGCTATCATTACCAACTACATCGTGGACAAGCGTGAGACCAGCAGAGCAAACTGGGCCCAGGTCTCCTCCAAGATCAAGGGAGACATTCATGAGTTCAATGTGGAGAAGCTAATTGAGGGTCACGAGTACCAGTTCCGAATCCGTGCTGAGAACACGTGGGGAGTTGGTGACCCCCTCATCACCAACCCTGTCATCGCCAAGAACCCATTCAGTGAGTCATTACCAGAGTTTTCTCTGCATATTGCATAACAACACCAATGGTAATGAAAAACATTAGCAATCAGTGCCAAGGTTTAAACTGGATCCAATAATGTGATGTATGTATGACAGGAGCAGCTACACCAAACCATCTTACTGTCTCATTGCATATTCTGTTCTGCATCTAAAGCTTTATGTCACAGAGAGTCCAGATTTGATTGCATGTTTCAAACCTGAAATGTACTCTTAGTATCTAAACTAAAACCTAAACTGCCATGTCACTTCCAGCTGTTCCTGGCCCTTGCGAGGCACCAGTGATCACCAACGCGGCCAAGGATCGTATGACTGTGAGCTGGAAGGAGCCTGCCGATGATGGAAAGTCCCCCATCCTGGGCTACATGCTGGAAAAGAAAGAGACCAAGGAGCTGAGTTGGACCAAGCTGAACAGGAAGCCCATAACAGAGAGGAGCCTTGAAGTTACAGGCCTCAAAGAGGGAGCTGAGTACGAGTTCAGAGTCAGTGCTGTCAATGTGGCAGGGGTTGGCAAACCCAGCGAGCCCTCCACTGGCGCCATTGCACAGAATCCTCTCAGTAAGTCCCAGAACCTCAGAAAACTTTGCATTGTTCTGTCTTAATTAAATAATACAGGCACTGTCACTCACATAAAGTAAAGACTCTCTGTATGTAAATTAACCTGGGTAAATGTGCTCTTCCCCAGCTCCTCCTGGCCCCGTTGTTAACCCCAATGTGACAAACACCACCCACAGCACCATCAGCCTTGCTTGGACCGCCCCTGCCAACAATGGCGGAAGCCCCATCATTGGATACTTGGTGGAGGTCAAGAGGACTGACACCACAGACTGGATCCGCTGCAATGTCCCCAGGAACCTGCAGGAGACCAACTACGTCATCCAGAACCTCATACACAAGTCCGAGTACCAGTGCCGCATCACTGCTGTCAACAAGGTTGGCTTCAGCGAACCAGTTGAAGTACCCGGCACACATGTTGCCAAGGACATCATGAGTACGTATGAATTTAGTTTCTTTAGCTGCATTTATTTTAAATCTCCAAGACAGTGAGTGAAAGTAAAATAAAGTATCATCAACATAAAGTATACAAAATACAACTTGGATATTCAGTAACTTAAAACTGACCCAAAACTGGAAAAGTGCATTTTGTTAATAGTTAGCTGGATTATGGCCGAGACTGGATGAAAATGAACCAAATCATTTTAGATGGCTATCGTCATTTTAGCCCAGATCACTCACTCTGATGTTTGAATGAAAGGATCCTGTGCTGGCTGACAGATGAGTTACTAAGTATTTGTATTCCTGAGCAAAATGTATCTTTTTATTGATGTTTTTAGTATAAAAGACCACAGACTGAGCAGTATTCTGCTCCATTAGGCCTTTGCAGCTGTAATAATACATCATAAGAGTCTTTCCTCACAGTGTGTCACTCATAAAACTATTCCCTGTGCGTGCTCATGCAGTTCCTCCTGAGGCAGAGCTAAGTGCAGAGCTGAAGGAGGGTCTTGAGCTACGTGCTGGTGCTGTCATGAGGCTGCATGCCTCCATCAAGGGCACTCCCATCCCCAAGAGCACCTGGGCAAAGATGAACACCAACATCAAGGACCGCCAGGGCCTCATCATGAAATCCACCAACTTTGACACAACAGTGATTGTAGAGAATGTCAACAGATATGATGCTGGCAAATACATTCTGAGTCTGGAGAGCTTGGCTGGCATTAAGATGTACACCATTGTTGTCAAGGTTCTTGGTGAGTGAACAACTTTCATTATTTCTTCATTAAGTAAATGCATTCATCTCAATTTGTTAGCATTGGTTGTACACTGTAGAGGGTGAGGGATTAGTCACTCGAGTTTGGATTGATCTGAAACAGGTTAAAAAATATCTGTTTGGGGTTTAGGTCATTATTTTAAGAGACACTGTCATAAAATGTTGTTGTATCTCTCCAGATACTCCCGGACCACCAGTCAACCTGATGGTGAAAGAGGCAAACAAGGACAGTGCCTCCATCTACTGGGACACTCCACTGATGGATGGTGGCTCTGAAATCACCCACTACATCGTGGAGAAGCGTGACACTGAGAGGAAGGCCTGGTCCATTGTCTCCAAAGACTGTACCAAGACATCCTTCGACGTGCCAGACCTGGATGCCGGGCGGTCCTACTGCTTCAGGGTGTCAGCAGTTAACAAGCTTGGCGCTGGAGAGCGTTGTGAGACAGCCGACTCTGTCAAGGCATCTGGTTGGTTTGATGATAACAGATTTTGTGCTTGACCTTGTGTTTTTTTTTTTTTTTGTTCTTTCAAATGTACTCACTGTACTCATTTTACCTTTCCAGAGGAGCCTGGGCCTGTCATCGACTTCAAGACCCTGCTTGTCACCAAGGACTCTTGCACCCTGAGCTGGAAGAAACCCCTCAGCGATGGTGGCAGCCGCATCATCTGCTATGTGCTGGAGGTTCTCAATGGTGAAGACAAGTACAAGGAACTCATGAGGTCCAAGAACATGCAGTACAGTGCCAAGGACCTGGTGGAGGACAGAGAGTACACCTACAGAGTCAAGGCTGTCAATGACTCAGGAGAAGGTTCTCCCAAGGAGCTGAAGGTGGTTGCCAAAGACCAGATCAGTAAGTGACTGTGCATATTGAGAAATACATATTCATGTCTTGAGTAAGGTCTTTGAGACTGAACTTTTTAAAAAAGAAATCAATGCAGAGGTAAAGAAGTATGTGCAGGAACCACATTTTTTTTATCGTGTCATATTGATAAAACTTACATAGAAACAATCTAAGAGAGTTTGCACGTTGTTTTAAGTAGAGTTTTAAAATACTCAATCCTTCTCTCTGCAGTTCCTCCCAACTGTGACTTGAGGGAGCTGCCCAACATGTGCTACATTGCCAAGGAGGGCAGCACCGTCCGTCTGAAGATCCCAATTGTTGGCAAACCTCCACCCAAGGTCACCTGGAAGAAGGGAGATGACGAAGACTTGACAGACACCGGCCGAGTGTGCGCAGAGTCTTCTGCAGTTAATACCACCCTCATGATCAGGGACTGCCAGAGGAGTGATGCTTCCAAGTACTGTATCACCCTGAGGAACAGTGCTGGAACCAAGGAGTCCACCATCTTCATCAGGTAGAAATCAAACTGTAACAGGATCATGTAATTTCAGAGAATACAACTTTCTGAAACGCAATGCTGGTCTCAGTCATATTCATGTATTACTGGCTGTGTATAAATAAGTAACAAAAATAAAAATTCAATCCTCTGGCCTTTATATTCACTTCTGGAAAAAAGCATGATAAAGGACAAGTTGAGAAAAGGTATCATATCAGAACTTTACAATCTGTTGTCATCTTACTCACCTGAAAACTCACAGTCTAAATTAAAAGCCTGGAAGGAAAACTTGCAACTTGAAATTTCAGAGGAAGATTGGGAAGCAGCTTGCACTGGCGCTCATATCAAATCTATAAATACACGTCTGAAATTAATACAATATAAATGGTTAATGCGGACTTATTTGGCACCAGTGGACTTAAACAGGTTTGACACAAATATACAAGATATATGTACAAAATGTACAGAAAACAGAGGGACTTTGTTCCATTGTATATGGCAAAGTACAAAGGTTAACATGTTCTGGGAAGAGGTAAGAGTTGTGATAGAGAAGGTAATTTCAAAACAGATTTTACTGGATCCTAAACTTTTCCTCATGGGCTTATATCCAAAGAAACATAATTACAGTAAATATGAACGAGCATTTATAGATCTCAGCTTGCTCAATGCAAAAAAATGTATTGCCTTATTATGGAAATGGATTTATAGACCAAGTATTACTCAGTGGACAAGGCAGATGTTATCAAGTTTCCCATTAGAGAGAACAACTTACATATTAAAGGCCAAACAGCATGTGTTTGAATTTATATGGGGACCCTTCATAGATTATGTAAAGGCTTTAGATTTAACATGACGTGAGTGAGTAGGTTCCATGGACGATGCAGTTTTCAAGTTTATAATTTCTTTTCAAAACATTGTTTTGCAATTTCTTTTTTCTTCTAGACATCTGGATTTCACATATGTCACAATGAATATACTCCATTTTATGAGTACTATTTTGAGACATGCCATTTGGAGATTTCTACTGGCTTGAACAGGAGCATGACTGTTTTGTTTTTTTTGTTTGTTTGTTTTGTGTGTGTGTTTGAGTATGTTTTTGTTGTTGTTGTTGTTGTTGTTTTGTGATAATGCAGCAGGCCTTTATGTTTGCAAACACTGTATGAATGAAAAGAGGCTGTATCTTATAATGTTGGAAAATGAATAAAAATATTGTGGCAAAAAAAATTCAATCCTCTGTCTCCTCTCAGGGTGGTGGGTAAACCTGGCATCCCTATTGGACCTATTAAGTTCAAAGATGTTGCTGCTGATGGTGCTACGCTGAAGTGGGCCACTCCTAAGGATGATGGTGGCTCAGAGATCACAAACTACATCCTGGAAAAGAGGGACTTCATCACCAACATGTGGGTCACTGTGTCCTCTGCTGTGGAGGAAAACACCTTTAGGGTGACTGGTCTCCATGAGGGCACAGAGTACATCTTCAGAGTCTGTGCTGAGAACAAGTATGGTGTTGGAGAGGGACTCAAGTCTGACCCCATTGTTGCTAAACATCCATTCAGTAAGTGACTGATATTTTAAAGGCTGAATGTGCTGAACTTAAGAACTAAGCTGCTCATGAATAATATCACTGTTTTTCTACAGATGTTCCCGATGCTCCTCCTCCACCTCAGGTCATGAGCATGCGCCACGACTCTGCTTACTTGGCCTGGTCTGACCCCAGAAAGACTGGAGGATCTCCCATCACAGGTGCAGTCAGCTTAAACACCTCACCTACCTTTTGTCCATTTTCTCTTTGCTTCTTATTTAAGTTTGATATCTATATAATGAGTATGTGGCATGCAAGCTTAATGTGGATTTCGTTTTTCCCTCCCTTTGTGCTACATTAAGGCTACCATGTTGAGTTCAAGGAGAGGAACAGTATGTTGTGGAAGAGGGCGAGTCCAGCTGCCTTGAAGATGAAGGAACACAAAGTAACTGGGCTGACTGAAGGTCTGGAGTACCAGTTCAGAGTCATGGCAGTCAATCTGGCCGGCATTGGCAGACCAAGTGCTCCCACAGATCCACAGGTGGCCCTGGATCCCATTGGTAAGTATAAGAAGTAAAAGGGTGGTTTAAATGACCAATTTTGTAAAGTATCCAACAATGCATTAATATTCTTTGTGTCTGTTTTAAAAGATGCCCCTGGGAAACCTGATGTGATCAGCGTCACCAGAAGCACCGTGACCCTACAGTGGACCGAGCCACAGTTCGATGGTGGCCACAGACTGACTGGCTACATTGTTGAGAGGCGTGACCTGCCCTCTAAGATCTGGGTAAAGGCCAACAATGTAAATGTTGTGGAGCCTGCATTCACTGTAACTGATTTACAGGAAGGCTGCAAATACGAGTTTAGAATCAGGGCGAAGAATGCTGCCGGTGCTCTCAGCCCACCATCAGAGCAGACAGATACTATTATCTGCATGGATGAATATGGTGAGTTATAAACCCACCTCTGACATGTTGTCTTACTCACATCTTGGTATACTTTTAATAATTATCTTGGTATGATGCACAATAACTAAACTTTTTCATTTTTTGTTCAACAGCTGCACCAACCATTATTATCGACGCTCAGGTGAAAGAGGGTGTGACTGTCCGGGCTGGTGACACTATTGTAATTACTGCCACAAGCATTTTAGGCAAACCTGCGCCAACCTCATGCTGGTCAAAGGGAGGAAAATACTTTAAACCATCTGATATTGTTCATATTGAGACCACTGCAACTTCCTCCACCCTGTCCATCAAGTACGCTGGCAGGAAAGATTCTGGGGAGTACGTCATCACTGCCAGTAATCCCTTTGGTGTAAAGGAGGAAACCGTCAAGGTCACAGTTCTAGATGTTCCTGGTATTCCTGGACCCATTGAATGCAGTGGTGTCTCTTCTGAAAAGGTCACTCTTACCTGGACAGCTCCCACTGAAGATGGAGGATCTCCTATAAAGTATTACACCCTGGAGAAGAGAGAGACCAGCCGCCTGCTCTGGACTATTCTGGAAGAGAAGGTCATTGACTGTCACTATGTGGCCAACAAGCTCATCCAGGGCAATGAGTACTTCTTCAGAGTATCTGCTGTTAACCAGTATGGTGCTGGTGAAGCATCTCAGTCTGAGGCAGTTAAGATGATTGATAGATTCGGTATGTGCAGTTAGTTTGTGTTGCTCAATTTACATTACATCCTACATTTGTGCTTCAATTTTTAAAGATAGAAGAATACAGACTACTCAGATTCATGAATGTGTTTCTTTTATCTGTGCTTGTAGGTCCTCCTGGCCCACCATCCAGACCAGAGGTTGAAAAAGTTGATGGACATTCCGTCACAGTGACCTGGAGGAGACCAGCTGAGGATGGAGGAAGTGACATCATAGGATACTGTGTTGAGAAGAAGGAGAAAAAGGGGATGAGATGGGTCAGGGCATCCAAGAAATCCATTGCTGAGCTCAGCTATGCAGTCACTGGTCTCACTGAGGGCATAGAGTATGAGTTCCGTGTTCTTGCTGAGAACAAAGCTGGCTTCGGAGAGCCAAGTGAACCATCTATGCCTGTCAGAACGATAGTTGTTGCCTGTAAGTAAAAAGATTTTTGTCAGTTGTGAAAAGCAAACATGCCACCAAAATCCATTAAGATTTTTTTTTTTTATGCCAAAATACTTAGACGAAATGACCATTTAAAAAAAAAACAAATGCTGTGTTTAGTTTTTAAAGACACTAATCAATTCTTTTATGTCTGACAGATGTGCCTGGACCTCCAGTCAATCCAAGAGTCACAGACACAACCAAGACCACTGCCACCCTGAATTGGGGAAAACCTCTTGATAACGGTGGACTTGAAGTCACTGGATATGTGGTTGAGCACAAGAAGGAAGGAACAGAAGAATGGGTCAAGGACACCCCTTCATCTCCACTTAGGATCACAGAATTTGTTGTGCCTGAGCTGGAAACTGGTGTAAAATACCTCTTCAGAATTAGCGCTGTGAATGCCAAGGGAGCAGGTGAACCTGCTGTAACTCAGGAACTGACTGAGATAGTGGAGCATGCTGCTGAACCTGGTTTTGAGCTGGATCTTGAGCTCAGAAGAACCCTTGTCGTTAGAGCTGGCTGCTCCATTCGCCTCTTTGTGCCAATCAAGGGACGTCCTACACCTGCCGTCACCTGGACAAAGGAGGGTGGTCCTGTCCCACGTGCAGTCATTGACAGCACAGAGTCATTTACAATGCTGATTGTCCCTGAGAGTTCAAGGATTGATGCAGGTAAATATGAGCTTACCCTCGAAAACTCAGCTGGAAAGAAGAGTGCCGCTATACAAGTAAGAGTTCTGGATTCTCCTGGACCTCCACTCAACCTGAAACCAGTCAAGATTGACAAGGAAAGCATTACTCTTCAGTGGGAGATGCCTCTCATTGATGGTGGAGCCAGGATCACAAACTACATCATTGAGAAGAGAGAATCAACACGCAAGGCTTTTGCTACTGCTGTTACAAACTGCCCAACCACTTCAGTCAGGATTGGTGACCTGGGTGAAGGCTGTGAATACTACTTCAGAGTGTCTGCTGAGAATGAATATGGCATTGGTGAGGCGGTTGAAACTGTTGATCCAATTCGTGCTTCGCAGGCACCAACTCCTCCACAGAGTATTATTCCTACTGATATAACCAAGAACTCTGTGAGCCTGGCTTGGACTAAACCCAAGCACGATGGTGGAAGCAGAATTACAGGATATGTTCTTGAAGCCCAGAAAAAGGGAACTGACCAATGGACACATATTACAACAATCAAGAACATGGACTTCACAGTGAAGAATCTCAATGAGAGCGAGGAGTACACTTTCCGCGTAATGGCTGTCAATCTCTCAGGTAGAAGCGCTCCACGTGACAGCAAACCCATTGTTGTCAAGGATTCTACTTCCCTGCCTGAGTTTGACCTCCGTGGCGTATGTCAGAAGACTATTATTGCCAAGGCAGGAGATGACATCAAGGTTGAAATTCCAGTTATGGGACGTCCTAGACCAACTGTCTCCTGGCAAAAGGATGGCGCAGCCCTGAAGCTGACACAGAGAACCAATGTGGAAACTACTGCTGCTACTGTTATCCTCAGCATTGGTGAATGCAACAGAGCTGACAGTGGTGTTTACACCATGACGGGAAAGAACATTGTTGGTTCTGTAACAGACAATATCATTGTCAAAGTACATGATGTACCTGGACCACCCAAGGGACCAGTGAAGATTGTGGAGATAGCTCGTACCTATTGTATCTTTGCATGGGACCCTCCTGAGAATGATGGAGGCGTTCCAATCAACAATTATGTGGTGGAGATTAGAGACACCACTTCCCAAACATGGACAGAGCTGTCTTCTACTGTCATCCGTACCATGTTCAAAGCCATTCGCTTAAACACTGGATCAGAGTACCAATTCAGAGTAAAGGCTAAGAACAGATATGGTGCTGGAGCTCCCATTACCTCAGAGGCAGTAGTGGCTGCCTATCCATTTAAAGTCCCTGGCCCTCCTGGTACTCCCAATGTTGTTGCATTTACCAAGGACTCAATAACAATTGGCTGGAATGAGCCTGTGGCTGATGGTGGAAATGAGGTCATTGGTTATCATGTTGAGAGGAAAGAAAGGAGCAGTATCATGTGGCAAAAGATCAGCAAGGGTCTGGTGAAAGGAAACATATTTAAATCCACTGGCCTTGAAGATGGAATTGCCTATGAGTTCCGTGTCATGGCTGAAAACATGGCTGGAATTGGTAAGCCCAGCAAAGCCTCAGAACCAATACTGGCCTTGGACCCTGTAGACCCACCAGGTCAGCCTGTGCCAATATTTGTCAACAAGAATGTCATCACCATTCAGTGGACAAAGCCTGAGTATGATGGTGGTTTCAAAATCACTGGCTACATAGTGGAGAAGAAAGAACTTCCTACTGGCCGCTGGATTAGAGCCAACTTCACCAATATCATTGAGACAACATTCACTGTCAGTGGACTGACTCAAGATGCCTCCTATGAGTTCCGCGTTATAGCCAGAAACTCAGCAGGTGCAGTGAGTGTGCCCTCTGAGCCCTCAGACCCAATTACCTGCAAAGATGATATTATTGAGCCACGCATTATGGTAGATGCCATCTTTAAGGATGTTATTCTACTGAAGGCAGGGGAGTCCTTCAAGCTTGATGCTGATATTGCTGGTCAACCAACCCCATCTATGGTTTGGACCAAGAATGGAAAGGAGGTTGAGAACACGCTGAAACTGGAGATAAAGTTCACTGAACTGGAAACCACTCTGACCAACAAGGACTCTGTCAGATCAGATGGAGGAGAATTTGTTTTGACTGCCACTAATGTTGGTGGATTTGCTAAGCACATCTTTAAGGTTAAAGTGCTTGACAGACCTGGACCACCGGTTGGACCTCTTGAGGTGTCTAATGTCACCGCTGACAACTGTATACTGACCTGGGCTCCACCAGCAGATGATGGAGGTGCCAAAATTGAAGGTTATGTGATTGAGAAGCGTGAGTCAAGCAGACTGGTTTGGACCAATGTAGTCTCAGACCTGCAAGTTACACAGTACAAGGTGACCAAGCTGCTTAAAGGAAATGAATACATCTTCAGAGTTATGGCTCTAAACAAGTATGGACTTGGCGAGTCTCTTGAGTCAGAACCCACTATTGCAGAAAACCCATATGTGGTTCCAGATCCTCCAGGAAATCCTGAGGTGACTGCTATCACTAAAGATTCAATGGTTGTTATGTGGCAAGCGCCTAAGAGTGATGGTGGAACTCCCATCACCCACTACAATATCCAAAGGAAAGACAGAATAGGCCTCCGTTGGGTCAAATGCAACAAGAGGAAGGTCAAAGATCTACAGTTTAAGGTAACAGGCCTTGTTGTCGGACATGAATATAAATTCAGAGTAGTTGCAGAGAATGCTGCTGGAGTAAGTCCACCAAGTGCCTCGAGTCCATTCTACAAGGCCACCGACGGACTGTATAAGCCAGGAGCCCCATCCAACCCCAGAATCTTGGACACAACTAAGTCCTCAATTACTGTTGCCTGGAACAAACCTGTATATGATGGTGGCTCTGACATCACTGGCTACATGGTGGAGACCTGCATCCCATCTGAAAAGGCGGAAGATGAGGAATGGACTATTGTGACACCCAAAGAAGGACTTCTTGCCACCTCATTCACCATTATTAACCTGAAGGAAAACCAGGAGTACAAGATTAACATCTCTGCTGTCAACAGTGAAGGAGTTGGAGAGGCAGCATCTGTACCTGGTAATCCCAAGGCAGAGGACAGGCTCCTCCCACCTGAGATTGAGTTGGATGCTGAGCTCCGCAAGGTTGTCAGTCTTAGAGCTTGCTGCTCACTTAGACTGTTTGTGCCTATCAGAGGCAGACCAGCTCCTCAGGCTAAATGGACCAAAGGAGACGGTGAGCGTGTTGAGAGGGCAACCATTGACAGCACAACATCATACACGTTACTTGTAATTGAAAATGTCAACAGATTTGACAGTGGGAAGTATAATCTTACAGTTGAAAACAGCTCTGGCTCTAAGACAGTTACGGTCCAAGTCAGGGTGCTTGACACACCAAGTGCCCCACAGAATCTCAAGATTACAGCTGTAACTAAAGAAGCTGTCACTCTGACTTGGGATCCACCAGCGAATGATGGAGGAGTAAAGATTAAGAATTATATTGTTGAAAAACGCGAGTCCACAAGGAAAGCATATGCCACAGTCAAAGCCATGTGTCATCATACCACCTTTACAGTGGACCAACTCTTGGAAGGTTGCAACTATTACTTCAGAGTTTTAGCTGAGAATGAATATGGCATTGGCCTGCCCATTGAGACTATTGAATCAGTTAAAGTGTCTGAGAAACCACAGCCACCTGGCAAAATCACTCTTAAGGATGTTACCAAGAACAGCGTCACCCTCTCCTGGGAGAAGCCAGAGCATGATGGAGGAAGCAGAGTGGGCTGTTATGTTGTTGAGATCCAGCCAAAGGGTGTTGATAAGTGGACCCAGGCTGTGATAGTAAAGGAAACAGAAGCTACTATTAGTGGACTCATTGCAGGTGAAGAATACATGTTCCGTGTAGCAGCAAAAAATGAGAAAGGAGCAAGCGACCCACGTGAATTCGGTGTGCCTGTGATTGTGAAAGATCTTGTGATTGCCCCTGTTGCCAAAATGTTGTTCAACACATTCAGTGTGTTAGCAGGAGAAGACCTGACAGTACAGGTTCCATATGTTGCACGTCCCAAAGCAGCTATCTCCTGGGTAAAAGATGGTCAGCCTCTGAAGAGAACTACCAGAGTAAACTTTAGTGAAACAGACACACTGTTGGACCTCAGCATAAAAGAAGCTACTAAAGATGATGTTGGAAAGTACCACATTACCTTAAGCAACACAGCAGGAGAGTCATCAGTTGACATTGGCGTTGTTGTGCTTGACAAACCTGGCCAGCCTGGTGGTCCAGTAAAGGTGGAGGAGGTCACCTCTGACAGTATAACCATCTCCTGGAAGCCACCAGAGTATGATGGTGGTTGCACCATCAAAAACTACCTTGTGGAAAAGAGAGACACATCCACAACGAACTGGATGGTTGTGTCTCCAAACCTTGCAAGGACCAAAATCAAGGCAGGCAGGTTGAAGACTGGGTCTGAGTATCAGTTTAGAATCACAGCCGAAAACAGATATGGGAAAGGCCCAGCTCTACTCTCAGAGTGTATTGTGGCTCAATATCCATACAAGCTCCCAGGACCCCCAGGAACACCATCCATTGCAGCCTGCACCAAGGACAGTATGGTAGTGGCCTGGAATGAACCTGTGATTGATGGTGGAAGTACCATCTTGGGCTACCATCTTGAACGCAAAGAGAGAAACAGCATCCTGTGGGTGAAACTTAACAAGTCTCTTATTACAGACCAGACCTTCAAGACCACTGGTCTCGAACCAGGAATGGAATATGAATTCAGAGTTTATGCTGAAAACATTGTTGGAATAGGCAAAGTGAGCAAAGTGTCTGAGGGACGTGTTGCTAGAGATCCTTGTGATCCCCCTGGTACCCCAGAGGCAACAAAGATCAGTAAGGACTCCGTGACCATTGCTTGGACCAAGCCTGAATATGATGGTGGAGCAAAGGTTACAGGCTACGTTGTAGAAAAGAAGGATCTTCCTGAGGGTCGCTGGGTGAAGGCTAACTTTACCAACATCATTGAGACCGAATATGTTGCAACTGGACTTGTGCAGGACAACCAGTATGAGTTCCGTGTCATTGCCAGAAATGCTGCTGGTGTTTTCAGTATGCCCTCATACAGCACTGGTCCTATCACTGCAAGGGATGAGATTGAACCACCACGTATCAGCATTGACCCAGAGTACACACAGACTATTGTTGTTAATGCTGGAGACAACTTTAAGATTGATGCTGATGTTCATGGCAAACCATTGCCTTCTATCCATTGGATGAAGGGAGAGCAGGAACTGGGTAACACTATTCATAGAGAAATTAAGAACACACCCACCAAAGCATATATATCTGTCAAGGAAGCTAAACTTTCCGATGGAGGCCAGTACACTCTGCTACTCAAAAATCCAGGAGGAGAAAAGGCTGTACAGGTCAATGTTGTTGTTCTGGATAAACCCGGAGAACCACAAGGACCTCTTGTTGTTACAGGAATAACCAAAGAGCAGTGCTGCCTTGCTTGGAAGCCACCACTACAGGATGGTGGCAGCAAGATCTCTCACTACATTGTAAAGAGGAGGGAGACAGGCAGACTCGTCTGGACTGTTGTTGACTCAAAAGTGGAGAAGATTTGTTTGAAAATTACTAAGCTCCTGGAAGGAAATGAGTACATCTTCAGAGTCCATGCTGTCAACCAATTTGGAGTGGGTGCACCACTCGAGTCTGCTGCTGTCATGATCAAAGATCCATATGCTGCCCCTGGAGCACCTAAGAGCTTGGAAGTTTCAGATATTAAAAAGGATTCAATGGTGCTCACTTGGGAGGCTCCTTCTGAAGATGGAGGCAGTCCTGTCACTGGATACATAATTGAGAAACATGACAAAGAAGGTGTAAGATGGACAAGATGCAACAGGAATACAGTCACTGACTTGACTTTCAAGGTCACTGGGCTCTTGGAGAGCCATAACTACGAATTCAGAGTTGCAGCTGAGAATGCTGTAGGTGTTGGTGAGCCAAGCTCCCCAACTGTGTTCTATAAAGCCCTTGATCCCATCTTTAGGCCTGGCCCACCACACAATCCAAGAGTAACTGACACAACTAAATCCTCAGTTTTCCTGTCATGGGGCAAGCCTGTCTGTGATGGAGGCTGTGAGATTCAGGGATATATTGTTGAGTGCTGTACTACCACAGAGCCAGCAGTTCCAGCTGAAGTTCCAGCCGCAAAGGAAGCTGCTACAGAAGCCCCTGCTGAGGAATGGACAATGTGCACGCCACCAACAGGTGTCAAGAAGACCAAGTTTGAGGTTGCAAACCTGAAGGAAAACCAGGCATACAAGTTTAGAGTGTGTGCTATCAACAAAGTAGGAGTTGGTGAGCATGCTGATGTCTCTGGAGCTGTTGTTGCCCAGGACAGGGCAGAAGAGCCGGACCTTGACATTGACCCAGAACTGAGAAAGATTGTGACCATAAAAGCTGGAGCTTCCCTCAGACTATTTATTCCCATCAAAGGAAGGCCCACTCCTACCATCAAGTGGGACAAAGATGAAGCTGCACTTAAAGAGACAGCTCAGGTCGAGGTGACCAGCAGTTACACATCCCTTGTAATTGACAAGATGAGCAGAAATGATAGTGGAAAATACACCATCACTGCAGAAAATGCCAGTGGAACCAAATCTGCATTTGTTGTGGTCCGTGTTCTTGACACACCTAGTGCTCCTGTTAACTTGAAAGTGAAAGAAATTACAAACCAGTCGGTGACACTGGCATGGGAGCCACCTCTGTTGGATGGGGGCTCCAAGATCAAGAACTATGTCGTTGAAAAGAGGGAAAGCACACGCAAAACATATGCAGCTGTTGTAACAAATTGTCATGCTCTTTCGTGGAAGATTGAGCCACTTCAGGAGGGTTGTAGTTACTACTTCAGAGTCCTTGCTGAGAATGCACATGGTGTTGGCCTGCCTGCGGCAACTGTCGATCCTCTTAAGGTCTCCGAGGTGCCCCAGTGTCCGAAGAGCTTGAGTGTTACAGATCAAACCAGAACAAGCATCTCATTGGCCTGGGAGAAGCCTGAGTATGATGGTGGTAGCAGAGTCATGCAGTACCTGCTAGAAGTGAGCCTTAAGGGCCAGGAGAAGTGGTCTGCTGTTAACACGTTCAAGACAATGGAAGCTACTGTTTCCAATCTGAACGCAGGAGAGGAGTATCTGTTCAGAGTTATAGCAGTCAATGATAAGGGAAAGAGTGATCCCAAAGCCCTTGCTGGTCCAGTGATGACGAAGGACTTAGTCTTTGAGCCAGATGTTCGACCAGCATTCAGCAGCTACAGTGTCAATGTGGGCAAAGACCTGAATGTTGACATTCCCTACTTTGGACGTCCTAAGCCAACAGTCTCATGGAGTAAAGATGGAGCTCCTTTGAAATTCACTACCAGAGTTAACATTCACGAAACACCAACACATACGACACTGAGCATTAAGGAGGCAGCAGGTGATGATGGTGGCATGTACAGTATAAATGTAGCTAACTCAGCTGGAAAGAAGGATGCAACAGTTGAAATCATTGTACTTGACAAGCCTGGACCTCCATCCGGCCCTGTGAGGTTTGATGAAATCACAACACAGAGTGTCACTCTTTCATGGAATCCACCAAAGCACAATGGTGGCTGCCAGATTTCAAACTACATTGTACAGAAGAGAGATACTACCACAACAACATGGGAAAATGTCAGCATCAACTGTGCCAGAACCACCATCAAAGTGCCTAGACTGAAGACTGGAGCGGAGTACCAGTTCAGGATCATTGCTCAGAACCGCTATGGCAAGAGTCATGGTCTAGATTCATCTTCTGTGGTTGCTCAGTACCCATACAGAGAGCCAGGCCCTCCAGGCACTCCCTTCATCTCTTCTCTCTCTAGGGACCACCAAATTGTTGAGTGGCACGAGCCTGTCTCAGATGGAGGCAGTGCTGTCCTTGGCTACCATCTTGAAAGGAAAGAGAGGAATAGTATTCTTTGGGTCAAGATCAACAAGACACTTATACATGAGACTACTTTCAAGAGTCACCCCCTGGAGGAGGGTATTGAGTATGAATACAGGGTTTATGCTGAAAACATTGTTGGCATTGGCAGGTGCAGTAAGGTCTCAGAGGGCTGTGTTGCCCGTGACCCGTGTGATCCTCCTGGTACACCAGAGGCCATCCATATAACCAAAGATACTATTGTCATCCAGTGGACTAAACCAGAGTATGATGGTGGCAGTAATATAACTGGCTATACTGTGGAGAAGCGTGATCTGCCAGAGGGCAGGTGGGTAAGGGCAAACTTTACCAATGTGATTGAGACCCAGTTCACTGTCACTGGACTGACTGAAAATACACAGTATGACTTCAGAGTCATTGCTAAAAATGCTGTCGGCACCATCAGTAAGCCATCCTACAACAGCGGACCAATCACTGCAAGTGATAAGTTAGAGGCACCCAAATTCTCCATTGACCCTACATTTACCAAGACCATTATCGTCAATGCTGGAGAGACCTTTAAGCTGGATGCTGATGTCCGTGGCAAGCCACTCCCCACCATCCAGTGGTTCAAAGATGAAAAGATAATCGAGAATACACTCAGACTAGAGATTAAAAACACAGAGGACCGTGCAATGATTGTCATTAAGGACTCTGTTAGAATTGATGGTGGAATTTACACACTCCAATTGACAAATATGGCTGGTAGTGAAACTGTTCCATTCAACGTTGTGGTCCTGGACAGGCCTAGCCAATGTGAAGGACCCCTTCACATCACCGGAGTAGCTGAAGATAGATGCACACTGGTGTGGCGTGCCCCTCTACATGATGGAGGTAGTCCTATTAAGCACTACGTAATTGAGAGAAGAGAGACCAGTCGTCTAGCTTGGACAATTGTTTCTAGCAGCTGTGAAACCACACGCTATAAAGTCACCAAATTATTGGAAGGCAATGAGTATATGTTCCGTGTCATGGCCGTTAACAGTTATGGTGCCAGTGAGCCACTGGAGTCTAGTGGAGTGATTATGAAGACTCCATTTGTTCCTCCTGGTCCACCTCATATTGAGGATGTATCAAACATAGCTCATGATGGCATGACTATCACTTGGTCAGCCCCTGAGACAGATGGTGGCAGTGAGATTACCAATTACATAATTGAAAAGAAGGACAGACATGGAATCAAATGGACCAGATGCAACAGACAAAAAGTCACTGATCTCACCTTCAGAGTTACAGGCCTATCCACCGGCCATGAATATGAGTTCAGGGTGGCTGCAGAGAATGTAGTTGGAGCAGGAGAGCCAAGCCTTCCTAGTTCATACTACAAAGCCAGTGATCCCAAGTACAAACCCGGTGCCCCAGCATATGTGAATGTAATTGACTCCACTAAGAGCTCCATTACAGTGTCATGGGGTAAGCCTCTCTCTGATGGCGGTAGTGCCGTTCAAGGATACATTGTTGAAGTCTGCAAGGCTGAGGAGGAGGAATGGACCATGGTCACTCCCCCCACTGGCCTGCGTGTCAACAAATATGAAATAACCAAACTTACTGAGAGTCAGGAGTATAAGATTCGGGTGTGTGCTTTGAACAAACTGGGAGTTGGTGAGCCAGCAGCTCTCTCTGGAACAGCTAAGCCAGAGGAAAGGGTGGACCCACCAGAGATCCACCTTGACTCTGTGCTGAGGAAGGGCATCACTTTGAAAGCTGGTGGATCTGTGAGAATCCATATTCCATTCAAGGGCAGGCCAACACCTGAAATTAAGTGGACTAAGGATGAGGGAGCCGTAACTGAAAGAGCAGTTATTGAGAAAGCTCTTAACTTCACACAGTTGTCCATTGACTCATGTGACAGGGGTGACTCAGGAAAATACATGCTGACCCTGACAAACAGCAGTGGCTCTGTGTCTGAGCTTGTTGCTGTTAAAGTCCTGGATACACCTGGTGCCCCACAGAACCTTGTTGTTAAAGATGTCAAAAAGGACTCAGTCATTCTTGTATGGGATGCCCCACTGATTGATGGAGGTTCCAAAATCAAGAATTATGTAATTGACAAACGTGAATCAACCAGAAAGGCATATGCAAATGTGTCCATGAAATGCACGAAGACAACTTTCAAGGTTGAGAACTTGATTGAAGGCGCTATGTACTACTTCAGAGTCATGGCTGAGAATGAATATGGAATCGGCCAGGCTGTTGAAACAAAGACTGCTTCGAAGGCCTCTGAGGTACCACTGCCTGTTGGAAAAATTTTCCTCACTGATGTCACCAAGGCCAGTGTCTCACTGGCCTGGGAGAAACCTGAGCATGATGGAGGTAGTAGAATTGGTGGATACCTAATTGAGATGCAACCCAAGGGTACAGATAAGTGGGGAGTTGCAACAAATACAAAGACATGTGAGGGCACTGTCACAGGCCTCTCAGCAGGAGCAGAATACCTATTCCGTATAATTGCTTACAATGAGAAGGGAAAGAGTGAGCCAAAGGCACTTGCTGCACCTGTTGTCGCCAGTGACATGACCATGGAGCCAAGCATTAAGATGCAATTCAACACCTACAGTGTATTAGCTGGAAAGGATTTGAAGCTGGAGTTCCCTGTGCTTGGCAGGCCCAAACCTCATGTTACCTGGACGAAGGATGGTCAGCCTTTGAAGGTGACATCCAGGCTCAATGTTTTACAAACTCCAACAACAACTGGAATTCAAATTACAGAGGCATCCAAGGAGGACTTTGGCAAATATTCCATTACAGCAACCAGCAATGTCGGCACAATCACTGAGGATGTTACTGTCATTATCCTTGACAAGCCTGGTCCACCAAAAGGTCCAATCAAGGTTGTTGAAGTGAGCAACACCTTTGTCCATCTCTCCTGGGAGCCTCCAGAGTATATGGGCGGATGCCAGGTAAAGAACTACATAGTGGAGAAGAGAGACACTACCACCACAACATGGCAGCCAGTCACCACGCAGCTTGCTAGAACAGCTTTTAAGGTCACCAAGCTGAAAACTGGTGCAGAATACCAGTTCAGAATCATAGCTGAAAACAGATATGGAAAGGGTGTGTCTCTGGATTCCAAGTCCATTGTTGTTCAATATCCATACAAACCACCAGGGCCTCCAGGAACACCATTTGTCAAATCTGCAACTAAGGAAATGATGATCATTGAATGGAATGAGCCAGTCAATGATGGTGGAAGTGCAGTTATTGGTTACCATCTAGAAAGCAAGGAGAGGAGCAGCATCATGTGGAACAAACTGAACAAGACTCTTATCACTGATACTCAATTCAAGATCTGCAATCTTGAGGAGGGTGTTGGATATGAATTCAGAGTCTATGCTGAAAATATTGTTGGCATTGGAAGATGCAGTAAAGTATCCGAGTCCTTTGTTGCTCGTGACCCATGTGATCCGCCCGGTGCTCCTGAAGCTGTATCTATTTCTAAGACCCAAATAACGATTCAGTGGACCAAGCCTCAGTATGATGGTGGCAGCAAAGTGAACGGCTATATTGTAGAAAGAAAAGATCTTGCCTCCCCTGATAAGCGCTGGGTAAGAGCTAATTTCACTAATATAATTGAGACTGAGTATACTGTCACTGGCCTGACAGAGAATGAGCAATATGAATTCAGAGTTGTTGCAAGAAATGCAGCTGGAGTCTTCAGCGAGCCATCTGATAGCTCTGGACCTATTACTGCTACTGATGAAATTGAACCACCCAGAGCCTCAATGGATCCCAAATACAAGGATGTTATTTTTGTCAATGCTGGAGAACACTTGCTTCTTGATGCCGACTTTTATGGAAAACCGATTCCTGAAGTTGCCTGGCTAAAAGAGGGCAAGGAAATGGAAAAAGCCCTGCGCATTGAAGTGAAAACAACACAAAAACGTGCAGCCATGACCATTAAGGATGTAACCAAACTTGATGGTGGCCACTATGACCTTGTTCTCAAAAATCTGGGTGGTACAAAAACCTTCCCTATCACTGTCAAAGTCCTTGATAAGCCAGGTCCACCCATTGGACCAATGAACGTGACAGGAGTCATGGCCGACAGGTGCATCCTTTCCTGGTCTGAACCAGCTCAGGATGGTGGGGCTAGCATCACTCACTACATTCTGGAGAAGAGAGAGACTAGCAGGTTGTCCTGGACAGTGGCTGCACCAAATGTCAAGGGTCTGTTCTATAAACTAACAAATCTGCTCCCTGCAAATGAATACATTTTCAGAGTCAGGGCAGTCAACAAATATGGTGCTGGTGATTGTCTTGAGAGTGAACCCATCATTGCACGCAATCCTTACAAGCCACCTTCAGCCCCTGGAACTCCAGAAGCAAGTCAGATTACAAAGGACTCTATGGTACTATCATGGACTGCTCCAGAACAGACTGGTGGAGCTGACATTGAAGGCTACCACCTTGAAAAACGTGACAAAGATAGTGTAAGGTGGACAAAATGTAACAGACAAAAGCTAACTGACACACACTTGAAGGTCACAGGTCTAATGACAGACCACTTCTATGAGTTCCGTGTTGCTGCTGAGAATGAGGCTGGAATGGGAGAGCTTAGTGAACTGTCCCTATTCTACAGAGCATGTGATGCCACAACACCCCCTGGACCTCCACACCATCCTAAGGTAACAGACTACACAAAGTCTTCTGTGTCTCTGTCCTGGGGCAAACCTGACTTTGATGGTGGTGCCTACATAAAAGGTTACATTGTTGAAATGAGGGAGTATACACCAGTGCCTGAATCAACAGAGGAGACAGAAGTAGCCCCAACAGTGGAAAAAGAGTGGACCATGTGCACTCCACCCACTGGCATTCAAGCCACTAAACTCTGTATCACAGACCTGAAGGAGGGTGGAGAGTATCAGTTCCGTGTCTGCGCTATCAATTCTGAGGGAGTGGGGGAGGCTGCTAACATCCACAGCACTGTGGTTACTTCTGACAGGGTAGAAGCACCAGAGATTGAGCTGGATGCTGATCTCAGAAAGGTGGTGTCTGTGCGTGCTGGTGGAACTCTGCGTCTGTTTGTCACCATCAGGGGAAGACCTGAACCTGCTGTGAAATGGGAGAAGGTTGAGGGTACTCTCACAGAGCGTGCTGCAATTGACACCACCAGTTCATACACCATGCTTGTCATTGACAATGTTAATCGCTTTGACAGTGGCAAGTACTCCCTAACACTTGAGAACAGCAGTGGTTCAAAATCAGCTGTTGTTGCAGTGAGAATTTTGGACACACCAAGTGCACCACAAAACTTTGCTGTGAAGGAGCTCAAGAAGGACTCTGTGACTCTTGCCTGGGATACACCACTCACTGATGGTGGTTCTAAAATCACAAACTACATTGTAGAGAAGAGAGAGTCTGTCAGGAAGGCCTATACTACAGTCACCAGCAACTGCATGGCCAACTCGTTCAAGATTGAAGATCTGCCTGAGGGTGGCATTTTTTACTTCAGAGTTTGTGCTGTAAATCAGTATGGCCAAGGACAGATGGTTGAAACCAAAGAAGTCAAAGTGGCTGAGGTACCACTGCCACCAAGCAAGGTTAGCCTTGTGGATTTGACAAAGACCAGTGTGTCACTGGCATGGGAAAAACCTGCTCATGATGGTGGAAGCAAAGTCATGTGTTACAATGTAGAATTTATGCCTAAGAGGGGAGACAAATGGGGCACAGCATGCACAGCCAAGGGGCTAGAAGCAACTATTCCTAATCTGACTCCTAATGAAGCCTATTTATTCAGAGTTATTGCAATCAATGAGAAAGGAAAGAGTGAGCCAAAGGATCTTGGCTTGCCTGTGGTTGCAAAGGATGTTGCAATTGAACCATCTGTCAACTTACTATTTACCACATACAGTGTGAAGGCTAAAGATGACCTCATTGTTGAGGTTCCTGTAAGAGGCAGACCAAAGCCTGTTGTATCCTGGAAGAAGGATGGCCTTCCTTTGAAGCAAACATCATCAGTGACCATTGAAAGAACTGCAACCTCAACCAAAATTATCATCAAAGACGCTAACAAAGAACATGTTGGCAAGTATGAACTCACCCTGGCCAACTCAGCAGGAACTGTCACAGCAGATATTGGAATTGTTGTTCTTGATAAACCAGGTCCACCTAAGGCTGTTAAGGTGGATTCTGTTACGTCAGACAGCATCACGCTGTCCTGGTCTCCACCAGATTACGATGGTGGCTGCTCAATCAGTAACTATATTGTGGAGAAGAGAGACACAAACACACAAGAATGGCAGATGGCAGCAAGTAACATTGCCAGAACATCTTTCAAGGCTGGCCGCCTGACACATGGATCAGAGTACCAGTTCCGCATATATGCAGTCAACCGTTATGGAAAGAGTGTGTATGTGGATTCACCTGGAATCACTGCTCAGTATACTTTCAGACAACCCGGACCTCCCTCCACGCCTATAGTGAAATTGGCCACGAAGTCTTACATGGTGGTGACTTGGAATGAGCCAGTCAATGATGGTGGTAGTCCTGTTGTGGGCTACCATCTGGAGAGGAAGGAGCGTTCTAGCATTCTTTGGACAAAGATGAATAGAGGAATGATCAAAGATACAGAATACAAAGTCAATGGAGTTGAAGAGGGCATGATGTATGAATACCGTGTCTATGCTGAAAATATTTCTGGTATTGGTAAATGCAGCAAGGCCTGTGAAGCTGTAGCAGCCAGAGATCCATGTGATCCTCCAGGCACACCTGTGGTCACTGCTATTACCAGAACATCTGTTTCCTTGTCTTGGGATAAACCAGAGTATGATGGTGGAGCCAAGGTTACTGGCTACACCATTGAACGCAGAGACCTTCCTGCAGGACGCTGGACAAGGTGCAACTTCACCAATGTGCCTGAGACCCACTATGAGGCAACAAGCCTTGTAGAAAACAGCCAGTATGACTTCCGTGTCATTGCTAAGAATGCAGCTGGATTGTTCAGTGAACCATCTGACAACACTGGCCCCATCACTGTCAAGGATGATGTGGATCCACCGCGCATCATGATGGATGTCAAGTTCAGAGAGACATTGCTTGTGAAAGCAGGAGAAACTCTGAAGATTAATGCTGACCTTGCTGGACGCCCCGCCCCTGTCATTTCCTGGACCAAGGATGGCAAAGAGATTGAGCTGAGAGCCAGAATCCAGATTGTTTCAACTGATACTAGCACTTCTGTCATTGTGAAGGATTGCATTAGAAAAGATTCTGGACAGTATGCCCTGATTCTACAGAATATTGGTGGAACAGTAACAATGCCAATAAACTGTGTGATTCTAGATAAGCCAGGGCCCTCAGCAGGACCTCTGCAGATCACAGGTCTCACATCTGATTCATGCACTCTGTCATGGGGCCCTCCTCAGGAGACTGGTGGTGCTGATATCACACATTATGTTGTTGAGAAGCGTGACACCAGCCGCTTGGCATGGACAGTGGTGAAGGGAGAAGTCACAAAAACATACCTCAAAGTCACAGGACTGCTTAAGGGAGATGAATATATTTTCAGGGTTTTGGCTGTCAACAAGCATGGACTTGGTGAGGCTCTGGAGAGTGATGCTGTAAAGATTACAGATCCATACACTGTTGCCGCTGCTCCAACGAATGTTGACGTCACTACCATAACTGGAGATTCAATGACCCTCACCTGGTGCAAGCCACCCAGTGATGGAGGCAGCCCTATCACTGGATATGTGATTGAGCGCCGTGAGAAGACGGGTATGCGCTGGGTCCGTGTGAACAGAGATCCAGTTGTTGAATGTACCACAGTTGCAACCAAACTACGTAAGGGTTGTGAGTATGACTTCAGAGTCTATGCTGAAAATGCTGCTGGTCTGAGTCCTCCAAGTGAACGATCTGCAACATTCAGAGCACTAGATCCTTTGGTTGCTCCCTCTCGCCCAACCAAGCCAAAGATCGTGGATTCAACCAAGGCCAGTGTGTCCATTGTCTGGAAACCACCAGCAGATGATGGTGGTGCTCCCATCCTTGGATACAGTGTAGAATACAGAGACTACATCCGCAAACCAAAGCCAGAGGTTGAGGAAGAAGAGGAAGAATATGAGGAGGAGGAAGAGGAAGTGCCTGAATCACCCGAAGAATTAGCAAGATGGGTTGAAGCTATCCCTCTTACCAAAAGCTTGGAGTTCACAGTTACTGGACTTAAGACAGATGCAGAATATGAATTCTGTGTCAAGGCAATAAACAAAGTTGGCAGCAGTGTGCGTAGCCCATATTCAGATGGAGCTGCAGCAAAGGACAGAACTGCAGAGCCATCATTTGATGTTGATATTGAGATGCGTAAAGTACTTATTGTCAAGCATGGCACAGCATTTACTCTCAATGTACCATTCAAGGGCAAACCTGTGCCTTCAGTGGCATGGGCCAAGGAGGGCATTGATCTGAAGGTCAGAGGTACCATTGAATCAACAGAAAATAGTACTTCACTGACCATTGAGAAGTCATCCAGAAATGACTCTGGGGAGTACTGCGTCACTCTTGAATCATCACTGGGAAAAGCAACATTGCCTGTGGTTGTCAAGGTGCTTGACTCTCCTGGACCTCCTGTCAATGTCAAAGTTTCAGCGGTGACCAGGGATTCTGCAACCCTCACTTGGGAACTTCCAGAGAATGATGGTGGTGATGCAGTGAAGGCCTACCATGTTGAAAAACGCGAGGCCAGTAAGAAGGCCTGGGTGACTGTGACCAGCAACTGTCGCACACTGACATACAAGGTAGAAGACTTGCAAGAGGGTGCTGTGTATTACTTCAGAGTTATTGGAGAAAATGAGCATGGAGTGGGTGTCCCTCAGGAGGCCAAGGCTGGAACAAAGATCACAGGTAACATTTACTGACAGTTTTTAAATGTGAAATGCTGTGAATTAATAGAACCTCTACTGTTGAACAAAATGTGCTTCATAAAAATTACTTCTGTCTGTTACAGAGGTACCAAGTCCACCCATGAAACTTGGAGTTGCAAATGTTACCAAGGACAGCGTTACGATTGCCTGGACAAGACCAGAATACGACGGTGGTAGCAGAGTCACTGGTTACCTCATCGATGCCCTGGAGAAGGGACAGACCAAGTGGGTGAAGTGTGCCACTGTGAGGACCATGACCCACACGATCAAGAGCCTGAGGGAGTGTGCCGAGTACTACTTCAGAGTCCGTGCAGAGAACCATGCTGGACTCAGTGAACCGAAGGAGATGATTGTTCCTGTTATTGTCAAGGAAATACATGGTAGTTATTTTCTACTAAATTTTGATATTAGTTATGTATTCAGATTGAATTTTACTGTCCTTAGAAAACAGGACACTGTGCATAAAGAAAAAAATTTAAAACATTTACATTTAAAATATATTCTGTGTAATAAAAATTTGCATTACAGACAGTTTTTGAAAAGAAATGGAATTTGTGGAAAAATGCAGATGAATGGAGTTACTTAAGATGACATTAATTATCACATTGATGTCTTGTTTTGTCAACAGAGGCACCAGAGTTTGACCTAAAGAACTACCCCAAGAATACAGTTTATGTGAAAGCAGGATCCGACCTGACCTTTGAGATTCCTCTCACCGGCAGGCCCATGCCTAAGGTGACAATGTCCAAGAACAATGTTGTCATTAAGGGATCCAAGAGGCTGCTAACAGAAGTAACTCCAGACAGTTTAATCATCACCCTAACTGAAAGCATTTCAAGTGACGCTGGCAAATATGAAGTCACTGCCTCAAATCCGGGAGGTACCACCAAGATCCCCCTTATTTTTGTTGTGCTGGACAAACCTGGACCTCCTGTAGGTCCAGTCGAGGTCGGAGAGGTCGGAGAGACCACAGTGTGTCTGAAATGGGGTCTTCCAGAGTATGATGGTGGCAGTCCTGTTACCAACTACATTGTTCTGAAACGTGAAACCAGCACTCCTACCTGGGCAGAGGTGTCAACTACCATTGCCAGAAGTGCAATCAAAGTGACTAAGCTGACCAAAGGAGAAGAGTATCAGTTCAGAATCAAGGCTGCGAATCGCTTCGGTGTCAGTGACCATATTGACAGCAAGCCAGTCATGATAAAGCTTCCATACAGTAAGTCCATCCAATTCAAGACATTATAATGTAGCTTTAATGAGCCGGTTCCTTAACTATGACAGATGAGTACTAATCAATTACCATCAGTTACATTGGGAATATATCTCTGTATATTGCACCTTCTTTTTGTACTTTGTACTGTAAACCTTTGTGCATTCATTGGACAATTTTGCACATTTCTGCACAAACAACCACTTCTAAAAACTGCATAGCTGTTTAATTTGAATCCACAACAAAGCTATGAATAAAATACAATGAAAAAATATACAATATATTTTTTCATTGTATTTTATTCATAGCTTTGTTGTACTTCTATTTCAAATAGGGGTGTTAATAAATTATCTCTTAATTATCCATTTTATTTCGCAACTTTTGTTTTATGGATGATAAATCTAAATAAACATTAACATGAATGCTGACCGTTACAGCCATCCCTGGACCTCCATCCACACCATGGCTCAGCTTTGTCTCTAGAGAGAGTCTGACAGTCTGCTGGAATGAGCCGGTCAATGATGGTGGAAACCCTGTAATTGGATACCATCTCCAGATGAAGGAGAGGAGCAGCATCCTCTGGCAGAAGATCAATAAGACAGCAATCTCAGGAAACCAGTGGCGAGTCACAAACATCTGTCCTGGCCTCATCTATGAATTCAAGGTGGCAGCAGAAAATGCCGCCGGAATTGGAAAGATGAGCAAGACCTCTGAAGAGGTGCTTGCTATTGATGCTTGCGGTAAGTATTTTTGATTCGGATCTTCATCTTCAGTTTACAGGAGACCCATACCTTTAAATAATACAAGCTTATACTAAGACTATTGTTTCATTAAAATTGCATCTTTTCCACTTTAATGTTACAGAGCCCCCAGCAAATGTCCATATCACAGAAGTCACCAAGAACTCAGTCAGCCTTGCCTGGCAGAGACCTCCATTTGATGGTGGCAGCAAGATAACAGGTTACAGTGTGGAGAGGAGGGAAGCTCCCAGTGGCAGATGGGTGAAGGCCAACTTCACAAACATCATTGACCTGGGCTTTACTGTATCCGGACTGACCCAGGATGAGTCTTACGAGTTCAGAGTTTTCGCCAAGAATGCTGTTGGATCTGTCAGCAACCCATCTCTCATTGCCGGCCCAGTCACTTGTGTTGATGCATGTGGTGAGTTTTTGATTCATATCCATGTAACATGTCTTGTTTACTTTTATTGGGTTGTTACTTTTATTTTTAATTATAACCATATCTTGTGTCCCACAGGTGCCCCAGCCATTGACCTTCCTCCAGAGTATCTGGATGTGGTTCAGTACAAGGCTGGAGCTTCAGTTAAGCTTAGAGTTGGAATCATTGCCAAGCCTCTGCCAACAATTGAGTGGCTCAAGGATGGAAAGGAGCTGGTACCAACCTCTACCCTGTCTGTTGAAAGCACAACTGACACTTCTGCTGTTCTGATCAAGGATGCATCTCGCTTCGACACGGGCTCATATGAGATCAAGATCAAGAATGTTCTTGGCTCAGCATCTGCAACCATCAGGATTGAAATCCTAGGTACTTAGAAATTCTTGCTTCACCCTAAATATTTCCTTAAATCTGAATTCTGAATTCCATATTTCTGAGCTCCTATGTCCGATTTAAACTGAAATGCCCTCATGTATACAGTCTTCCATTATCCCTGTATTTAATGTCTATGTGCTCTTCCCTTTTTTTTTTGTTTTACCTCCCTGCAGACAAACCTGGACCCCCGGCAGGTATCATTAACTTCAACTCTGTCACGGAAGACAGGATCATCTTCAGCTGGGAGCCTGTGCCTGAGTCTGACCAGGGAGGTTTCAAGGTGACCCACTACATTGTTGAGAGGCGCGAAACCAGTCGAGTGGTCTGGTCCACAGTTTCAGACCGGCATGAGCAAACACACATAACAGCCAGCAAGCTAATGCGTGGAAATGAGTATGTGTTCCGCGTAATGGCTGTTAATAAGATTGGAGTTGGAGAGCCACTGGTATCGGAGCCGGTCATTGCTAAGAACGCCTTTGGTAAGTTTTGGCCTGCAGAGTACTGTGAATATGATTGTCAATGTGAATGTCATACCAGATTTTATGATAATTACCCTGCAGCAATAAAACCTCATCTTTGTTTTTGCTTTTACAAATTCTTTGCTTTTATGAGAAACACAAATGGAAAAAAAATTGTCAAGATTTGTACTTATTTTATCATTCGAAACGCCTAACATGTTTGTTATTAATTTCAATAGTAACTCCTGGGCAGCCTCACACTCCTGAGGTAAATATCATCACTAAGTCCACCATGGTGGTGGAATGGGACAAACCAGGTGTAGATGGAGGTAGCCCTGTTACAGGCTACTATCTGGAGAGACGTGATAAGAAGAGCTTGCGCTGGATTAGAGTTTACAAAGACCCTGTCAAAAACATCAAACAGACAGTCTACCATCTGACAGAAGGAAATGAGTACCAATATCGCGTCTGTGCCATTAACAAGGCTGGAGAGGGACCATTCTCTGATGCATCAGACTACTACAAGGCTGCTGACCCAGTTGGTAAGTGGTCTGACATTCAAAGAAATCCACAACATCAAGAAAGATACATTTACAGTCCTACCTAACAAATACATGTTGCTTATAGATCTACCTTATGAGCCTTGCAAGCTGAAGGTGGTGGATTCCACCAAGACATCCATCACCTTGGGCTGGTCCAAGCCAGAATGGGATGGAGGCAGTGAGATCACCAGCTACATGGTGGAGAAGCTTGTTGAGGGAGAGGTGGAATGGGCTATGATCACCTCCAAGGGAGAGGTCAAGACAACAGAGTACACAGTTCACAACCTAAAACCAGATGTCAACTACTTCTTCAGAGTGTCAGCAGTCAACTGTGCTGGCCGTGGAGAACCTCTGGAGATGACTGAGCCTGTGCAAGCCAAGGATATCCTGGGTAAATTCATACATAAACAAATAAAGGGATCATTGAAAATGTGTTCAGTTTGTAACATGTATGCCCTGTCTTGTTCAGCAGTCCCTGTGTGACCTTGTATATTTTTTTTATGATTTTCACAGAGGAGGCCCAGATTGACACAGATGTAGCCATGAGAACTCACTATATTGTTAAGGCTGGCAAAGATGTGGAGCTCTCTGTTCCTCTAAAGGGCAGACCAGCTCCCACTGCTTCTTGGAGTAAGGGAGAAGAATGCATCGATCGTGACCCCAAATATGAATTCCACCACTCAGACACTACCACAGTCCTTGTTATGCGTGAGGTTACCAGGCTTGACACTGGAAAGTACACAGTGAAGATAGAGAATGGTGTTGGAGAGCCAAAGACCCTAACCCTGTCTGTGAAGGTTCAGGATACTCCAGCTCAGTGCAGGAACCTGGTCCTGAAGGATGTGACCCGTGGAAAGGTCACTCTCTGCTGGGAGCCTCCACTCCTTGATGGCGGTGCTGAGATCACAAACTACATTGTTGAAAAGAGGGACTCCTCCAAGAGATCCTTCTCTGCAGTGACAAACAAATGCACAGACACTACATATACCCTTGAAGACCTCTCAGAGAAGACATCCTACTTCTTCCGTGTGTTAGCAGAGAATGAGAATGGTGTAGGTGATCCATGTGAAACAGTTGAGCCTTTGAAGGCCACAGAGACTCCAGGACCAGTCAAGGAAGTTTCCATGAAGGATTCGTCCAAGACTTCCATCACTCTGCAGTGGCTGAAGCCAGATTACGATGGCGGCAGCATCATCTCTGATTACGCAATTGAGAAGAAGCTCAAGGGCGAGGACTGGTCAATGGCAGGAACCAGCAGACAATGTGAGTTTGAGGTCAAGAAACTCAAGGAGCACTCAGAAATGTTCTTCAGAGTTGCTGCCAGGAATGAGAAAGGACGGGGTGACTTTGTTGAGATTGGGCCTATCAAGGTCATTGAGTACCTTATCACACCTGAGGCAAACCTTTCAGAGTACCCACAAGGCCGCATTAATGTTCGTCTGGGTCACAATGTGCACATTGAGCTGCCATACAAAGGTAAACCCAAACCCTCCATTCTGTGGCTGAAGGACAACCTGCCTCTGAAGGAGAGTGACCAAATCCGCTTCAAGAAGACAGAAAACAGAGCCACTCTAATGATTAAGAATGTGAAGAAGGAGAATGAGGGTAAATACACCCTGACACTTGACAATTTGGTCAACAGGAAATCCTTCCATGTCCATGTCATCACACTTGGACCACCATCAAAGCCTGTTGGACCCATCCGCTTGGATGAAGTGAGAGCTGAGAGCATCATGATCTCCTGGGAAGAACCTGATGACGATGGTGGTGGAGACATCACCTGCTACAGTGTAGAGAAGCGTGACACCTCCCAGCCCGACTGGAAGATGGCCTGCTCCAGTGTAACAGGTACTCAGTTCAAGATCCCCAACCTGATCAAGGGTGTCCAGTACCAGTTCAGAGTGTGTGCTGAGAACAGATATGGTGTCAGCGAGCCTCTGGTCTCACAGATGGTCATCGCCAAGCACCAGTTCAGGCCCCCAGGCCCACCAGGCAAGCCTTTCGTTTACAATGTCACCAATGACGGCATGTCCATCCAGTGGGACAAGCCCATCTATGACGGTGGTACCCCCATCCAAGGCTTCCATGTGGAGAAGAAGGAAAAGAACAGCATCATGTGGCAAAAAGTGAACACTATGCTGATTAAAGAAACAGAATACAGGATCCTGGAGCTCATTGAGGGCCTTGAGTACTCCTTCAGAGTCTATGCCCAGAATGATGCTGGCTTCAGCCGAATGAGTGATGAGAGCAAGCCAGTCATGGCTGTCAGTCCTGTTGGTGAGTGCAGATTCAAACCATTATTTTGTTTAATTGATAAACTACAAGCATACAGCACATTAGAATTACGATATAAAAGAAAAAAAGTTCAAAGATGAATTTTATGCCTTCCAGATGCTCCTGGCCAGCCTGACTACATTGATGTGACCAGTGACTCAGTGACACTGAAGTGGGATGCCCCCAAACATGATGGTGGTAGCAAGATTACCAGCTACAGCATCGAGAAACGCCAAGGACAAGGCCGCTGGTTCAAGGCCAACTTGACTGAAGTACATGACTGCCAGCACACTGTCACTGGATTGGCAACAAATGAACGCTATGAGTTTAGAGTGACAGCCAGAAATGCCATTGGTGTTGTTAGTCCGCCCTCCAACTCCTCTGGCATGATTGTGGTCAGAAGTGAGAATGGTGAGTAGTGAAAGAATTTGTAGGGTAGGGGGGGGGGGGGAGCTCATGATTGTATTAATAGCAGTCTGAACTTCAGGACTGATGTGTAAATGATAAACACTGATTGTTATTCAATATGCTGTATACTAACACACTCCCTTTTCCTGTTTACTAGCTGCTCCAATTATTGAGTTTGGCGCAGAGTACTTTGAGGGTTTGACAGTCAAGGCGGGAGACCACATCAGGCTGAAGGCGACCATCACTGGACGCCCTGTTCCTAAGGTCATTTGGTTCAGAGACGGTGTGGAAGTTACCAAAAAGATGATGGACATAATCACTGTGGCTGGATCCAGCACCCTGTTTGTCAGGGATGCTGATCGTACACACCGGGGCCTCTACACTGTCGAGGCTACCAATGGATCTGGAAGCAAGAAGCTGGACATCCTTGTTCAAGTTCAAGGTGCGCAGTTTTAACATTGAACTCTTTATAATATGATGCAGTTGTTTACACCTGTTTATTTATGTTCTAATTCTCACGCACCTATGTGATGCAGACACACCTGGGGAGCCGGTAGGACCCATCACTTTCAGCAACATCTCAGAGGGTAAGTGCACTCTGTCTTGGAACCCACCTGAGAACGACGGCTGCTCGGAGATCTCACATTACATCATTGAGAAGCGCGAGACTGCCAAGATCTCCTGGGCTTTGGTGACTGATGAATGTAAGGATTGCTTTTTCAACGCAACAAAGCTCATCAAGACCAATGAGTACCAGTTCAGGGTCTCTGCTGCTAACAAGTTTGGAGTTGGCAGGCCTTTGGAATCCAGCCCCATCATTGCACAGATGCAATACAGTGAGTGGAAAGTTGGAAAGGCTTTTGCAATTTCATACTCAGCATTCTTTATTTTGCTTGTATTGCACTAATCTATCATAATTCTTTCCCTCAGCTACTCCTGATGCTCCAGGCACTCCTGATGCTACTGAGGAGACGGGAGAGAGCATCACCCTTTCCTGGACTCCTCCAACATCTGATGGAGGAAACCCCATTCAGTATTACATCTTAGAAAAACGAGAAAAGAAGACTGTCCGGTTCTACAAGGTGATTACCAAGAAGCCCATCATTGAATGTGCTCACAGGGTGCCCAATCTGACAGAGGATATGGAATACGAGTTCCGTGTGATGGCCGTAAATGACGCTGGTGTTGGAGCTCCTAGCAACATCTCACTACCCATCAAAGCCGCTGAGCCAAAGGATGTTCCTTGTGCTCCATCTGTGGTTTGTGTGTGCGATTCCACTAATACTTCCATCAGCCTGGAATGGTCCAGGCCTGCGGATGATGGAGGCATGGAGATTCTAGGCTACATTATTGAGATGGTAAAGGGACAAGAGACCGAATGGAAGAGAGTAAATGAGGAGCTGGTGGCAGTAACAAATTACACGGTAACTGGTCTACAGACAGGAGCCGAGTACAAATTCCGTGTCGCAGCTGTGAATCATGTGGGTAGAGGTGAGGACCGAGAGATTCCAGAGCCTGCTCAGGCTGTAGACAGACTAACACCACCACAGGTGGATATTGACGCCACCTTCAAGCAGACACACATTGTCAAGGCTGGAGGCTCAGTGTGCTTGGGCATTCACTTCAGAGGAAAGCCAATGCCTAATGCCACCTGGGTGAAGGAGGAAGGGCAGCTGGGTGTCATGTCAGAGGTCACAACTACAGATGGCTACAGTTCTCTAAGCATTGAAAACTGCTCGAGAAATGATACAGGAAAATATACTGTTAACCTGGAAAACTCTAGTGGCAGCAAGGCCATTACATTCACTGTAAAAGTGATAGACTCTCCTGGACCTCCACAGGCTGTTGCCTTCAAGGAGGTGTCCAGAGGCTCAGTCACACTTGTCTGGGAGCCTCCTCTCAATGACGGTGGTGCCAGAATCCAGCATTATATTGTGGAGAGACGTGAGGCTAGTCGCCGCACTTGGCAGCAGTCTGGTGGCAAGTGCACGCAGCGTATCCTTAAGATCCAGGACCTGCTGGAGGGAGTGCCATACTTCTTCAGAGTCTCAGCAGAGAACCAGCATGGTGTGGGTGAGGCATTTGAGATCACTGAGCCTGTCATTGCCACCGCAGAGCCAGCAGCTCCAAAGAGAATGGACATCCTGGACACCACAGATAACTCTGTGTCACTGGGATGGCTGAAACCAGAGCATGATGGCGGTAGCCGCATCCAGGGTTATATCATTGAAGCTAAGCCAAAGGGTGCAGACAAATGGGTCGTAGTTGGCAACACCACCAATCTCACTTATGTGGTTGAAAAGCTCAACAAGGGTGATGAATATAACTTCCGTGTGAAGGCCAAGAATGAGTCTGGCTACAGCTTGCCCAGGGAAACTCTGGCTCCTGCGCTGGTCAAAGAGCCTCACATTGAACCTGCTGCTGACCTCAGTGAGCTCACCAATCAGCTCATCACATGCAGGTCTGGCAGTTCCTTTACCATTGATGTTCCCATCAGTGGTAGACCTGCTCCTACGGTAACCTGGAAGCTGGAAGAGATGAGGCTAAAGAGCACAGACAGAGTCTCCATCAAAGTAACAAAGGACAGAGCCAGCATCACAGTCAAGGAGGCCATGAGAGGAGATGGTGGTAAATACTACCTGACTCTGGAGAATGTGGCAGGAACCAGGACCTTCACTGTTGAAGTTAATGTCACAGGAAGACCCAGTCCTCCAACCGGACCCATCGAAATCTCATCCATCACCTCTGTGTCCTGTGTCCTTAACTGGCAACCACCAGATGATGATGGAGGCACTGATATCACCAACTACATCGTAGAGAAGCGTGAGTCTGGCTCCACAGCCTGGCAGCTGATCAACTCCAGCGTGAGGGGCACAACTCTCGATGTCAATCACTTGACCAAGTACATGCAGTACACATTCAGGGTCTCTGCTGAGAACAGATTTGGTGTCAGCAAGCCCACTGAGTCTAAGACTATTGTCGCAGAGCATCCTTTCAGTAAGTCCTACACTATAAACATACTCTTTAACTTATTCACTAGTTTAATGCATGGATAACAGAGAACAGATATAAGTATTTAAGAATTTCTTAGACTCTTAATGTCTGTAAATATGTTTGTCTTCTGTTGAATCACATAGGCTTTTGAGTGACTGTACTCAACAGAAAAATCTTGTCCTTTTTTTTATCACAGCACCTCCTGGCCCACCAACAAGGCCTACAGTCTTTAACGTCACTGCTAATACAATGACCATGAAATGGGAGGAGCCTTACAGTGATGGCGGAAGCAAAGTGACAGGATACTGGATTGAGAAGAAGGAGAGGAACAACATCCTGTGGGTGAGGGAGAACAAGATCCCTTGCTTTGAGTGCTACTATAAGGTGGAAGGTCTGGTTGAAGGCCTGGAGTACCAGTTCAGGGTGTATGCCATGAACAGTGCTGGGTTGAGCAAAGCCAGCGAGGCCTCCAAGGGAGCAGTTGCTCAAAACCCAGTTGGTAAGTTTAGACACATTTTAGCTTCACCCTTACCAGTTGCTTGTCAGTTAATACTCTATTGCTCCAACATGACTGATCTGTTTTTTAGATCCACCAAGCAAACCAGAAGTCACAAATGTCACAAGAACCACTGTGTCCCTCAAATGGTCAGCTCCACTGTATGATGGTGGCAGTCCCATTGTGGGCTACATCATTGAGCGTAAGCCGTACACTTTGGCCGGTGAGGGCCGCTGGCTCAAGTGTAACTACACCAATGTGACAGACACTTTCTTCACTGTTACCGCCCTGGGAGAGGGAGAGCCCTATGAGTTCAGGGTCATTGCTAAGAATGCTAACCAGGTCCTCAGCATTCCCTCGGTATCCACCGGCTCTGTGCAATGCAAGACCGACTTCGGTAAGATCTGAATCCGTTACTGTGATACAATACCACCAGTACTGCTCACTGATCTTGACTCTTAAAAAAGACAATGACAGTAAGATGAAACTGCCTCATGTTTCCTGTTAAGTAAGCCACAGCTTAAGGCTTAAACATGTAGATGTAAGCAGTGTGAATATATGGTTGTCCCAGCAAAGTGGTCCTATCTTATTAATATTTTTTTTTTCTCATAACCATGTTCCTTTTTTCCACCTAACAGAGCCTCCAAAGGCCCAGCTGGACAGCAAGCTCCTGTCCGAAACTGTCAGGGTCAGAGCTGGTTCAGACCTGGTTCTGGACGCTGCTGTAGGAGGCAGGCCTGACCCCAAGGCTTCCTGGTCAAAGGGCAGTAGGGATCTAGAGTTGTGTGAAAAGTACCACCTGCAGTACACTCCCACCAGGGCCATGGCCATCATCAAGTTCTGCGACAGAGATGACACTGGAAAGTACATCCTCACTGTCAGGAACGTAAGCGGAACCAAGACTGCTGAGGTCAATGTCAAAGTACTTGGTAAGTGAGAGTGCTTTGTTTCCTAAGCATTCAGTTGTATGCATTACAGATTAATTCAGTTTCAATTCAATTCAATTCAATTCAATTCAATTCAGTTTTATTTATAAAGCCCAATATCACAAATCACAGTTTGCCTCACAGGGCTTTACAGCATACGAAATCCCTCTATCCTTAGGACCCTCGCAGCGGATAAGGAAAAACTCCCCAAAAAAAACCTTTAACGGGGGGGAAATAAAATTAGAAAATTAGAAATTAAAAAAGATTAAATATTATGCTTTTTATGGTTATCCTAAGCTAATTACAATGAGCACACCTGTTTTTTTCCAGACACCCCTGGAGTATGTGAAGGCAGCATTGAGATCAGCAAGATCACAGAGGAGTCCTGCACGCTGAGCTGGAAGCCTCCTCTTGAGGATGGCGGCGATGACATCTCCCACTACATGGTGGAGAGGCGCGACACCAACAGACTCAACTGGGTCATCATGCATGACGAGTGCAAGGAACTCACCTGCAACATCACCGGACTGTTCAAGAACACAGAGTACCTGTTCAGAGTCCGAGGCGTCAACAAGTATGGAGAAGGAGTCAACCTCCAGTCAGAACCCATGGTTGCCAGAAACACTTTCAGTGAGTGCAGCAGTCAGATAATTGCTAATGATATCCCAAAAATCTCTGAGGCCAGTAAGATCCTGCACTTTTATTTTTTAAACAACAATCTCACTAAGATGAAAGCAAGACGAATCTGGCTGAGAGCCCTGAGAGTAAACCTGGTCGCAAACTATTAGAAATTCTCATAACCTCTAACACTGAACTACCTTTCCCTTCCTCCAGCTGTGCCATCTCCTCCTGGTGCTCCAGAGATCTTGGCATCAGGAAAGGACTTTGCCACCATTGAGTGGTTGAAGCCAGAGAGCGACGGTGGCAGCCCGCTGATCCACTATCTGGTGGAGAGGCGCGAGAGAAAGAGTGCTCGCTGGGTGAAGGTGAACAGGGACGGAGCTCATCTGGACACCACATTGAAGGTGTCTGGTTTGACCGAAGGCAACATCTACCAGTTCAGAGTGACAGCCATCAATAAGGCCGGAGAGAGCGAAGCCAGCGAGGTTTCTCTATATGTTGTCTGCAGAGTGCCAACATGTAAGTCCACTTTGTTTGTATACATTCATTCATCTGCTTTTTGTGGCATATCTCAGGGGTAACCTTGTCCATTAACACATACAAAAAATCCTTTACAATATCACAGATCTATTGATTCCTGTATCCTCTCCTCTCAGGCACCCCTGCTCCTCCTTCCATTCCCCGTATCACTGACACTCACGCTGACAGCATCAGCCTGGCCTGGTCCCGCCCCGTGGAGGACGGAGGAGCTGATGTGATGGGCTATATCCTGGAGATGCAGGAAGCCGGAGCAGAGGAATGGAAGAAGGCCCATGAAAAGACCTTGCGTGCTACAGAATACACTGTGACCGGACTTTCTGCAGGCAAGAAGTACTGCTTCAGAGTGGCTGGCATCAACATTAATGGTACAGGAGACTTCAGTGAACCATGTACTGAGACTGAGCCAGTTGAAAGAATTGGTAAGTCATTCAGTGATTGCATTCAGTGATTGCAAATAGAGCAACTCCTTCTTCTTTTTTTCTTACAAAAAAAGAGATTCAGTGTAAAAGAGATTCCATTTTTTTGTTTTACAGCAAAGCTACATATGATTTAAAAAAAAGAACATAACAAATGGGAACTTCACTTTCATATTTGGTTTTGGTCATGACTTCATCCAGTAGAGTAAAAATTATTTGCAAGTCCTTCAAGATGTGGTAACGTATAATTATTATTCCCTTCTCACACAGAAACTCCTGACTTCGAGCTCCACGATGATCTGAAAAAGACCATCTGCCTGCGCGCTGGAGGATCCCTCCGCCTGTTTGTTAATGTCAGCGGTCGTCCCACTCCCACCATCACTTGGAGCAAGCCTGATGTTGACCTCCATAACAGAGGATTCATTGATGTCACCAGCACATCCACCACACTCATCATTGATAGGGTCCACCGCTACGACGCTGGCAAGTACACGCTGGTGGCTGAGAATTCTGCCGGGAAACAGGAAGTCAGCATTCTGGTCAAGGTCTATGGTGAGTTGAGGAAGATGTCTGAGAAGTGAATTGAAATATTAACACATGGCATAAATCTTTCTAAATTTGATTCGTACTAGAACTTTTAATTTGACTGTGATTCTATGTGATAAAATTGGAATTTGAACTTTTGGAATTGTTATATTATAACAAATTATACTTTTATTGTTAGATACTCCTGGACCAACTGGACCTATCAAGATCAAGGAGCTGACCAAGGAGTCTGCAACTATTTCCTGGGAAGCCCCAACTGTGGATGGCGGTGCTCCTGTCAACAACTACATCATTGAGAGGCGTGAGGCGTCTATGAGAGCCTACAAGACTGTCACATCCAAGTGCAGTAAGACATCTTACAAGATAGATGGCCTGATGGAGGGCATGCTGTACTACTTCCGGGTCCTCCCTGAGAACATCTATGGTATTGGTGAGCCCCGCGAGACTCCTGATGTCATCCTGGTTTGCGAGGTGCCTCTGCCACCACAGAAACTGGAGATGATTGATGTCACCAAGACCACCGTCACCCTGGGCTGGGAAAAGCCTGAGCATGATGGTGGCAGCAGGCTGACGGGTTACATCATTGAAGCCTGCAAGTTCGGCACAGACAAGTGGATGAAGGTGGCCACGCTGAAGACCACAGACTTCGAGCACACTATCGATAAGCTGAATGAGGGCGAGCAGTACTTGTTCAGAATCAGAGCAATCAACAGCAAAGGAGCCAGCGAGCCCAAAGAGCTTGTTACAGCCATCACTGTACAGGAACAGAGAGGTAACACACCTGCAATCAAACATTAGGTGTTGTAGATATTTTAAGCAAAAGCATAAAACTACAAACATGTAAAACTGTTTCTTATCTATCTATCTATCTATCTATCTATCCATCCATTTCCCAACTGTTGATGTAAACTATAGTGAAATGCATTTTGTACCTCTCTCTTCGTTTCCAGTGATGCCTGTGGTGGACTTCTCCAGCATTCCTCAGAAGGTTATCAATGTCTTGGCTGGCAAGACTCTGGAGCTGGACCTGCCCATCATTGGCCGGCCTCCTCCCGTCTGCTCCTGGTACTTCAAAGATAACAAAGTCAAAATCACAGACCGTGTCAAGATCAAGAGCACTGGCAAATTCTCCAAACTTACCATGTCTGACACCACTATCGACGACAGTGGTGACTACACCCTGGAGGTGAAGAACGCCGTTGGTGTTATCTCTGAGGTCATCAAGGTCATCATCCTCTGTAAGGGACCATCCCTCATTTGTTACTTTTGTTTCATTATGTATTGCTGATGCTAATCAGGTTACAATAAAGTGAAGTTGATTCATTTCTAAATTGGCAATATTACAACAATCAAAACCAAGCATTAATATTTAAGTTTGAGGCAATCAAGTTGATGGTGACCATTAATTCTGTGAATCCCCTTTTACCAGCTAAACCTGATGAACCACAGGGACCTATCAGGTTTGATGAGGTCGATGCTACCTTCGTCAGCTGCAGCTGGGATCCTCCGGCCAGACAAGGCGGAGCTCCCATCAGTGGCTACGTGGTGGAGCAGCGCGACGCTCACAGACCTGGCTGGGTGCCTGTCTGTGAATCTGTTAGCCGACCAACCTTCAAGTTTGAAAACCTGATCGAAGGGGATGAATATGTCTTCCGTGCTGCTGCCATAAATCGCTACGGCACTGGAGAGTTCCTGCAGTCTGAGGTCGTCACCTGTAGGAGCATGAAGAGTAAGTTGCTGTTGTAAGGTTACACGCTTTTTTGATCTAGATGGAATTATGTCAACAGAGGTATGGTAACTTGTTTCCCCTCCTCCACAGATGCGCCTGGACCTCCTGGCCGTCCAACCGTCTTTGATGTTTCTCGTGACGGCATGACCGTGGCCTGGAACCCACCTGATGAAGACGGTGGCCTTGAGGTTTCTGGATACATTATTGAGCGTAAAGAAGTCAGGTCTGACAGATGGGTGCGTGCCAACAAGAATCCCATCACCATGACCAGATACAGATCGACAGAGCTGATCGAAGGCCTGGAGTATGAACATAGAATCACCGCCATTAATGCCAGAGGAGTGGGCAAACCAAGTCTGCCATCCAAACCAGCAGTGGCAACAGATCCCATTGGTAACACAACACTTTCAAAGAAAGCCTTGTCATATTGTCATATGTAGATTTGTAGATAGTGGGATGGTATCAAAAGTCTTGAAAGAGCAAACACAGACTTATATCTTCTGTAGCAGCTAAAAGTACATACATGCTTGTGTTCCTCTCTCAGATCCACCTGGCTGTCCTCAGAACCCAAGGATCACCGATACCACCAAATCCTCCGTGTCACTGGCTTGGAGTCCTCCCGATGAGGAGGGAGACGCAAGGGTGGACGGTTACTTGATTGAGATGCAGAAGGTGGGCACCATGGCCTGGATCAAGTGCAACACCTCACCATCTCTGATCTGCGAGTACACGCTGACCAAAATGCCACAAGGAGAGGAGTTCAAATTCCGTGTGATGGCCTGCAATGCCGGCGGCTGTGGAGAGCCTGCTGAAGTTCCTGGAACTGTTGTTGTGACAGAGATGCTTGGTGAGGATGCAAACTTTACATTAACTACACCTGCAGTAAGATCATTTGTATTTCTTTAAAAGTAAGAAAGAATAAAACTGACTTTTGTGACTCTCATTGTTTTCCAGAGTCTCCTGACTATGACCTGGAGCTGAAATACAAAGACGTGTACGTGGTACGTCATGGAGGTGTGATCAGACTCTCTGTACCCATCAAGGGTAAACCTCATCCAACCTGCAAGTGGTCCAAAGATAGCGGTCCAGTCTCCACCAAGGCCATGATTGCCTCCACAGAGGATGCCAGTGAGCTGGTGATCAAGGGAGCTGAGAGAAGTGACTCTGGCGTGTATGACCTCCTCCTAGAGAATAAGGTTGGCAAGAAGAAAGCCCAGATCAAGGTGAAGGTCATTGGCCGCCCAAGTGCTCCAGAGGGACCAACAGTCTTTGAGGAAATCCAGGCTAACTCTGTCAAGGTGTCCTGGAAGGTGCCCAAGGATGACGGTGGCTCAGAGATCCTGGGTTACATCGTAGAAAGACGTGAGGCAGCCAGAAACGCATGGTACACTGTGGACTCTAGAGTGACTGACACTCAGCTGGTTGTTAAGGGCCTGAAGGAGGGAACAGAGTACCACTTCAAGGTCACAGCTGAAAATGCCTTTGGTATCAGCGCCTCTCTGAAGTCAGACAAACCACTGGTGCCCACGACTCCTCTCTGTAAGTATTCCTTCTTCAGTCTTATAACAGTACAAGACCATTCAGTGATGACTCAAAAAATAATCTGCGTTTCTTTTAACAAGGTCCCCCTGAGCCTTCAGGCACTCCACCAGAGATCATGGATGTTACCAAGAGCTCTGTGGCACTGGCCTGGTCCAGACCAAAGGACGATGGTGGTTCTGCCATCACTGGCTACTTTGTTGAATACAAGGTGGTGTCAGCTGAGACATGGTCCCGCCACCAGACCAAGATCACCTCCACCATGTTTACTCTGCCTGGACTCACCCCCGATGCAGAGTACCAGTTCCGCATTGTTGCTGTCAACGACATTGGCGAGAGCGAGGCTGGTCCTGTTTCTGATGTGGTCACATGCAAGGATCCATTTGGTGAGTCTCCATTTACTGATAATTAATAGTACTGTAGTTATCATAGTTGATGGAATTTTAATGGACATGGGATAATCAGGTGTGAAAAACATTACCCACTAAACTTAGTGAAATCTTATCAACAGTTGATCAAAACAATAGTTAATTAAGTTTTTTTGTTTGTTTGTTTGTTTGTTTCCCTCCAGACAAACCAAGTCAACCAGGCGAGATTGACACAGTAAATGTGACAAACAACTTCATCACCATTCGCTGGCAAGCTCCAGAATGTGATGGTGGAAAGGAGGTCCTGGGCTACTGGGTGGAGTACAGGAAGTCCATTGAGAGCACCTGGAAGAAGTGCAACAAGCAGAGACTGAAGGAAAAAGAGTTCACCATGCCTGGACTGGCTGAGGCCACAGAGTATGAGTTCAGAGTGTTTGCTGAGAATGAGACAGGAATGAGCAGACCTCGTAGGACTGCCACATGCATCAAGACCAAACTGAGTGGTAAGTACAGTGAAATATACTGTGTGAAAATTATTTGTAAGCATTTACCAAACTTGCTTTTCCAGGGTTACTTTACTATGAGACATTACTTAACATAATATACATGTTTTCTGAATATACATCTTGTTTTGTATGTACAGCTGAAAGTAAACCAGGCCTGAGAAAGGAAATGGATGAAGTAACTGCCAAGCTTGGCCAGCCTGCCGTCATGAAGTGCCAGATTATTGGCAGGCCTGTCCCTGAAATCAAGTGGTATCATGCCGGCAAGGAGATTGTTGAGTCCCGTAAGTACGAAATGAGCTCAGATGGCCGCAACCACTCGCTGTCCATTATGACCGATCAGCAGGAGGATGAGGGACAGTACACCTGCAAGGCCATCAATGACGCTGGAGAAGCCGAGACCACAGGCGTCTTAGTGTTGGAGGCTGCTGCATCCTTCCATCCTGATTACCCACTAAAGGAAACCTACTACGCCGGCCTGGGATCCACTCTGCGCATCCATGCCGTCTACATTGGCCGTCCTGAGCCAAAGATCATGTGGCTGCATGGGGCAAAGACTCTGGAGAACACGGAGGACATCAGCATTGAGACCACCGAGCACTACACACACCTGGTGATCAAGAACGTGCAGCGCAGAGTCCATGGAGGCAAATACAGGATTAGACTGCATAACCACTTCGGCAGAGCTGACACAGCATTCAATGTTGAAATTTATGGTATGTTCATATACATTTACTGCAGTGAATGCAACAAAGAATGCATTTATAAAGGCAACAGTATTAGATCTATGATTAATATCTGATACCTGTTTTCAGACAAACCTGACATGCCTCAAGGTCCAATTGTGCTGGAGGCCCTCCTGAAGAACTCTGTCATCATCAGCTGGAAGGCTCCCAAGGATGATGGAGGCTGCATGATCACCAACTACATTGTGGAGAAGCGAGAGGACAAGGAGGGTACTGAGTGGGAACTGGTGTCCTCATCCATCAATAGCACATCTTGCCGTGTGCCCAGCCTCATTGACAGCGCTGGATACTTCTTCCGTGTGTACGCTCAGAACCGCTATGGCAACAGCGAACCACTGGAACTCACTTCTCCTATCCTTATCAAGAGCCAACTGGGTACATTTAAAAACATGTCCTTTATTTGTTTTAAATGCTTCATAAATTTAATTGTCACAATGTAAGCACAGAACTTTAAAACACCATAACAGTTAACATGTAAAGAGATACCCTCTGATGATGTTTTTTTATTTTTATTTTCATATTCCTGTCCACAGACAAACCATCACCACCTCTGTCGCCAGTTGTTTCTGGAATCACCAAGGACTCCTGCGTGGTTTCCTGGAAGCCTCCACTCAGTGATGGCGGGTCCAAGATCAAGAGCTATTACCTTGAGAAGAAATTCAAGAAGGATAAGAGGGAATGGAGCGATTGGACACCAGTAACCACAGACGAGATCAAACAGACTGTGTACTCCGTCAAGCGTCTGACCGAGGGTGTTGAGTGCATTTTCCGCGTGAGGTGCGAGAACCTTGGAGGACAGAGCGACTACAGCGAGGAAACCACTCCCATCGTTCCAGCCACCGCCGTCGAGCTCCGTGCTCCTGCCTTCAAGGAGGAGCTGAGGAACATGAGTGTCAAGTACAAGAGCAATGCTACCCTTGTGTGCAAGATCACAGGACAGCCCAAGCCTGTGATCAAATGGTTCAGACGAGGAAAGGAGATCCACTCTGATGGACAGAAGATCAAGGTTCAGGAGTTCAAGGGTGGTTATCACCAGCTGGTCATCACGGAGGCTGATGAGGAAGATTCCACTGTGTACCAGATCAGGGCCACCAACCAGGCAGGCTCCATCTGTGCTACAATTTCTCTGGATGTTGAAAGTAAGCTCACAGATACTCAATTTCTCCTACAAGAATGCTGTTTCCTAAGGGTTCAGTTATGCTCAGTGTTAGATACATATACAGACATACTCCATACTCTGCAATCATTTTTTCCATATTTGTGCACGTTTTCTTAAAGCTTACAAATATGGACGGAATGGAGTAGTACCACTAGTGATCGTGGGGCAGTGTAGCCGGCAGTAGATACGACTGTAGGAGACGACGAGGACATTTAAAAATGGCGTAATGGAGCAAATCTGTAATATAGTGAAAAGAATTCTCCATTCATGTCAGGATGTATTAAATGGCCTCACATGGTCTCTTTGTTTGATGTTTAAGAAACTTTTGACTCCGTTCTCTAGTGCCATTTGTTGGCTGTATCTATGCCAACATTAAGGATGCATAGAAGCATGAGGGCAGTGACGTTTACATTTGAAACTGATGTATCTATTTTGCAAATAAAAGTATAAATGAGCCCTAACACTGACCAAGCCAAAATTAAACATATATACTTATTTTTAAATTATTTTAAACATGAAATCTCACTAAATTTATCTCATTTCTAGTCCCTGCCAAGATCCACCTGCCCAAGAACCTGAAAGACAAAGAAGCCATCCCAGCGCGGCGTGGAGAAGTGGTCAATATCAAGATTCCTTTCAGTGGCAAACCAGATCCTGTCATCACGTGGCAGAAAGGACAAGATCTTATTGACAGCAATGGCCACTACCAGGTCATTGTCACCAGATCATTCACCTCTTTGGTGTTCACCAATGGAGTGGAGAAGAAGGATGCTGGCTTCTACATCGTCTGTGCCAAAAACAGATTTGGCATTGACCAACAAACAGTTGAGCTGGATGTTGCCGACGTTCCTGATCCTCCACGTGGCATCAAAGCCAGTGATGTCTCCAGAGACTCAGTCACACTGAACTGGGTGGCCCCAGCAAATGATGGAGGCAGCAGGGTCATCAACTACATCATTGAGAAGTGTCCCACCACTTCTGAGAGATGGCAGCGTGTTGCCCAATCCCGTGACACTCGCTATACCGTTACCAATCTGTTTGGAGGAACCGGCTATCAGTTCAGAATCATCGCTGAGAACAAGTTTGGACCGAGTGCTCCATCTGAGACCAGCGGATCTGTTATGACCAAAGAGGACAAATCAAGAGTTCTGCTCTATGACAGGGAGGTTGACGATACCGAACGTGTTCACAAGAGCAAGGCTCCACACTCAGAAGCCAAGAATATGCACAACAAATACGCCATTGCAGAGGAATTGGGCAGAGGTCAGTTTGGTATTGTCCACCGCTCTGTTAACATCAGCACTGAGAAGACCTACATGGCTAAATTCTTCAAGGTGAGAGGCGCAGATCAAGCAATAGTCAAGAAAGAAATTGCAACACTGAATCTGGCCAAACATACCAACTTCCTCCTCCTCCATGAGTCATTTGACAGCCCCGAGGAGCTGGTGTTGATCTATGACTTCATCTCTGGTGTTGACATATATGAGCGCCTCAACACAGCAGAGTTTGAGCTTAATGAGCATGAGATTATCAACTACATCAGGCAGGTCTGCTCAGCTCTTGAGTACCTGCATGCACAGAGCTACGGACACTTTGATATCAGACCGGAGAACATTGTGTACACAACTAGAACCAGCTCCAATGTGAAAATTATTGAGATGGGCCAGGCAAGACACCTGACTCCTGGAGACATAGTCAAGATTCAGTATACCACTGCAGAGTATGCTGCCCCTGAGATCCACCAGTGTGACATGATTAGCACTGTCACTGACATGTGGTCAGTTGGTGTCCTTGCCTATGTCCTACTCAGTGGACTGAACCCATTCACAGCTGAAACCAACCAGCAGATGATTGACAACATCTCCACGGCAGCCTACAGCTATGATGACGAGTCTTTCAAGACTGTCAGTGTCGAGGCATTAGACTTCACTGACCGCCTAATGACAAAGGAACGTAAGCATCGTATGACTGCTGCTGAGGCTCTGGCACACCCTTGGCTGACCAAGCCTGTAGAGGAGATCAGCGCCAGAGCGATCCCAACCGGCAGGCACAAGAGATACTATCAACAAATGGTGAGGAAAGAGTGGAACACTGTTGTCTCTGCAGCCCGTGTGGCCAGCGGCGGCTCCATCAGGTCCCAGCGTGGTGTCTTTGTCGCCAAGGTGAAGATCGCTCCGTTTGAACATGGTCCTGTTGGAGGCCAGGTTGGCCACGCAGTGGCGAATGAGGGAGACACTGTGAAATTCATCTGCAACATCGACAACTACGACAGTACCACTGAAGTGACGTGGTACTGCGGCGTCAGGCAGCTTGAAGCAGGTGACAAATATGAAATTGAGTATGAGGACGGCCTTGCTGTAATCACCATCAACAAGGTCACCAGAGCAGATGATGGCACATACAGATGTAAGGTTGTGAATGAGTATGGTGAGGACAGTGTCTACGCAGAGCTGTTTATCAGCAGTGTCAGATCTTACCGTGACTTCTTCACCACCCGTGTGGTCAAGAAAACAAAACGCAGGATTGACACTGCCAGAATGCTTCAGAAGCCACCGGAGTTCACCCTTCCTCTGGTCAATCGCACAGCCTACCTTGGTGAGGATGTGCGCTTTGCCGTGACCATCACTGTTCACCCTGACCCTCGTGTCATCTGGCACAAATCCGGACAGAAGCTCATCCCTGGACATGATGACAGGAAATACACCTTCATCAACGACAAGGGCCTGTACCAGATGATTATCCACAAGGTTGAGGAGGAGGATGATGCTGAGTACAGCGTTGTGGCACGTAACAGGTATGGTGATGATAGCTGCAAGGCTCGTCTTACGGTTGTTCCTCGACCTAAACCAGCAGACCTCACCCTGAGGCCCATGTTCAAACGCCTGCTCGCAAACGTCGAGTGCAGGGAGGGCCAGAATGTGCGCTTTGAGATCAGAGTATCTGGCCATCCCACACTGAAGTGGGAGAAGGATGGCATGCCTTTAGCCTTTGGGCCATCTATTGAGGTTGTCCATGAGGGCCTGGACTACTTCATCCTTCATGTGAAAGACACTCTGGCTGAGGACTCAGGTGTTTACAGAGTTACTGCCACGAACTCTGCTGGATCTGCCAGTTGCCAGGCCACGCTCAAAGTAGAACGCGTCACTCATGTAAAGAAGGAATATGAGGCAGCTGAAAAGAAGGAGGAAAAGATGGCCGGAAAGGAAGAAATTGACAAAAAAGTGAGGCTGTCTCAGATTTTGGCAGACACCGTATTTACTCCTCTACCACCTGCAGCAGTACAAGCTGTCAGGGAGGCAGCCACCATGTTCAAACCTGCTTTGACAACTAAGAAGGGTGAGAAGACTGAGGCTGAGATACAGAAAGAAAAAGAGGAGAGGAAGAAACGTGCTGATGAGAAGAGGCTGCGTATGCCTTACGACGTCCCAACTCCTCGTGTTGTTAACCAAGCTGCTCTTGAAGAGGATGTGGAAATAAAACACTTTAAGCCACTCTCTGACATGAAATGGTACAAGAAGCTGCGGGATCAGTATGAGTTCCCTGAGCCTATGGATAAAATCAGGCAGAAGAGGATGAAGCGCATCCGTCTCTCCAGGTGGGAGCAGTTCTACGAGGTACCTATCAGGATCAAAGACCAGTACAAGCCAAAGTGGCGTTTCTCATCCATGACTCAGGATGATTTAGAGACTGTGAGGCCTGCAAGGCACCGCACTCCTTCTCCTGAGATAGATGCCTACCACAGGATCAGGAGGAGGTCCCTGGGTGACCTGTCAGACGAGGAGCTGCTGCTGCCTGTGAAAGAGTACCTGTCGATGAAGAGAACCGAGGAGGAGAGGCTTCGTCTGGAGGACGAGCTGGAGTATGGTTACTCTGCCTCTCCACCGAGCCTCAGCCCAGTCCGCTTCGAGCTGTCCGCCCTGCGTCCCTCATCTCCTAGAAGAGTTTACAGTGACGATGAAGAGGAAGAAGAAATCCGCAGATACGACTCCTACCGAATCCCATCTAAATACGAGGCTGGCCCGAGTTTTGTTGAGCTCCGCCAGCGTCACGACAAAGCCACATACAGACCTCCGAGACAGAAGCAGAGGGTGTATGAAGAGAGAGAAGATCAGGAGCTGCTGCGCCCACACACAACTATGCAGAGAATGGCCACTTACAAGAGTGAGCTCAGACGCATGGAGTTTGAGGAGAAGACTCGAACATCAAAGAAGGAATCAACTGTCCATGTTGCGACAGTCTCTCAGGGCGTTGAATCAGAGCACCTGACAGCTTTCACCTCAGAATATATTCCCAAACCAATCAAGAAGCTCCCAATGCCTGAACCTGAGAGGAGATCTCCCACCCCAGAAAGGGCTGTCAAAACTGAAGTGACTCTTCCTAGAGTTGACTTTGCTTCCAGGTATGAGGAGAGAAAGCAGGCTCTTAGATCAGAGAGAAGATCAGTGGAGAGGAAGGTCGAGGTGGTGACCCAGGCTCCCTTCAGCCTGGACCACACCCCACGCATCACCATCAGGATGCGATCTCACCGCGTACCCTATGGCTCCAACACAAAGTTCACCCTGAATGTTCAGGCCAAACCAGAGCCTGAAGTCAAGTGGTTCCACAATGGAAAAGAGATCCATCAGACCAGCAAATACAATATGACCAACATCAGCGGGGTTCTGACACTCTCCATCAACAACTGTGTGACTGAAGATGCTGGCACTTATCGTGTCGTCTGCAGGAACGCCAAAGGGGAGACTTCTGACTATGCCACATTGGATGTAGCACAAGCAGAATACGCTGCCTTCTCTTCACTTCGCAAAGACGAGGAGCCTCCATCCTCCCACCTGCCAGAGATGACTAGAACAGAGGTGTATCATGTCTCCTCCTCATCTACAAAAACTGTGAAGGAGAGTGTGACTACAACTGTGAAAGAGACCACTACTGTTGTTGAGAAGCGAAAGGAGAAGCAGAGTGTTCCCCCCAAGATCCTGACCAAACCGCAGTCCCTGACTGTAGAGGAGGGAGGCCTCGCCAGGTTTGAGTGTGATGTGGATGGCGAACCAGCACCATCTATGACCTGGCTGCGCGAAGGAGCAGTTGTTGGTCCCTCTGCTCGTCACCACATTGTCTCTGCTCAGTACAGCTCCTCCTTTGAGATCTCTGCTGTTGAGAAGTTAGACGAAGGCAGCTACACTCTGCTGGTGGAAAACGCTGGAGGCAAACAGGAGGCCCATTTCACTCTGACCATCCGCAAGTCTGAGTCCAAGCAGAAGGTGGTCGCCGCTCCCAGAGTCACCTCTCCAGAGGCCAAGTCCCCTCTCGCTAAGTCCCCTGAACCTGTCAAATCTCCTCAGAGAATCAAGTCCCCTGAGCCAATCAAGTCACCTCAGAGAGTCAAGTCTCCAATCTCGCCAAAATCCCCGACACCAAAGTCCCCAACTCCCAAATCCCCAACTCCATCTGACAAGGAACGAGTGATGTCCCCAACCAAGTCACCCAAGAGAGTGATGTCACCAACTCTTGAGAAGAAACCGTCCTTCTCTGTCGGGCTGAGCAACGTCACTGCAGCCTCCGACTCCGTTGTCAAGCTCTCAGTGAAGGTAACAGGAGAGCCCAAACCTGCCATCTCATGGATGAAGGATGGAAAGGTAATATATTATAACACTTTACCTATTCTACTGTTCTTTTAAATTTTTAACAGATAAAAACAGAATGGACAAAGTGACATATTTCATTGGTCAGTAACTGAACCATATTTTTCTGATTGACAGGCTGTGTCTCAGGGTGGGAAGTATGAAATCTTTGAGGAGTATGGCTCAGCTTATCTTGAAATCTATGAAGTGGAGGCCTCTGACAGCGGTGTGTACAAGTGCACTGCTACAAATGGCGCCGGAGCAGTATCAACAACCTGCACAGTCACTGTCCGGGGTCAGTTTGATACTGTGGTCACAGCCAAGCGCTCAGACGCACCTCACATCCTGGTGCAGCCCCGGTCCCAGATTGTGAATGAGGGACAAAATGTTAAACTCACATGTGAACTCGCAGGAGAGCCTTCCCCTGACGTGGAGTGGTTAAAAGACAACATGACCGTGAGTAGTATCCTCCAGAAAGTGATTTGTTCCGATCTTAGTTGCAATTGTTGTTAAACTGTTTTAAACCTTCTGAGCTTTTGTTTGGCATGCATTTGTTATTTCTTCTGTTTGGGATCAATAGGACCTGAGCCTTTAAAAAAGTAGATTTAAAATAAGAATCATAACAGCTAAAACATTTGTTGTTTTTGCCACAAAAAGCCAAAGGCTTCTGTCCTCTGTGTCATAATGTCATGACCTGACGTTACCTTAACTTGCTGTACAAATGTGGTATTTTGCTGTAAATACGGCAGTATTTCCCCATGATGGCTGCGGGAGGTTGTTGTTTGCATAATCCTGGATATATATTGATCTCAAATAAAAAACAGAATAGCCATAATTTTCTTTCTTTTTGCCACAAAAGGCTCAGGCCTCTGTCTTCCCCATCATCACATCATTACCTGATAGTAGTTTCCACCGAGCAGTACGGTACAGTTCAGTTCGGTACGCTTTTTTCTGTTTCCACTGCGAAAACTTGTGAATGGTACCAATATAACTGTTCCGTACTGTCCCCATATTTGGTACCTCAAAAGAAGGGGTTAGAATAGATGGTCGATAAAACTGTCCACAAACAAGGACAATGGGTCAAAGACTAGAAAGCCGATAAAAGCATCCACAAACGAGGACAATAGGTCAGAGACTAGATAGTCGACAAAAACGTCCACAAACAAGGACAAGGGGTCAAAGATTAGATGGCTGATAAAAGCTTCCACACACAAGGACAACAGGTCAAAGACTGGATGGTTGATATAAGCATCCACGAACGAGGACAACGAATCAAAGACTAGATGGTTGATAAAAGTGTCCACAAACAAGGACAACAGGTCAAAGACTAGATGGTTGATTTAAGCATCCACAAACGAGGATAACGAATCAAAGACTAGATGGTTGATAAAAGTGTCCACAAACAAGGACAACGAGTCAAAGACTAGACAGGCGATAAAAGTGTCCACGAACGAGGACAACAGGTCAAAGATAAGCAAAATGAAGTTAAAGGTGCAGGAAACCCAAAATGTGATGTCCTCACATGAGGACACAGGGTCTCAGGAGGTTAAGGTAAATGAAACAACAGAATCTTGTGTAGCAGAGTTAACACAACTGTTTGTCTCTTTGCAGATACCTGTCACATCAAACATTAGACTGAGCCACTCGAACACTGTGTACACTCTGGAGATTTGTGAGGCCACAGTTGCAGACAGCGGGAAATACACAATAAAAGCCACAAATGCCTTTGGACAGTGCTCCGCAACGTCCTCCCTTAACGTCCTCAGTAAGTTTCCTCTGCATCCCAAGTAAACGCAGTTAAACACTGTCTCAGTGTATTTCTTGGCCTGATACTAAATTCTGTGATGAAAATGACACTTGAAGTGCATCAAAGCAAATATTTTAAATCAAATTCAACATTCAAACCCTGAAATCAGAGGCATTGAGCACCCCAGCTTACTCTCATGAATGCATACAGTGGACTGTACCTGTGCACATTGTGACATGAGGAATGTGCTTGTCATTTGCATTCTCACAGCTCTTGTTGAAGAACCAACAAAAATGATTATTGTAGAGCAAAGAGCTTCTGACGCTGCTGCCAGCATGCAGAAAACTTTATCTGGCTCATCAGTTCGTATGGAGGCAGCTTCCATGCAGGCCAGCAGTTTCAGCAGCAGCTCCAGCTCCGCTGCCGAGTATTCGTTTGAGAGCATGTCTACATCTAGCATGTCTGCCATGATGGCTGAGTCAATGATTTCCATGAGCTCCAGCAGCCAAATGATGGAGATGTCCGCTCACTCGCATGCAGAGGCCTCCTCCTCGCTGAGGGCCCTCACAACAGGGCTTCAAAGAGGTGAGATGCATTTTTAAAGTTGCCTGAATCTGTCGGTGACTTGTACGTGGATGTGAGATGATATGAACATCTTTGTGAGTAAAGATGGAATGAAAATACAAATGTGATGCGACAATTAAACATGTCTCAAAAATGCCAAACTTATAATTGATATTAAACAATCTGTCTGGTATTCCTGTGACTATTATGTCATCATTTATCATGTTTTTACAAACGTATGTCCTTCCTCACTGACCACTTCCTTCTCCTTGTCAACAGGCACTCCACCAAAGATTGAAGCTCTCCCGCAGAATGTCAGCACTGAGCTGGGGAAGTCCTTGACTGTGGCAGGAGTGTTCTCCGGAGATCCCGCACCCTCCGTCCAGTGGGTCCACTCAGGTCGGACCCTCCCCAACGGGAATGAGCGGTGCCACGTGGAGAACACCGCCGACCTCTCCACCCTGGTGATCTCTGGGGTGAAGGAGGGAGACAGCGGAGCGTACACCCTCCGACTTTCCAATGAGTTCGGCTCCGACTCTGCAACTGTCAACGTTCACATTCGGTCCCTGTAAAAAGAAAAAAAAAAAAAGTTAATCTTTATCCCCGTTTCCCTCTTCCACAACCTTTTTATTTAGTGAATTAGCAACGATAATCTTACGTGATAAAGACCTGGATTTCTGTTCTTGTAAATATGAACTATTTTTGTACCAAACTTGACATTAATTTATGCCAAACTAGACTAAAGTCTAAAGTTGTTATAAAATGTGCCATATTGGACAATTATGACTTAGGATTTTTGAACAACTTTTCTGTGACATGTACATAATGTATATAGCCGAATTTAACGGTTATGGGAAATGTATGCATTGTTATTTATGACAATAATATTAACTGAAACAAAAGAACAAATGTTTTAACAGGAGAAAGTTTCACTAAGAACGAATACCCTGTCAAACTGAGAAACTAAACTCTGTGCCTCAACGATAAGTTGAAGTCTTTAAGATTGCCTCAACAGGTAGAGAGGCTCCCTGTTGACGTTATGAAACAAAAAGACAAAGTTATTGTTTGGACACGCGTCTGCGTGAGATATTACAGTTTCCTATGAGTTGTACCATGAGCGTAAGACCCTGAATGCTGTTTGCATTACCCTCATGTAAGCAGCATGAACTGGCCTTGTGCTCAGACTGACTGTGTCATACCACCATGATTTGATGACCAGCTCAGAGTGCGAGCGGCCTGCACTCTCAGCGTTTAGATCATTTTAATAAAGAGCGCTGTTTCTGCACAGGACGGCCGGACCGGCTTTCAAAAACGTAACATCTCCTGGCCATAAAAGAGGAAGTCACCGCCGGCTCTGCTGTGCAGAAGCAGCGCTGTCTCTCGGAGGATAGCTAGCTAATGTGTTTGTGTGTTGCAGTGGGAGTGTTTGTAGCTTGTAGTCAGTTCACCTTGTCAGTAGTCAGGGTCTTTTGTTTGCCACAGGGACTCCACCTCCTGTGAGAGAAAAGAAAAGTCATGTTTTTCCCTGCACTTTGATTTAATTGATCTGTTAATGTAGACATATATTTCATCCTCCTTGAGTTTTATGCATTTCTGATTTAATAAAGCATGATTTCAGCACTACACATGTGCTCTCTGTTTCCTGTGTCTTTCCTGCTCTCATGTTTAACTCAAATTAGGTACATTTAATCTAGACCACAGTTAGGATGTATATATATATATGTATATATATATATATATATATATATAGCTGCCAAAATGTTATAAAAAATGATTGCAGGATATATAGTAAAAATATTATGAAAGTGTTGGTACAGCTTGTCATTAAAGAGTCTTAAAAATAACAAAAAAAAAAACATAAAAAAACTCAGAGTGCAATATCTTAAAAAAAACATTGTCAAGTCATTTCAAGAAAAAGTTATAGTATACTATGTTACAAAAAAGTCACAGTACAGTATGTTATGAAAATATAAAAAAGTCAGAATTTACTATGTTGTAAAATATGACAATCCCATACTATAGTACGTTACAAACATATAAAAAGGAATAGTATATCGTCAAAAATCCCAAAAAAAAGTCATAGTATAGTATGTTGTCCAAAATCATGAAAAAAGTCATATTATGTCACCCAAACTCATGAAAAAATGTCATAGTATAGTATGTCACCAAAAATCATGAAAAAACGTCATGGTATAGTATGTCGTCCAAAACCATGAAAAAACGTCATAGTATAGTATGTCGTCCAAAATCATGAAAAAAGTCATATTATGTCGTCCAAAATCATAAAAAAACGTCAGTATAGTATGTCACCAAAAATCATGAAATAACGTCATGGTATAGTATGTCGTCCAAAACCATGAAAAAACGTCATAGTATAGTATGTCACCAAAAATCATGAAATAACGTCATGGTATAGTATGTCGTCCAAAACCATGAAAAAACGTCATAGTATAGTATGTTGTCAAAAATCATGAAAAAAAGTCATAGTATAGTATGTCTTCCAAAATTACCAAAAAAAAGTCATAGTATAGTATGTTGTCAAAAATAAAAAAAGGTCATAGTATAGTATGTCTTCCAAAATAATGAAAAAACGTCATAGTATAGTATGTCTTCCAAAATCATGAAAAAAGTCATAGTATAGCATGTCGTCCAAAATAATGAAAAAACGTCATAGTATAGTATGTTGTCCAAAACCATGAAAAAAAGTCATAGTATAGTATGTTGTCAAAAATGAAAAAACGTCATAGTATAGTATGTCGTCCAAAATAATGAAAAAAAGTCATAGTATAGTATGTTGTCAAAAATCATGAAAAAACGTCACAGTATAGTATGTC